TTGTCACGCAAAGAGTGTCGAATTTCGTGTTTATTAGACAGAAAAGGCCCCTCAAACATTACAAATATGTGAAGAATCAACCCCCAAAACCCCCCTTTTCCACACACATTATAATATATTGTAGTTGAGGAAAAATTCAAGAGCATTAAATAGTAAATACATATCCCGTATAAGAAGCAATTCCCCAATTAATGAATGGTGCATGCGCTCATGAAGAGGAAGCCTCAAAATGTAAGTCACTCACCCTACTCATCATTTAATTTTCTTCCATTTTTCCTACTCAACCAAAAATAATAGCGAGATGCCATGTGCTGAAACCATTATACGTCTCGCCTAGAATTTATTTTCCTACCAATCCCAACATTTCTCTGCTATTATTTGTCGTTTGAGTGCTATTGTTGTATGCTTGGGAGTAGCTCGATTTTGAGGGAATTAAGTTTGACGTGAGGCCATTCGAAGGAGTCAATAAATTAAGTCATAATTGGAAATGTGTCACTAAAAGGACGACTTGGCTAACGCAATCCTTCAGTCTAGCAGAAGAATTCTAGAGCGAAAGCGCCAAAAGTGGATTGAAATCGAGCCCGTATGGCATAAATTGTATAGAGAGTGCGAGAGAATATTGAGGTAATAAAGAAACTGAGAGTGTTGTCTCAGGAGGATTGTCGGCATCGGCCGAAAGTGTTTTGGCGCCGGACGCATGAGCCTAATGTCGTCGCAGCCGTTAGTCACTTGGGAGAGTCAGGACTCCGCGCACCGAGAGGAAAAGACCACAATCTATAAGCAGAGAATCCAATAAAAAAAAGTAAAGGATCACCACTGAAGCAATCAAGATGGTTTGTGCGGTCACTCAGTGGATTTTAAAGTCGTTGCTTTGTTAGTGTCGGTGCCGTGGAACCACTTGCAGACTAATGGGTGTATGATGTCACACATGTTTATGTTCTGCTTTGATGCCTCCACCGCCGAAGCGTGATTGTCGTATCAATTATTCCGCGGAGAAGAACCTCCAATCAATTTTTGCCACCTTCGAATTGAAACGTCCAAAAAAAGCCAAATGGACCCCGAAGGAATTCGACTGAGACAAATTTTTATTGAATTTGTATGTTTCTTCCTCAATTCATTAATTCACATTTCACTTCAAAGTAGGTACCTCTACTCCTCCACCGCGATATATTTTAAATATTTTACACTAAGAAACGCCGAAAGCCTTTTGCGGAAACTTTCTTGCATATTCGCCTTTGGTCAGTTTATCACAGACCAACAAACTCTTTAAATGGCATTTTCATCAAAACAATTTCCGACTGTGATTCCTGTGATTAAATTTGTTAAGTGGAAAATTGTGAACTGAGGCAGATATGACAAAGGTTTTATCCACATAATTTCTGCTGTTTGAAAAAAAAAACTCAGCTATTGACGATGTGTTCTTCAGCTTAACAGAAACCAAAGGCGACTTCTGATGCAGAAATTGTAATTTATCAATTAGCAGAACAATTTAATTTCCAGAATTGAATATACTTTAAGAGTGCATCATAGAAAAGATGTTGAATTGCGCAATTTCTTTTATCATTGAAAAATATCATTTGAAAAATATGTTAGGGATCTCGAAGAGAAGAGAAGCACAGTTGAATTAATTCTTTTTAAGCGTAAGATTCTAACAAAAGTGCAATGATGATCTGTAAGTGAAAGATACCAAGATTTTTATACTTTTGGGGAAAAATGTCATTTTGAGGCACTGATGGAAAAAAGAATCTAATTTATGTAGAAAACTTTCCTTTTCGGAAATAAGGGAATTAAATTCTAATTGAAACTGAACACACACTTGATAATTATGAATAAAGAATAGAACCGGGCTATATTCTCACCAGTGAATAGCATAAAATTGATTGAAATTAACTCAAACAGATTTTACAGAAATTATAATCATAACAATAGCATTATTGGACTAAAGAAATGGATGATATGAACTAAAACACAGAGTTGAGGACTGATTTCATGTTTGGGGTGCAAGGCAATAAAAGGGGTAGAGCAATTTGTCTACCTTCCAGACCAGAGGCTATAAAAAATGTTAACATGTTATGTATGTTTTATCAAGTGCCACTTGAAAATATGTATCTTTTGAGGTTCCCGATTGTAAGCACTAGAAACGACACAAAAGTCATGACTGAAATCAGTGTTCAGACCGCGCCGGGTGGCCCGAAGTTTTATCTCCGAGGAGTCACTGGCTGAGGAATTACAAGAAATGACATTTCTTTCTGCGTGTAACAGAATATTTCTTCAAATAACTATAAAATTTGGGCATATTGAAAGCGATTTTCGCCTTTTCTTGATCTTCCCGCGTCAATCAGCTCAACACATTACATTTCTCGGTGCTTAATGGGCTCGATGAGTGAATCTACAGATATTTGGAAATCAAGATATCCCAGAGATCAAGATAAAGACAATCAAATTAGGAGTTTAACACTTGAGCTGAACCTTTCGTCAGGCATCCGAAGCGAAAAATTGGATGACGCTGGGAACAACAATCTGGAATTTATAGTCAGAATAAAAGTGAGAGACGGTGTTTTGTGAGAGAATGGATCCCGATTGAGTAATAATGACCACCATTTGGGTGAACAAGATGCGGAAACGTTTGACATACGATCGCATCGTCTAAGTGGAAAAAGGCTTCAAAGAGCCACAGAAGATTGTTGTATCCATTGAACCAGTTCAGAAGATTCTTCTGTCTTAAGCCGCGCTTCACACATAAAATGCCGTGGCGCTAATTTATTTGCTTTGCATACATTAACATTTTTTCACATCAAAGAGAAAATATCGATCAAATGACTTTGCAATTCTAATGATTTCACAATTTTCTCATTTCCAAAAAATACACCGCGCACAGAAATGACTTAAGAAGAAAGAACACATCTGAGAAGGAAAGATAATCACTATTCCAGCATTGGGCGCGCATCGCAAAAAAGAGGCAATGAAGATGGAATTAAATGAGCTTTAATACCAATTACAAACTGTCTTGAAAGGATTTTCTTGCTCTCCACCATTTGGTTGCCAACCAATTTCATTCTCCATAACCGTTTGCATATTATTGCCAATGCATAACCTGGCTTAAATTGCGTCCATTCAAGTGAAGGGAATTGGACACTATTTCAAGTGCGGAAGAGATTGACGCCGATCTAACTGGACTGGCAAATCTACAATCTATGCTGAAGTGACTGCTTACCTTCGAGAGTGTAATCAGAAATTACATAGTTTGCAACCAGCGCCCTAAAGAACTGTGTTCACTTTTCAATTGTTATTTCTTCTCACTAAAATTTACACCAGACTTCTTTATCACCAAATTTTGAAAGACTCTCAAAGACACTTGCAATGATTTACATATATATTGATTAATATTTCACAGCTTAGAATCCGTGATGCAAATCGCAAAAGTTCTACTTAACATTTATTTGAATAAACGTTTCACTTGTATTTTATCAATGTGATTTCTTGAGGCGCAGCGGCCGAAAGTAGCGTGTCTTCACTCACTTAGCAACTCTTTCCAACTAATCTCCTCGGCAGCCAACCGACTTTGAGTTTCCGAGTTGACTGAAAAATGTAGCGCTTGTCCAATAAACCGGTAACTCAGGCAACAACAAAACAGATAAGTGAAAGGCGGGATTTCAGTGAGGCTACGCCCTATCGGAATACACACAAGCGTATCTCTTTCATTTATCCGCATAGATATATGATTTATGTCAATCAATCTCCATTGGAGACTATGGATAGAATCCAATGCAGATTCATTTCTGTGTACTTCATCTGTTTTATTAAATGGCGGCGAAAAGACTTACCAAAGTGAATCTTTTTCTGTCGTATTTTTCATGCATTACCAAATAAGATTCTTTTATGAATTATGTACATCACATTAGAGCCTTATTCATGCTTCAGAGCATCATGTGCTGCCTTCTTTCAAATTAGTCACAAAGAATTTGGGCGGCATCAAAAAGGATTTCCCGTGATCATCAGGCAAATGGACAATGCTAATAAAACATTTCCCTTTATCAATGAAATTAGGTCTAATATTACGAAGACATCACACCAATAAGATGTTACCTAAACACGTGATACTCTAAAGGTGACCAATAAATATCCCAAACGATGGCGCCTCGTCTCACAATTTCATTAGAAATAAACTGAAATTCTTGGAATTCTTTAGACTCCCTGTACCACCTAAAAAGGTCATAGATAACATCTCTCCAGCGAGATATATAGATTCGTTTCCCCACAGGAATACTATGAATGAGTCACTCGGAATTTTTACTATGTCAGTGAATGAAGTGAAAAATTTATTAGCTATTTTACTGCTCAATAGTCTGACCTTTTTTGGGTGTTGAACACAGCAAAAAGGACGAAGGCAAGATGATTTCACTGACTTATTGCAGTCTGGAAAAATCAAATGATTGCGCTCTTTGTACCTTCGACGCTTGTTATACTCCAATAAATGGGCGTGACTATCGAAAGTGGAAGCGCCTGTGAACGCCTATAATTTTTACTCCTCAACAATGTTTCGGACTCGCAACGCGATTAGGGTATCGCATTCGCAGAAGGCGGGCCTCCAATTGACATATCAATACATAAATAATACATCGTGATAAACCGCATAATAAACTATATTTATACAATATGTCTGCGGAGATGTCAACAAAAAAATCACCATTTGCGGCAAAACAAGATTTAATACTTACCGGCCCACGTTTCTTGGTGGCATCTCTTGCTTTTTAAGTGAAATTAAAGACTGGAAATAAGTTAATATTGTAAATATGTAGGCATTTTTTTATACGTGAACACTTCGATGATACTAAATAAAATATTTGCAGAGCAGGGAATAAATTTATGCACCTCGTGATAAGGAATATGTTGCAAAGTGAGGGCGAAAGGGACAATCGCCACTTTAGTGTCATAGAAATGCAGGTTCTACTTAGGAATTTTCCATATATTTATTTTGTCAAATTCATAAAATCTCCACTCTTAATTGAGCTCTGGTTTAGCGCTAAACTCCACTAACCCCTCTATGTCATTGACAGAAAATCCTTCATCTTCCTTTTCCAATTTCCCATTCATCTGCAGATGAAAGTTTGTCTGGTACGCCAGCAAATGGGATTTATGATGGAACCACTTAAGATCATGTGTGTTTGGTAAAACCTAAAGCAAAGGCGGAGGTCAAAAAGTTAAGAACAGCGATGCTGCAGTTTAATTTTATCACTGTGGAAGATCATATTGTTAATGCATCATTCTCTCTCTCACTACACTTTTATTATTTCTCTCTTAAACAAAACCTGTATAGACTGAAATATAAATTATAATAGTCTTATTGCAATATTTAAAAGACATCAAATGTGTTTCTCTTTGATTGGTTGGAAATTGATCATAATTTTATACGCGGTTTCACAGATTATCTCTTTCTCTCACAATAATTCTGAAGAATTCTATAGACATTTTTCTCCATTATTCGTTGCCACACTGCAACAGTTTCATGCATATGCATATCTCATAAAGTAAAAAGCCGTTTGGTGTCACAGTCTAAAAGCCCGGCGCGTCACACCGCATATTCATTCATGTACTACATACATATAAAACGTTATTATATATATTCTTAAGAGTAAAATTGTATATCTATACGAAAAGTCACTATACAATCGTTCAAATTTAAATGATTCTTGTACATTACATAGTGCATTCTCCCATGTATTGAGAGCTCGGCGATGTGCGGCTCTCAGTACACTGCATTTCGTCTTTCATTTGCTCATACAAATATAGTGTGACTTCAGCAGCCATATTATGTATATCTATGGATATGCATCAGTGAATGGTGTGGTAGAAGACATCAAATCAATTTCTCCTCTCTGAAGCAGAGGAAATAAATTTAAATCCATAATTGGTTCCTCTCTCACACTTTCATACGATGTACATAATACTGTGTAATGCACTACCGCGTCGCATCCCTTTTCACTCCGAAGGTATTCCACCGTATATAGACTTTATCTTTGGCATTCTATTCGACTACAGAATTCAGCCCGGTTGTCGATTTAGGTGGCGCCTGTAGAATGTGTATTCTCTCCTCTCATTCCTCCGCACTCTCTGGACTCTTGTATTATGCATATTTGGGAGATGGAAGAGGAAAATCAATTAATGGAAATTTTAGAAAAAGAAGAGAATGCCTTATCAATATAATATATAGTGTGTTGTGTATTCTATATTGTATGTCATGCTTCCTGATATGAAAGCCAACCATACAAAAGTCATTATTACAATTTTCCTTAATCATACAACATCATTTAGCAATATTAGCATTATTCGATTTATGTATATCTAACACTTAAACTCTACACAACACCTCATTAAAAATTCTTTACAAAAGTCTCTAATTTTGGCACTGACTCGATGGATAGGCAAGATGATGTAAAAATATATAAAACTGGGAGCTTTTCTGCCACTGTGACTAGGTCTAAGTACTCGGAAATGATATCAAACCTACAATATATCCAATACTCTGGATGGCATATAAGAATGTGAAGAAGCAAGAACAGGAATACATTTTGCACAGTATTGTCTTAAAGCGTAACTTCCCCATGGACATAATTTCGAAGCCTGAGTGTCTTGGCGGCAACATCAATTGGAATTCCTCTCGGCCATTCCAGTGCTTGTGATTACACTCGTGATTTCTCCGTTGATTCCCCGGCCTCCATCCAATGGGGGTACACTGAAAGAGCCACAGAATTTGTTAGGGCACTCCGAATTATGCACAGAAAATGGAAATGTTTTAATGTATCTCACGTTGAATTAATGTGTCTCGTCAAATTAGTGGTGGTTGGCAAATGTGGCGATTGACTCTGAGGACCAACGCTCAAGTATTGCTCTTGGGCTGACGGCTGAGTGGACACCAAGTGGATTTCCGTCGGTGCTTGCCCAATGGGCATCACCGGCAGCTTCATATCGATCTGCGATGGGTAAATCGGCGGGAGAGTCTTCTCAGTACCTGCCACTAAAAATTGACTCATTGCACCATGCGACAAGGTCCTCCTCTCACACAACATACCGCTCAGAGTTGTCTTTATTTGACTCCCGGCCACATTCTTGGGTTTCCTTTTTCTCGTCTGAACTCCTTCTTTCTTCATTGACAGCGGACGTTGTACCTGAAATGGACAAATAGACAAATTCTCACATTCCAGCCAAAGCACTGGGTGGCGAGGGCGCTCACATTGTGCAGCTTGTAGTAGAGCCCACAGGCATTGCACACGGGATCGCCGTTGTGGTTCCTCCGCCACAGAGTCGTGGTGGTTGTTTGGCAATTGGCGCACTGCACGCCCGTGCGCCTGTTGCCGTTCGCCGCCGGCGCTTTGGCCTTCTGGTTGCGATTGGGTGGTCGATTAATGCCCGGATTTTGGCGCCCGTACAAGGCGCAAGCATTGCACAAGTTGTGACCGCTGTTGTCTCGCCGCCACAGTGGCGTCGACGATGCTGAACAGTTCACGCACTCCTTTATATCTGGCGCTGCAATTATCTGCCCATCGTACTGCTCCCCAATTGTGCTCAATGGTGGCCACGTTCCATTGGCTGCGTAGTCTCCAGGTCCGGAAGGGACAGTGTTGTCCAGGATGATAGAATTCCCGTATCCCTGGAATAAAAACATCGTCAAGAGACCGAAATTTCTGAATCTTTACATGTTCTGATTTTCCTTACAGCGGGAACATTGAAATCCAACTGACTAGCCCAATAAGTCGCCGGTTCGGTTTTGTAAGCCGTGAAGACTTGCTGTCCTGACGGTGATCCTGATGACACCGTAGCGCCATCATAAATATGCTGCGAGTTCGCTATGTTGTGATGATACTGCAATTGTCTGGTAGATAAAGCAGAAGCCAAATTCGGATCTGAAATTTGCAAGATCGATTAAATAACCATTTTAAGACACCTAACTCAAACCTACAACCTTTGTACAGAACGGTATTGGGACTGCTTGAATGGTAACCAGGGTATTCTTTGGATGTGGGCGTCGTCTGAAGGTAAGAATAGTTCCCAGCCGGAGTTGCGTAGCCCTCGGTCGTGATGTAGTAGCCGGATCCACTCGGGAGTTGCTGAACTGTCTCTAGGTTCGTATATTGAGCTTTGGATTCTGCGGAGTCGGCGTGAGCTTGAGCATCTGGATTATGAGGTTCAGGCTGCTCATAGATTTGGATTTCTTGGGTCTCCGTTTGAGGTTGCTCAATAGTCTTTATCTCCTCGGATCCTGTTGGGATTCGATTTTGGCCTTGGTACGAAAACCGGTGGTAATCCTCGGTCTCGTACTTCACATTGGAATACCTGAAACAAAGAGTTTCGGTTGGTAATGTTGCAAAATGATACGAGCGGCGGTGAGTCACCTGTAAGTATCGCCATCTTCCGTAGTCTGCTCGATGTAGACAGTTTGATGTTGAGGCTGTTGGGCTTGCGACTGCTCGCTGACGCCTATCTCTTTGTCAGGACTGCCTTCGCGCTTGATCACGTGCAATTGCTGAACAGTTGTCATTGGTGGCGCTTGAGTGGTCACCACAGTCGCGATGGTAGGCTCGTAAGTGTAGTTATGATCCTCAACCGTATTGCCAACTTGCTGGTACTCATGATTGCTGTCATACTGCTGATCTTGAGCATCAACAATTGCTTCTTGAGCGCTGGTCACTTCTCTGAAAAATTAGTTATGCTATGAAAATCTCTATCTTTATGTGAATCAGCAACAACAAAGTCTACTTTCTCAAAAAAAAGCATTGAAATATTATGCCCTTGTAGGGAACGCACTCTTTTATAATGCGTATTCGCCAGTATAATGATTATGTTATTAAAATATACAAAAGAAGCATAATTAAATTAATTCAATATAACTTTACTTCTTCACCACATGTACGTCCGAGCAACGGAGGAATATTCATGCGGCACAATTTATAGAGAATTATGAAGTAGAAATGAGTTAATTTTCGGATTTTTACTACTTTTTTATTGCGAAATTATGTCTATCGTTCAATTTAGCATAAGATTTTACCTTATGTCGCCGGCCGTTGTGATCATGCGATGCCTTTGAGTGGTAATGACTGTAGTTGGATGACTAGAAGCTGTAACATCTTGATTCGGATGAGAGATTTCCTCCACAATCACCTCCTGATTCTGTCCGTCAGGTGATCTCTCCTGCTTTATCACTTTCACTTCTTGATTTTCCATCTGAAAAGCGGGGAAAACGCAGGTGAGACACTTTCAATACAATTGTGAATCGATGGAATTTCAACGTCACGAGTGAGTAAGACAAACTGGGTTTTGTCTATTTGATTTTTGATTTATACAAATAAAAGGCACGCGCCAGCGTCACTAATTGTGTAACCATAAAAACCCATTTTACAGTCGTATTTCTTTCATTTTGAGAACACCACACAAATTCTTCGCGTCTTCATGCCATTATGAATTCCTTTCAATTTGTGGCTTTGCCATATCTTATCCTTATTGCTACTTGTATTACAGATTCCGCAGAGATCATATCACACACTAATCGGAAGCCCTCAGCTTTTCAGCGGAGTCAGTGAAGAGTGAAAAAGTCTGACTCTGGCTGGCGAAGGCGTATGTAAAGTGTACATAAATGTTTTACATGCAAATACCGGAAATTGTGTGTTTGCTGGAGAAATAAGGTTGTGAATCTGCCATGGAAATACCTCTGAAGTTCCGGTGCTAAAGAATTATGACTTGCTAAAAATTGAAGAATTCTCTCCCACTTTTCAATGGAAATCCAGAGGAAATATTGCACACTTCCTGCGACGCATTAAAACTTCCTACGAAAAAAAGAGTGTGTGTACTCACGCAGGTCTTCAAGAAATCAGTTATTTGCTCTTGTCTCTGGAGCACGTGCAACATTGTGGCTCAAAAACTACACAAACGTACAAATTTACGATAAAATTTGTCAGCTGTATCAGTTAAAGATAACTTAATCATTCACTCATCTAGACAACCTCAGGAGAATCTAAAGCAACTGTTCAGATATACTCTAGGAGCATATCTCTATTTATTCTAGGACACACCTTCGGTCATATCACGCTGCTGACAATACGGCGCTCTCAGAGACACTTTACCTGAGCTCATGCTCGGTTTTTTGCCACTTCGACCTTCCCAAAGAAATTTTGCGTATTATTGGGCCTCACTTTCTATGCTGAATTCCAGTGGAGTAATTTTTATGGAAAATATGGCAGGTGAAGAAGAGGTGATAATGGACTTTCGCGAAATGACATTATCGCGAAAAATATCAATGGTCTTCAATTTATTTTAAAATTTATAACATCAAGTTTCGTGTAAACATTACAAGCGATCGCAAATACACAGCGTGAAGCCCCTTAATGACCACACAATATATCAGCAGAAGTGTGATATGAATCTGAAGACGTGGAGTCGAGGAGCTTTGGGCGAGTTACGTGAAGTGGACCACTTGTAAAATTCATCAATTCTCAGCTTTTGATCATCTATCATAATTCTAACCATATGTGAAATAAATTTGGCCACATAAAAATATCGCGCGATAAAGAATACAACTCTCGTTTGCTCTGCGCTTCTATAAATATGCTCTTATCATGGGATATACATTAAAGTATATAAATTTTATGTACGTGTATGGGTTTTGATAAATTTACGAGATTATGCCATCTTTATTGCTTTTGTTTTATTTTATGGAATTCATCTCACTGTGGACTCTCGATATGTGAAAAAGCGCGATATGATTGTCAATGCGCACTCTCTTTTTTAATCGCTATCCTATGCTGAGAAATTTCATTACTCTAATTTGCTCCTCCTCTCAATTTGACGCGATAAAACTTTTAATAAGATGCCACACATATATATAATGTATTTTTTCGTCAAATTTATTAAGTGAAAATATAACTCTTCAATAATTGCCAATAAATTTCAAGAGTGATCATCGATGCAGATTTTTTGAACAGAACTTTTCACTTTTATTCTACCTTTTTATTTTACATTAAATACCAACACTCGCCGCCGTATTCTCTCTCCCTCTCAGGCTATATTACCTGTGCATTATATTCGCCCCGGCTTAAGTAGTGCTATAAATCACACGCAAAGTGCTCTCTTGATGGCACAATCAAGTAAGAATGGTAGACAGAGTCAAAAGCGAGCGAAAGAGAGCATGAGTAAGATTTCACAATAATAATAAAACGTAAATTATACCAACAATATGAGGAAGATGTAGGAAAGAAGTTTGGGCGACATTTTTCTCTGAAAATTGAATTGGCGCCTCTCATCTGTGGATATATAGTGTCACTGCCACTTTGCAGGTAGGAATTCAGCCTCGAAATGTGTAAAATCGAGGGTGTTCTCTTCTGTTCATCCCATCCTCACTGGGATTGTGAACACATAAAGGACAATTAGGCACGGTCTTTAGCAACACTTTGATCCTCAAACGAGGATCATGAATTGAAACATTTAGTTTGCACGACCTCTGGCTGGGTTATCGCTCTTGAGTGAGTAGATTTGAAAGTTGATGTTTTACCTGCGCACCACCAAACAATTCGAAATGTAAATATATGAATAAGAGTGTCATGTACGAAGAGAAGGAGGGAAAAAAAACTGTGAAAGCATCTCAAGAAAGGAGAGGTATCCGGCACGCGGGGCACGCGCAAAAACTCATCTCTTCTGCAGAGCAAAATTCAAGGATCACTTCAAAATACACCTCACTTGTTAGATAATGTCATGGACACTTACTTAATTTACCTTTGTATTACCGGAAAGTACAATAACCATAATTTACAAGGAAGCACCACGATAGAAAATGCCTTCACTTCATTCCAGTTGACACGGCAAATGGGAATAAAGCCACCTCGCGATGCACAGTCCTCAAGTATTCCTCCAACTTTAGTTCACCTTCGTTTAATTTGCCCAGAAAAATTACACATGAACTTATCCCATGTCTATCGAAATTTGAAATGAAATATGGAGTCGATTTTTATTGCACGATACATAAACGATCAACGAAAAGAAAAAATTCATAGCGTTATCTTATCAATTTGTAACTCCCTGGACTATATATGTATTGATGGAAATGCTGATGACAAATGGGTTCACACTTGAGCGCAAACATTTTCACTAAAACACTTTCCACCGTGTGCGCCTTCATACCATTATTAACTCTGCACCCTTCTTTTTCCACCCATATTATTTCCACCGGGAATATCATCTACAATTTGGTGTGTTCACCGTACGACGAACATTCTATGACGGCCTCAGCTACAATATGTGCGCGGTTGTTGGTCTGAAAATATTAAACGCATTGTCACCTCTCCACCAACCGTTTTATTCAAGATTGTGTCACCCAAACAGGGTTCCTCAGAGCAATCCTCACTCTGCAAGCCGCAATTGCCCTCTGTGGCATATGGCGTGGCCCACGCTCAGAACCACGCTGTGTAACATGATGTTTATCCCAGTGTAAATATTGGGAAATTGTAAAAAGCACATCACACATATTAGGTAGATGAAGTGTCTCCACAGACAAAAATGTATGAGTTGTTTGACACAGGAAATTTGAAGGAAGCCTCGGCGGTGGTTTCCCTCTCACGAAACACCGCATTATTCAATCGCACATTAGTAATAATCAGGCATTTATTTGCAACATCACAGAAAGTCTCCACTTTCACGCAAAATTGCTGCATAGGAATTGTCTTCTGAAGCTAAAATCAAATATATCAAAGAGATTGAATTTTCCTGGTGGACCGCGATAAAAAATCCCGAATGACTGTTTCAGATGAATCGATATGTGAAAGCTCGCCTTGGATTTGATAATGATTTGAGATTTTTTTGACTTCTGCTATTACTTGTTTAACCCTTTCAGTTTGATATTGTTCAAATGGAAAATTTATTTATCAATTTTTTACAACATATCCAACAAACTCGAGAGAATTTGATACAGTTTCCATAACCGAAATCTTGTTAAAGTGGAATAGACAAAACTGTAGAAATACTTCAGAGAAGGCAAACCTTTTCCATATCAGATCATGTTCTAATAGTGAGAAATTTGCAAAATTTAATTCGTGAAGAAAACGATTTATTTCACCTGATCAATCTGTATGTGTTGAGAAATTATACTTATTAAAAGGTGTTGCCTTTCATCTATTAATTCAAGTATGTCAAATTCTTTGCCTCTTCCCATCCAATTTGTATTGAGTTTCAGTATTGATTCAATTATCAAAGTTGTGGAACACAACTCGATCGATAAGTAAGTCCAACCATCACAATGAAACCTTCAAAGTGATATACAATTCATTCTGCCGCTCCGCGTTTCTCAAGAAGTAGGAAAATTTTGGGTATGACGACTTATTTCTGCGAAAAATTCAATATGTGCCAAAAAAGGGAAATTAGAGTTTGACTCCATTCCTTGACAGAAATGCTAAAGCCATAAAGTGAAGGAAAAAAACGCTGAAGCGAAATATCTTGTCGATTTGGAAAACAAAATTTATTAAACGTTTCCAATAAATTAATTCTTATCTTATCACAAGAGGTAATGATATTTATATATGAATGTGGTAAAATTGATCGATCATATAATATATATAGCTGCGAATGTGCAAATACACTCTAGAGAGCCAATGATTTCACCCACGAACAAAGAGCTTCGTGATTTCAACGGCGTCTCCGCGAACAATCAACTATTATTATCATATATGATATTGAGCAGAATGAATGGTATTTGTGAAAAGAGGAAAAATTAACCTGTAAAAGTCACAAATCCTCCATCTATTGTGGCGCGTGATATCGCCTCCATTTTTTCCACAAAGAAAGAGCAAAAAAACACTTTATACCCGTCTTATCAATTGAGAATTTCACAAGAAGCACCAGCACAAAAAAACTGTACGAATATATTTTTTCACAAGGCACACAAGTGACGTGTCACTCAATATTTTATTATAAACCCTTTGATTACATATGCTTTATTTGTACACTTGAAAATTCAAACTCTATCCTCGCACTCTCGTATCGCGCAATAACTTTTTCTCCCCTTTTGATAAAATGTGTGGATTTCCTCAGAAACTCTTCTGCGCCTTTTCCGCGCAATTCAATTAAGAGCGGGCAAACAGCAAAGACACATTCCACCTCACATCGCACTTATGTGATGACCTCTCAGCCAATTGCACGAAGAGATTGGTCGAAAATCAAAAAATCCCTGAAGACAAATCGCGTGTCCGTTGAGACAGACTTAGCGCGAATGAATTGCCTTGCGACGAAATTGGAATATTATGAGTTTCCACATAAAATATTTAATATATCTCGAATAGATAGTGAATATATGATAAGTTAACATATCAATTTGAGATTTTTTAACTTAACTATATCTGGGTAGAAAGTAATCAGACGTTTCAACAATAAATATAGATAATAGCACGAAGAGACCTCTACATACACACCATTTGCCTTGATAGCGCATTAATTGATTGCATGACTTCACGACAGAAATTGTATGTCCTGTAAATATCGGTCATTGAAGCTCGCGCTACACCGGAAAATACCAAAGAACAATCAAAGATTTCCTCAAAGTAAACATCCTCAAAGGAAACATATTCCACTCTTTATCATATTCTGATCAGTGATCATTCTTTCTCAATTGTATCTCATTAGTTTGAGGAAAAATCTAAATATTTTTACGTTAGCAGTAGCTTAAAGACTAACAAAGTTGACACGTAAAGTTGAATAGTAATTTTTTACGTTAGGAGAATGTAAAAGAAAAGAAATTTTAACATGTAACGCAAGAAAAGCGCTCGAATTTCTAACCGTGTATGACCTGAAAGGTACAACGAGTCAAGATTTCCACGCATTTTTATCAGACTCGTCGCTGTAATCTCGTCTTTTCGTATGAAGGAACAAACAAATGTCTGACACACATAGCAAGGCTTCAATACAAGAACATTTGGCCACAATTGATGTAGTTAAAAGACTTTCATAATCAGTTGTTTAGTAAATAACATTGTAAGTTGATAAAATTTTGAGATATCATTCTGGGAAAAAAATGAGAGATTCTTTTCATGAGGGTGCTAACAGGAATTTTATCTCGGTTTTACCTGGCAGATAAAATTGTCCACGATTTAGTTATGGTAAATAATATTATCAAACATTATCTTATATTATCGTACCATTGCCTTCGCCAGTCTCTCTTAACTATAGCCGGAAAGTTGTAATTTTAACATTCAGTTTCGTGTAAGTTTTCAATGGATAATCTTCTATGAGGGAGAAACTCGTCTTCAATTCGCTCAACGCAACTTCGAGTGCTGGACGGAAATTACAATTTGTACAATTCTGTGTGTGTGCCTTTTCTCTCCCAAACGCAGATATTTTCGTGTGAAATCGAACAGAAAAAGAGAGACACAGGAATTAATGTGGATTACGCCGTGAGATTACTTTACCTGCGAGTTTGTGACTATGAACACCACCATTTTGATCCCTTTTCGTGCTCGGATTGCATCAGTTTATATAAGGGTGTGGTTGACGAATTAAATTTCGTGCAAATGTTTGAAATACTTCTCAACGCAAACTTTATGTACAGTGAATATGGCGAGTGAGACACAAGAAAATATATCACTGAAGGAAAGTGTCTTTTTGGATGTTCTTTGTGGCGAATTTCGCTGGAAAATTCCCCGCAGTGTTAATGTGGCAAATTAAAGTGGTGAAGCTTTACACAGCTTAGTGAATGCGACACGAAAGGTTTATGGGAATTATCGTTACATGGATGTCACATTAAAGTGGATTTTTTCTTCACTTCACTCCTGTCGCGAATTCAACGAGGATTAGTGTGTGCTTTACTCACGATTTTTCTGTTGCTTTTCGCTGCACAATCTTGCCAATTTCGTCCTTAAACAATTACATTTCTCTCAACACTGTGCTTTCTTTTGCTCTATTGCGATCTTGTGTCATGCAAATGAAGCGGTTTTGACGGTATCAAAATTGGGAATTTTCGAATAATAACATGAAGCCCAATTGTAGTTTTATTCCCATAAATACCAACTATAGGACGCTAGGGAGAGAACTTTCAACCAAATCGTCTCACCTTATCTATATCACGCCCAATCTCTGATAACACCAACAGTACACAGGCGTAGCGTATGGCTTGATACTTTATCTCCCACCGCGATAGAGTTGTCTTACCTGAGCATCAGAGCGAGATGGACAATCCATAGGATGTCTCTTGCACGCATCCGCTGAATCGCACCATCGGCAATCAGCCCGTTTCATTCTATCTCACGCTGCGATGCCGGACAAAACGACTGACTGGCTCTCTCGTGCGTTTCCACCCATTCAAGCGCGTATTTTCATCATGAGCGCGAGCGTAATCGCGCCTTGATAAGGTAGATAAACAAAATGAAGGAATGTATTCTGTTTTATTTACTCAAAGTGCGACGGTGTTGCCTTAAAAATTATATTACTAGTAATATCATAATGTATTAAAATGATTTTAGCAGTGGAAAAACGCAATTTCCCCACACAAGTATAAACGCTAGAATGACGATAATTTACACAATAAACTTCATTTTGTGTAATCCCTAAGCTCTATGTTGATGACACACACTGAGTCTCTTAACCAGACAATGTGTGGGCTTCGCGAGAGGCAAGAAAAAACGCATATTTTGCGAATATTTAGATTTGATTTGGTATACATAGCCATGTATGTAATAATTTTTACTTCAACTTAACTTATAAACATCACTTAATTGTATTGAGAGAGTAGCAAAAGCGAATTGTCTAATTAATATCGATCATTTCTTTTGCATAGCAGTCAAGATATAAACTAAACGTAATTAAGAGATTCAATTAAATCAAATTAATCGGAATGGTTTGTTCATCGAAAGTATGGAAATATTCTGAATTTACAAAGTAACACCTTCTTCGTCCTCCACTAATCAATATAACAATAAATGATTATGCTTAAGTGTTGTCAACTCAGTAAGAAAAGAAGTAACACAGGTTGTAAAGTATAATGCGATATCATTCATATATGAAAATTAGAATGCTAAAAATTATTAGCTAAAATAGCTATTTACAGTTCTTATCAATTGTATTCCATTCAAATCTCCACTTCATTCCGACTCAATCTTCACGGAATAGTTCTTAAGGGGCGCTATTATGTCATGCTGACAATCGTGCTCACCCTCCACAGATGGACTCCTGGAGATGTGATGATTCGTGTCGATTTTGCTGTGATTTGCAGTCATGGAGTTGCTGATAATATCATAGTACATGCTGTTGGGATCCGAACTATACGCCACTTGACCAGAGTTCTGGTACATGTTGGCCGAGTTGGCTCCACTGGTGGCGATCTGTCCGTACAGTGATTTCTGCAGGAACTTGCCATCATTGGCAGTGCTTAAGTTCATGCCAGAGCCAGACACGACGCCCGGAGACGCTCCTTGGGGCGAATAGTTGAGCGGAGAGGCGTTCTGGTGGCTACTAGGCGAGAGATTCTGCTGCTGCGATGGCATCGAGTTGCACCTGGTTCCTTGCACAACTTTTCTGATTTGATCGAATTTACTCTCCCGCATCGCTGTGAAGAAGACAAGCAGTTATAAGTAAATTGCATTATTTAGACATAATAAGGTTGTCATTTCGATTCAAAAGAAGTTGAGTTTTAACTTCATATCACAGTTAAAGCATTAAGAATGTTAAAGAAAAACGTAAAGCTTACCTTCAGCTGTGTCAGACATGATTTTGGGTATCTTGGAAGCCGCTCCGCTGGAGTCTGATGCATTCTTGCTGCCCTTCGGCTTCCTCTTCCGCGTCTGCAAGAGAAAAAAAGAGAGAAAACTTTCAGCGCTTTTCAGCGAGAGAAATGGAGGTGAATTTACCTGAATGGTGTCTTTCTTCATCGTTGGCGGACGATTGATGTTGTGCAGCTTGTAGTATAAGCCGCAGGCGTTACACACTGGCTCACCCATCGAATTCCGTCTCCACAGAGAAGTTTGCGTTGTACGACAATTCGTGCAGCAAAGACCCACACGACGAGATGCGCTCTAGAGTGAATTCGAAAAAGCAGAAACGGTCGTTAGACGATGTCGAGCAGTCGCATGACTTCGTGCAGTGTATTGTTTTTTGAATAAAAATGTAATTGTAAGTAAAGTGTGACATACCAATCGTCTGCTTGATTTTTCCTCTGGTACACGAGGCGGCAGAGGGTTAAAAGCATTCACATAGTAGGACTTATAGAAATCCCCGCTCTCAGCGGCGGCCACTGTAACAATGAAAAAGAGTTCCAGCTTTATCAATTCTACTTTCTCTCCTTTTCAGAACTTTTTTTTTAATTCAGTTTTTCACAAGACAAACGTTACACTAGAGTTAAGAGAAAATGCTCTGGTTGGACATATATTAACAGCAACTAGCAACTAAATAGTCAATTCTCTTTACTGTCCATTGCAATAAACAGGACATAATGTAACTATGTAACAGTCATGGCTCGCCCGATGGTGGATTTCTATATAAGTCTCTCTCTCTGTCTTTTTATTCAAAAAACAATATGCAAAAATTCACAAATAATGTTTTTACAATGAAAGCATTTCCAAAACAGTCATGAAATTTACATTTTGTCTCACGCGTATGAAAGCTTTCTTATAGAAACATTAGTGAAATTGTACAAGATTGTGATTCTAATTTTAATTCATTTACCAATCTTCTTGGCTGCTTCACCAACGGTCGATTCATGCCGTTCATCTTGTGGTAAAGACCGCAAGCGTTACACAGATAATGACCAGTCCCATCCCTACGCCAAAGAGGTGTCGAAATTGCTCCGCAGTTCACGCATTCACGACCTTCCGTGAACAAATCAGCTTCGAGACCCACTTGAATTCACCAAATTCAGCGAATGTGAGATTAGACTGATTCGTGTACATTATTTCTTTTCACAAACATACACTCAAGCTTCCCACAAAATTGTACTTTTGCAATGGAATTCACGTTTTTTGGGGAGAAACATTGAGTGTATTTGGAAAGAAATTTCGAGTGACCACCCATTGCTCTTTCAACAGGAAGTGACTCTATTTGTTGCGAGTGATAACGTAAAAATACAATTCCTTAAGGGAGCTCCTCACACACACACACACACACGCACACACTCCAGTGCCACATATTCTCCACTCCATCCATAAACACCCCATAAAAAATACTCTACTAAATTATAATGAAAGAGAGAGAAAAAATCACATAAAATTTTCCATAAATTAAATCAAGTCAAATAAAGCTGTGTTAATTGTGTGCATTTCATACAGACAAGATGATCTTCACTGATCTTGAGTGGGTCTTTTCACAATGATCGCGCGATGAAAAGGTCCACAGAATTTTGTGAACCACAAAACACACTCTTTTTTGCTTCTCCTCAGCTTCCTCTCGAGTGCTAAAAGTGCGAACAGAAAATGCATCTTGAGGATGCCAAAGCCCGCAAAGCTGAGCAAAGTGGAGGCCAATTAAAAATTTTCCTCTCTCGACCTCAGTAAGGAGTCAACAGAGGACATGAAAGTAGCAAGTAATTGGAATAAATACCATTATGAGGCCGTCAGATGTGTGTGCCCAAGTAAAAGTTTATCGCGCAGAGGTCACAAATTCTTTCAAGAGCAAAATGAACAGAAAAAGATGTTTTTTTTTTCATTCCCATTCAAAATCACTCATTTATATTGTGTCTTCGTCATTTGCTGCTTTTCAATTTTCTCGCAAACTTTGTGTGTTTTTTAATCACAAGGAAAAATGTGGCATTTCTCGCGGAATGGGAGAAAAAAAAGGAATCTCATGACCTTCACTCGCGTGAAGATCAATCTTGTCACTTGCGATGAGATGCGAAAATTTGTGGAAATGTGAGGGAAAAAAGAGCTTGTTAAGAGAGATCTTACGGGCAGTGAGCGAAGCGGCCGCAGATAAGTGAGGAGCGTTGCCACGATTTCTGCTCGCGCCCGCGTTGCCTCCTCCATAGTTGAGCGCCGTCGAATCGTAGTGATTGGGCCACGAGTCCCCCTTCGGATCACAGACAGATGTGAGTACAAGAGAGCGACTCTGAGGCTCGGCACTCACCTGGCTGCCATAGGTGGGCAGAGCTGAGGTGTACGAACTGGGCCGCGACACGTGATTTGGCGCGAAGTTGGCGTTTGACGTGATGATGCGCTGGAAGGCGGGCAGGCTGCCCTTGGGAGTGCCACTGGCGTAGTCCTCGGGAGCGGGAAGGCCGATCGGGTTGGATGACCAGATTTGAGATCCTTCGTGAGTTGGACTGCCGCCGAAGAACTGCATGGCTCCAGTTGTGGACAGGGGTGTGATGGATGTGCGTGGATACAAGGGACTGCAGAGACAAGGACATTATTTGACATTATTTCAGAGACCATCACAGTCATTTGCTTCGCTTTGAAAGAGTATAAAATTAAGGAATCTCTATATTAAAAAAATTGCATTGTTAGAGTTTTGAGTTGTTAATTAAACATCCTCTGATAAATCCTTGCTACAGCACTGGCGTGGCGCAATGTAAAGAGTGCATGAAATAAGATATTTAACTTATTGTTAGAGAGGAATTCACTGTATTCAAAATAATATGACAAAGACCACCCTCATAGAGAATGGCCACAAATACGCTCCGACGAATTGCTGATTTTTCAAAACAACAATATTTAATGATTCCAAAAGAAACATCGCACACACACAGTCTCGGCAAATGTGGAGCAATTTACAAAAGGTTCTAAAACAAACAAGACACTTAGATCATATGGCCGAGCACTGAGAATGACTGGAATTCCACGGGAAATATGAAGAAGTCATATGCCAGTAATGTTGCTTGGCTTGTTGTCGATCTCGGCTTACAAGGTGCCACAAATCTTGACTATTTCGAGAGGGATTTGTCTCCGCCAGAGCGGGAATGTAATTACACTTGGAGATGCGAGATCAGGAATTTTGCTTACGACACCCAAAATGTCCAAATGTGTCTTGCAGTGGCTTCACTTTAAAAAACAATCACAGTCAATCTGAAGATCGTTCGAATAACATAAACATTCAATATATCTCTGGTAGCTGATTTTCAAGATATATACACATAATCATAAAGCTGAATCGGGTAGAAAATTTGTTATGGTTCTCTTCTGAACAAATATTCAAAACCTTCGGGAGCCTATAAAAACTAAACCTTTTCATTGTACGGAAAATCTCCGCAAATTCTCGTCACGTGTTTGAATTCACTCTAGAGAACGTTCAAGTCTGTCACCTTGTATTTGTCATGGCGAAAATCAACTGATTACTTGTACCTTACTTTAAATAAGTGGAGCAAATAATCCTCCAAATGCACGTAATGCAAGCACGAAGAGAAACACCGCTTATTGAGGAATAATCACAAATTAATTAGATGAATTCACTTTATCAACCAGGTCATGCAGCTACTAAGCCAACACTGTCACTTTATCGGCAACTAATAAGGCATTAAAATGAACAATAATATGAGGCGTTTTATTTACATAGAGAACACACAAGCAGAGCAGCACGACGCAGGAGAGGGACAGAAAGAATGTGGAATAGAGAGAGACGAAAAAAAGTGTATGAATTTGGCTCTGCAATGCACACAAGCTCAAATCCGGATCAGACTTTTCATAATTTTTTTTTTCATTTAGTGACAAATTATATGAATTTGCGGGAAATATCGCACTTCTTGCCTCAGAATATCAAGAGGAAATTGATTGTGATTTCTCAGTAAGGAGCAAAATTGTAAAAAAAAATTGACGAGAAGTGTGGAAAAAATGGTGAAACTTTCCTGTTCTGGGCAGTCAAGCGAAAACGCAACCATGTAAATAGGAGAAAAAACTTGTTCTCTGTTAAAAAATGTAGCGTTAGTAGTAATTACAATTAATAGCGCCAATATGCAGGTATTTCAAACACATAAGGCATAAATATTCAAATGGAGCCTGGCACAAATGTGTTTGGTCGTCTTGCTTCAAATAGAATTAGTGGATAGAGCAGGAGGAAGACAATACCGCTCTCAATACACCACCAAGTGAAGTGTACAGGAAAATAAATGTGGCATTAAAATTTGTGAGGTAATATTTTGTAAATTTTTTCCCCAGTTTGACAAACAGGAATTTCATGTCTGCACAAAAGGTCAATAAACCACTACGTAGTCAGCCTATTGAAAGTCATTATTTGGTGTTGAAGAATCCATTATATTGGCTGGATTTGTCTTCTGTGCACGAGAGACGATCCCCAAGAAGCAAAAGACCACGACTTTGAGGACTTGCGCACGTGCCGAAACCAACCAAGCCAATCGATTGCCTTCAAGAACAATTTATACGAGAAAAAAACGTCTAGGCACAATAGAAGAGAACAAATTGTACGGCAACGTGCAAAATGTGAGAGGAAGACCCATATGAGATACCCGCACGTGCAAATAAGTAAAAGCAAGCAGTTTGTGAACAATGCTCGACTGTGTGATGCATTTTATTCCAAATTCATAAACACAACACTCGAAAGTGACAAAGTTCACCGCATTATAAGATTCACTTGACGTGATATTTGAGTAATACAAAATCTATGACTTCATCGCATTGTCTTGATACGTGAAAACTGCGTAATATTATCACAAAGATCACAAATGGTGCATTTGTGCAATTAACTGATTTGTAAAATTCCTCTCTGTAGAAGTAAGAAGCGTGTGGTAAAATCTACCCTCAGTGCTCGAAGGCAGAGAATAAGAACAAGGAAGTCTTTTTTTGGGGAAAAAGTGAAGGAATTTATGGCTCTTACCTCGTTCCCACTCCAGCGTGAAGATGGTCAAATCCCGTTCCTGCACTTCCGTCACCACCAGCACTGCTTTGGCCGATCGCCGAGTGCTCGTTGCTCTGGATGTTGGATGTGTTCGGGGAGGCGTAAATGTTGACCCTGTGACTCACACTCGTGAGCTGCGTGAAGCTCTGCAGACCGCCGTCGAACTCCTCTTGCGGCAATCCCGGAGGACTTCTCGAGTCCGCACTGGACGCCACAGAACTGTGATTCACGTACGCACTCTCGGGGATGTTCTTGAGATGGTGGATCTCCGCGGGCGCGTCCGAGCTCAGCGTGAGGAAGTTATGATGGTCGTCGGCATGACTCATCTGGTCAATCGCGCAGTTTTCATCCTTAAGCGTGTCGGCGATCACTTCGTCGATGGTCGTGTTGGCGCTGTGCTGACTGTGCGCCCCATTAGGGGTCTGGTGGTGCTCCTGCTGCACCCTGTCGCCCACTGACGCGCTCTGGTGGTGGTGGTGGTGGTGGTGGTGATTCGTGAGCTGGACGTAATTTGGATAAGAGTCAGTGAGCAGACCGCCTCGCATCACTGCCGAATCTGGACTAACGTCTGCGATATGATCGTGCGACTGGTGATCTCCAACATTCGCGATATCGTTGTAATGTTGATTGCCGTTGTTCGCTTGCGCTATCACAATTGCCCTGTCTGGCTGCTCGATGCCCGCTTCCTGATGACCAGATTGGTGATGGCGATCGCGCTTCAGCGCTGCCTTATCACCCTCTGATCCCTCCGCCGCCTTGAAGCGCAAATCCAGGGACATATCAAACGCCCACTGATATCCACTGCTGTTGTTGTTGACCGCGCTGTCATTATTGTTGTTGTTCGTGTGGTGGAGGTACTCTTGGTGATGATCCGACTGAATGGACACGGTGTGGAGGGTGGAGTAGCGCAGTGGCGAGGATCGCGAGATCACGCTGTTGGCGTCGTGCAGATCGCCCTCGCCGGCCAGAGTGGGATAGCGCGCGGCATTGGCCACTTGGCCGACACTGTGAATCCTGGGCGTCTGCGATATGATCACTGACGGATTGTTAATTGCACTGTGGCTGCTCGTGAACAAACAAGCCTCGGATTCGCCAACTTGTGGCTTCCTGATGGCCGTCTGCACCATTGATGACACACTCTTCTTCGATTCACTGTCCGGAATGGTTGACGAGAGCAGCAGAATGTTCTTCTCACAGTTCTCCGCACTCTTGTTCACAGACTCATGCTTGAGATCACTCTGGGAATCACTTCCAGCAACGTTAGGGCATGGATGAGGCGCAGACACAACTGGCAATTTGAATGCAGCGGCGGCAACGTCGTAGGATGTTTCTGGGGCTGAAAATCATACTCGGAATGAGTTGAGGAGACAGAGTGAAATATATGTAATGAAGAAACAAACAACAGCCGAACAGTCACGAAAGCCAGCTGGCTTAATGATCATGAGCAAAGAGAGACGCACAATGCTTCGCTGTGCTGAACAGAGACAGACTTATTTACAGCGTGGCTCCTCCTATACTACCGACTCTATTTCGCCTTATTCATGCTCGCGCGATCAATGGAAAAATGTGTGATTAATCTCACAAACAACCACCCAAAGAATCCTCTGCACTTTCAATGATTCCAAGATGTTTTAGAAAATTTCCACACACCAACTTTTTCATATTTGTGCATATTTGCGTTAGTGAAAAAAAGCACAAAGAAGTGTGTTTGGAAGAAGTGAAAAGTCATATTCAAAACGAGGGTGGATAATAAGTTGACAAATTAAAATAGAAACAATTATACACTATGGAATCGTATAAAAGAAATAAGGCTTTTGTATGCAAAATAACACAAGATAAGTTTTTGTATGTAGTTTCTGAACTTAATGGGTCAATTCTCTACAAATAAATAATTTCAACAGCCAACAAGTAAATGAACACTTTTTTTAATGAAACATAACATACTCTTTATATAATTTTTCTCCACCACTATAATTGTATACAATTGTCGCCAATGAAATAAGGCACTTGCATAAGCATTTGTAAAAAGGTTCTCGGAAGAATCTTAAAAAAAACGTACAAAATTTCACATGGAATGTGAATATTTCTATTAAATTATGAAAAATATGTAAAAGAAATTCCGAGTTTTATATTCACATTACATTTTCAAGTGCGTCTAGTGAAATGAAGAGGATTTATGGTAAAATCGTGCAACAGAAGTTGCAACTTCTTCAGTTAGCAAGTTCATACCATGTATTTCATTGGCGACCACTGTCTACACTTCTAGCTCTGCGAATAATATTTTCATTCTGCCAGCTCACATTCTAATGAAAATGTTTGGAAAAGAGTCACCCGGAGAAGTTAAACATTTTGTACATTTTTAATTATGAAAACGAAGCCATGCGAGAAAAATAAGCACGTCATACGAAAATGTGATATGTGTCTAGTACGAATTTTGGTCAAAGGGCAAATGAGTTGCCATGTGAATATTTATGTACCACAATTTACACCCAATTATTCACAAATCCAGCATTCGAGGCACTTTCCCCCAAAAATCCAATTCGTCTTGGCTGTGGGAAAAAAACCATGCGCGTCTCAGTGATCCTGATGTGTAAATTTAATAAGCAAACGAGAGTTGGGGCAATAAATTAACATTTCGGTCACAGACAGAGGTTATCCTTCGCATAGAAGGCCCGTAGACACATTTCTTGTAGCGCCCAACAGATTTGTAGTGCAATTGATTCCCAAAGAAAGTGTCGCCCCAATAAATTTACCAACACACAAGGGATTGAGTTACGCCAGAAGAAGGAAAGAAAACAAGCACACATTCGATGATTTATGTATATTAAAAAATATATTGATCCAATTGAGGAATTAGTTCCATCTTTTTTTGCTTCATCGCTTTGCCTGGATCTCGAGAAATTCATGCTTCTTCTATTTACTTTGGCACTCGAGGGATCGTTCAAGGCACACAATCGACCCAATGTGTGTAAATCTTTGCCACGTGATCCCTAATTTAAGGACTTTATTTGCAAAGTAGACTTTTTTCACAGCCTTCCTCCAAAGGTTCAGTTCCAGTGTTTATCCAGCCAATATTGCGTTCCTCTTCGCATGCATTCATATTGCAAGTCTATTTGGCAGGGAAAAAAGTGTAAATCAACGGACTAGAACATTGACTATTGTTTCACAATAAATAACAACACAAGAATAGCAATGTGAAGTAAAACTAAAAAGTTCCCTCTTTCTTCTTCCTGGACAAACACACCGAAGAGCCACAATTCCGCATGTTTTCCCGAGAATTTTATTTACCTTCCCTATAATGTCATCACATAATGCATTGCGTCAACACTAGACATCTTTATATGTTCTATGACGGTAGAAAAAATGTATATCCTTGTTAATGTGACTCTTTGCAGTGTATTCATAAATGTGACACATTAAGTGATAGTTCCGGAGGTCCTTGGGAAAATGCTTGAGAAATATTACACATTGACCAGAAAGTCAACAATTCTATGGTGAAAAGGCGCTAAGAAATAATTAAAATAGAGAAAAACGGAGATGATTTGGACAATCTGGCGTTCCAACAGGCTTCATAAGACGAACATGTAAATTTGCATGTTAAGTAAATCTGTCGATTCTCTGCTGATTTATCAATTCTCTGAATTCTTAAACTCAGTTGTGGCAACATTTGGTGTAATATTAATTGTCTGCAGAGGCAACAAGTCAACACCCCATTAAATGAAAATGTGTTGCCCACAAAAGTTCGTTATTTCATAACAAACATTTCGGGGGCGTTTTCTGCTCAGAACACCCACTTTTGGGTCATCTGTTTTCAGGCTTAACTTCTGCACATTTGGAAGGGGTTTTGCCATGCTGTGCACTGAACATTTTCCGTCTTCCAGAAACAATTATTTGTAGTTAAAACTCTTCTGCAACTGCAAAAGCCTGTTGACACAATTCTGCACAAGAGCGCGGGCTCGTAAAATTCTACAATTGTGTGTGCAGAATTTTTATGGCACAATTGTACCATTTTCATACTGTTCCAATACTTTATGTGTGTCACGTGTATTACCAAATAGAAAAACGTGATTTTCTCGCACAGCCTTCGCTTCATTACTACCTCTTCTGGGCTTCCTCATTATTCAGCAAAGGGAAAATGTGTTTGAGTGCAGAAAGAAGTTAATTGCTTGAGGAACGAAACTACTGTAAACACAGTAACTGAAGTCACACAATTCTAAGCGAGATCTCTCAGAGGTTCTCTTCAATTTCACATATTCATTCTGTCCAGGAATTTATAAAATACATCGCCGCATCGTGTTGACTTTTCGAAGAAGAACAGTACCGCAATAAATGTGCGCCTGTATGATTAGGTAATCCAATTAAGTGCACTGTAGCATTTATGTATTTGAAAATTCATTTTCCACACACGAATCGCCATAAAAAGAGCGCAGGAAAAATGGTGGAGAACAATTTTCACAGTGTTGCCCATTCGATTCACGACAAGAAACTAATTTCAACGACGAGAGCACATGAAATCGCGCTTCTGGTTGCGCGACTGGTTATCACACCTTGTACCTTATCATATCTTTATCGGGTCTGCCTATGATAACACAATCTCTGAAATGATAACGGGCTTATGTGAACATTGCCACCACGAAGACAAAACAATGTGAATGAAAGTTATTGTACATTCACATGTGTGACTGCCTGCACTTTTCTTCTTCCCTGCTCAATAGCGAAATGTGATTGACCATTTTATCATGATTTCCATGTGCAATTTGTCGCGCCCAGCTTCTCTTATGTTCTCTGCACTTACAGAAGTAGTCTTTCCCAGACATAGTCACACCTAAGCACACTGGATTCTCAATTTGCGCTGCTCTCGCAATTGCAGGTTCGCCGGCGGGAACGCGTTGGATTGTATTGCAAGTGGGAAAAATATTGTAAAATATAATTACAGTCGTCCTCACTAATCACTCGAGTGTACGAGATCAGTCACTTTTCACTGATTACTTCGGTGCGGTTTAGATAATGATAAAATAATCAACTCTGGCTTCACTAGGCGACTGATAATGGGAGTTATAATAGAATTTAATATCAACTTTTAAAAGTGGCTCGCCTTTGCCAGCACTAGAGGCAACTAGTAGGACTCGAATCGCGCCAGGGAGTACACCAAAATCCGGGCGGCCTGTCTCACTGGATGCACAAGGCCTCGACTGATCGCAGTGGAATCGCGGATTTGTATAAGAGACGCAAATATTGTGCGGAGTGTGCTTGCTACATTGCCCGAGTGTCCCGAGAGCCATTTGAGGTTGATCGTGGTCAGAACAAAATGGCAGAATCTCCTCAAGTGCTACACACTCGTTTTTAGTGCCGTTTCCCACTATATATGCTTGTATTTATTAAAAATCATCACATATTTCTAACTCACATTCAGCTACTGCACACAGTTTCTCCGCTATATAGTGCGCGCCTGACTCATAAACACACAGCGCAACCTTCAGCGCCAACTATTCGAGTGGGAAACTCATTTTCACATCCAAAGGCACAATTCTGCCTCACATTATTTGCTCTGCCGGTGCTTTTAATTTGGCTTCTTCCGAAAAGTCATCTGTGAAGCTTGTTCGGGAAAGTTGTGCGAAACTGTTGAGGAAATATAATGGAAATTTCAAATAGAAAGAATCAAACAAATCTGCAATATTATTCAATTAATTTGTAATGAGCGATCAGTAAAATGCAGATGTGGAAAAATATCCTTTTCCCTCTGAGCTTCAAGAGCACTGCCAAAATTACAGTCTAACTCAATAGAGCAAATAGTATGTACTTCATTTTAAATTGTACACTGCACTTTGTGGTCTTGGGAAAAGACAAAAATACAGTATTTGAACAATTAATTTCTCAAGAAAGTTACTAGATTCCATAAAATCAGACTTTAAACATGATAAGAAACGGAAATTTGTGTGTTTCAACAAACACCGCACGTATTCAACACGAAGGAACACTATATATTTACAAATGCGATCTTATCTTATTTATATTCGCCGTGAGACGATACATAGGACACTTTATTAAGTCATACCATCCACGAAAGTCCGCCGTTATGTGCAGTTTATATGTAAAGGAGTCAAACATCCCGTGTAAATATCAATTATCTTATCAAGTCACAATCTGACGATCTTGTTATAATATGCGATGGAAAAGAGATCCTCTGACAAGAATCCGATGGCTGAAGAAGTTAACAGATGTGATGAATCATTCTCAACCAGTCAAACCATGCGCAATAAGGAATGCATGCAGTTGAAAATGTTTTTCTTGTACCTGAGAAAGTGACTAAGCAAGAGGCAAAAGTGCAAAATGCAAACTCTGCGACCAACATGAGTAACTCAGAAGGTCACTTACTGACTCTGCAGCATCCAATCCATCCAATTACTGCATTTTATAATGAGCAGAAGAAAATTTTCCATCTTAGCTTTTGTAATATGTCCTGAGTTGTTTGAAAAACAAACTAAAAATGTGTCTAAAGTGCAACCTTTTGACCCTTAACCACTGATAACACTCATTATGCGGCTGTATCAGCGACCATCTTTTTCAATCTTGAGTAAATATTGAATGTGTGAACAGAGGGTCTCCGAATATTGAGAAATCCATAGATTCTTGTGTAACTCTCGCGTCTGCTCTTATCTATTGGCTGTGGCAGAAAAAAGGGCGACACACAATTTCCATTGATTTCAAGATTTTCTGCTGTGCGCCTTCCTCGCGAGCGATCTCAAAAGCAAATAAAGCGCGAGAGGGGAAAAAAAGAGTTTCCATCGCTGCAGCTGATAAAGTATTTTTTCCCTTCACCCACAACAGTGTATTTTTCTCAGTGAAAAGACCGAAGATAAGGCTTAGTTCTGAGCTACTCAAACAGTTGCTTATCAGTCGGATGCAGCCCACTAGCCGCAGATTCATTAGTTTCACTCTCTGTCCACACTCAGAGGATCGCATTTTTGAGTTTCCAAAGAGATCATTGAACAATTTCAATGACATGCGATGACTATTGAAAAAAGCACACTAACAACTGATAAACACTTTTTGCCCACCAATGAGAGATTAGATAAATGTCTTATCATCACATGCGTGTCGTCTCTCGAGTCAGTGAAAATCTGCTCTTTCCACGCCACGGAAAGTCTTTTCATGCCCGTTAACCGAGCAACACCTCTGCAAGATGACCTCTTCCATTGTCGTCAGAAGGACTGAGAAGGATGATCTTCAAGCTATCATTGATATGATCCAGGTGAGTTGACAAGTGATTAGATTGCGCAATCACTCAATTTCATAATCGCGCTCAGGAATTGGCGGACTTTGAGAGGATGTCTGAAGGACCTCAGCTGAAAGTAAAAGATTTGCTGCGCGATGGCGGATTCGATTCACCGCAGAATCCCATTTTCCACAGCTTCGTAGCCGAAGAGGTTACCACGTCACCGAGAGATCACTCTATGACCCGGTATTGGACCTTTATAAGCTGATAATTTTCCATAGAACAACTACACTTCCCATCATTTTGATACGCTCTCATCAATTCTGTCTCTCTTCCCGAAGGCAAGCTGTTGGATATGCAATTTGCTTCTTCAGCTACTCAACGTGGCAAGGAAAATCCCTCTTTCTGGAGGACATTTACGTCCGTCCGCAGTTCAGGAGACAGAAAGCTGGTAGGAAATTATTTCAGGAAGTGGTTCGATTTGCAAGATCAACAAATTGTTCGAGATTGGATCTTCATGTACTGGAGTGGAACACAACAGCGCGAGATTTCTACTCAAAACTCGGGGGAGTTGATCTCACTGTCACCGAAAAGTGGAACTTGGTGCGCTTTAATGAGAATGTGATGGAAAATATATTGAAGAATTGAAAATAGCTACGGTTAGGTAAATAAAGAATTCAGTGCATCTACTACGGCTAAAAACGCTAAAAAACATTTTAAATTCAATAATATTTATTTCATCTCATCAAAAGTTAAACTGCGCTGGAGAAATATAACTTAGAAATAATTAAACTACCTTGAAACTGGATAGGATTGTCGAGATTTCCGAGGTTTCCTCGAGTTGTACTTCCTAAACTATGCTTTACCAAGCCATCATCCCGAAGCGGGGAAATTGACTCTAAATCAAATACTGCGTCAAAGGCAAGCAGGCAAGCTGTGGGACTCGCTAAATGCCCTCCACCTTGATTGTCGGTTCTGTGATCACCGAGACGTGCGTTGGCGCCTTGTGCGCCTCGAACATGTGCTCGCAGAGGTTCTTCTTGTACCGAAAGGCGGTGGAGCACTCCTTGCACGAGTAGGTCTTCGTGTACTTCCGGTGGATGCCCATGTGCGTCTTGTAGTGCGACGTCATGTTGTACCGCTGAGCGAACTTCTGATCGCAGATCGGGCAAGCGTACGGCTTTTCCCCGCTGTGGACTCGCATGTGGCGATTCAGGTGCGAATTCGAGCGCAGCTTCAATCCGCAAATAGGGCACTTCTTTGTCCGGATGTCGTCGTGCGACAACTGGTGCATGTGGAAGGACGAGTAGTGGATGAATTGCTTGCCACACTTCTCGCACTGCAAAGAAAAAGGCGTTAGCAAGTCTTGCTGGACCTTAAGAAGTTCTCTTGCTTACTTGATACGGCTTTTCGCCCGTGTGGATCGGCATGTGACGCACCAGAGCGCCTTTCTGGGTGAACTTCTTCTGGCAGATGCTGCACTCGAAGGGACTCACGCCGTTGTGCATGCCCATGTGAATGGCCAGGGCGGACTTGGACTTGTACGTGGTGCCACAGATGTAGCAAATCACCTTCTGGTCATCCTCGTGGATCTTTAAGTGGAGTTTATATTCAGATCTGGCGAGGAACTCCTTGGAGCACTTTGTGCACTTCATCGGCAACAATTGCTTTCTGTTGATCAGCTTGATCTTCGTTTCAGACTGTTCCGAGACGTCCTCCACAAAAGCACAGCTTTTGTCCCTGCTCTTCAGGATCTTCCTATTCCTTCCCCGCTTCTGAGACTCGTTCTTCTGTACTCGCTTCCTGGGCATGGGACATTCTTCCTCAGCTATCTTCTCGAAGAATTCAGCGTCCTGTAGCAGAACTTCTTGAGCAATGTCAGACTCCTCCTTAATCATCTCCACTATTATATCAGTGTCTCTGTCCTTGAGTAGCGAGATGAATTCATGCTCTATCTTCTGCACAGTCTTCACAGCCAGATCGTACTCGTCAATCTTGAGGAAACAGGCGTGACAGATCACAGTGTTGTGGGATTCCTCCAGCTGCACAAATTCACTGCCTGTGATTCTCTCCAGGATTTTGTAGATGGGCGTTTCTGAGTGCTTAGTCATCAGCGTGCAAATGTCCCTCCAAAAATACACCGTCTCGGCGCTACAAATGTAGCATTTTCTCGTATTTTCCTCCATTGCGAATGCACAATAAATATTTACACTTGAAGTGACATCATAAACTGCTCGCGCCCTTCGTGGAATCACTGCAGAAAAGACATCAGATTATCCATGGACATCTAATAGGCTTCTCAACTTCAGGCCTATTGACATGCTGTGAGTTTGTGACGTACACAAAACCCAGAAAATTGTGTTTTCATTCTCCGTTTTTGCGTATTTCTTGTGGAAAACAGCATGAGCGAGGGTGGAAAACTGGATGTTGCCGATCGGATGGACACACTGAGCAGAAATCGGCAGTCGTACATTGGGAAAATCCACTCTCAAAAGCCCATAATAACTTGTGAGTGTTTCTTTTCAATGATGTCCTGAGAGATTCACTCTGTCTTCCTTTACAGACGCCGGCGATGTGCCCCTTTTCCGCTCCCTGGAGAGTAACATAGTCTCTGCAGTGCCGAATGACACTTGTGAGTGGCGACGGCCGTATGGGCGCCCCATTAAGAATGTGCGAATGGAGGCGTCTTTCCGGCAGTTCGAGACAGACTCTCTGGACAAATTCAAGAAGGGCGAGTGGAGCATCCTTGAGCACCCAGTGCTACACATCTTCGTCACAGAATGCAATGACATCGAGATCTACAAGTCCACTGTAAAGGAGGAGATCGATCTGTGGCTAAAAGCCCTGCAGAGCTACGGAATAACGGACTGGATGATCCTCATTGTGGAGACGCTGGACATGAAGAAGACGAAGAACATCCTTCCGCGCACGACAGTGCTGGACAAGGTGCGGATAGACTTCGGCTCCAAGGCGGGCGATCGCTGCATATCCGTTCTCAACCCCATCAAGTACGAAATGAAAGCCACGGAGTCATTTCGATGTCTTCTGCAGCGAATTCGACACTTTATGCTCGCTGGCTACAATCGCAACATCACGAAGTACGAGGAGTTAATCAGGGCGAATCGCGAGAAGCGCAATCACGAGGGCTGGAGCTTCATCCGGTACTTTCTGCTGCAGGAAGAGCTGGCATTCGTCCTGGAAATGCTGGGTCTCTTCTCAGAAGCCCTCATTCAGTATGACGAGTTGGACGCTCTCTTTTCGCAGTTCGTGTTGAACTCGATGTTTGGGGAGAAGCAAACGTGGCTGAAGACGTTCGAGAAGTCCATCAACGCCTTTCAGGGCATCTCAATCAACCGGAAGAAGATGATGGCTGTGCGGAAGAAGATCGAGAGCAACACAGCAACTCTTCTGGACTTTCGAGGCTACTTATTCGAGCGCCAGTGCGTTCTGCTGCAAGCTGCCGGGAAGCCGTGGGAGATTGCCAGCAGACTTCTGCCCTTCCTCTTCAGCACGATCCGAGAGGTCGACGCCCTCAAGCTGGAGACACTCGAGGGCTCAATGGCGTGCTGGGAATTCGTCTGCGCACTCGAAGTGCTGAAGATCTACGATGAGGCAAATGACACGAGCGACATGACAAAGTGCTTCCAGTTCTGCGCACCGATCTGGGACTTAGCCAAGGATAAACTGTACGAATTGGGCAAACTCTGTGGCCTCTTGCCCGGATGCATTCCATCTTCTGAGCAACTGCACACTGTTGTGCTTCTCTCGGCGGGAATCGGCGACACTGAGGAGGAGGAGATTTCGAAAGACGTCCAGTCCTCGCCGAATAGCTCCAGAGATAGGAAGAGTCACTCTCCCAGTCGACAGCCGAAGAAGCCGCCGACGGACAAGCTGAAAGAGGCTCTCGGATCGAATGAGGCTTTCCAAAAGCTCTACCTGGAGCTCAGTGAGCTAGCCATTTCCACATATAAGCACATATCCCGGCTGAGATCGGCCAGACTCGTCGGTTTGGACCTGGGTAACTTCTACTGCACGCTCAATGAGCCCAACAAGGCGGTGATCTTTTTCATCGATCTACTGCGCGAGCTCAAGTCGGAGAACTGGAATTACTTGGTGAGTCAGACTCTCCTCGAGCTGGCCAGCTGCTATCGAAAGATGGAAGACACGACGAGCTACACGAAAGTGTGTGCCTCCATCTCTTGCTGTCTTGATCTGGAGGCTCTCGTGAGGACTTTCTACTTCGACGAGTTCCTTAAATCTCTCAAGATGATCGTCGTGACGGAGGAGAACAAGAACAATTCCTGCGTGGCGCTTCTGGATGATCACTTCAAGGTGGCGGACATAAAACTCATCAACGAATCTCCCATTATACAAGACAATTTCATAGTAGTGCAGCTGAAGATGCACAGTCACTTTCCCAAAGAAGTGTTCTGCAGCAAAATCTCCCTGTCCTTCGATCTGGAAGGGAAAGTGGCAGGACCTCAAGTGACTGTGGCACAGACAGTGGGATTGGGCGTGAAACTGCCCATGAGGCTCCATCTGGACTACAAGCAGGACGGCACTTTGGAGATCGCCTCAGTGGTGTGTGAGCCCAAGGGAAAACAGCCACTAAGAAGATCTAGCAGTACGAGGAGGAAAATTTCCGCAACGACGCGAAAAGACTTTACCAACTGTGTTTCGGCGGAGCAAATAACTTTGCAACCCGGACTGAATGTGATCGAATTGAGGGCTAAAGCCACTCGAATCGGGATGTGGATGTTCGAACAATTATCTATTCAACTCGATCCGCTGGACTTCCTGTCAGAGAAACTCCCCGTCAAGTTGAATCCCTTCGAAGTGTCCACAAAGCCGGCTTCTGCTGTTCTGCACTTCACAAATCTGATCGCCGGCATCGAACAACCGATAAAGTTGATAATCTCGGCGGGCAGTTTTGTCTTTCCTGCTGAAGCCTCGATCACGCTTAAGTGCTCGCGATCGCTAAAGCTGAGAATCGCCGATGCGGAGACGAAGGACTTTCAAAAAGAGCTCGTGATTATGTTGAAAAATGTGAAACAATTCGAGGAGAGGACAATTCCACTCGAGGGCATTTGCGACCTGCCTGGGCGGCGCGATGACAAGCCTTTGGAGCACAAAGTGACTCTACAGTGTCCGTGGTCGCGCAGTGACATCCCGATTTCGCTCTACTTCGTGCCCGCCGTCATTGCTTCCTGTCGTCTCCACTCCACCGGCACCAGGAAGTTCCTGCAAGTGGTCATCAAGGGCATCTATGATGGCAACTTGGTGCTCTCTTCTGCGCAGATGAAGTGCTCATCGACTGGAGTCGAGATTGTAGATGTGAATCCAAAATCACAGAGTGAAACTGTGAGTATTTCATATTGTTTTGACGCAGTAGGCCAGGAAAATTTAGTTTTTCTTACTGTTTTCGTGCAGAAAATCTACAAAAATCTTGGCGTGTCGTATTTATTTGAGATTCAGATTGAGCCACTGAAGAAAGATCAGGAAGCACCACTGATTCAAGTCGGATTCAGCGTGCAGTACGCGAAAAAAGACGCTAAAGATGAGAAGAGAAATTACTCATGCACATTCGATGTCACTGATTACGCAACTCTCTTCAAGATCCAAGCTAAGGTAATAATGAGAGGCACTTTAGTCTTGCTTCAATACGCAATCTGTTTTTCTGCTTCTTCAGGTTGAACCTCTAGAGCTGTGTCGAGTGAATTCCGTGTGCATGCTGAATCTGAAGATCACGAAGCTTCAGGAGAATCCATTCACTGATTTGATGTACGAAGTGTACGCAGATCAGAACATGTGGGCCGTTTGCGGAAGAAGTGCCGGCGTAATCTCAATGCAAGACAATGAATCGCAAACGATTGTCCTGGAAATCTTGCCGCTGATTGTGGGATTTCTGCCCCTGCCCAATATAAGGCTCTCTAAGTATTTGCAGGCCAACAAGAACAAATCTGAATTGCATCCGCGCGTTCAGGCCTTCTCGTCTGGTCAGATCTACAATTCAACCAAAAGTATGCAAGTTCACGTGCTGGCTAACAATAATACTGACTAATTTGCAATAAACACCAGATAATTCCATGTTAAAAGGATTTCGCGTTGAGCGCGGGAATGCAAGAAGGCGGGAAGAAATTGCCGACAGAGGCGCTGCGCAACATGCTGTGAGTTTCAAAGAGGAAAATTCTGAGGCCTATTCAATCAGCTGTTTTTTGACAGTCCTTTTAAAAGCGCAATCGCATGCGGAGGAAAATTGTGTTGTGGAAAAGATATCCTGTTTGTAAACATGATACGCATATTAAGATGTAGCCATTGAGTGGTAGCGATTGAAGAAGAAACCAAATCAGCAATTTCGATCTTAGAGGTGAGTTACTTTGCACACAAATCCCCGAAGACTCCTAGTCAATTAGTGACCTTACATAACTCGTGGGCGAAGTTCTTCCCAGAGTTTTCCTGAGAAAGTGTGTGGGTTTTCCTAATGACGCCTCTGTAATCACTTCGCATTTTCCTGAATGTTATTCACATTCTTATCTGTGACAATTATGATAATTTACTTATCCCAGAACACAACATAACCTCAGCTGAGATTCTCTCCAGTAATTGCGCTCCATTTGTGTGTCTTCCAGAATGAATGAATCCTCGCATTTAGAGTAGATAAACATGTGTAAATCATCTGCAGAGGATTCAGCAATGGCCAGTGATCAGCGAATCTACTTCCTGAAGAATCCCTTCTCCGCCTTCGACGCCCGGGAGTTCGCCTGTGGCTGGGGAGCCGCTTTTGTCAACATCACGGCCACGTATCCCATCCACAAGATCATCTTTCGGCAGATGCTGCATGGCGTGAAGGCCAGCTCGGCCTTTGAGGAGCTGCGCCATGAAGGAATCTCCTTTCTTTACCGCGGAATGTTCCCGCCACTCGCGCAAAAGACCATCTCGCTGTCGCTGATGTTTGGCGTGTACGAAGGCACGCGGAAGCCGCTCGTGGAGCACTTCAACGTGAACCCCTACATGGCGAAGATCGTGTCCGGCATCATCGCGGGCATAGTGGAGACGGGCTTGATGCCGTTCGAGAGAATTCAAACGCTCTTGGCGGATTCTACCTACCACAATAACTTCAAGAACACACCTCAGGCATTCAAGTGAGCAGAAACGCCGCCCATTCGCATGCTCCGCCCTCTATTTTGCATTTCTACGAGAGATTTATACAATTTCTTACTTTTTTCAGATATGTTTATTTAGGATATGGTTTTAAGGAACTCTACCGAGGTTTCCTTCCAATCCTGTTCCGGAATGGACCATCAAACTCAATGTTTTTTATTCTCAGGGAAGAGGCAAACGTTAGGCTCCCTCATCGGGTAAGTAGACATTGATTTTTGTGCTACTTGACGCTTTTTTTCATTCAATTTTTTACCCCTGCAGGACAATACTTTATATCAAAGTATACAAGAGTTCTTCGCGGGCGCCCTCATTGGCGCGACCATCAGTACGATATTCTACCCGCTGAACGTAGTGAAAGTGTACATGCAGAGCACAATTGGGGGTCCCTACGTGAATTTTGTACCAGTGCTGATTCATATTTACCGAGAGAGAGGCTGCAAATTGCGCAATGTTTATAAAGGCATGAGTATTAATTGCACAAGGGCGTTTTTTAGTTGGGGCATCATGAATACAGCTTATGAGCAAATTAAGAAAATTATTTACTGAGAATGAGAGGAAGAATGGCAAAATATGCGTGTATGCAAGCTGCAGCTGAATAAATCCTCAATTGTGTCTAGTCTTAATTTCATAAGTAGGTTTAACATGAACAAAAGTTAGTCCTGACGTGCCCGATTTGAGTGAAATTGTAGGTTTTCTGTCTGCATTTATAATAATTGGGTGCCCATGAAAGCACACGAAATGTTACATAGCCAAAAAAAATATGATTGTCGCCCTGAAGATGTGTGTGTATTTCTTTTTTAAATTAATAAAATTGTTGTTTTTTACACAAGCGACTCTGCTTAAGTGACAACTCTGCGAACTACAATACCAAATACAACTTAAGTTTATTTATCAGAAAAGCAACATTGAGTATAACATTTTGATGAGAAAATTCTTTGCCTAATGACTTCTTACACAAAAAAAGGCCTTAAAAATAGATTTGACAATAAATTTCATCCGGAGCTGTTTGACTTAATGCGAAACTTGAGACTTGGTCAATAAGTTTTTAGACTGTTCAAAGACAAAGTGAACAGAACTCCCAATGACGTCCAGATAACTCCAAACCAGCCAGAGTAGCAAACCATAGAAGATAAATGTGACGAGTTTATCTAGGATGTATAATCTGGAAGAAAAGAATATAACTTTAGACGGTGTTCTCTGACTTTGAGCGTGGTTTTGTGCACCTGTTCAGGAGCTTTCGGGCCTGAGGAAGAGTCGAGGGCGGTTCCTTGAGCAGATAGGTTCGCACCCCGTAAATATAGTTACTGATGTATAGATGCCAGTCTACTGATTCGCAATTGAAATTGAAGATCTCCTTATCTCGATCGTCCAGCGAATTAAAGAGATTCATCATGTTCGTGTTCTTAAAGTCCCATCGCTTCGTTGTATAGTATTGCAGCACTTTCAGTCCCATTGAAACTTTGTTCTGAACACGCACCATGCTGAAAAGAGGAGCAAAGGATTCTGTTATGGATTGTTAATGGGAAAGATTTGTTTTGAAGCTGAACTAGACTAAAGAAAAGTCGAAATTGATCAACAGACTATCAGAGTTTCAACATAGTAATTATAAAAATATGATTTCTATCTGAATTTCTAATGTTAGCTTTAATCATTTAATTTTCCTCGTACAAATGTTATAACATTTTACAAGATCTTTCCAATTCTCCAAGATAAAGCTCTAAACTTTGTTCATTAGCCTTTCTCTAATCTTAAGATCGATTTCACTCACAATGGCTTTTTCCTGAAGATCACTAGGAGCAGATCGATAAAGTACGCTGGCAGATAATGAAAGAATATCACACAAAATAAATGGTGGAAGTAGTTGGACTTGATGGAGCCATTCGGATACCAGAGCGAGAAGCAGAGCGGGTTCTTGTAGAACTCCGCCTTGCCGCGCTCTATGCTTTCGCCCCACGACAGTGAGTTCTCCGTCGATGCCACGACGTTCGTATATTGAATCTCCGGAGATCTGAAATGGCGCATTAAAAATCACATAAATATTCAACACATAATTTATGATTATGTTGTCTCACGACGCGAAGATGTTTGAGAGAACAAACACAGAAATTGCACAACGCGCGAGACTCAAGGGCAGCCTAACATTGAAAGTGCTTTCTCAGGAAACTCCAAAAATTTTGATGAAATTGCGCCAATTCCAAAACACATTTTGTGCATTAAATTTGAAGAAGGTTGATTGAAAAATAGTTGAATAATATTTTACACTTAACTCAATGGTTGGAAAGTAAGTCAAAGAAACATGTTGAAATACATGACAAGCGACCACAAAGACAATCTTTCAGAAGATTAACACTATTTCTGGGTGTGATTTATGACCGTCTTCTAATCGCACAGTTCAAAAATTGGACACTAACCCATTTAGATTCCTTAGTGTGAAATATCAGAGGTCTAATAATTCCTCGTCAAACCAGAATTTGTAATGTAATTTTTTGAAAGTTAAGCAAAAAAGAAGCACATGGTTCGTTCGACATCTGCAAATTTAGCTTCCGCAATTAATTTTGCACATTTTTTCGGTGATTTACCAACTTAGATAATTCCTTGCGCGTGGAATTGTTTCAAAAGAAATCATTACTCAATGTGGCAGCAGAAGTTAATAAGAATAATTTCCCAGGTGAATCGCGTATAATGTGGATTTTCCCGCGAATGTGGGTGAATTTCTAATGGCAATTTTCCGCGAATTGCTCACTTGTTCTGTCCGCGCTGCCAAGCGAGGGCGAGGATCGTGTTCATGGTGATGTCCACAGGAATGGCATCGGCCGGATAGTTGGGATTGCAGTGCATGCTGCGGATGACGCCTCGTCCGGCGCCCACCATCAGTCCTGTGGGCCCGTTCGTGCCCTCAACCCATCCCGGATAGGGCTCGTTGATGGCCGCAGTGACTGCAAGAGAGAAGCGTTAGCGGAGGAAATCCGCGTGACTCACTCGTAACTCACCGATGGACGGACGCGCGATTGCGATGGGGAATTTGCCTTTAAACGACGCCACGAGATCCTCAGTGAGCGCCTTAGTGTAGGCGTACGTGTTGGGCAGCGTCTTGAGCAGCTTGGGTGTGATGTGCTCCAGCAGATCGTCATCCAGCAGATTCGTCATCTGCACTATTCCGAGCGGGCTGTGCGGCGCTGGGTAGCCGCGCTCCTCCAGTACCGGCTCATCGCACTGGCAGTACGCGGTGGAGACGTGAACAAAGGCCTGCAAATGCAATATTGAGTACCTTTGCCAATGCACTCTGCCACGACGTCTTGCACAATGTGCGCGCTTAGAGAAAATTATTGCTAGAGTTCACACCATCTGCATTAACCGCATTAACCCATTGCTATCGCAAGCGCATCACTGCGGATTCTCATAGTTTTATGATCAAATTTAATGATCCGTAGAGAATTCTGTTCGCATAGAACCTTGGTCAATAGTAAGATATTCAGAAGTCTCTTAAAGGATGAAAAACACCTTTAATCGGAAGCCAAGATGATAAATCGGTTTAGAATGTAACTATTTAGCCTTGTTTCTGACCGTTCGTGACCGTTTTCGATCTTTGATCTCGTTCTTAATATAAAATGATAAAATCTTTTCAATAAATTTGAATTAATGAATGCCAACACATCACTTTTTCTGTCTAGTCTGGAATTTTCGGAATCTAAAAAGAAAATTCTTCTAACAACTATGCTAATGAAATAACCACAAAACATGATTTGTGATAATCAGAATATTTATTTGAAGAGCTTCTGGACCGATTTTCTACTTTGAAGTGATAATTTCGGCTATAATTTACTTATATCATAGCAAATTGAACAGAAACAAGTTCCTTAATAAAATTTTAAATTTTCTGGATGATTAAGATAGATTATCACAAATTATCATATATTTAATGGTTAAGATTTTGTAAAATATATCTTTTAGGTAAAGTTTTTTTTCATGTATGACATGAACGTTCTGAATAGAGAGAATTTTCATGAATGAATAGAAAATTCGCTCTTTAACTCAGCGTGTCTCTAATGGGTTAATATCGTTTCCATTGAAAAGTACTTGGATGTCCCACATTTCGGTACTCACATCGAGATTGGTGACCGTCTCTGCCAGCTTGAGGACTCTGTACGTTCCCTGTGTGTTCATATTGACTGCCTCTTTGAGGGCTTGATCGAAGCGCACGTTGGCGGCACAGTGAAAAATCACCGAAACTTTTGCTGTAACTTCGGCGCGATCGACTTCCGACAAGCCCAAGTCGTCGAGAGTGACGTCCCCTTTGATCATGTGGATCTTCTCCAGTCGCTTGGGCTGCACTTGGCGAACTCGCTCAAAGGCCTGCAAGTTGGAAATCGAAGGGAATTGTGAGAAGTGTTGCAAGAACTTTAATTACCTTTTGCCCATTGTACTTCCTATCGCTTAGCGCCCAAGTCATTTCAAGACCAAATCATAGAGGCGCGCAGCGGAGAGATAGCGATCTCGGCGGCGCGCAAGCCTCGCGATTACCACAGTTTGCCCAATTAAATAAACAATAAGCCAATGCAAAAGAAACAACGTCTGTTGGGCAAATCTTCGATGGAATATAGGACGGTAGTACTGATATTGAAGTGTTATTAACGAGCTCAGTGTTAAGTCACATCAGATTCCCCAGTAAAAGGAGTAAAAGTCTCTCAAAATATCAGATCATTCACTGATTTTGGCGCGGCAATTGTCTGCATGACTTTTCGCCGAAAGCCACTGTGCTATGTACTTTTTACACACCCGACCACCACCATCAAAACACGTTTTATTGTGTGATGTAATGGATTGTCTGAGAAATCACTCGCGCACTTATTGGCTCTTGCATCGGCTGATTTAATGGCTTGATGTTTACAAGACTAGGTCAGCCAATGACCCAAATATCTATTTCGGCCACACAAACGCATCATCTTCACTCACCATGTGATTAACATACTCCTCGCGCCGCTGCTCGGGTTCAACTCCTCTCTTGGCGCGGACTAGAAGATACAGTCGCTCGAGGTCCGGGCAGTCGTGCAGGAGCTTCTCCACCAGAACCTTTCCCATGAAGCCCGTGGCGCCCGTGATGAACACGGAGCGGCCCGCGTACCATTCTGGTATGCGCATTCGATCCTGCATTGTGTCTTTCGCTTTTCTCGGCAACCTTCTGTCTCACTTCACCTTCTCAGCTGGTTCTTTATGATCTTTTTCTCCCCTTAAGTACTATATTAAATTGATTTGTCCTCTGTGCTGTTGTCCGCAAAAAATCACCAACAGCTTCATTCAAGAATTCCTACGAAGAGAGACACAAACATTTTGAGAGCGCGCGATGATGCTTTTAGAGAGTGGGCTTGAGAGTCTGTGCGTGAGGAGCGAAATCACCCTGGGATTTGTCGTTATTGTGGAAAGACGAATGAAAGATTTTGGCCCCTAAAAGTTGAAAATTTGCATAAATTTTCAGTTAAGATGCCTCATAAATTCTCTACACTTGAATCAGACGAATTTAAATGATTGTCCAAACTCTTTTTTGGACTTTATGCAAGAACCGGTTTCACTCAAAATCCAATGACTCGCGCGCGTCTCTGATTTTGGAGATCACATTTCGCGTGTTTCGTAGGGCCAACGGAAGGTCTATTCAGTAGTCTCGAGATCACCACTGAGTGCATAACAAATAGCACTCAACGTGAGAGCTTTTGTGACTTCGAGGCAATGCAAATTACTTTATTACTATTGGCCCTTAATCGCCAATTGTATACTAGAAGTAGGGAAAATCACTCAATTTTCGCTGCGAATTGTGATCCAATTGTTCACACTAGCAACCATAGGCCATTAAACAACATTTAAGCACATTCATCGTCTCTTGAAAACGAGTGGAAAAGACATAAAATCTGCATCAACCAAGGTTTATGGCACTCTTGTGGATTTTCCTATTGAATTATATCCAAAATTTGCCTCTCAATTTGAAGGAAATTTTTTTTATATTCTCCTCACATGAGTCAAATAAACACACAAAGATCTCCTTGCAACTGATTCACCTGCCCATTTGGCTTATGAACCCACGAAAAAAATGCACGAGGTGTAGAATGAAGAGAAAAATCTCACGACTTCAAGTGCGGCGAGGTTACAATTAAAAGAAACAGTTTTTATGAGTGAAACATTTTGGGCACTTAGCCTTGTTGGGTGATGGAAAGATAAATGACCGTTCGTAAACATGCAATTTTCAATTACTACACCGAATAGATATTACATTTCATCTGATCTCTCTGGCACAAAGGCTCTCCCAACATTCCACAATTCTCTCAAGTCCCTGTGAAGCGCGCCACTTGGACAAGTATAAAAATGAAAGGTTTCCCCAGCATTAACGTAATCATAATTTATGAGACACCATAAATTGTAGAGTATTTTGCACCTAAAGAGCACATTGATCACTATGAAATCACTCAAAATATTGCAATTATTTCTAGTGAATAGCAATTTTGCTCCATCTTGAGGAAAAGTTTCCATGATGCATTTTGTGGTGGCGGGAAATTTTACAGCACATTTTTCCACTCTTTATCACCCAATATTTCCTCAGTCGATTGATTAATAATGCAAACCACAGTGAAATAATGGAAATTGTCTCTCGCTGTAAATTGATTTTCAATCAAGCACAATTTAAAAACATCGAAATGGCACTGAATTTTCACTGGTGAATTTATGCAATCCTCACTATCACAGGCAATGAATGGCGCAGAAAAAATATCAATGAAGTATTTTGTTTGCAAAATATAATTTACTCATTTTTTGTAACTATAATTAACTATGATGAAACACCTTACTTTGCTCTGGCTAATGTGAAGAAGGCTACAAAGCAAGTCACTTGGCGAGAAGGTCCTCTTTTCAACTCTGGCGACCGTCTTGCGCGGCGGATGGCGAGTAACTGAAATGTTTTCCACGGCTAAAAATCCACAAAAGTTATCCGAATAAAGATGCTCACTCCAACACCTGAACCAAGCACACCAGTAAAGCTCCCCCAGAGGCTCGTCGTTGTATTTCTTTTTTTCCTTCCTTAACACAAAATGTACACACAGAATTTATCAATGGTGTTGTGCGGTAAAAGTATAAATTTTTTACACACAGAGATACAGGAAAGTACATACCAGCACTGCCTCTCAATTTCATTCGCCTCTAACAATTGATATTGAAATGAGAGAGAAAAAATTCAATTGTGTGATGCGAGATGCTCAATAAGTGCGGCATTTCATAATGTTGTATGCTTCCAGCATTACTTCCAACACTCACAACGCAAAGATCGAGTACCATTGCGTGACATCAAATTTAATTGATAGTCTCACAAATTTCTTTCATATGATATCGCATGAAACAGCTGCTCTTTCATTGACTCGCTCTTATCACAATTGCAGGTTTGTGAAAGACAAAGTTTCCACGTCAAGACGGAACGAATCTAAACCACGAACGCCTTTGAAAGTCTTTTCCCGGATATTAGAAACTGAGATTTACATATTTCTGAAGAAATTCGTCGGTTTGCTCAAGCACAGCAAGTGTATGATTTTGTTTTTGCGTAATTATCAACCAAGTGAGAATGATTTTGATTGTGAAGAAAGTGCGTTGAGAAAATTCAAAATATCTATTCTTTTTCGAATAAAATTGCCCATATTTTATGATATCACATATCTTTTCACTATTTAATACGTTTAAGACTTGTTTCTATTATTAATGTAATATTTCACATTTCTGTAGAGTTGGAATGCGTCCTCGAAAGAGATTTTGAAATATTGTTTCGCTTCTGAAAAGTGATTAAACCAACACTTCCCCCATATGCCAAAATAACGTGAACCGGGATGACCTAGAAGGTCGTTAATATGATTCCCAGACTATATTTCGATTATTTATTGCAGTTCTGGTATCATAAATCATTCCATGGCTAATTAGGAGGACTCTCGAATTTGTTCCTGTTTTTCTTGTGACTTCTTTGACGCTATTAAGAGACGGTAAAATTATGCATTTTCCATATTTAACACGATTTCTTGCATAATTCCCATGCTTAATAGCTGTCTTCAGAGCATTGGCCAATATAGAGAGTCGCGAATGAAACCACGAGGGGGTGAAGACAATCTATGGAAATGCAAAATGATACGCTTCTTAATAACAACTTCTCGCATTTACACTGCAATTGTTTGGCGACTTTCGCTTCTGCCAAGTTACTGGTACGTGAGAATTAATTATCACCTTTTTGTTAATCCAAATGGTAACGAATGCTCATTAAATTCGCTTTCTTAGACCTGTTGCATCACCTGAAATGGAGCCTTTTAGTGGGTGTAGCAATGTAATGTTTGCCCATAAGTATATTGATGACGGTCTAACCGTTTATGAAGTTAATAACACGATAATTTAGACACTTTTAGTTGCGAATGCAAATATGGCGGCATTTTGACATAAAACGCCGTTTGCGTGTTAAGTAGATCTCACAAACCAATCACTTCTCCATTTGATGATTTAGTGTGTGATATAGTTTCCAAATTTTAGGTGTTTTCAAACAGTGTGATTAATAAAATCTCTCTTTTGACGCAAACAAAAAACACTTTGCCTAAAGACATAAATCAGGTTCGTTGTTTTCACTTTGAAATCTTTCGTTGTAATGTCCTTTGGCGCACACATGGCGCATTCAGATTAAATTTAAATTTCAACCACAAACTTTATTAACATTTTTTAGTCTAAAATTATCACGATTAATGTCAGGGTCATCGCCTTACATCAAATTTGTGATGCGAAATTGTCTTAAATCATAAAATAATTTATTTTATGCCCATACAACGAGATTTCCTATCCATTAACGGCTCTTCTTTTGATATATCAATTTCTCAAAGCCATATTTTTTAATTACCTAAAAAACTATTGTTAGAGTAACATCAATCAGTGATTTTCACGATATGTTGACATTTGCTTTGGCCATCAAATAGGAAATCAGATCTTAAACAGGTTCCCGAACCTTTTGACATGTCGGAAATAAATTACATGCGCCAAATAAACGTTTTATGAGCATTTTCATGATAAATACATATTGCGAAATATTTAATGAGACTCTTGCTTTATTTGCATACAACATAAAATGCGAATTGGTTGTTTGTCAGCGTTTAAAACCAGAAAATGCCTTGATGTATTCAAAAAATTTCAATTTTTTGACCTCTTTGGATGCCTGACAAATTGAAAAAAAGTGACCAGCAATTTCCGCGCAATGAGGATGTGGGCAAATAGTCAATGAAAATATTCTTCTTCTGTTGTGTAATCAGTCAAAGTACTCTCAAGACTCACAGCACGGAAATTTAGGCGCAAGAAAGCCTTGATTTTTAACCTCCACAGAACTTCTGGTGTAAGTAAACATCTTGTAAGCACTTTTTGCATTAATTGCTGCTGGAAGTTCTTATTAATTCTGCGTTTTTGATATGTTCAATAACACGTAATGTACACAAGGTTGGCCTGAAAAACCCGAAGCAATTGCAAATCATACTTGCTTCAGCCACGATCTGACCATTCTTGGCCTGAAGATCTCTAGCCGGAAGAGGGAATTTGCAGAGAGGCTGCTGAGTAATTAATTGACGCTCTGATAGCCCGAAATTGTTCATTTCCAATGATCGCCATTAATTTTATCACGCGGCTGGAATTTCCTGTCAGAGAATGAACAATCCTTATTGTATTAATAACCACTTGATCACCTTATTTCAAAATTGAGCAGAAATTTCTGGAGGTCGACAAAGCCGAAGCAATGACTTGCACAGAACCTGCTTCCACGTGGACAATAACAAATTTTGCTGAAGAACATCATTGATGATTTCCAAGTCACCTCTCAGGTCAGTCACTCTCGCCCAGTAAACTTCAATGAATCACACTTCTTTTTGTGTGCTGGGAGGAAAACAAGTACTTAAAGCTCAAAGTTCAAAGTCGCTCAACTGCAGTAAAGAGCATCGAGTCACTTATAGATTTTATCCTGTGCGTTATTTCATTAAAGACGGTGATAAAAGCACAAATAATGCGTTAGTTTCTCAATTTTGTCTGTCCTTGTACTTCGCATTTTGGATGCGATACCATCATCCTCCGCACACAATAAACTCTGTAGGTGCTAACTGTCGAGCATACGAACACCTTCAAGGCTTTTATCAGCGCCAAGACAGCACTGAGAACAAAGGTGATTAAACCCTTATGATAGCGAATCAACCTGAGCTCATAAATCGTTTTTGGAGGTCTGAATACTTTCATGTTTTTTTTTGTAAATATTCGTACCTATCATAAACATTGGCAAAATCATTGAGCATTTTGGATGTTAATTGCAAGAAAATGAGTTGGACTTGTGATATTTAATGTTCATCAGCACAGAGTTATTAGGCATTGATCGGAAATTCAATGCTGATCTCAAATGATTTTGTTCTTCATGCCAATGAAGAGGGCATAGTTTGCATCGTCTGCAAGGTTGAACACACAAATAAATGATATTTTTTTGTCCTGGCGAACAAACACGTATAGAAAAATATTTTCCATCCGCTCAGGAATTTCCAGAACGTCCAGGAAAAATGACGAAAATGTGAATTATTGCATGGATTTTAGTGTCTCGACAACATCCGCCAAATATCGAATTCTGCAAATTTATTTAGTAAAGTCAAAGCGAAATCCTATGAAAGTGGGTAATTCCGGAGATGAATATTCTTCTGTGATTTACACTTTATTGTATTTATCGTTACAGTACGAATTCATAATCGTATAATTGTGTGAGTGAAATAAAGCTCACACATGAAAGATTTTCATCACCAACACAAAAGCGATTTTCATTTACATTACAACCGCGCATGCCACGCAAAGGTCGTTTAAGAATAGTCTTCTTTATTTCATCCACGTTTAGTGAATGCAATAAAATGTGTAAAAAACCAGCAATAAAGGCAGTAAATATTTTATTAGTCTGAATTTAAAATCCACATTTTTGCACAGAATTATTCATGATTTCGCCTCTTTTCAAGTTTCTTTGTATGATTTGTAGCTTTTCTCTCCTCCTTTTTGTGATTAACCCTTATCCGTCTTCAGATCGTTTTCGATACCAATATTTCTTTAATACGAGTTGATTAAGTTAGTGTGAATTTTGTCATAACAGCACGATGGTTAAATAAAGTTAAAAGCCACTAAACTTGTCCAGAAAAGCCTTGAAAACAGACAGACAAAGTCACCTTTAATAAGGGAGAAAGATCAACATCGTTGCTAGTCGGCTTTCAGTGCAATTTGTATGGAAAAAGAACATCAGGATTTGAGTAAATTTATTCATTAAAATTGACCTTTACAGATTTTCACTCTAACTTGTTAATTGCAATTCTTCACGCAAAGTTCATGAATTTTAATATGCACAATTATAGCGATATTTCTGATACAAAATGTCTTTTTCAATTCGGCAAAATTCTTGATCAAAGCAATAGAGAAGTGAGAATTAGTGGGAATTATTTGGTCTTTCCTGCGAAACAGGTAAAATATTCCTTTTCATCTTATTATATTTAAAACGAGTTTCGCGAAATCAAATGTCACAGGTAAAATGCCAATCAGGACGTGTTCCTCAAATAAATGCGCAGTATCAAGGATAAGAAACACATGATTCTGTGAATATGCGCACGACTTTCAGTTTCCCTTATGAATATCCTCGTGTAGTTGTCAGTCTCGAAATCATAGCTTCTATGTTTTGAGAAAATCAATATTTTCCCCTCTGGAATTGCGTGAAAAACTAAGGGAACATTTATCCTCGTATTTGTGTAATATTTAGGGAAAATCATACTTTTTATACTTCCTAAGTTCTCTTTGTCTTTCTATTGTGACCATGAAAGATAATTTACAAGAAATCCATAGTGGAAATTGTGTAATTTGACGTGAAGTGCTCGCAAAAATATTCATGTACTTATTTGCAGTCACAATGTAAGCTTTAGGCAATTTCAAAGTTCAATCTAATCCTTGTAACTTTTACATGTGACTAAAGTTAGGGGAAAACTCCTCGTGTAATGTTAAAAATACTCTTGCTGAATTTTTCCATTTCACTTGCGTCTATGTCAAGGCAAAGTGTGGGATTGTGAATGTGATAAAATATCGATCCGTTCATTCTGACACTGTCACATTGCGAATCATGCAAAGCTGGACATTATTTCGCGGAGAGTAAATCAATTATGCAAGTGCTTCACATCAATTATTGGCTAGCTTCTGTTCATTTAAAGTTACCCGTGCATGCTAAAAGAATCGCAACGTGCGAAAGAGAAAGTGCATAAATTATGTGTGTAATTCGCTATGTTATTCAGTGAAGTACCCTTGGGCGGAGAATTAGGACAAAAATCATCCCACTAATCCAACTGAAACTTTAATAAGTGTAAAATCAACATGATCACACAGTTCTCGTCAGGATTATGGCACTAATTGCAGAGTCATAAAAGGTGGAAAGGCGATGATGGGCGGGAAAGCTTGAATGAAAGGTGAGTTTCCACCTGCAAAATTCAGGGAAAATTTCAATTCCTTAATCGCATTATTATTAATTAGTGAATGGAATCGTATTTCATGAGCTATTGCCTCAGCTTTCGGCTAAAATTACATCGACATTTTCATTCCGGGCTGAAATCACTAGACATCATGGAGCCTCACAGCAAATAGACTGAAAGGGAAAGAGGCGAAAAGTGTATAACACTTCCAAAATTGGATCCAATTTAGCCGCACATCCTCTCGAGACGAATTGATGAGCTCGAGAAGAGGCGAAAACAGTGGATATTTGTGCGAAAAACCATAAGATAACAGAATGAAAATACTACAGGCGCTCAAGCATAACAAGTCCAAATTCGAGTGTCGCTGAAATCGATACCGGGGCGCCTGAGGGGGTGTGAATGAAGTAGGGATGGCCAAAGCTGTGTCTAAACTTTATAGCTTTGCGGTTTATTGAGTTTCGGCTAATGTACAACACACATATGTAGCTATTAATTTCCGTTGCCGTGTGCTTTCCTTCACTGAGTACAAAACTTTCAATTCTTCGACATTATCGCACAAATTTGATGTTTCTGATTGTGGGGTTGCATGATGACGTCAAAAGGTAAATCTGCGTCACTCGAATCTTATATACGTACTTATTCATTTTGTAGATTTTGAAACTATGCAGCCGATGCGGTAAATCATGGGCATTTCAACCACCACATCTGATTTCAATCAATGGCTGCATGCCATGAAGATGGTGGCTCGCCTGCCTGGAGGGATTCCACCTGAATTCCGCAAGAAGGTATGCAAAACAGACATTTCCTCCCCCACCCTAGCAAACCTCTCACGCGCTTCCTGTGCTTGCAGCTCTGGATTTCCCTGTCGGATCAATACTTGCACACGAAGAATGTTGACTGGGAGAAGGAGCAAGAGAAGTGTTTTTGCGACCAATCAGGCGTGGACGATGAGGAATTGGGAATACAAATTGTCAAAGATTTGCACAGAACTGGGTCGAGTTTGTGTTCAGGACCCGCAGGATCACTCAACCAGGCAAAGCTGAAGAAGGTCTTGCTCGGCTACGCCCGATGGAATCCAAGCGTGGGATATTGTCAAGTAATTACACTCATTAAAGAACTCAATCATTGTTTAACATTACTAATCACTACTCTAATTTTCCAGGGATTTAACATGCTTGGAGCGTTGATACTTCAAGTGCTTGATAAGAACGAAGGCGATACCATTAAAGTGATGATATATCTTATCGAAGGAGTTCTGCCGCCAAAGTATTTCTGTGACTCGCTGAATGGATTGCAAACGGACATGGCAGTGTTCAGAGATTTGCTCTCCACCAAAGTTCCTCGTCTGTCCAAGCATCTCTACAAATTACAAGGCTCTGTTGGCGAAGAGTCCTTCGAACCTCCGCTGACGAATGTCTTCACAATGCAGTGGTTTCTCACGATCTTCTGCACTTGCTTGCCGATAAACAGCGTCCTTCGCATATGGGATTTGATCCTCATAGAGGGAAGTGATATTCTCTTAAGGACCGCATTGGCTATTTGGACATTCCTCGAAGAGTAAGCCTTTCAAGTTTTATAAGCGTGAAAACCATTCTAAAGGACTCTTGTCTTTCAGGAGGATTATCGGAGCCAAGACTGCAGATGATTTCTACTGCAAGATGGGAACTTTGTCAGCAGAGCTTTTGAATGGGAATCTCATTGATTCCAATGGATTAGTTCAACGCGTCGTGGATCTTGGACCAATTACAGATTTGCAGCAGTTAAGAGACAAGCATGTCTACAATGTGGCCAATTTCAAGGACAAGAAGGGTTACAGGCTCTTCTACTCCGATGACGAGGGAGATTCAGATGATGACTCGCGCATGGCAGTGGCCACAGCCTGGGGCATTCGCATGGGTCGACGGGAATCCGTGCCTGTATCTAGTAATCAAAGACCATCGCCAGATAGTCGCGACAAGGTGGTTCTCGACATCAACCTGCTGAAGCATCAGTACGAGCGCTTGAGAGAAAGGCAGCGGCAGGCACAAATCATCCTCACAGCTGGTAAGTAGTCTGCAACAGATTAGATATTCTAACTTGCATTTCCCACGACATGAAAGGTATGTTTTCGTTCACAGCTTGTGCTCGTCAGCCTGCGAACACATCGTCAGCTCCGACATTTCAAGTTAACCAGCTTCTCTTCGGCCGCAATGCCATTCTCAGCAATAAGGGAAGGAGAATAGGTCCACCGCAGGGAGCCATTCCACCACCAAGGAGAGCGAGTGCATCTGCCAAAGCGAGAAGTTCGCCCAAAGCGACAAAGCGAGAGGAGACTCTACACTGGAACGATACTGATGTGGTGAAGATGAGGAAGAACAATTTAAAGTGGAAAGACGCTATTCATGTCGACGAGACACCTGAGAAGACAGATGAGCAACACAGTACAGAAGATGAGTCGTCATCTGCTCAAGTCGTCACGAGACTGAGGAAGCGGAGTGAGTCTTCGTCATACAGCGAAGACTCGAGTACAAGTACAAGCTTATGCGATGATGATGACGATAACACTTCATCCTTCGACGCGAGTCCATTCAAGAAGAAACAAAGTCCTGACATTCAAGTGCCTACAGAGAACAAAGCTGAAGACATCCAGAAGTATATTCGAGGGTTGGAAGAGGACACAGAAATTACAGCTAGTGGGCTCTTTCTTGAGCATCCCATTGACCAGGAGGAGAGAGAGAAGACACCTCCGAAAATTTTCTACGACGACAATACCATCTCAATTGCCGTCGAGGAAGAATGCACAACTGCTGCTGAGAATTCTAACACTCTGCGACCAATTGAGGTGTCCATCAGCAGCATAACAAGTACAAGTCAACTGTCGCCGATCGGTGATTTCTCAGGATACCTCAGCACTTCTTGTATCAGTCCTCTGAGGACGCCCTCGTGCACCCTCGAATTCTCTGACTTCCTCACTAACATCTCAGGAGAAGTCTCTCCCGAACACCCAACAGAAGCGTCCAACATTGATATTGACGATGAGATATTGAACTTTGACGAAGCGGGAATTACGAACAAATTATTCGAGAGGATCATATCGATTGATCGCCCGAAGAAGTTAGACTTATCAGATTATGCAATAACAACTGTGACCAATTCAACGGAAAATGTGATGTCTGAAAAGGAAGCCCCACGATCTATATCCTTAGATCCTTCAGATCTCTGTCGCCAGTCTTCACCCTTGTATTCATCACAGATACAGAAACTTTCACGGACAACTATGAACCTCACCACAATTCCTTCCAGTAGCGATGTTACAGACTTTGCAACTCCCCAAAATCAATCAACACAACCCAAAACTCCTGACGTCTTAGAAATTACAGATGCGGACAACCTAACACTGAGTTCTTCGACAGAAAAAATAAGTGAATACTCTTCCAACAGAAGGAATAGCGACAAAGCATTGAAGATTATACAAGAAAACTCTCTAATATTGCATCGCTTGTTGAAGAAAAATGTATCTGATCCTGATCAGAGCACCAGTAAAGCGGAATCTTCAGACACAGAAGTTGGTGATCTTTCTTCTGTAAGATTGTATCCACCTGAAGACAAATCTGAAGATCCACCCATTGGGACATTGGAAGATACTGATTCCAAAGACACAGAGCAAATCGTTGAACCCGAAAGCATACCAACTTCACCTGTATACTCAAAAGCACGGACTAGTTTGTTAGATAGTCCAACAATATCGTATAAAAGAATATCAACAGTTGATGAACCAAGCATTTCGAACATCTCGGAAACCCTGACATCGATTGAGAATACAATAAAATCCATAAATTCGCTATGTCAAGATCGCGAATCATCGATCCAAATCAACCGCCGAAGTCGTTTAATGGAGGAAATTGAGGAAATCATAAGGACACCGAGTTCAAAAGATATCGAGGATTCTAAAAGAAGGTCTAAAGCAATAAATTTATCACCACCGTACGATTCAAAGGACGTAAATAGTTTAATAGCAGCCGACAACACATCAACACCCTTCAGAGGATCGCGAGATTTATCACGAGCTGTCTCTCCGCGAAGGCGAAGGGATGAAGAGCGCGAGGAGTATGAAAGTCGAGCCACGAGAACTCTGTCAACAGCACCCACAATCACCAAAACCCCAGCAGATTCTGACTCCAGTTCAAGCTATTCAAGCTACAGAAAATACCCGGATAAGCTGGAAATCCGACACACCACAGTCACAGCTACGCTGTACGACAGGTACCTGTCCCAGAGGAATGAGAAATCCACCAGACTAGACAAATCCCCATCGTCGCCAGTCATCACGAAGAACTACTCAGACTATCTCACAGCAGTGACGACCGATCGTGTCACAAAATCAGCCGAAAACTCCCCGTCAAGATTCAAGACTTCGACGTCTGACCACTCATCTTCAATTTCGCCGTCCTCACTCTCAAAGACATCGCCGACAAGAGAGACTCACAGCATCTTACCTGTAGACACCACTCGATCTTACAATGATATTTCGCATAGATAGTTAATGTTAAAACACCAGAATAGGACGACTGTCCTGGAATCGCCACCTTTTCAGTCTTCATTTCTGTAGGGAAAAACGAATGCCTTCGAGTAATACTTGTAACTGTTCAGTTTAGACAACTGGATTTTCGAATTCACCTCGAGTTGTGAGTTTATGTAAAACCTGTATATAAATTATATCTACATATATTTACTTAATATGCTCATATTACTCTTATAGTTTCACTATTGTTAAATTCTAATTAGGCCAAATTGAATTGTGCAAAATATATTCATATATTTAAGTCATATCCACATGTTGAAACATTTGAAATTTATTGAAGATTCAGGATTCCACTTCTGATTTACCCACAAGAAATTGAACGCAGATTTCAGATCATTTGACTGAAAAATCAAATATTTCAAAACATGTGGATATAACTTTATAAATGTACCTATGATATATTTCGAGATGTAAAGACAAAGATACTCATGTAACTAAACAATTAATTGGATAACATAGAATAATCATATACAATATGCTTCTATGTAGATTTATCGCTGATTATTTTTGTGATATTCATAAATGATTATACAGAATATGATAGTTGGAAAAATTCTCGTTAAATCAGTGCCAATTTCAATTCTTAAAACACATCAATGTTGAAATATTTATTCCAAAAAAAAACAGATTCTAATAACTTATTTACAATTAACATTGCATTGAGATTCGAATGCCTTTCTTTCATGTGACACGTCCGAAGTATTCTATCAATTCAGTAATTGACTAGAGTAAATTATTTGTGACTGACTAGCATAGGATATAATTATGTTTCTCCTGATTAACTTTACGAGAAGAATATTTTGTGTTATCAATCATGAAATGGTAAATACAGTTGTTGCGGTAATGAAAAGTCTGCAAAAGTCTCAAGTGTACTTTTACTGTTTTCCTATCTCTTATCAGCTTGCTTGAGTGACCCATGATGACCTGTCTTGACACTCCAATATTACTCCATATAAATTTGCGCAAAGTTTCCCAACGACACTCAGTCGTTGGCTTAACGTTGCAGTGGAAAGTCTAGCAGAGATTTAGTGCTTGGTCTGTGAAAGTGATTTAAAGTAGTTTAAGATGCATAACCAGTTGTACAGACTGTGTCATGCTTTGAGGATGAGGCAGAATGTCACAAAACTGCAATACTTGAGACAAATGACTCGATCTTTGGCAACGATTCCAGAGCTTTTCCCCAATAAAACTGATTTTCCCACGCGTCACATCGGTCCGCGCAAAACCGATGTCGTGATGATGCTGGAACTTTTGGGATTGAAGGTAAGAAAAGACAGAATTTTCTAATTCTGGGCAAGCATTTGAATTTCTCTCATTTTTCAGTCACTTGATGAGTTGTCAGAGAAGGCAGTTCCTCGTGAGATTCAGCTCAATCGTCCCTTGATTATAGAAGATCCACTCAGTAAGTGCGATTCAATTTCTGAGACACTCTTATCACTTCGTAATATTTTCCTGCCAGAAAGGTCGTTCCTTATCTGTCCGAATACCCCCAATAGCGATTTATCGCATGCTGCCTCGGGTTATTTGGTAACCTCTTAACCACATGTCTGCCCTCCTCAGATGAACACGAGCTGATCGACAGAATTCGCAGCATAGCAAAAACTAATGAAATTTGGCGCTCCTATATCGGACTGGGTTATCACAATTGCTATGTTCCGCACACCATTCAGCGGAATGTATTTGAAAATCCTGGCTGGACCACACAATACACGCCGTATCAGCCAGAAGTGGCCCAAGGGCGTCTCGAGTCTCTACTTAACTATCAAACTATGGTCTCTGATCTGACCGGTCTCGAAGTGGCGAATGCATCTCTACTAGATGAAGGCACAGCAGCGGCCGAAGCCATGAGTCTCTGCTTGAGGCACAACAAGCGCATGAAGATTTACCTCTCGGAGCGTCTTCATCCCCAAACCATCTCAGTGGTGAAGACCAGAGCTTCAGCCTTTGACCAGGAGGTTATTGTGGGTCCACTGAGTGAGATTGACCTCACTAAGAGAGACATTTCGGGTGTTCTGCTGCAATATCCTGACACTTATGGCGATGTGCAAGACTTTGCCAAGCTTTCAGCCACAGCTAAAGCCAATGGAGTAAGTTAATCTACCACTAATCCTTGTAAGAATTGAGTGATATAGTTTCTGCCTCCTTACAGACACTTGTCGTTGTCGCTACGGATCTAATGGCTTTGACTCTTCTTCGACCGCCAGCAGAATTCGGCGCCGACATTGCCGTCGGCACGTCTCAACGTCTTGGAGTTCCTCTCGGCTACGGTGGTCCTCATGCTGGATTCTTCGCCTGCAAGCAAACTCTAGTTCGGCTGATGCCTGGTCGCATGATTGGCGTTACACGTGACATGGACGGTCATGATGCCTATCGCTTAGCACTGCAGACACGCGAGCAACACATCCGCAGAGACAAAGCCACCAGCAACATCTGCACAGCCCAAGCACTTCTGGCTAACATGTCAGCCATGTACGCTATCTACCACGGACCAGAAGGCCTCAAGGAGATAGCGAATAAGATACACAACGGCGCCATCACGCTCTACGAGGGCATTTTGGCGGCAGGACACAAGATCACGAATAACTACTACTTCGATACTCTTCACGTGATTCCCAACTTCGGTGCGGATGAGATTAGATCTCGCGCTGAGAGCAAGAAGATCAACCTGAGGTACTTTGATGACGGATCTGTGAGCATAGCTCTCGATGAGACAATCAAAACACAAGATCTTGAGGATCTCCTGTGGATCTTCAAAGGGCAATCTGTAGCTGAAGTGGTGGCGAAACCGAACATCTTCGAGAACTCCATTCACAACTCACCATTCAAGAGGACCTCACCGTTCCTCATGCATCCTGTCTTCAACAAGCATCACAGCGAGTCCAGGATGGTGCGCTATATGAAGCAACTGGAAAATAAGGACATCTCCCTCGTTCACTCTATGATTCCTCTGGGATCGTGTACAATGAAGTTGAACTCCACGACAGAAATGATCCCATGCTCCTTCAGGCACTTTACAGAAATCCATCCATTTGCACCAGTAGAACAGGCGAAAGGCTACCACAAGATGTTCGAGGAACTGGAGAAGGATCTCTGTGAAATCACAGGATACGACAAGATCTCCTTCCAGCCCAATTCCGGCGCCCAGGGCGAATACGCCGGCCTGCGTGCGATCAGAAGCTATCACGAATCAAAGGGCGATCATCATCGCAACATTTGCCTGATTCCCATCAGCGCTCATGGAACCAATCCAGCTTCTGCCCAAATGGCCGGGATGAAAGTCCAGGCCATCAAGGTGCGAAATGACGGGAGTATCGACATGGTGCATCTCAAGGAGAAATTGCAGCAGCACAACGACAACCTGTCCTGTCTCATGATCACCTATCCTAGCACAAATGGAGTGTTTGAGGAGACTGTCCACGATATCTGCCGCATGGTGCACAATTACGGAGGACAGGTGTACTTAGGTAAGTGTTTGTGTGGTCTTAGCGTTTCCTTTGAGCTCACTTGATTTGTATCACTCTCAGATGGCGCCAACATGAACGCTCAGGTTGGCTTGTGTCGTCCTGGAGACTATGGAAGTGACGTTTCTCATCTGAATCTGCACAAAACCTTCTGCATTCCTCACGGCGGTGGCGGTCCAGGAATGGGACCAATTGGTGTGAAGAAGCACTTGGCTCCATTCCTTCCCAGTCACCCAATCATCGATCCTCTCGGCTATCTTGGCTCTGAGAATCAGAGTTTCGGTACAGTCAGTGCCGCTCCTTATGGCAGTTCGGCAATTCTTCCCATCTCCTGGTCATACATCAAGCTCATGGGCGGTAAGGGACTGAAGAGAGCAACACAAGTGGCCATTCTCAATGCCAATTACATGTCGAAGAGACTCGAGAAACACTACAAGACTCTGTATAAGGATCCCAGGAGCCAATTGGTGGCCCATGAGTTCATCCTCGATATCCGGGATCTGAAGAGGACGGCAGACATTGAGGCTGTCGACATTGCGAAGCGTCTCATGGATTATGGCTTCCATGCACCAACGATGTCCTGGCCAGTGGCGGGAACTCTCATGATTGAGCCCACAGAGTCTGAGGACAGAGAGGAGTTGGATCGGTTCTGCGAGGCCATGATTGGCATTCGAGCGGAGATTCAAGAGATTGAGGAGGGGCGCATGGACAAGAGGAACAATCCCTTGAAGAATGCTCCTCACACCCAACGTCAAGTCATTGCCAGCGAGTGGAATCGTCCGTACTCTCGAGAACAGGCCGCCTTCCCAATTGTGAGTGAAATTAACAAACTATTTGCGTTCAGTGTTTAATTTCCCTTCATCTTTGCAGCCCCTCGTGAGGCCGGACTGTAAGATCTGGCCAACAGTTGGCCGAATCGACGACGCCTATGGAGACAAGCACCTCGTGTGCACTTGCCCGCCCATGTTGCCCGACTATTAAAATACAAACATATCCATTCAAAGTATATAAATGTATATTAAAACTTTACAAAAAAATCTAATAATTTGTGGCTATCAAACACCATAATTTACAAAATAGTAAATTAACATTCTATCAACCTTAAACAATTTTCTTTTACTTGTAAGTGTCTACTCAACGAAAATGTTCACGCCATAATAAATTTATTAACATAACAACTACCCTCGCTCATCAAATTTGTTCCTTATCGCTCTTCCGGTGTGTATTTTCTAACATAACATCTATCACAAGGTAAATAGAAGAAGAAGAAAAATTGAAGAGAAGAATTTATTTATGACCATCTTTTTTAGCAGTTACAGTTAAATGATAAATTTCCCTCAGTTAAAAAAAAAGAAGTTATGTGGCTGTTTCCTACGTGTGTCCTCTTTTGCTAAATTATCGCCTACAATTGGTACAAACTCTCTCGAAATCAGTGTACCACAAAAGATATAAGAAAATATCATACTCCAAACGTACTTCTAGTGTACAATGAGACGCACGTGCCTTCTTTTCGCTACACTTCAAATGGAATGGAATGGAACCAAATTAAATAACATTACGTTACAATTTTAACATAATTATTCGCATAATTAGCTCCAAACATCCGCAGAATATCGCTTCTGCGCCTCCATTTTCTTTAAATATTGCTGCGCTTCGCTCTCAGAGAAGCCACCTTTGGTTTGTATGACATTCAGAAGAATATTACGTACATCACTAGCCATATTTTTAGCATCACTGCAAAGAGAAAAACAAAAGAGATTATCAGTCTTCATGTTTCATCGAAACGTGAAACATTACACCAAAAGAGTGAAACATTACCCGCAAATGTATACATGACCCTTCTTCTCTCCGATAACATCCCAAACCTTGTCGGAATCTTCCTGCAGTAAATGTGTAACATACACCTTCTTCTCTTGCTCCCTGGAAAAGGCCACTCGAAGCTGCAAAGAGCTCTGCTTAACATACTCATCAAGTTCCTGCAAAACACACACATACGATCAATTAGCGTCTTTCCAGCCATAACACAGTGTTTCAAACATCACCTCTTGATAAAGGAAGTCTTCGGACTTCTTGCGGCAACCAAAGTATAAAATAGTATCTCCTACATTTTGTCCTTCTCGACGACAATTGTCACGCTCTTGGATGAAGCCACGGAACGGCGCCAGGCCGGTTCCCGGTCCGATCATGATGATCGGAATCTCCGACTTCGTCGGCAATCTGAATTGACTCTTGCGAATAAATATTGGCACACGCGGCAGCGGTTCGCCCTCGGGACGCTGCGCAGCAAGGAAGTTCGTTGCGACGCCCTTGTTGATACGACCAGTTGCCGTCTCATATTTGACTAGAACAGCAGTGATGTGCACTGTTTGCGGATGCAACTGAATAGATAGCAAGAGAATACATTAAAAGTTGATTTACGCGATTAATAGTCAAGAAAAGTGCAAAAATTGCAAATGTCAGAGATTTTAAAGTCTCAAAATATCATGTAAACATTTGCTAATGAAATTTAGAAGATGATTGTGAAGAAATCTTGTTGTCTTAACTAATTTGAAGACATTATATTCAACACTCACCTTAGATGAGGACGATATTGAGTAATATCGTGGTTGCAGTCGAGGTAGAATTTCACAAACGTGATCAATTGGCGGCCGACAGGATGGAACATCCTCGAGAATGTGCACAATATTCCTGGTGGCATCTTGAATCCAGGTCTGATACTTTGCCTTCCCCTCGGCCGTTGTCGAGGCCAGAAACCGCAGGAATTCCTTGTCCTTCTCATCCGAGCAATATTCGGCCAACTCCTTCAGGATGTGCGTTCGCGGAATGGCCGTGATCTCCAAGTAGTGCGTCAAGGCAGTGCGATAAGTGGTGGGACAGGGGAAAGGGTGCTTCTTGCTGCTCTCCGTGTCTGTGTTGATAAGCGAAAAGACCTGATCCAGATCGGCTTTGCACAGATCACCCAGGCGAGTGACCAGATCAGTGTCATTCACTGCATACATGGCCAAGTGATCTCCGGCTTCGTAGCGCATCTTCGAGCCTTCGATGTCGAATTCCACGTGCATGCAGGATCTGCCGCCGCCCTTGTGCAGCTCCCTGTTCACGCGGATGGGCGCCAAGTACGGGTTCTTCGCGTCGAACGGCGGGCGCTGATTCTGCAGCGAGTGTAGACGAGCAACTTCACCCGAGTAAATGCGATCTGGTGTGACTTCGGGCTGCTCCAGGAGACGATACTGTCTCATCAGAATGTCTTCTCCAGTGCTCTCGATGCCAAAGTAGTCGCACACCACCGGCCAGAAGCGATCTTTCCACGTGATGAAGTCATCCTCAATGCTGAGAATTGAGAATTACGTTAGAAAACATCTTCAATTGATTGAGATGAATTGAGCGTACTTTGCATCGTCATCGCCAAGTCCAATCTCAAACACTCGCTGTGCGCCGAGCTCTTCCAGTCGCTTATCCACATAAATCGCCACCTTGTTGTAATGCTCATAAGTCTTGTTGCCCAACCCAAAGACCTGCAGAAGAATAGAGAAAACACATTAGTCCGGCTCTTCAAATAGGATATCACAATTGGAAATTACACATATTCGTCTCTTGAGATTCACTGTAAACAGAGAATTCACGGTGGAAAACCGAATTCTCAAGATTGACCTAAAAATCATTATGGAAATTTATCAATGAAAACTGGGTCATTTTCCAATAAAAAACAACTAATATTCTACACTAATTCTTTGGCAAACAGTAAAAAACCACTCTGTAGTTTTTTTCCCCTAATCTATCTACTTTTTCTGATCATAAAGAATAGAAAAAGAAGCACGACTTCAGAATCTTTTTAGAGGTTATGCAAGATCCGCACTAAATGACAGCCGACCACATGTGTATGAATGAAAAAATACGCACACACGCGCGAAATCGTATCATGACGTCACTTATTATTTACGATGATAACCGATCCAATGTAATTCTCGGTTGCCAGACTTCGCGCTCAATTCGTCGCTCTTTGACGCGCAAGTGGCACATTGACAATAATTATTGGTATAATTACTATCATAAAAAACCACAGCTTTAATAAACCGGTAGACAAAGGTGAATAAGCAAAAACAATATATGCTAAATCATTGCACTGAAAAAATCATATTATACGTGTCTCTTTCAGAGATTTCAAAGCATGAATAGAACGCAAATTGTCCATATTTCATTATAAATCATCAAAGGTCATCTTCAATTCACTTTTACACTTTCCCAAAAGAATGACTTTTCCCATTACCCTCGGGCTCTGCAGGCGACAATAACATTAAGAAAAACAGTTACAAAGAGAGCAAGAAAACGGCCAAGAGCATGTGGAAGGAAGTGGAAAAGTCACACACTTAATGATTTCCGTAAAACAGAACATTACTGGCTGTAATACTTGAGGTAGATTGGCTAGAAATACTATGTGTCATTCTACTTGTTTCACAAGCGCATTACAATTTTCTCTTATTTAGGACAGAACTAGTTTAGCAAGTTAATAAGACGATCTTGCATACAAAGTGGCTTTGCAATTTAATCAATACTCACGGCATAATTAAGTCCGGTCAAGTCCACATCTCCGTTCTTAATCCATTCGTAGAATTCCATCGCGTTGTCAGTTGGATCTCCTTCGCCGTACGTTGCCAGACAGAAGACGGCTAGTGAGTTGTTAATTGTCTTGAGATTGAGCAACTCTTCCATGTCACACTCCTCAGGATCCGCCACCATTCCCTTCAGCTGATACCGCATGCCCTCCTTCGCCAGGCGACCGGCAAACTCTTCGGCTGTTCCAGTCTGTGATCCATAGAATACGACTAAACTCCTGCCGGAAGCTTTCAGCTTCTTTATGAAGGAGTTCTCAGCCATCGTCATCGTATTGACCGTCGTTGGCCTACAAAGACACCAATCGTCATCCCTCAAGCACGCACTAAAGGCTAAATTTTACGCACTGAATAGAATAGGATCGCGCAGAACTGGACTCATCGTTGTTCTTCTTGTTCTTCAGCAGCCACCAAGCAGCGGCTCCCAACAGGATGACCAGCAAAACTATGTCCAGGGGACCGAGAAACGGTTCTGCCTCAGTCACCTCAATCTGTTCTGGTTCTATCGATTCCATTTTCCTGCAACAAACACGGAAATTGCAATTTTAAACCTTGCGTTTGAGTACAGTTTTAAAAATAAAAACTCTATTGATTTCAATAAAGTCCCAAAACCTGAATATCACTAAGGACTAATCGAGAATTAAACTCAATCCCCACAGAGCTGACAATTATTTAATTTTTTTTAAATAAAATTTACCGCAAAAACCCTCACAAAACAGACAGGAACGTTCAAATTAAATTCATATGGAAAATATGGTGAAAATTACCAAAAAAAAAACCAGAATGAAACATGAATTCCAGGTACTAAAATCATTTTTTGATACGACTAGTTGTATATAATGCGCATTTGAACGAGTTCACACATGTTCTCAAGCGATTCTATGCTTTATCATAATACTATAAGTCCTCAGCATTACATTTCACTAGCAGATACCAAGTTGTATTAAACCCCAATTAAAAATGTCTTCCTCATTAACGTGGAAAAAATACATTAATCAGTCAAATTGGTAAATAAACATGAAAGCTCAATCGCTATCGTCTACCTAGTTTTTATGGTTATGAAACATATGACCCTGGACAGTCACATTTTGGCAAAAACGAAACTTTTTACACACTGTGCCATGATAAGGCGTACGTGAAATGTGAGGCCGTATGAGCGCCTCGGCAGTCGTGTGTGTGTTGCATGTGTTGCGCAATGATTTATCAGCCATAATATAGTTGAAAAATTCCGGATGATGGTCAAATTAGAAAATAACACTTTGAATACACGACATCTTCAATTATTCAAATGGCATTCCATCACAAGCGCCTTTTACTACAAATCGCACTTCTGTGTCTCAATGTGTGAATCACATTTTGAGCCACAGCGCGAGTGTGAAGCCTTGATCAACCAAATGAGACATCATGAGAAACGCGAGCTCCCAAACTAGAGCTAGCTCATCTAAAGTGAATTGAAGTGTGGCCAGAGATTGCTAGAAAGGAAATCCACTTTCTATGGGTCTTCTTGCGAGCGACATTGTCGTCAAAACTAAAAATAATATGATTAGAAGCTTGTGCATAACTTGTTTTACTGGAAATCAATTTCTTCTATCCACGCAAATGGATTTTTTCTCACTCTCTCACTTCTCTTCACACATCTGAAGCGCAAACTTCAATAAATACAATCTTCAGCATGGCGCACTGGAGGTGAAAGTAAATATACATGAAAATGAAACTGGCTTCCATTAAAAATTACACCATAGTCATCGATATTTCGTCTCTCTACCTGTGTTCACACGATAAAAACCAATGATTTCGCCAACAAATATTTATGCTATTTTGATTGATCGCTCTGAAGGACGAAAGAAGATACATAAATGTGAAATTCTACACATTAGGTAAGTCACAATCGCATATCTTCAACCACCACGATGATTATTCCTTGCGTGCGCTTCCTATATTATTTACTCTTTATCGTACTTATCAATATTTACCCCAAGAAAACATGTGGTCATGCTTATAGACACATTCGGGAATCACGCTTATCTGTAGAGAATGACATGTTCTTTTGTCGTAGTAACAAGAACTGAGGAGATTTTCAGGTAAACACAAGATTCACCAATCATTTTCCTATACGAAATATGCACGTAAAGACTCTCATTGACTGACTAAAGGTTATTTTCTGAATAATCAAGAATTTCCTCTATTCCGGAAGCATCCCAGACAGTAATTGTCACTGATGCGCAATCAGCCATCAATTTGTGAGGCTGAGACGTGGATTAATTATCATTGCGCAAACATTCACATCCCAAAACACAATTGAAAGACAGTTTCAACTTCACGGAATACATTAACCCAAAATATTTCAAGACAGACCTTCATGAAAATTCATAAATTTACCGAGTTCTTTTATTTTTTAAAAACCCGGTATATCACCGGAACATACATTTTGCAAACAGCTAGAGTTAATTCATGCCTTCTTATTAACATTACTGTAATTATTGACGCAATATCATTGAATTTGCACACAAATTAATCAATTCAGAGATTCTAGATTAACAGTTGAAATTCTCATGAACTTTGCAACTGCATAAGAACGCTCAATCTCGTGAGAGCTTCGATAATAACAATTCTCCCCGTCACACTGCAATGCAATCTGTCTCGTCTCTCCACAAAGCGCGTAAGTGCACAAGGAAGTGTTGCAGCGCAAGGTTTGTCTACCGTTAGCCCAGTGACTGTAATTTTGAAAGAGATATTTCTCGAATTCCTCACCATATCCCTGATTAAATTGGCCAGTAAACACGTGAATAATTGCACAATATCAGCATGGGAAAAACCAAAACAACTGTTTGCCTCTATTTATCCAGTTCAGTTGCTTGAGAGTCAAATACGCGAAATCATACCTCTTATTATTTTAGCACGCACGAGTCATATAGAATACAGTGACGTTCAAAATAGAAGCACTAAGCAAAGATCAAGGACAGTATTTAGATCTAGCTTAGAGAATAGAGAATAAAGGGTTAAATTTTTACTTGATCACTTGCTAAAAAATTTTTCATCCATTGCTAAGAAGACATCATATAAGCCCACAGTACCTCAACACAATGTCTTATTACCTTCCAATTGGTGGTTCTTTGAGGGATTTTAATATACAACATGAGTATGTTAAAGTACATTCTTAATTATACATTTGCAGCAATATTGAAATAAACTATTCTCTTAATTGAATCTACGATCTTAGTTTGAAGAGTTCGAAGTGAATGCAATCTTTTTCATTATATTATTTAATTGATCTTATTTCGGGTTTAATTTGCAAGTCAGTAATTAGGAAATATGGAAATAATTATGTTAGGTTCTCATTTTTCAACAATAACTATAGAGAGTCTTGTTATAAACAGTCTTTTCCCAGAAAAATTGCACGTTTCTGACTGTATTGTCAAATAATCTACTGTAATTCTCCACCAAATAACACGGTAGACAAAAATATTAGGTTTTCATCCCAAATCACGGTGATATTGCATGAAATTTTGCCAAAATTCCACCTGGATTAAATGTACATTATAGCCAGACGATTAAAAGTGTACGATAAGGCTTTTGCATTTCATCCTTATCTCAGTCACTGTTGCTACTTCAGTTTGGCTGATGGCGCTTCTCTGGCCAGAGAGTGAGACTCGGAATTTCGATCGCGGAAATGAAAAGCGAGACATGAATCTCACTGAAGGTCAATCTTCACACAAATGCGAGGAATTAGGTATTATGATTACACAGTGACGTAGCTTATTCAATGGGTAAAAATAAAGTTCTCCGAAGCGCGCCACAGGCTGAATTGGACAGAATTTTTTCTACACAGCGCTTCGCGCGTACAGCGAAACGCCACACATTGGGAATAAGGCCAATTGTCAAAAGCACATAGAATTAAAAATTTTAATTCAGCCACTCTTACATAAGGATTTAGAAAGCTTTTTCCACTGCCTCTTCCTCCAGAGGCATACACAATTACACGTACGCCACTCGGATGGGCATAAATATTTTTTAATATTCGTGTGGTCGAACACAGGCGTAAGTCCGATCGTACTTCCATGGCACACTGGCATTGCGAGGGTCAAAAATATTTAACCTCTCCTGACAACATTTTCGCACTTGTAAAAAGTGTCATATCATCATGAATAAAACAGTGACAAAGCGCAGGGAAATGCAATTACCAATAACTTACTTTAAATGCCTTATTGGAAATTGAACTCTAACGTTATCAACTTGTCTCGGGACTTCCGTGATAGTCGTTATCACTGCGTCTCGATATTTTAGGTGAAATTGCTTGACACACTACAAGATCTTGTTGGCTTTCCCGATGATGAAACCAAATCACAGATTGTTCACGTCTCGTTTGCGAAATTGCGTTTCTCTTGTGGTATTATCACTCAAGTGGTCTCACTGAACAGAGAGAGATATGAACTTTATATCGCGGGAAATCTCTTGATGGGAGGTTTCACTGGAAAAGCGGACACACTATTCGCTTCTTGAGATAACAGACACTTCTCTGTGACACATAATAAACTCAGGTGCGACTGATCGCGACTGTGGGCACTGAATAAATGGAAAACTTGAGCACGAGGTGGGGAAGTCATGAAGAAATGAAGTAAAGATTAATGAAAATTTATGCTATATAGCGAACGGATATTCGACTGTATTCGGATCTGGTAATCCGAATCACTGTAGAAGTCGCTCTTTTTCCAACACACGCACGGAGACCAATCAGCGGCCACGTCCAAGTGAGACGCACCATCTAACATATGATGACGTTTCACCAGCGCGACTTGCATGGCGTAATATTTTCTCCATGTAATGGGACGTTGTGTGGAAATACGGAAAAGCAGGAGGAAACTCAGTCAGCAGAATATTTACCGCACGTCCGTGAAGGCAAAAGGCACCACAATTCCACGCAATCCTGGCCAAAAACTGCACTGCCACTGACAAATAAACTGCCCAAAAGACACTTGATGTTGCGAATTTCCACTGGTTGGTCTGCACGACGTCGAGTGCGAACACGAAGTGATGTAAAAGGAGAAGAATGTACGATCTTGTCGTCGCTTCGAAATGCTTATTTAAGCAGGGGCGCACTGGGAAATCAATGATTGCCAGTGGTGAAATTCATGACACATCGCGCGCCGATGTGTGCGTGCCAATCTCACGCGCGATACTCCAAAATAAACATCCAGTCACTCAGATGGCTTTCGTCTGAAGTGTCGAGCCTCGTGCTCAGCCGCAAGTTGCTATTTCATCATCGTATTTGGCCAAAGTCTCGGGCCTAGGCCAATAAGATTCCTTTCACGGTCAATGAGTCACGAATGGCGGGAAGAGGATTTCTCTTACAATCTCTTAACTCCATCTTAACAGTTTGCGAACGCATCATGACCCCGAGATTCAGAATTCGTATTTAATACACAACACCCAAAATATCTTTTAAAATAAACACTGATTAGATAAGCCGACCACAATAGTAAAAAACAAAATCATCATTGAAGATCGTCATTGTAGGTGAGTTAAATTTTCTGTGCTATGAAGAGTTTGTTGATCCCAAAAAATGAAGAGAGAAAACAATAAAATTTAGCAACTTTCCATTTCGTTTATTCAGTTCAAAATGTTAAAGATATCTTTTCTGTATTAAAAAATTCAATGACTTAATTAATCATGATAAAATTGAGTTTATGCGTGACACAATCATAGAATTGAGAGAGATTTTATACCAAGAATTAACATCATATTTTATATCTGGACATCATATTTGCATGAGATTTCATCAAAAGCCAACCACAAAAGTATTTCTGATGAAATTTCATGATTTTTAAAGCAAATTATTGTGTTTTAGAGTGACTTCTTCTGGTCTCAAGCTCATGGGTAAAATATGTAACTCAAGTTGAATGGATCCTCATTTATTTCAGCTGAGAACTGATGAGATTGTGTTGGATTACCACATCCTAGGCCGTATCGTGAATATTCAAGCGGAAAATGTCGTGGGCACAGTAAAATGAGTTCGCCACTGGCTTGAGGACGAAAATTTGGTTGTAGGCATGAGGTGGATCGTCATCACACTGTGGAGGAAAGAAAAGGAGCTCTATAGTCTGACTGTAGCTGATTCCCGGATGGCCGGAAGATTACCTGTAGGCGTCCCAGTACATTGATCAGAACACCGCCGTCGAACATCGGCTGCGAGTCCACGGAAGTGATGATTCTGTTGATTTTCTGAAACGTCAGACCCTGGAGTTTTTCCAGAATCTTCATAGATCCCTGAATTTGTTGACCCTCGAAGGTCATGAAAGACGTCTCGGCCTGCAGAAGACACAAAAACACCCGGAAAGTGCGATTGAGGTTATGTGGTGTGCTGCTGATTTTCTCTCAAAATATGCACAGATATTTGCATTTTCTCACTCACGGGCACTATTTGCAAGGTAAATTCACCATCGCCAATGCATTTTAGCACCTATTTTCTTTGTTGATGCGTGTTTTTCTACTCACATTGTAAAAATTGACTAGTCCGGATCTCGAGTTGGGATTGTCGAATAGTAGATAGTACTGTTCCACAAATCCTTTGCCAATGTCCTCGTATTGCGGATTCAGAGCCATTTCTTCACTAACTAACCGCTTTTTGCAGTGGGTTTCCGTATAAAATGCAATTATTTCCCAGCACTGCGCTGCTGAATCAACTTTGTGACGTCTCGGCTTGTCAAAATGCGTTATGGCGCGCCGCGCACGCTCGCCAACTGCAGAATTATAGCAAGTGGAAAAGATGGATAATATCCCCAGGACGCACGATGGTGAGAAATTTTGCATTTTCTGTGTTATTTCCGCGCCTATCGATCTGAAAATACGCACAAATTCATCAATGGATGATGTGTGATGATAGTATTGTGAAATATCGGCGGAAAGTGTGTGGTTTGGCAACGTTTTCAGACGACGCAAATTTCACAATACGCACTTTCTTTATAGCGCCTCCATATTGTGATTGTCAAAATCAATATATAGCAAGAATTTTTACTAATGCATTATTTCCTCTGTTTACAGCCATTGAGGCGCAGATCAAGGAAATTCAGTCGAAGAAGAAGGAAGTTGCACAGCAGAACAATGAGAAGGGAATCGGACTGCTGAACAGCGGAAGCTATTATGACACGGAACTCTATGACGATGGGGGCGACCGTAACAGCAAATTCGATGGATACGTCACTTCCATCGCCCCAAATGACGATGCTGACGAGGAGGAGGACGTGGGGCTGCCATTGGCCCCGAATAACAAACGCAACATCTACTCATCCAGTCAGGCGATGAAGGAAATCATTCAGGTGAGTTCTCTCGAAGTACTGGCGAGGAAACATACTGACTTGCAATCTTCCCTGTTGCAGAGTGAGGGAGATTATGACCCATTCGCTGAACACAGGCGGCAGACAATCGCCGAGAAGGAGGATGAGTACAGACAAAAGAGACGGCGACTCGTTATATCACCCGAAAGAGTGGATCCTTTTGCTGATGGTAAGAATCCCAGAAGAACACATCTTCCCAGTCATTTATTGTGTAAATCATCTACTTTATTCTGCAAATCACTTGCGAAAATATCAGTTGAGTCCAGAAAGTGCAAGATTGCAAAGGCATTTTGTGGGCTAAACTAGAATTTTCTTGTTTTATTGATTGAAGAGGAACAATTTTGAATGAATGGCAGTAAAATGCAGTTTCTCAAGATCAATAATGCACATTGTATGCGTTTGTGAATGCGTGGAAGAGTGAATGGGCGTGAAAAAGAGACAAAATAGATAAAGCAAAAAACTCCCAAGAACAGCGTCTCATATACCGATAATGTTATTTTCAGATACTCAAATACAACTGTTTCTGAAACTACAGAATCAAATCACATCGAGTTGTAAGCTTCAGGTTCCCCTTTCGAAAATACTAGTAATCACTAAATTTGCCTTTCTATCTTAAAACTGAGTCAATTGAAGAGATTGAGAATTGATAATAGATCAAAAAATATTGTTAGTGATTACTAGTGATTTTTCAGTGAAATGATCATCGAGCTCTTTGGCATAAATAGAATCATTTCAAAAGCATACAAATGCGTGAGAGAGTGTGAATGATTTTTTGCAGAAAGTATTAATGAGAACAGAATTATTTCAGGCAATCACTAAATGTGTTGAGAACATTTATTAAAATGTTTTACCTAAAACGGAAAGCCACTCGGTGCACGTACGTATATACAAGGAAATGTTTAAAATTTGACGGATGTTTTGTGTAGAAAAATACGTATGAAAAAGTCCTTCAATAAAGTCAATCGTGAAAATATGTCAAATTTTAAATATTTTACACTTTTTCTAGATGATACAATTTCATCCTTCGTTCAGAAGAACACACTAGAAATGATCTCCACTTCATTGTGATGAACTAATGTTGTAAATTTTATATTTTCAGGTGGGAAAACGCCAGATATTGGATCGCGTGGCTTCACTGAGATTATGCGAGAGCAAATGCTGAAGGGAGAAGAAACAGAGGTGAGAATATTTGTGTCTTTCTGCCATTTGCGAGCATTTATTAACTCTCTTTCTTTCCCATTGCAGCTGCGCAAGAAGATCTTGGAGAAAGCTAAGGACGGAAGCTTAAAAGTCAGCAATGGAGAATCACAGAAAGGCGAGTCGAGGAAGCGTGGACGCTGGGATCAGACCATTGACAACTTTGTGCCGGCCAAGAAATCTCTTCCAGGAGCAGCAACACCAACATGGGGTGAAGACGTGAGTGGATTTTATTGCGATTCTCATGAACATTTGGCTAATTTACTGATTTGTGTTTTCCAGAAAACTCCTGGTGATCATCGCTGGGATGAGACACCTGGACACAAGGGTAGTGAGACACCTGGAGCCACTCCTGGGCAGAGTACAAGAATGTGGGATGCTACACCAGCACATGCTACGCCAGGCCGCGCAGAGACGCCGGCTCATGAGAAGTCCACAAGGAGGAATCGATGGGATGAGACACCCAAGACAGAACGCGAAACTCCAGGTCACAACAGCGGATGGGCAGAAACACCACGAGCCGACAGAACTGGTCAGGATGTGATCAGTGAGGCAACGACGCCTGGAACGGCCAGCAAGAGGCGTTCAAGATGGGATGAAACACCGTCAAATGCCACACCATCGCTTCAGTCGGCTTCAATGACGCCCAGCATGACTCCTAGTATGACGCCTCATGCCACTCCTGGCCACGCTACGCCTCTTCTGACACCTGGAGGATCGACACCGGTCGGACACAAGGCTATGGCCATGGCGACTCCGACGCCTGGTCACTTGGCGGCGATGACGCCCGAGCAGCTGCAGGCTTATCGATGGGAGAAGGAGATTGACGAGAGAAACCGCCCGATAACAGATGAGGAGTTGGACGCGATGTTCCCACCGGGATACAAAGTCCTGCCGCCGCCGGCTGGATACATTCCTCTGAGAACACCTGCGAGGAAACTGACAGCGACGCCGACGCCAATTGCCGGAACGCCTCAGGGATTCTTTATTCAAGTGGAGGACAAGTCGGCAAAATTTGTGGACAATCAGCCGAAAGGAAATCTGCCCTTTATGAAGCCAGAAGATGCTCAATACTTTGACAAATTGCTGCTGGACGTGGACGAGGAGTCGCTCAGTCCGGAGGAACAGAAGGAGAGGAAGATTATGAAGTTGCTGCTGAAGATCAAGAATGGAACGCCGCCGATGAGGAAGGCTGCGCTTAGGCAGATCACGGATAAGGCGAGGGAATTCGGTGCAGGTCCACTGTTCAATCAGATCCTGCCGTTGCTCATGAGTCCAACGCTTGAGGATCAAGAGCGCCACTTGCTGGTGAAGGTGATTGACAGGATTCTCTACAAGCTGGACGATTTGGTGCGTCCGTACGTGCACAAGATTCTGGTGGTGATTGAACCACTGTTGATTGATGAGGACTACTATGCGCGCGTTGAGGGACGTGAGATCATCTCGAATTTGGCAAAGGCCGCAGGATTGGCCACGATGATTTCAACTATGCGACCGGACATTGACAACATCGATGAATATGTGCGGAACACAACGGCCAGGGCTTTCGCTGTGGTGGCATCGGCTTTGGGCATCCCATCGCTCTTGCCGTTCTTGAAGGCGGTGTGCAAGAGCAAGAAATCATGGCAAGCGCGCCACACGGGCATCAAGATAGTCCAGCAGATCGCCATTCTCATGGGATGTGCGATTTTGCCCCATCTCAAGTCTCTGGTGGAGATCATCGAGCACGGGCTAGTGGATGAGCAGCAGAAAGTGCGCACAATCACTGCGCTGGCCATTGCAGCGCTCGCTGAGGCCGCCACACCGTACGGCATTGAGTCCTTCGACTCCGTGCTCAAGCCTCTATGGAAGGGCATCAGGACACACCGTGGAAAGGGTCTGGCGGCTTTCCTCAAAGCCATCGGCTATCTGATTCCGCTCATGGACGCTGAGTATGCCAATTACTACACGCGAGAAGTGATGCTGATCCTCATCCGTGAGTTCCAGTCGCCCGACGAGGAGATGAAGAAGATTGTGCTGAAGGTGGTGAAGCAGTGCTGCGCCACAGATGGTGTGGAGGCGCAGTACATCAAGGATGAGATCTTGCCGCACTTCTTCAAGCACTTCTGGAACCATCGAATGGCTCTAGATCGGCGCAACTATCGTCAATTAGTGGACACAACGGTGGAGATTGCCAATAAAGTGGGCGCCTCGGAGATCATCAACAGAGTGGTGGACGATTTGAAGGATGAGAATGAGCAGTACAGGAAGATGGTGATGGAGACAATTGAGAAGATCATGGGAAATCTCGGCGCGGCGGACATTGATTCACGACTGGAGGAGCAGCTGATCGACGGCATTCTCTATGCCTTCCAGGAGCAGACGACTGAGGATGTCGTCATGCTGAATGGCTTTGGCACAATTGTCAATCAGCTGGGGAAGAGAGTGAAGCCGTATTTGCCACAGATCTGTGGTACGATTTTGTGGCGTCTGAACAACAAGTCCGCTAAGGTGCGCCAACAAGCGGCCGATTTGATCTCGCGCATTGCCGTGGTGATGAAGACGTGCCAGGAGGAGAAGCTGATGGGACACTTGGGCGTGGTGTTGTATGAGTACTTGGGCGAGGAATATCCAGAAGTTCTGGGCTCCATCTTGGGCGCCCTCAAGGCCATCGTGAATGTCATCGGAATGACGAAGATGACGCCGCCGATTAAGGATCTCCTGCCACGATTGACGCCCATCTTGAAGAACAGACACGAGAAGGTGCAAGAGAATTGCATAGATCTCGTGGGACGCATTGCAGATCGTGGGCCTGAGTATGTGTCGGCGCGCGAGTGGATGAGGATTTGTTTTGAACTGTTGGAGTTGCTCAAGGCGCACAAGAAGGCCATCAGGAGGGCGACTGTGAACACTTTTGGGTACATCGCCAAGGCGATCGGACCACACGATGTGCTGGCCACACTTTTGAACAATCTCAAGGTACAGGAGAGGCAGAACCGAGTCTGCACAACTGTGGCCATCGCCATTGTGGCGGAAACTTGTCGCCCATTCACCGTTCTGCCGGCACTGATGAATGAATATCGCGTGCCTGAGTTGAACGTGCAGAATGGCGTGCTGAAGTCACTGTCCTTCCTATTCGAATACATCGGTGAGATGGGAAAAGACTACATCTATGCTGTGTGTCCTCTGCTCGAGGATGCACTCATGGACAGAGATCTCGTGCATCGACAGACGGCGTGCGCAGCCATCAAGCACATGGCTTTGGGAGTCTATGGCTTTGGCTGCGAAGACGCTCTGGTGCACCTGCTGAATTACGTCTGGCCGAACATCTTCGAGACATCACCGCATCTTGTGCAGGCTTTCATGGATGCTGTCGAGGGACTACGAGTGGCTCTGGGCCCAATAAAGATCCTCCAGTACACGCTGCAAGTGAGTATTTAACTTAGATGCAATTAACAATGTGAGAAGTCGAGCCTCTTCGACGCGCGAGATTTTTAACACAAAGCTTTTGCCTTCCTACTCGTTGATTTGGAGAGTTGATTCTGAAGCTGAACACAATCTACCAGAAATTGACAAGAGGAAAATTTTGAAATTCTTTCAAACTAAGGAAAATATGTTTATTGCCTCAATTCATTGAAGTATCGCACCTAAATCAGTTTTATCGCTCTGCGCGTGACCCAAATAGGCGAGAGGTCACATAAATAATATTTTGGTGAACAAGCTGATGAAGGGGGTAAAAAAATAATTGTGTGTTGCCAATAACATTCAATAAGATGATGGAAAATGGATTTTGGATTGCGCTTATCACTTTACTGACCCTAAACCGTGTATTTTTTTCTGTATTTTCAGGGTCTCTTCCATCCGGCGAGAAAAGTGCGCGAAGTTTACTGGAAGATCTACAATTCCCTCTACATTGGCGGACAGGATGCTCTTGTGGCCGGATATCCGAGAATTTCGAATGATCCCAAAAACCAATATGCTCGGTATGATTTGGATTATTGTTTATAAACTCACATTGCAGTATGAAAGAATAGAATTAAGATAACTTTATCGCGAGAGTGTGAAATCTTGCAGTTTTACCCATTTGTCGAGAGAAAATAGAAGTGAGAATAAAGGTAGAATGCTTAGAGAAGTATTGGTTCTTTATTGGGAAAAGGTGTTTATGCAGTTCTCACGCCCTTAACATTCACATCACCCTTCTGCAGAGTCGCGATGTTCTTCAGCTGCTTCACGCGCAGTTTGCACCAGACGAGGAAATTGCCCAGGCCGAGAATTTGGGCGGCGTGCAGCGCGGCCGCTTCGGGATAGATGACAGTGGAGCAGCCCAGGCCGGAAGGCACGTTGAGGCTGGACCAGATGTCCACGGTGAGGTTGTCGGGATTCACTGGTGGACAGTTGATGACCGGATAAGTCGTGTTGCCGGACAGAACGGGACCCAGTCCGTTCGAGCGCCCGGCGACAGTGATGAAGACGAGTTTTCCCATTGTCCCTTCGTACTCGGCCAGGATGTCGAGTGTCGTGCGTGTGCCTTTGTGCGCCGACGTCACGCGTAGCTCAACGTTGAGGCCCAGATCCTGGCAATGCTTAGCGATCTTCTCGCAGTGTGCAGTGTCAGAGGCGCTACCCATGAGAATCACCACGAGGCTGTCGTTCTTGGGCAGGAGGCCCTCAAGCTGCTTGGACACCCACTCGAAGTTGCGCTTCACCGTGTCCAGGTCGGATTGCGTGACACTCGTGAGATTCCTGTACACCTGCTTGTCCACCATGAGGCGCTTGTCGCCGGCCGGCCACAGGCGCCACGAGTCGGAGTCGATGACATCGGCCAGGAGAATGTTTCCCTCCTCGTCGACGCCGAACTCGATCTTCATGTCAATTAGGGCGCAGTCTCGCGTGGCCCAGGCCTTTTCCAGAATCTCGAAAACAACAATGGTATACTGACGCATGAAGTCCACTTCGTCGCGGCCTGAAAAACAACATCAACACATTATCATCAGCTTGTTATGAATATTCGATCGCGCGCGCATTGATAGTGTGAATCGACGAGGAAGTAGGCGAAAAAATCCAACACGTGGTTCAACAAATTTTCCAATCAATCTTTCGCTAAGCTTCAAAGAGATGTTTGCTCACCGATTTTGCGGCCATTGAATTCAAAGCCGGCCGCCAGAATTTGCTCTTCGCACCACTGCGGATCGTGATTGGCGTCATCCTTGAAGAACGTCTCCTGCTTCGGCGGGCAGAAGCGGAAGCCCTCAGGCACACCCGGATTGCGCCTGAGGAAGGATCCTGTGGCCAGGCGCCGAGAGACCCACTCGATGGGAATCATGGCGCACTTCTTGGCCACAAAGGCCGTGTCCGTGACCGACTCCACGAACGCCGTGTTGAGACCGGTGGCGTTGAGCAGCCCGAAAACCCGCCCGTTCGTCAGCGTGGAGATCGCCGCCTTTCCCGCCAAGTCGTGCGCCTTCACGCCATCGCCCGCCGTGATGCGATCCTTGCTGAGGATGAGGCAGTGCCCCTTGCGGTTGGGCAGATCGAACACTTGCTTGGTCTTGCCCTCGATGAGCAGTTGCCCCAGCTTGTGACCTCCAACTGGCAAAGTGGCGTGACAAAAGGCAGGAATTCATGAATTATTGGCTCAATTGGATCTCTTCTCACCGAACTTACTCTCCTTTGCAGACATCTTTAGTATGGCAATGAGGAAGTTATCAGCAGGAAAAGCTCGACTGGGAGTGCGAGAAGACTTGTGTGAGCACGAAGAGAGGCGCCTTAACTGAGTGGCTGGGAAACGTGCTTGTTCAGCAAGAGTTGTACTGATAATGGGAATGTATGTAGTGGAGTCAGAACGCCTGCAAACAGCGCGACGTGACAAGAATGTAGACGGCACATAAAAACTAAGTAAACCCACGCGCAGCCTCACTTGCAAAAAATGGGATTTTTAGAGGAAAATTGGAATGTGATACACCTAATGAACATCAGAAAAGTCTCTAAATGACAAATGATCTTCTTCTCTAACAATTTGCAAAGTTATCTCAGTTGATTTCACCTGAAAGTGTACGAAATTTATGGAAATCAGACAGTTCAGTAAATATAATCTAATTTACAATACATAAAGTTTGCGTTGAGTGTCTCAAATTTTCCCAAATTACAAGAATCATAGTGAATTTGGATGTTTTTGTTTGAAACGGAAAATAACTTTGTCATGATTTGCTGTTCCCGCCCTTCATTGCTCAAATTCGATTCATTTCATTATTTGATCACTCACAAAAATGATCTTGACGAGCAATTCCAGCTCACAAAAAAGAGACGAATCCGGTTTTCTGGCCTGACTCTCGAACACCAAAGCATTTTGGCCCCTTTGCTTCATTAGTTTTTCTTCTTATTTGCTGTCCAAAACTCCTTCTGAGAATTTTAGGTCTCATTTGTTCACGAAGAAGTGTGAAATTTTGACCGATATTGCTGAAAATTTAAAAATGTCATTAAATGTGTCTCAGTCATTTTTGCCACTCTTGTAATTTGCAGGCTTTCCAAGGAATTGCAGCTGAAGAGTGGTCACAGGTCAAAAACACCAGTGCGACCCTGTGCCCATCCCCTCCACTTGTCGGGCGACAAACACATGATCTTTCTCTCGGTTCCAATATTTCGTCTCCCTTCTGGATCGTTATTGCTAATCGACAAACAAATAGTTAGGGATGTGCTTCGCTGCGTCGCAAGTCTAATCAGTGCGCTGGAATTGAGACAGCCTCGTAGAAGCCAAGTTCCACGTGGTGCGCACGACGAGCGCAATTGTTGGTAAATCATTGTGAGTGAGAGATAGTTTGTGAGCGAGCGAGACGGCAGAGCGGGAGAACAGGTAAAGGTGAAGCATTCCTGTGAAGCAATCCCGGATTGCTGGCAACCTGCAGATTTCACAACGTTCCAATTTCTCATCGCAGACAGTCCAATCTCAAGGAGAGCGAGAGCACAGGGAAGAGAGTAGAAATGGAAAATCCCGCGGGAAACCAGAACAAAGAGGAAGGTAATAAATATTTTTTTTCCCCATTTTCTCTCCATCCAAATCACGTCTATTTACAAAAATATCCTATCTTCTTTGAGCGCAATTAAATTTTTCCGCGACGATTAGTTGATGAGCAATCTCAAATGGCCAATTGAGCATGCCTTAAGAACTTAACCGACTGCTCGTGCTCGGCATGCGATTAATTGGGGCAAAAATCTCTCGCCAAACATATCAATCATCCCCTGAGACACGGCGCCCGGAAACAATGATCTGCTCTATTTTCCATCGATAGTGCGCGCGGGTCGCTAAAAATCGCAAATCCGTGCATAAGAAATGTTTTTTTCCCACTTGCTGGACAAACAACTTTCACTGACTCTGAGAGTTGGGCTGAAGAATTGCGGATAAGCTCGGGATCAGCACAAGTGTCAATCGCGCTTTTTATCGCCGATCGTGCCAATATTTTAGTTGAGACAAATAGTATAAATAAACATTGCCACGATGCGAATGATGCAATATATTGATAGTTGGGAGGCAAACACACTCCATTTCTAGCCACATTTTCCTATTCACATCTCACCTCTGCCCTCAGAAATGCTCGCAAATCCACGTGGCTTTTGTGCTGATAATGCGATACTTTCTTTTGAGTCATTAAGATCTCTGAAATCGACTAAAATTTGTAGGAAACGAAAAAAAAACTCCCTCACCTATAGCAGAGAGTTAACCCTCTACAGACCCTGGAATTTTAGTAAACCCAAATGAGTTTTTCATGTAGATAGAATGAGTGACTCAAAAATTTGGATTCTTTGAATTGGGTGAAAAAAAATGTAAAAGAATTATTGTTTCTTGCAATCTAAAATATCCTTAATGACTTACATATTTGTCTTACTACCGAAAGCCAAGCTTTTGATGCTGAATATGCGTTCAAAATATCCTAAATTGAGTCATAAACCCCAGAAATGCAGCAATGCAGATAAAATTTTTCTTCACTTCAAAAATAAGAGTAATATTGAGCACAACGAATTATTTTTGCTACAGATTTCAAATGAAAATTTTTACTTTAGGTACAGATTAAAATTGAATGTCAACTAAACATGATGAAGATAAGAGTGGAAAGTTACAGAAACTGAACATTTTCCATGCAATTTCTGTATGAAAATATTGGTAAACTCAAGACTTTCTAAAACATAGCTAATAATTCGAGAATTTGAGTCAAATATTGCGCATAGAAAATCCAGTTTGATAATATTGCTATAATGTTTTGCATGTTGAACACATGAAATAGGGGAAAAAAGATTAATCTCGATTGAATTCGTGATACGAATAAATTCAAAATATTGTGCATGAAAATCATAAATGAGCTTCATTTCAGAGTTTTCGCTTAGAAAAATAATCAGAACGTCCTCATTTACTTGGGAATTGACTCAACATTAACTACTTTGAGGCCTTTCAGCATAGTAAAAGTGTCTGAGAGTGCACTAAAACCGATCTTATCGCTGTTCCAGAGCCCAGCGGCGGCGAGACACGGGTGGAGCAGACTGGATTGAGGCATGAGTGCGGCGTGTTCGGCGCCGTGGCGTGCAGCGACTGGGATGTGGCGCAGACGGTGTGCCTGGGCCTCGTGGCGCTGCAGCACCGCGGCCAGGAGTCGGCAGGCATCGTGACGAGCGAGGGCAAGTGCGCCAAAAACTTCAACGTCTACAAGGGCATGGGCATGATCAACAACATCTTCGACGACGACGCCATGCGCCGCCTGCGCGGCGGCCTGGGAATCGGCCACACGCGCTACTCCACGTCCGCGGCTTCTGAGGAGGTCAATTGCCAGCCCTTCGTCGTGCACACGGCGCACGGCGTCATGGCGGTGGCGCACAATGGCGAGCTGGTGAACTGCGAGAGCCTGCGGAGGGACGTGCTGTCTCGCGGCGTCGGCCTGTCCACGCACAGTGACAGCGAGCTCATTACACAGGCGCTGTGCCTCAATCCGCCCGAGGGCGAAGTCAACGGGCCGGACTGGCCGGCGCGCATCCGCCACCTGATGGACCTGGCGCAGCTCTCCTACTCGCTGGTCATCATGATGAAGGACAAGATCTACGGCGTGCGCGATCCCTACGGCAATCGCCCACTCTGCATCGGCAAGATCGTGCCGCTGAGCAGCAAATCCTGTGAGTATCTCGAGTGAACTTGGGACGAGGTCATTGCCGGAGCACTTTCGTGCGGGGGGTCTTTCGTAGGACCAAAATTGATATTCTTATCGGTCTGTCTGGCCTCTGAGAGCTCACAACAAATTGACAGCAAAGAGGAACACAAGAAAGAAACAATTTCCTGAACAGCACAATGAAACTCGCTCCAGTGTATTTCTTGAGGAGAGCAACATTGCAATTCTATAGTAACTATTGAGCATAAGAAAATTTATCAAGTAAAAAGTGGGCGGGTCTTCCAAATAGGCGAGGTTATAATAAAGCTCACTTGTATAATAGAAAAAATTTTCCACACTAGAAACGTAAAAAAAACATTAATTAATGCTTTTCGCTTACTTTTTCCAGCCAAAGTGGAGTCCATGAATGCCGAGGGTTGGGTGATCTCGAGCGAGAGCTGTGGCTTCCTCTCAATCGGCGCCAGGTATGTTCGGGAAGTGCAACCGGGCGAGATAGTGGAGATCACTCGCAATGGAATCCGCACAATTGACATTGTCGAGCGTCCGGAGAAGAAGAAGCAAGCGTTCTGCATCTTCGAGTACGTGTACTTCGCCCGATCCGACTCATATTTTGAGGGACAAATGGTCTATTCCGTGCGACTGCAGTGTGGCAGACAGCTGGCCCGCGAAGCTCCCGTGCAGGCAGACATCGTGAGCTCCGTGCCAGAGTCTGGCACAGCCGCAGCCCACGGATATGCCAGAGAAGTGAGTTTTCCTCCTGTTCCTTGCGAATCCCCAGTCAATAAATCTCTTCTTACAGTCTGGCTTGCACTTCGCTGAGGTGCTGTGCAAGAACCGATACGTTGGCAGGACATTCATTCAGCCCTCAACGCGTCTTCGTCAGCTGGGCGTGGCCAAGAAGTTCGGCGCCTTGACAGAGAATGTGGCCGGGAAGAGGCTAATCCTGATCGACGACTCAATCGTGCGCGGCAACACAATCGGGCCGATCATCAAGCTGCTAAGAGACGCCGGCGCTACGGAGGTGCACATCCGCATCGCCAGCCCGCCACTGCTCTATCCCTGTTACATGGGCATCAACATTCCCACGCGCGAGGAGCTCATCGCCAACCGCATGGACGCCCAGGCGCTCGCGCGCCACGTCGGCGCCGACAGTCTCGAGTACCTCAGCGTCGAGGGACTCGTGCGCGCCGTGCGTCTGGACCTGAAGTCGGACCAGCCAAAGGACCAGATCGGGCATTGCACGGCCTGCCTCACCGGAGAGTATCCCGGAGGCATTCCCGAGGAGCTGAGCTGGTGAAGGGCCTCTCCACCCAATCTTCCTTCCCTTAACGACCCCAAATCAACGGAGTTGATTGGACTATTCTTTTACGGAAATTGTACAAATCGCACTGATTCTTTCATGTACAATTTATTCTCTCTACATGTCGAATATCAAATGGAGAAGCGCAACTATTTTATTATACTAATTAATGGTCTGAGAGGCATAGGTAAGAAATCATTGTAAAACGTCTTCAGAGGCTGGAATTTCAATAAATCCCTCAATTTATCAACTCTCTAACTTTGACTCTCTCTCTTCTCTCACCTCGATTAACTGGACAGTGAAAATTCATCGTCTAAATTTGATAATTTATTATTGCTATTTTCAAAATAAATTATATAAAAAATTTTAACAGCAAACTGGATCCACACAGATCACGTTTTGCAAAATAAAAATTGCTATTTACTTTTCACTATGTAAAAATTTCAGCTTGCAAACCTTGTCGTTTATCAATTACTTTTATCCATGATGTCTTACTATAAACATTATGAAAAGTAAAAACTATTAACGCTAGACTTTAATAATTGGCTACATCAATCATGCGCGTTCGCATTAACATTTCGGATGTGTCAAAGCTGTAAAAAGAAACTTCCTTTGCCTTTATGATATTCAAAGAAAAAGAATCACTTGCAACAATATTTTGAATATTTCTACAATGAATGAGTAAAATGTAAGATAAGTTGCTTAAAATTTTACATTACATGACTTCGTTTTGTTCATTTAATACAAAATAGAGAATGCGCAGCAAATCAACCGACAATATTGGTAAGTTTTTAGTGACGAATAAGTTTATATCTTGTTCTTCTGCTCCTCATCAAAAATTGTTAAATTAATCATTCAAAATACATGAATATAAATATATTTTTTTTTTAACAAAGTCTCCCTACTCTTGTACAAATTACAATAAAAGAACATTTACAAAAAAAAAACATTAGATTAGTGAGAAAATAAATGTGATTAGTTCCTGCAAATGTACGCCATTTTCTTCGCGAGATTCAATTGAGTTTGAATTTACTTGTGAGAAGAAAATTTAAAAAATGCTCACTGAAAATCATGTCTTATCAAAACACACTCATCGTGCTCGCACCCCACAAAACTCTTCCCAACACAGAAAACATGACAACCGTCCACATGTGATAATAAAAGTTATGTCTCATATCGCGATATCATATGTCCTTAAACAACGCGCTCTTCGCATTCTTTAGCTTATCCATTCTTTTCAACAGATGATTATTTGCCGTCTCCAGTTCCTCAAGTCGCTCCATCGCTTCCCGATTCTGCAAATATGCACAACAATGCTGCTGTTTAAGTGATTTCTCAACAACATAAACTATTATCATTAGGATTTGTTAGTGGACACAGTATTTATAGATAACAAATCTCTCTAGTTGTTGTCATTTCATGGACATGAATCACTGCACTGTGCAACAAGAGACACACTTGTGTAAACCGTTGGCCACGAAAGAAATAAATCTATTGAAAGCCACGCCCCTTCGAATGCCCCGCCCATTAGAGCAATTCTGAGCGGGACAAATTTTATATTACTACTTATGCTTAAGAAGCTTACTGTATTCCTCATTGTAAAGCTTCTTTTCAATTATATCAATATACATTTCATTGTGAAATATTTTCACAGTATTATTTTCCCATCGGAAATTGATCTAAAATCGCGTTTATTTGTGTATCTCTTGTTGTACAAAGCATTGTTAGGGAAAACTCTCACTCTCTATTTACAAGGGATGTCCAAAATTGGCTCAAGAAACATCAAATCAAATGGGAAGAACTATTAAGAGATAAATATGGAATTGGGGATTATCAAATCAATTTCTCTCTCTCTAAAAATCCTTAAAATCTATATCAAACAAAGTACCGACTGAAGGACACTTCGGGTGAAATATCGCTTCTTATTGCGGGTGACATTCGTCCCATATTTCAATGATATATTTCTGAAATGATGTTTTCGCGTTAAGCGCTCACATTCCAAAGAGAAAACATTTTATACAAGTGTATCAGCGCCATTGAGCGGAAATAATTGATTGTAATATCGTTTGTAATGAGAAGCAATTACACTAGTTCTCTTACCTCTCTCTGTAATTTTCTCCGCTCGATCTTCAATTCCGCCTCAGCCTTTTCAGCCGCCTCGGCTGTGCTCTTGTACCGAATCACTTGCGTCTCTGATCTGGCCAAGGTGGACTGAAGTGTCGCTATTTCGGCTTCGGCTTTTTGGAGTTTGTACCGGTATTCAGTGATTTGTTTATTTGCTTCTCCTGCAAGATACATTGAAGAAAGGAAATCATTCACTGCATTTCTCACTGCGCGATTACACATTGTCCAACATTCTTTCTTTCTCTCTCACTCTCTTATCTTCACATGCAATTAAGGGAGTAAATTGTAGTTTATTTTTGAAAAAATTACGTCAAGCATTCATTCTCATGTGATTGATAACAACTACAGCAACTTCTACTCATTTATTCGCAAGTACACACGAGCGAGTCGTGCTCACACTCACGTTGTATATCTTCAATGTCATCCCCAAAGGGTCCATTGAGAGATCCTGATCGTCTTCCTTGTGTTTTCATCTCTAGCATTTGCTCTTGCATCTTCTGCAGTTCCGCCTGAAGTTGATTCTTCTCATCCTTCAGCTTCCTCAGTCGCACATCTGCAATACATTTGGAATTAGTATTCTCGCTCCATCGACAGAAACCACCGCTTTATACCTAGAGAACCTTGCACAGACTCCAAGAACTGGGCATTATCTACGCTGACTAGAGTCCGTTTGGCATCTGTGCCATCCTCATTCTCCACCAACACTATTACTAATCCTTGCTCGGCAATTAGAGTGTCACGCTCCTGAAGCTGTCCCTGCACCAGTTTCAGCTCCTCCTGCAGCTTCTCGTCGCTCCGCTTTAGAGCCTCAAACTCACGACACTTGTCCTTATGCTCGCGACTCAGTTGCGCCTTCGCCTCTTCGCACTCCTCCAACTTATCCTTAAGCAGCTGTATTTGATATGACTGAGAAGCTCTCTCGTTATCGAGCTGAGCATTCGTGATCATGGCCTTGCGAAAGCGATCCTCCATTTCCTGTGTCAACAAGAATAAATTACTCTAATCAAAACCGCTCTACAGCACAAAAACACCGTGAAACTCACCTTGAGTTCATATCGAACATCCCTGAGACTTCGTCCCTCCTCTTCCAGTGAATCCTCACTGCTCCGTCGCGAGATCGTGCTCCCACTGCGGATGCCTGTGGAATTTGCCACGGATGATATCGCGATTCGACTTCTCCCAATTCCATCCGCATTGGAGTTGTTGTGCATATCAAACACACGGTCAGCATTTTGTTCCTGCTCCTTCTGCTGCCTCTCCAATTCCCGCATCCGAATCTCTCGCGCCTCCGCGCGCGCCTGGCGTCTGGCAGCTAATCTGGCCTCAGCCTGTGACAAAAATGACAAAAAGTGTATTAGACAAGCATTAGCAAAACCGCGCCGCTCGCATACAAGATCATTTGTATGCTCCAGGAATGTTGAAAGAATCTCATCATCCACATCGCCATGATGAACATCTTCATCCTGATTTTCTGCAGACGTCGTCAATTCCTCCTCATCTGCACTACCAACTAAACTGCAATCAGTCACGTCTTCTCTGTCTCTGGCGAAGAGATCAACTAAACTGTACACATCTTCTGCCTCCTCTGTCATCTCTTCAGTCTCTTTCACCATCCCACACGCCCGATGAAATTCCCTCACTGACACGCAAAGGTGTAATAAATTTTTGCTTCAAGACTCAATTTCTGAAAACGCACTATCTTCACCTTATCACTTCAGCCCACAGCTTTACGTATCGTAATGTAGAAATCGATAAGATAAGAGAGCATTAAATTGTAATGATATTCGCACGTAGGAATATTATTTAGAATTCCTTCTCTTCAAGTCGTCAGCATTATCAGCATTTGCGCTATGGTTTGACGGAAATTTCCTAACCGATTCGTCAGAAGTGTATCGGAATACTGAGTGTCTTATGAGAATTCATCAGAGTCTAATTTAATAATCAACAAACTCTTAGTTTATCAAAAGACACAATTGAACACTAATTAGCAATATAGAGAAATGTTTTGCAAATTTCATGGAGAATTTCATGTGGTTCTATATTGCGATTCAATATAGAAATATTGTATTCACAAACTACATCTGAAATTAATTATTCGCTTATCTTAATGTTGTTCTCCTCAATTTGGCAAACTTTTTTTTCATACTATTTGCACTGTCGAAACAAGGATTCAATCAATTAGCCTAATTGCTGATAATTCAATCGAACAAGTAAATATTTCACTCAATTCCAAACAATTTCAAGCACAGAAATTCCATTTACACTCAACAAAAATGCATATATGGAAGTATATTTGATTCTTTACCTTCTTTAGAAAGTTTACAGATTAATAATATTTGCTTACATCGTCATCATTTCTTGACCATAAACTCCAGAACCACGACAGCATTTTGTATTAAGATTCTGTCTTGACGATAATCAGCTCTTATTAACAATAACAACAGGGTTACTTAAATATTTATAAGATAATTTAAGCCTCAATGGAATAATACGTGGCGAATGTCTTGACTCAAGAGTGAACTGAAAATTATATTTGTGAAAAGTAAAATTGGATCTCCGAAATACGCGCCACACTAAAGTATAAGAAATATTGTATGTAAAAGATAATATTTTACATAATTCCACCAGTGTCGGTGATGTACATAACACAATAGTGCAAACACGGCATGTTCAACTGATATCTTTTCATACTATTCCAATACAAATTCCTCTCCATGTGACGTTTAGCATTTTTCTCTCGCATATGTTAGGAAAATATAATCAATAACAATTATAAAAAAAAATTGCCACACTTGATCTTTTTCTCCACACTTCATCTGTTTCGCACATTCTCGATACGCGCGATCATTTACACAACCACTTCAGTGCAATTCAATCGAGAAGCGATATTTAGCAATTGATGACGGAGAGATCATTAGACTCTTCAAAACGCTCAAAACCATCTCAGCCTTTCATCATCTCTCATTTGTGTGTGCTTAAGCACACAAATTCCGGCGATGAGCCATGCACTTGAAATAATCACCAACACACTTGCGCATCGACACTAATTTAACTAGCAAAGCTACAAGCTCTCTTATCTTCCACCGATATCAATGCAATTTCACTGCGATGTCGCTAATTTGGCGAGAAAACATTCAACAGGCGAATACGCAAAAAATGACCAAAAACCAGCAAGAGAATGTCTGATCTTTCACTGCGGCTGAATCATATGGAATTCATGGAATTACACTAAGATGATATCACGCCCAATTTCGTCTCCACCACAAATTTGATCACTTAAATCTCTTGTCCATTGTAAAGGCAAAAGAATGAATATTCATGCAATACTTTTCACAGCAATATCGCGCAAAAGTGATTCGCTTCACTGGTTATCACAACTTATTGTGCTGTGCGAAAGTGTGATACACTTTTGATAAACTCATAGCGCTGAAGTGAGACGTGCTCCTTGAGCAAAGGTGCTTCGGTAACTAATTCTCTTGACATTTCCACAACCAGTAGTTCTTATTCCCACAATTTTATCGCCATTCGAAGCCACAATTTATGTGTAAGCTTTCAACTTGACACGAGACGCGTCTCAATGTCTGGAGAATTCTGTCTACTCGGCAAAATCACGCGAAATCCCTTGCAAACTTATCAGGCTGGCGGTCAGTAGCATTTGATTATTTGGAGATTGATTTCGCGCCGCATGGAAATGTGGTATAGAAAGTGCCAATGAAATTAACACGGAAAGTGAGTGTGAGCTGTTGAATTGCAAATCTTCCTCTCGGCTCAACAAAACGCAGATAAGCGTGACTATTTTGCTGCAACTCAGATCTTTTTCACCCAATTCACAATATCCCTCTCTCTCTCACTCTCTATCTCTCACCTCTTTCGCAATTTGATCGAGCGCCTGATCTTCCGCATTGATTCGCGGCGCTCCGCGGCGCCGTCCCGCTGCGCCCGGACTCTCCATCTTGTACTCCGCACTGACAGCCTCTCTGCTCATCTATGGCCACAGCACTTGTCCTCAGGTCTCTCGCGCCAGCACAGAAAGCACTTTGATCTGCAATGTACACAAAGGGGCCGATATGAATAATCACGAGAGGGAAGAAACACATGTGAATTTGAGAGAATTCGAGTGTGAAAAAGCCATCGAATGCGAAATATTTCCGCCCACAATCACACATCTATTGCTGCTTTTATAGAAAGAGCAGCATCTCAAGCATAGGTCAGAGAAGAGGAAGACATACTCCTGTGGGAGTGATTACTATCTGCGCTCTTCACTGGCGTTCAACGGCTATTGTCGACGAACAATCATGATCAGTTGAATTAGTTTTATTGGTTTTATTGCTTCTTTGGCTAAGGAACATTTACAACTCTGTACAAATCTAGGAATCTCGTATTTCGATTGAATGAACTTAGGAGATTCAAGATTTAATCAAACAAAACTATTATTTTGCTATTAACCTCTATTTTACAGATAAAAATTCAATGAGGGAAAGCAAAATGTAACGTCTTTAAATCATGATTGTTGCTTTTTTCGGCAACTGGGCGGGGCATGAGAGAAGGCGGACTTGACAGGTTGACTCTGGACTGCCTGAGAATCTCAGGAACCGTTGGCCTGAGCAGCCTATCGTGATCTCAATCTCGTCCGTGGAAAGATCACATATCGCGGGAGAGGCAAATGCAAGAGTGGCCAACGCGATGGACACTTTGGCTGTTGTGGAAAATGTGAACCCCAGAGTTCAAGGCAGAGTTCAAGGTCACGCCGAGGAAATCCCCACTGAAAAACGAGCACGAAAGCGCGAGATTGAGAATGTTCGTTCTCTTCTTGTGACATTTCAGCGTGAGGAATTCACGCAATGTTGCATTTGCGTGTCGCAGAAGAGAGTCGATATAGAAATACTCTGAGGACGGCGGCCACAAGCACACACTTTCTACGCAGCCGGAAAGCGAGGACTCAAAGTCTTCCGGCTTTAGCTTCTTCGACACTCAATCTGTTTTCTGGGGTGAGATCGAAGTGAATCTGCCTTTTTTAGGGTGAATAATTACCTTCAAATTTTTGTGTGTGCCTCTGATGGTCTCTTCACAGTATCGCGCACTTTCTCTCGCTGTCGAATGCGGTGATTTTACAGCATTTTTGCAGCTTCTTCACGCGACAAACCAAAGAAAAAATCACTCTTCTTCCGTGAGAGGCTGACAAAAGTGACAGCGGCCAACCACTGAAATTTGGGATGCAAAATAACCACCTTCACCAGCCATACGGCATTGTTTTCAAGCAATCACAACAATCTTTATCATCCCACAGACACAATTAACCGGTTTAGCGTTATCACAACACCCGAAAGACGACCCAATCTTATCAATTCAATTCCACATGTCGCAGAACAAATCCTCTATCGCGAACGCAATGAATGGTGGATTCGGCGTCAGTGATTTACACCACAGATGGCGGTGTTCTGTGGGAAATTTTGGCGAGGAATCTCGATAGATTGTCGCACTGTTCTCAAATTATATTCACTTTTATGCTATTTTGCTTGGTATTTACAGGAAAATTTGTCAAATTTCCTGGTAACTCGACTTCAAAATAGATCAAAAGTGCGGTTTTCTTCGCAACTATTGGTAGGCCTGCGTTGAGCAACTCGGTGACACTCCGAAAATTAAATGCCCGTGACGTTCGGAATATGCCAGAAAGTTCCGGGACACAAGGTAAGTTTTGCTCAGCATGGAAAATACTAATTTTCCTTGAAAGTAGATCAAAAACTGTGATTGCATTGCACTGGACTAATTGAGGAGATTCGCCTGATAGTATTTTGTGTGAATTTCAGTGAAGTACTGAGAAGTTTCTTCACTGCCGTGTCGACAAGCCAACTCTTGAGAGTGTCGGGGAAAATTCGCGGAAAACAGAGCAGAAAATCATGTGTGCGGCAAAGACGGAGCTGAAGCCCTTCGGGGAGGATGAGTACGGCCGGAAGATTGATCGGTGCCTCACAGATGTGCTAGTCAAGTCAGGTAAATCCATCGGAAAACACCTCAGTTGATTACATAATTTTCACTGGCTTTCCCTTGACGTTTTCAGCTGGTGGCCTTGCACTAGGAGCGGTATTTTCCCTGCTTTTCTTCAAGCGGAGGCGTTGGCCGCTGGTTCTGGGCACGGGCTTCGGCACAGGCGTCGCATACACGCGCTGCGAAAAGGACCTCAACTCAGCGTCATCCTAGTTCGCGAAGCGCCCAAAAATCCTCCTGACCGGTGAGAAAAGTTATAAATAAAAGGGCATTCCTGCCCAGGAATGGAAGAGCGCCTGATTTAGTGAAAGAGAGAAACAGTCATTAAAGAAGAATATTCAGTTAATATCCATTTTTATTGAATAATTTCATATCATTTGTCATTATTCCAAATATGAATTTCTTCTACGAGTGTGATTTCATACAACATTTCTTGTTTTTTTGTTCTTCTCTCTCTTATTTTTAACGATCATCGCTTAATATTACGTTCATTTTTAAATAAAAAATACCATGTAAACAAGAAATCATATTTACTTTATAATGAACATGTAAAAAGGTCGAACACTTGGCACTCATAAATCAAGAGAAAACTTATCAATATTTATCTTGGGTAACTTTTTTGGTGTCTTCTTTGAGAAACAGCCTCTTGCAAAGTTGAGTAATATTTCTCTCACACAGCAAGAAGCGTCAATTCGGCACAACTGTACAAGTTAAATCAACAAATCACACATTCAACAAATAAATAACTAACAATCCCTTCTAAATGCCATTAAACCGAAAGAAAGAACCAGGTAAAGACTATCGAGACTTCCGGATTCTGCTAATCTTATTAAATGTCTTATTACAAATCTACCTTTTCTTGCAATCGAATTCCAATAAATTTCTATCGTGTAAAGAGCATTTCATTGAAAAAGTCCTAAAACTGTATGTCTTCAAGGATAAAACGGCATTTTCTCCTCCCCTTTCAAATCCATACTAATCCAGGCTGTTTTTATAAAAATGTGACTAGAATCTTGTTTATCAATTTTATCAAGTTATGTCTCACTAACTTTGTGAATATACGTTTGAATATAATTAGGATCTTAATTTTCAAGTAGAGTTTTGGGTGCTAACTTTGTGTGTTTGTAGCTCTTGGAAAACCATTACTTTGTTGGAAAATCCGGCCAGTAATTGATGTAGTATCTATGAGTTGTGCCCTCGAACAGGCGATCGAGCCAATTGCTCAGTCCGTCCAGCAAATTCTCCTCCAAGAGAATGCGCGGCTCTGATTCCGTGCTCACGGAACTGTCAGACTCGCTCTCCATGGCCAAGAAGGATCCGGCCTCGGGATCTCTGTAATTATTGCTCAGTTGCCGTGTCATCTTCAGCATTCGCTGTAATCAGAAAAAGGGAAATTTTGCATTCCAACGTTCTCTCAGAAAGTTTTGTATTAAGAAAAAAAAAATATTGAGGAAATTCTCTGTGAAAATAGTGACATTTTTGTCTTAGGGAGCTCTAATCTTGCAAAATAGGATTGAAAACAAATCTCAACCTTTAAACCGACACTCAAAGTGACTTCAACTCACCTTTGCGCCGCGACTTGTCTCCGGATGCTTAGCGTGATACATGCAGAAGTACTTGCGATGGCCATTGAGCGCGATGACCGTGCCGATACAGTTCCTCGGGTTGATCTTCAGGTCGCGCGACTCCGTCAGCGACAGCCTCAGCAGTTCCGTATACCAGGCCAGACCCTTCTCAATCAACATGTGCGAAAACATGAGTGTCTTGTTCTTCCTGTACGGCCACACTGCCTTGTGGTAGCCGGGAATCAGCTTGCTCCGCGACTGCAGATCCGTGACGAGTACAATCGTGCGACAGCCCGGCTTCAGCAGCCGCACGAGTCCGTTGTACTTCTCCGCGCGCAACTCGTGGAGCTTTAGCTCGGGCACGTAAGTACTCTGTGTCTTCGCGGTGCCGTTATTGTTGTTGCTGGCCTTCGTCTTCTGCTGCTGCTTGATGTTCTCCTCCTCCTGACGCACGAGGTAAGCCATCAGGTAGCCCACGCCCAGAATGAATCCCACCGTGCCGAGGACAGAGAGCGCCGGCAGAATGTGCTCGCGGCCGAGATTGTCGGCCAGATATTCAAAAGTGAGCAAAACCTTGTTGATGATGCGCGACACGAGTCCCTGTGCGTGTTCGTCCAGCAGATCCTTCACCTCGGCCTCGTATGTCAGCGCCTCGGACGCCCTAAGGAGGCGCTGGATGGTATCGTCCAGCTTCTGCTTCGTGTGGTTGTAGTGATCGGCCGTCTCATTGTTCACTTGATGCACATGCAGCCGAGCTTCGTCCACCCACTCGTACTTGATGTGCGTGGTATCGCGGCGCCAGATGATTACCACGCGAAGCAGCGTCTCCTGGTCGTCCTTCCTGGCCAGTGCGTTGATGAACTCCGCCTGCTTTTCCTTGAAAATATACGCGAAGCGCACTCTTTCTGGATTGTAAGATGACTCCAGAGCGATCTTCCGCAGCGCTTGTCTGGCATTGTCGTGACTGTTGGTGTTCTCTGTCACGAGGATAACACAGAGACGCTTCCTGGGTCGGTTCCACTCAGCTGGGCAAACACCCTCCAGCATTCCCTGAGACGAGAGGCGCGGCAGGGCGAGATACTGATTCGCCGCGATGACATTATTGAGCGTCTGCAGTGGAATATCGGACATTGACACACTGGCGACCGGACGCGAAACGTCCTCATTGAAGATCAGCACCGTGTCGAGATTCGGGTGGACCTTGTAGCGCTCCTTGATGGCATCGCTATGCGGCGAGTTGAGCTCCACGAAGGCAAATGCCACGCGGAAGCGGAAGTGAAAGGCTGAGAGGAGATATCGCAATCTCGGCTGACCGCGAGGCTCCATCACGAGCGCCCGCACGCGATTGTCATTCCAGCCGCTGAGAAAGTTGTGCACATTGTTGTCCTGCACCGTGGGCACCAGTTTGTAGGGTAGCTTGTGGCGCAGGAACTCCACGATGCGCTGCACACTGAAGATGCTCTCCTTGTACACATAGAACTTTCCGTCCAGGATGAGCACGACGCATGGTATGGAATGGACATTGAGCTTGCGGACTAAACTGTTTTCGTGGCCCGAATTGATGGTGGCGAAGCTTGTCCCAAGCGGCTCTAGGACGTCTATTAGCTTCTTGAAGGCACCCGCGGCTTTCATGCACGCGAAACACCAGTCAGAGTAAAACATCAGCAGGTGCGGAACTGTCTGACTCTTGGGCAGGATGTTGGCCTCGAAGTACTTGGTGGAAACGGAAAGCTTGTGGAAGAGGCTGATATCCTGGTCAAAGTGGAAGCGATGTCCAAAGAACTCCTCGAAGGGATCCGGCGAGAAGCGCCCATACTGACTATAATCATGTTGCTCCCGAAACATGGCTGCATCCTCATTCGTGATGCCGTGCAAATCATACGCCTTCCGTCTATCCGCGTCCGCCAGCAGCTCGTAAGCCTGCTTAATCTCCACGAACTTCTTCTCCGCTTCCGGATCGTTCGACTTGTCCGGATGCCTGAAAGGAGAGTGCATTAAGGACCAAGAAATATGACCTCCTGCTCAACTCACCATTCCTTGGCCAGCTGCTTGTACGCCCTGCGAATCTCTTGGAGAGTGGCGTGCCTTCCCACGCCCAGAATCTTGTACGGATCACCCAAATTAGCCGAGGCCTCGCAGGCGACAAGCAGAATAAGGAAGAGCACCTGAAAAATGGCACTCCATCTCATTTTCACTCACTCACGCTGTCTCTTGTAACGCAGCAGCACTTATTCCACTCCACGACAGTCTAATTACTGACTTCCACACACTCTTTTGCACATTTTTCCACCAATTACTGAACAATGTGAACAATAAACCAAAATCGATCTCATTTTTTCCCTTCTGCTTTTGCTCACCAGCTGAACGTCAAAATTGACACACGCACACTTTCGACACCGAAAATTGAGCAACTCTCGGGAGGGGAAATTGAAACAATTGATTTCAGGGGCCGATTTTATTTCAATAAAATCCCTGCTCATCTCTTATGCCTCGTGCATGTCCTTCTGCACCTTCTCCCAGTGGAACAGAGGCCCATGATCGGGGCGGTACTTCACGTTGCAACCATCGGGGGCCAGACGACCGCTGTCCCTCATTTCCTCGTACACATCGCGATCGTACTTGGTGAAGCCCCACTTCTTGGACACAAAGATCTTCTGACGCCCGGGGAACTTGAACTTGGCGCGGCGCAGAGCCTCCACCACGGCACCCTTGAAACGATCGCTGGAGCGCACAGACATAATGGGCTTCCCAATGTCCACACGCGCTACAGTGCCTTGTGGCTTGCCGAAAGCACCTCGCATTCCCGTCTGGAGCCTGAAAAGTAACGCAAAATCAGCATCTGACCATTCACATAGCCAAAAGAGGACAGTAATTTGAGATAAAGGGCATCAGTGGTTGTCAATGTTGGGGTAGAATCATCGTGTTTCATATCCCAGTGCTCGAAGCTTTCATCATTGAGCAATTTTGCGAAATATCCCATGAATGACTGGCAATTTCCTCACCTATCAGCTCCAGCGCACGACAACATCTTATTGATGCGAATGACATGGAAGGGATGCAATCGCATGCGGATGTGGAACTGATCCTTGCCGCAGTGCTTCACGAGATACTTGTTGCAGCAGATTCGGCCCGCTTCCAGAGCCTCAGAACTCAGCTGCTCGTACTCGTCGGACACCAAGTGGACACAGAGCGGGAAGTCCTCGACTGTGGCCTTCTTCCTGCCCAGATCGAAGATACGGATCTTCGGGTCAGGCACACCGCGGCAGAACCGCGACTTGGGGTACGGCTTGTTCTTGCAATAGCGATAACTGCAAGGGAAAAGAGCGATTTAGCGAGTCAGGAAACACTCAGATGAGGTTATGTTGTCTCATGCTCGATTGTGGTTGAAAATCACGGAAATTCAATCTTCCACCACACCCAAGAGCAGGAATTTTTAATCTGCCTTCACATTAAATTAAAATCCCGGTAGTATCTTAGTGATTTCAATCTCCGGGTGATCCTGAAGGCCAACACAAAGTAGGAAAAAAGCCACTCACCATCTAGCTGGACGACGACCCATTTTGGCGTCTGAAATAATACAAAAATACTTCCATTATAGCTTACTTTCTGCACTTTCTCCATGATATCCTCGCACAAGGACATCATTGGCGTGCGATAGGATCAAGAACCGACCCGCAATCACGGGAATTTGTGTTAAAACAGCAGCAGAAGCTGCAAGCAACATACCTTCGTCACCACGTTTCAGCCAGAAAGGAAGTGCAAGTGACTCGTGGTGAATTTCTTGACAGCCGGAAATCGCAAGTCACCCTCTCGCGGCAATTCGATGAACTCAACTGTCAAGCATCAGTGTTGAATTTGGTCGTGCCTCTCTGATTGAAAATTTCGCAAAAATAGCCATGGCAGGACGAAGCAGCGATGTGGAAATGGCCCAGAAGACGTGGGAGTTGGAGAACAACATCGAAACACTGCCGGCATGTGATGAAATCTTCAAATACGACGCTCAACAGCAGCAACAAATTCAGGTAAACAAAGCACTTGTCAATTTAAAGCTGTTTTTCATATTCCCGGAATCCTTTAGGCTGCTCGTCCATGGGACAAAGATCCCCACTTCTTTAAGGACATCAAGATCTCAGCTCTGGCGCTCCTCAAGATGGTCATGCACGCCAGGTCAGGAGGAACTCTGGAAGTTATGGGCCTTCTTTTGGGAAAAGTCGAAGAGAACACAATGGTAAGACTGAAAAATTACGAGATTTCTGAGAATTCACGAGTTTTCTCCCTTACAGATCGTCATGGATGCCTTTGCACTTCCGGTGGAAGGAACAGAGACCCGTGTGAATGCTCAATCGCAGGCTTATGAGTACATGACGGCATACATCGAGTCGGCTAAAGAAGTGGGACGCCTTGAGAATGCCATTGGATGGTATCACAGTCATCCAGGCTACGGTTGCTGGCTGTCCGGCATCGATGTGTCCACACAGATGCTGAATCAGAACTTCCAGGAGCCTTTTGTTGCCATTGTGATCGATCACGTGAAGACAAGTACGCAATTTTTAGCAAAATTCTGCAGAAGTCTTTCCTAATATCTGTCTTGGTTTCAGTTTCAGCCGGAAAAGTCTGCCTAGGTGCTTTCCGGACGTATCCGAAGGGATACAAGCCGCCGAATGAGGAACCTTCGGAGTATCAAACGATCCCACTGAACAAGATCGAGGACTTTGGCGTGCACTGCAAGCAATATTACTCTCTGGAAGTAAGCTATTTCAAGTCGGCGCTGGACAGGAAGTTGCTGGATTCTCTGTGGAACAAGTACTGGGTGAACACGCTCGGCAGCTCAGGTCTGCTTAGCAATTCTGACTACACGACTGGCCAGATCTTCGATTTGTCCGAGAAGTTGGAGCAGAGCGAGGCGAGTCTTGGCAGAAGTCCATTCGTCGTCACGGGATCTGATCCGCACGAGAAGCGCACGGAGGACAGACTGTCTAAAGCAACGCGCGACTGCAGTCGATCGTCCATTGAGCTCATCCACGGACTGATGGCGCAAATAGCCAAAGATAAGCTCTTCAACACGGTGGGAGTGAAGCAGAAATAAGGATTCTCTAATGATTTATTGCTTAATGAAGGCTTTGCCAATTCTATATGCAAGACTTCCGCGTATTCTTTTCCCATGCAACCGAAATCCTTGGCTGAGCAGCGGAGGCGTTCGCAGGAAAACCCCCTCGCCGTCTGGAGACCACACCTTCAGCGCAATCTCGTCATCATTCGCATTCACGCCAACCCAGCCGATGGACGAGAAGACAATGTCGGTCACTGTGATCGCACTGCGCTCTCCAGTCACTCTGAATTCGCAGCCACACTGCAAGGATGGCCAGGCTTTTGATCTCTCAGACAAATTCTGAGGCACTTGCAGAGCATCTGTGGTGAGTAAATCCGCGTAAATTTCTTCGGCTTTGCTGGTGTGACACACCAAGATAGGAAGTCGCAACGATGAGTAGACAATCAACCTGAGAAGGGAATTGATTAGCTGGTGTAAAAAGTGTAGTTGAGCATTTTCAACGTTAACTCACCGGATCGGCTGCCGTCCTGCCATGAAATCGATTCTTCCAATGCCGGCCAGGAAGAGAGACATGCCGGGTTTGATGAAAAACGTCCGTGGGCGCAGCATTGTCTTGGGGAGAGCCATCAAGATCTCTTCGATGTTGAGTTTGTGATGTATTTGGGCGGTCAGAATGATTCCGGGTGTATCATAGCACCATTTTCCATCCCGGTAGGTTGGGCTGTCCTCATTCAGCCCTTGCGACTGGACATTTGACCCACCCATGGCGAAGGAGTCGCGAACCTCCTGCGGATCGGGCTTAAACGACTGCCCAATGTGCCCTATGAGTGTGGCGTGTTCCACACTTCCCGTCTTGTTGGCTTGGATGCGCCGCAATTTCTCCTCTTGTCCCTTGGCGTATCGCTCTGAGATGATGCGCTGCGTCCGCACGTAGAGCCTGTAGTCTGACGGCCTCATAATGGGGAACTTGAGGAGGCGTATAGTGGTTCCTGGCCACGGAGAGGCGGTTGCTCTCTTCACGAGATCTTGCGCCTGCACTTTGCAGTAGTCAGAACGCAGGAGGGCGTTGAAGAGGGAACTCTTGCCCACGTTCGTCGCTCCAATCAGATAAACATCTCCGCGATAGCCCCATTTGTTGTGCAGCTGCGTGATCAGCTCCTCCACGCCGAATCCTGTGGTGGCGGATATTAGAGCCACGTGCTTTATGTTCTCCTCCTGGATGCCCTTCTTCAGCACCTCGTCAACGAGGCGGTCTTTGATGTTGTCCAAGTATCCGCGACAGTCTTTGGGGATGAGATCCACCTTGTTGCCCACGATGAAGAGAGGCCTTTTCTCGCCGATCACTTTGTGCACGTCTGCCCACACGGAAGAAGGAAAGTCTAGGAGATCCACTATTAGGATCCCGAGACCGGGCTTGTGGGCAATCGAGGAGACTATCTCCAGGTATTCATCGGGATGGACACTCACGTTGAGCGCAGTGTTGTAGTTCTTAAGGAAGTGGCATCGCTGGCAAATCATCGTCTGCAATTCTGCGATATTGCGTTTCTTAAAGATTTCACTGGGAAGGTAACCGGGGAGACTGGGCTCTGCACACTGAAGCTGTGCACCACATCCGCTGCACGGCACCTTGGAAATAGGAACAGAAGGATCAGGTGTGCCGTACTTTACATCAGTATTCTCATCTTCGTCGAAATACTCATAATCCTGCAGCCAGTTCGGTTGTTTCTTCTCTGACACCTCCTCTCTAAACTTGCGCATCTCCTGCGTCCTCAGGGACGTCAGGAATTCCTCATCTTCCTTTGAGAATGTGATCTTGTTGTTTCCTGGAGCTGTGACTTCCTCGTAATTTTCCCGGTCTTCTGGTGAACTTACGTACTTGAGCGCCAGGGGAAATGCCTTCACCTTGCCACTGTCCAAATGCATTTTTCTCTCCTTGCTTTTGATCATGTTTTGAAGAGCCCGGCCTCTCTTGAAGCCCAGTTTCAGGAAGTGATCTTCCATATAAGAGCTGAACAGAATATCATTTTCATGCTTCTGAAATACCTCAGAGACTCGCTTATTCACTGGTTTCCTTAAAAATGTCACCACCGTCGAGGTACACTTGGTATCGATGAGGAACAGATGCCTCAATCGCAGGAAATTCCTACTTTTGCAAAACATCTTCTCGCATGGATGCGTGAAAAACACCGCAAAACACGCGTGATTTTGACACCTTGCATTGTGGCGCCGTCTCTGAGAAATTGCAGCAATCGCGAAAATGTAAACAAACCACGAAAGCAAAAAAGAGTACAAAAGGTATTTTCCAACTCATCTGATGGCAGAATCTCTGTAAAATGTACCGTGAAATCTGTGTTGTGTCGTCTTTTTGAAAATAGCTCGTCTGTAGATATGAAAATCACAAGACGGCGAGTGTTGATGTACACTTTGTACGGGCTTGTGATACTCACTTTGTTGTTTTGGCTGTACAAATGGTCTCAGGATGATCCTGGACACTTGAATCCTTCGCAGCGAAGGCACTCGAAGGAGGAGATCACAATTGCTGTTGTGACATGTGGATCGAGGCTCCACGAGACGCTGAACATGTTGAAATCCGTGTTGCTGTTCAACACTGAAGAGTTGCCGCTCAAGTTTGTCATCATCACCGAAGATGATCTGATGCAGAGCTTCTCAGAGAAGCTGAGCGACTGGAAGGAGATGCTGAAGGACAGCTTTAGTTTCCAACTCATGACACTTATATTTCCGGAGAAGAATCGTGAAGAGTGGATCAATTTATTCAAGCCTTGCGCTGCTCAGCGGCTTTTTCTGCCCGTAAGTCACTTTAGAAAGTTCAGAATTTCTGAGATGTTGAGCGATTATATTCTTTTTCCAGAGCCTCCTTAGTCACATCGACTCCGTTCTCTATGTGGACACAGACACCCTCTTCCTGTCCTCCGTAGTGGACGCTTGGAAAATGTTCCGGCAGTTCAATGAGAGCCAAATTGTGGGTCTCTCGCCTGAACATGAGGACAGTAGTGTTGGCTGGTACAATCGCTTCGCCAGGCATCCTTTCTACGGTCCGCTGGGACTCAATTCCGGCGTGATGCTCATGAATCTCACGCGAATGCGCGCTTTTGAATGGGAGCAAAAGATCCTACCCATCTATAAAGAGTACCGAACGAAAATCACCTGGGGAGACCAAGATCTCATCAACATCCTCTTCCATTTCCATCCGGAGAAGCTGTATGTCTTCCCGTGTGAGTGGAACTACCGTCCTGACCACTGCATGTACATGAGCGTTTGCAAGGCGCCGAGCGGCGTAAGAATTGTCCATGGGAATCGAGGGTACTTTCACTCTGAGAAGCAACCGGCTTTCCGGGAGATTTTCGCGGCTGTTGAGGAATATCAAATAGGCTCGGATCCTTACAGACACTTTCTATTGCCGCTGATTGTGCGGTTTAAGGACATCTCCGTTGCCAATTCCAACTGCGGAAAAGTCACGGACAAATTTCTCTACAAAGCTAAGCAGATGTTCAAGGATAATTTCTATAATTACGATTAGATTTCGAGGTGTTGTGATAAAGGCTGGAAAATTTAAGTACCATCAAACTTGCCATAGGAAAAAGAAGCAGCAGTATTTTTTGTCATATTTTACTTTGTACTTTTTGTAAGTCTTTGTCATGTGCCTTTTTTCAATATAGAACAATATAATTTTAGTTGGCTGGTGTTTTTCTGTTGTAAAGTTAATTGGACTCATGGTGATGATCGTTGGATTTGAACTTATTCACCACTCCAGGTGGCGCTGCGACGTTTATGGGTGTCAAAATCAAAGATCGTTGATGTGATTGATGTAAACAAGAGGAATTTTCACAATTTTCTTCATAAATAAGATAAATAATTATTGGAGAAAGCAACAATGCCTTTTCACGAGATTAGTGCCAAAACTTCGTTCGTGGAAGATGTGGAATTACATCAAATGCAAGTGAAATACTGCAAAATGCGGATTATTCTCAACATCCTCAAAGAATCTTCGAAGAATTCAATGATTTCATCTAACAAAACCCTGAAAAATTATTTTCTCCTGGATTTTCTACCTAAAATTCATCCTTGTGTGACGCTACCAAGTAAGATTGCAAAGACTATTGAAGACAAGTTATTAAAATTCTACAAAATCGCCTTGATTCTTACAGAACAAATAAGAGAGCGAATTTCGACGCTTCCTGCAAAGGAATGCTTGATCCTCAGGAATCATGTTCACCAGCAAATTCCTGTTATCTGCGAACCGCTGCTAAAAGTCAGCAGATCAACACTGAAACAACATCCCGAGATCTTTGATAAGTCTTTCACGCACGTGGAATTGATCGACAGTCTGGTAGAAAGGAGACGAGCAACGATTTCCTCTCTACTGGAGGCCAAGAAAAGAAAATTACATCTCCTGATGCAACTCATTGAGAGACGCCTGGCTCCAGGAAACGTGACTGATCTGGAGACGATGCTCCTGAAGTTCCAGATGAGAGAGCAGAAAGTCATCGGAATGGACAAGTCGATTTTGCAATCGATGGAAACTGAAGAATCTCAGGCATTGGCGGCTTATCGGGAAATTGAAAAGCATCTTGACGAATTGCTGCACTCGAGAGGATTAGCCATTAACTATTTGTCACAGTAAAACTTTATTGTAAGTATTCTCTCTACTTTCAACAATTGTTCTAGTAAAATTTCCAGCACAGAATTATACAAAGCTTCATTACTGCAGAGAACATTGTTAATTTTCTCTATATTGAAACAGGATAAATATGTTATCATTCCACACAAACTCTCTCTCTCTCTCTCTTTCTTCAATCACTAAACACAACTTGACATCACATTTCTTTCCTTCCGCATTCACGTAAAGTTACTAAAGTCAGTTTTCAGTTGAATCGACGGTTTCTGCAGAACAGTCATCTTTGATGCTGAATTTTCAATATCATTCTTGCTCTTCTGCTGATTGCCTCCACTCGTTTGTGTGCTGTTGCGAATTGCAGTCTCTAGGCGTGTCCTTAGGCCTGAATTTTGTGACATGAGACTCTTGAATTCCTGCGAAAGTGCAAAATGCATGGATTAGAAATCGGAAATTATTACTTTGAACGAGATTCTCTCACCTGTGGATACTTTGGGCCTATTTTCTTCAGCCACTGCAAAGAGTTTTCATGCAGCTGAACGCATTGCTTGCTGCTCACGCTAATTTTGTACGGATCCAAGAGGAAACTGATCAGGACAGGAACAAGAATCGCGAGCATTTGGCTTCCTGTGAGGAGAAACAGCAAGATTTTAGTACGAGTCTTCAACTATAAAAAGCCTTTATCATCAAGCAAACAATTTCTTTGGAGAAAGATTCAAGTTCATTGGAATTTTTCATAGCAAGTCCCTCCCATTCAGATTCACAAGTTTCTGAACAATTGTACCTTGATAGAGATCTCCTGATAGCCAGAATAGAACAGATATCGCAGTGTTTAGTCAAATTCTTCTCACTAGAATGGTAAATACTCACTTTTGCTGGGCTCTGCGAGCATTATGAGAGCCTCAACAGTTGTAATGCTCTCCAGAACCAGCGACAATTCAGTGTCAGTCTTCATGTTCTTCACACTCTCAGCGTACAAGTTCTGAATGATGCGCGGCGCCAAAGCGTGAATGTAGGGCGTGCCGACGGTGAGATCGGCGTTGGTGAAGATCGAGCGCAGCGTCTGAATGCACTTGACGCGCACCACTTGATGGTCACTCTGCAGACACTGATGGAAGTGATTGATACACGGATACTGCAGACCCGGCACGGCGATGTACTTTGCGGGAAGATTGAGTATAAACACCGCGATGGCGAGCATCATTGTGACTTCGTCCAGCTTCGTCTCCTCGCAGCCCGTCTTCATCATATCGATCAGGCGATCGAGAGCGCTCTGCATCAATTGACACCACTGCTCGCTCGTGGCCTCATGCGTGGCATACTTGTCCACGGCCACGGACTTGAGACACTTCAGAGTGGCCTGAATTGTTGGGGAATTGGCCAGGATTGTGCTGTCGCTGATAGATTTTGTGGCGATCTCCTTAATGATGGTCGTTGTGAGATAGAGAATTGTCGGTAGGATCGACAATGCCGCGTCCGGAGAGCAGAGTTGCGTCAGCGACTCCAGACACTGAATAGCCGCCGAGATAAGAATGCCACTGTCTTGACTGATCTTGTACACACCATTAGATGTGCTGCCCCACTGCTTCTGCATTTGCTCGACAGTTAATCTGGCAGATTGCATGGGATTCATCGTGGGAATCTGGCGCACAAACAGGCAGTAACACACCTCAAGAACAGCGTAAATGTGCGACTTTCCAGGAACAATCTTGTCATCTGTCTCCTCAGCTTCGCTGTTATCCGTCACAGCGTTCTGCTCTGACCACATTTTGGCCGCCTCAAGTGTCTGCTTCAGGATCTCCATGCACAGCAGCTGCACTTCAATGGAATCTCGCGTGAGGATGGATCTGTGCAGCACATTACACAGCTCAATATTCAGCGAATTGACCTTCATGAGTTGTTCTCTAGCCCACACAGAGTCGAACACTGTGCTCAGCGACTGGAGACACGAGATGACATTCTCGTCCTTCTCACTCGATCTCGTACTGCACAGTGCTTCCATGCAGATCCCGAAGATCATGTGAAATCTATCCGCACTCACGCTTCCATGGCTGATCACTGAAGAGTTGTTGTTGTCCGAATTTCTGCCATCATCACTCGACGCCACGTTGTCATTACTCGTCTGAGTATCCTTGTGCAGTGCGAATCCCTCTGCGTTGAGCCACAGCGAGGCGGCGTACAGAATCGGTGGCCACGATGCCATGTAGTGCGGCTTGGAAGAATTCATAGTGTCTGTCGTGTAGAAAGCGCCCCCATCGTGAGGCAATTGACTGGAGAATTCACTGGGAAGAAGGAGTAGCGCGTGATCCTTCAACGCTGCTAACCAGTGATGCGAAAGATCACTCAATTCCGGCCGCACTAGAGCCAGCAGACTCTCTCCACTGCTCTCAAAGTTTCCAAATTCACCAGCTTCGTCATCACGATCGAAGCTCTGCGACATTGACAGCTTTTTCAGCAGCACACTAGCTGGTGCCGATCCATTTCCCACCATCGCCACGATGTACACCTCAGCCCACGCCTTCAGAATGCTCAACTTCTCCAGCGTGGCCATGCTCTCATTGTACAGCTGAGAGCTGCTTGTCTTGCTGCTCAACTTGCTGAGACTGGACACAAGAAGCTGATGCACCCGACGCAGGTCATTCATGTCGCGCGCCACGCCTGAGCCAATCCAAGTGGAACAGACTTCACAAGCGGCTGCTGTGACGTGAGACGGAGTATCCTGGGCAAAGGCTGGTCGAAGAGCAGCGCCCACCTGTTTGAGAAGAGATAAATATAGTTAGGATTGCAGACAAGCATCAATTAGACATTTGTGAGTGTCTCACCTGTGCTTGGAACTGCTCCAATAGCAAATGCCCAGGAAATTCTGGCTCAGGCACTCTTGCGAATTTGTCAATCACCTCCTGAAGTGTCTTCAGTCCAGCCAGACGCAATTGATCGGAATCACTCGTGGCCGCCATGAAAGCCATCCTGATGAGGTCGGACAAGTGAAGAACCAGATAATCTCCCTTGGACTTAGTCAATTGAATCTCCTTGGCCAGATGCAGATCAAAATGCGCCGCATGTGCATTCTCACACGAGGATATTATCTTCTGCACGCACTCAGCCGCGAAGACGCGTGTTGGCCAACGAGGTTGAATAGCGGGATGCGTGGTTGTGTCCTCAGCATGATACTGATCCATGTCGTCCTCATCATCAGCCTCGTCGGCGAGATTGGAGGAGTCTTTGCCTGTCGCCTCATCAGCAGCACTGAAATCCGTGGCGACTGTCAGCACGTTCTTGCACAAACTCAGCCATTGGGAGAGATTATCCGCCGCCAACATCTGGAGCATCGAAGTGAGCGTGTCATGAATGTTCTTTATCATCTGCGGATCTGTCTCAGTGTCAAGCATGCTGAAGAGATAGCCAGGCAAACCATTCTCCGAAATGGACTGTTCGACTTCCTCAGTGGGAACAATTGCCAGGGCGTGATCACACACTTCTTTCGCCTCTCTTTGAGTCAATTGCCGCAGACACGACACTGCAGCCTTCCTTAGCATCAGATAATCACTTGACAGCGTCCGACAGAGAGTCGGAACAAGATTGGAGAGATTCACATGGCGAGGCGCGAAGAGATGCAACTGCTGAAGGCATTCTGTGGCCTCGGCCTGCACAAAAGGATCGCTGTGAGCATGCATAATTGCGCAGGCACACAAGAAGGATGATCTGGCAGCACAGATTGACGCTGCATTGCCCTGCAATTCGGGGCCTATTGTTGTGATAAGTGCACTGAGAACGCGTCCGATGCACTGATGGACATCCATGTGAGTCTGTGGAACACTGAGAAGGAGTTTCAGGCACAGCGACAACGATGGTTCAACATAGCCTCGGAACATGGGCCCGCCAGAGTCTGCGATCAGTGACAGTGCGTAAAGAGACCATACTTGCACCACAGGTGAGCTTCCGTCCTGTGCCAGTGCCAATAAGATGGACACACTCGTGTTGAGGTGCTGCGAAGATCCCATTCCACCAACGTATCTGTGCAGACAGCCCAGAGCCAGCGAGTGTCCTGTGCGAGTCACGACATCTCTAGCTGACTTCAGTCTATCGAAGCTAGTCTGCGCCAATTCTGCCGTGAATCTCGAGTCGCCAACGACCTGAGCGATGCGTCCCAGCGCCTCACCAGCGGCGCATCTCAGCACAGAATTTGTGCTGACAAGAGACGCTATGATCAGATTTGTTGCACTCTTCTTCACATCCTCCTGGCCAATGTTGCACTTTGTCTCTGTCAATCCTTTCAGTCCGCTCAACAAAGCAGTGAAAATGTTCATCTGCACAGCCTCTTGTCGTGTTGTCTTTGCGTGCTTTATACACTCAGCGAAGTGATCCAGCATCTGCAATCGATGCTTGTTGGCCACTTTGGGGAAGATGAGGCCGAAGAGAGTGACCGACGTGTCAATTACCGTCACGCCGAGCGGCAGAGGTCCAGGACAAAATTCTGTCTTCGGCAGAGGGCGATAGAGAGAGCAAGGATCGTGCTCCAGAGCTCCAGATCCCGCAGCGCTGTTGGCTTCCAGCTGATCCTCAATTGTGTGGTGATCTGTGTCTTGCAGCCACGAACCGAGGATGATGGAGTCGTCAGCGTGGCACAGTGCCTTGAGGAGTGAAGTTGTGGTATTGGCTGGATTTTCGGCCAGTGTAAACTCTGCCACCAGCATTCTCAGCAGATGCGTGTAGGAAGACTCCAAGGCATTCGCCGGCAGGAGCGTAAGTGTTTCGTAGAGACGCAGACGAACGATCGCCGCGGGCGCCTTCAATTGTTGGCCATAAGTTTTCAACACGGAAGAAATGCTAAAAAGGAAAATTTCGCTAAATATCGAGAGAAGAATCGGAAAATCTTGCAACTACTTACTTGACCAACATTTCTACAGCATTCTTAATGGAAGTGTGGAGTCTTCGTGTGTTGTCGTCAGTCATGAGGAGTTCAGGACAGTGCAGTAGGAAGCTGTGCATGACTGACAGAGCTCCAGCTCGACCTTCGAGAGTCACTTGCCACGTGAAAGCGTCGCCTCGTGCCTTCTCACTCTCCAATTCATTCTCAGATTTCGGGAAGGAATTCCGCCACAGAAGACGCACTCTGGGCAGCACGCCCTTTACCACAGGTGCTCCCAGCGTCATAATGGCTCCAATCAACAGCCACCCAGCTTGAGTCCTGGCCAGCGACAAGCGACTATTCTGACTGGCGGTCCTCAATAGCTCTTCGGCGGTGTTGAAGACGACTTTTCCCTTCGTGTGAGGAATTCCCAGCGGAGAAAAGCGCACGCTGCCCAGAACGGCGGCCAGAGCACTGCTGTAGCCCGAAATTGCCTCAGGAGACGATCTCATGTTCTCCATTGCGTCAATGAAGCGATCGATGAGTGGCGTTATTTGACTAGGCACGGCCACACAGATGCATCTCAAACACCACGCGGCCGCCAGTCGAGCAGCCAGACAAGGGTGAATAAGCACAGCGCAAGTGGCGTCCACAAAATTCAGGTGCTGATCGTTCAGTAGGTTTTGCGCTGTTGTTCCCAGAATCAAAACTAAACTGCCCAGCTCTTGCAGAGCACAGACCAGCAAATGTTGACTGAACAGTGTTTCCTGATTGGAATCCTTCGCATTCTCCGGATTGAAGTCAATGGTGTTCATTTGCTTCGCCACAATCTGCACGAGCTCCTTGCACGTGGACATTTGCACCTTCTCGCCAATCATTTTGCCCACAACAGACCGCAAGATGAAGTTGATACACTTGCGTGAATATACAGCATCGACGTGCGATGACGCCGCCTTGGGATTTGCCACCAGATCGAGAATGTGTGTGAGGAACTTCTGTAAATTCCTCTCCAGCCAAACGCTACCCATTTGTTGTACCAAAACAACATAGGCATGCGTGACTCCGACTCGCACTTCGCGATTAACCGCCGTTGTGCCCTTTATCATCTCGCCAGTGCCTTTGAGGAAGGAAACGCCTCCACGCAGAAAGCCAGACATTAGAACACCCAAAGCCTCGTCCAGTGATATCGAGCGCACGACTTTCGCAGTGTTGAGATTCGCCACTGTTTTGTCAGCTTGTTGCGTCATTGCTGGAAGTGAGAAGAGCTTGTAAGACTCTCTCGGATTACACATCAACTATGAATTCCTTACCTATAAGAATGCCCAGGAGTTTCGCAATTGAACATCGCACTTCGTAGTTACTGCCCTCGAAGCCGCGGAAGCAAAGTGTGGCCAAACTCTCCAGTTCAGTGGTGTAGAGGAAAGGTGTGTGCTTCACCATTTCAATGAGACACTTTGCCGCCGCCACGCGAACAGCCATCACTCGATCAGTCAAGCAATGTCTCGTCGCCTTGTAGATATCCTTGTGAACATTAGAGATTGCAGTTCCCATTCCTGCGCACACCTTCTCCAATGTCACCATTATCTCAATTCGCGTTTGTGACTCTGCATTCTTAAGCGATCTAATCAGGATTTGAACAGTCTCTTCGTATGATCTCCCCATCATTCGTCCCAGCTTCTCGTACATGCTTCCAACACAAGTTATTGCAGCCCTGCAGTGAGAAAACAGAAATCTTACAGCATGCTCCTGCAGGAGCAAAAGGAATTCTTACAGTCTCGTTGGAAGGAAACTCGGTGAGTCGTCCCTATTCTTTAGAATATCGTTGCACTTGTTCACAGTATCAAACAGGAGAAATGTGTCTCCGACAGAGAAGAGCGTGGCCAGACATTGTGCGATGAGTTTCCTGGTCGGTGGGCCAGGAGAGCTCTGAATATGGGTCAGAAGCTGCTCCACAAGTTTGTTTTGACACTCTTTTATATCATTCTGTAAGGAAACACCGAACAATTAAAGCACATTCCGCAGAATCACCCTAATTTTGGCGGTTTCACCTTCTGGGCAGCCACCAGAACTTTGTCCAGGAAGCGGAGCCACTCAAACACGAACAACGGACGCTTTTGTTCGGGAATTTGATTGAGGGCTTCCTCGTTGAGAGTTAAACTGTGCGACATTTCCATTGCAACTTCTTATGATTCACTGGAATCGCGAGGAAAATGCAGAAATATAGCTGAAAGTAGAAAACAGAAGAAAACATTGGAGAGAAATTGTGTGTAAAAACACCCGCCGTCACTGCTCAATTCATGCGCTAACAAAGTCTTTCTCTCGCCTGAAATTTGCATGAGAGATACAATTTTTCATAGTCCAGTGATTCATTTAGTACGTGGAAATGAGAATTTGCCCAAATGTAATTAGATTTAATTGATCGTGTGGCATTTTTTGGCTGTGCCATTGGACAATCACGACGGTGGTCAGTTTAGGACGGAAAGTCACATTAGCGCCCCAGCTTTGCATTTACCTTGACCGGAAATGGTTTCTAGAGGAATTGCAGAGTGGAAAGAATTGTATTATTTAGGTGGAAACATCTTTTTTAACACTACTTTTGGAATCAATAAACTCTTCACTGCACAGAAAATTTCACACACCTACAATGACGTCCAGCCCAGTGTGAATGGAACTGATTTCGAAGAAATCAGAAGACTGACGCGTACTAATAATGAAGGCATATAATCAATTAGAATTATTTTGATTCAATATTTTTCTTATATGCTTAATTGCAATTGTGTAATAAGTTCACATGGGGTTCTTCGGTTGTTCTCATTCACGATGAATTTCCTTAGAGTTTCAAGTTTGAACTCTGCAGAGTATTTTTTAGTCATGAAGCTCTCTTTGCAAAGAGTCATTCAGTCGGGTTGTTCGAAAACAGAACGTCAATAAAGTAGTCCGAAAAACAATGACGTAGGTGGTTTTTGCTCTCACTGCAAAGGCAATCAGAAGTGCTCAAGGAATGTAGTGCAAGGCAAATAAAACAGCCAAAATCCCAATGAAAACACCATCGGAGGGCAAATATTAGGTAAGATTTGGACAAATGAACACCTAAATTGGCGTGTGTGCTGTGCAGTGATGTCGCAAAGTGTGTGAGATGTGTTGAGGGCATCCATTGATTTTGTGCAGCATTGCACACAAATTGTTGACATCTTTACATTGAGTCAATAAACGGGAGTGATTCACCCAATTTCATTGTTCTGGTTCCAGGATTCATCGTGTGCTTGTGCGGAGAATGAAATAAGACAGCGCGATGCCTCGAAATTACGAAGCTTCCGGGGAGTTCTCCAAGTCATCCCGCACTTGGCTTCACAATGAGCAGGCTCTGCTCAGTGAGGAAGGAGTGACATTCAATGTCCGGGTGCGTATTTCCTCTGCTCTTCAGCCATAGACTTCCTCTGTGCTGAGCTTTCCCTTCTTTTGCAGTACATCGGATGTTTAGAAATCAAGACATCGATGAAAACATTGGAATTCACGACACGATCGCAAGTGGCCAAGTATGAAAAGCTCCCAGAGTTGGTCAGGATCGATGACCTCAGAGTCATACTTACTTTCTTGCAGAGAATGCATCAATCGCGTGTGCGAGGCGGCAGGACTGAAGGCATCGCGGAAGAGGCGCGTGGACAAGAAGATCATCCAGTGCATCTCGGAGAAGCCCATCATGGAGAATGCGGGCGCCAATGTCACTCTCACAGTGTCCAGTAAATTCCTGTCGCTGGTCAACATCGACACGGGTGACATCATAGCCAACAATGACATGCCCAGAATCTCATTCGCGTCCGGCGGCGACACAGACACGCTGGACTTTGTTGCCTACGTGGCCAAGGATCTGAAGGACTGGCGAGCATGCTATGTGCTCGAATGCGGCGGTGGACAAGCCCAGGATTTGATTGCCACGATTGGTCAGGCTTTCGAGTTGCGCTACAAGGAGTTCTTCAACAAACCACAGTAATTCAAATTGACTTTTGCCATGCAATGCTTGAAAATTACCAAAATTTCGCCTGTTTTACAGAGAATACAAGAACGTAAAGGATTCTCCGTACAATTTGCGGTGTGATAAAGACTACTACAATGATTTACCTGGGAAAGTTCCGCCGGATTTGCTCTTTGACGGTGATTTGGCGCAATCTCTGTCGCATTTAAATGTTAAGGTGAGGAGAATTCATTGATTTTCCATGCGGAATCAAAACCGAATGAGCGACAGTTTCAAGGGGAAAGTCTCAAGTATTGCATATGATTCAAGTGAATCTAAATTCCCGAAGTTATTATTATTTTAACATACTGCTGAAGAATTATTTAAGCACCTTATAAAAACTGTACAATAACTTATCTGGCATTTCAGCTTGAAAATTTACGTGTTTGACTTGCAAGCAAAACAAGCCTCTGACCTCTTTAACCTATTTGAACTATTCGAAACAGAATTCCATACGAAATTACCATATTTTTTCCATTTTGGAAAGGTCTGTGATTGAATTTACATTGTATTTCATTAATTTTTTTTAGCAGACATCTCATGATCGCATGAGCACAAATTTAATAGATTTGAATAGTCCAACACTGGAGCATGACTATGTCAATGAGAATCGACAGGCTGGAGCTTCAGAGGCCACAGCGAGTACTTCATTCCAAACACGCGATCTCTTCGATATGCGTAAGTCCCGAAGGAGTTGCGAAACACGCAGAGAAACCTTATGATTGCGTCTTTTATGCCTTGCAGAGCCATTCTCGCTGTCTGCCGAGGTGCAGAGGTCGCAGCTGATCACAGAATCGTGGTTCCATGGCGCGATAAGCAGACCTGTCTCGGAGAATCTGCTCAAGAGCGATGGGGATTTCCTGGTGAGGGAATCTCAGGGCACGCCAGGGCAGTATGTTCTCACTGGAATGCAGTCTGCGTCGCCCAAGCATCTTCTACTTATCGATCCCGAAGGAGTTGTGAGTACTTTTCATTGATTCTGACAGTCCATGAGAGATTTCACATCCTTTAACACACACTTTGCTTTTGCCCACAAGGTCCGGACGAAGGATCGTATCTTTGAGAGCATCAGCCATCTCATAAACTACCACTGGACAAATTCCCTGCCCATTATATCTGCAGAGAGTGCGCTAGTCTTGCGAACACCAATTCTGCGAACATACGAGCTGAAAGTGACAAAGTAATTCAATTCTTAGACGTAATATTTGCTCCAAGAATGTATTTTTCTCCTCATAGAACAAAAAAGAATCATCTATATATCCAAATATTATTAAAGAAAAAAATGCACTAATTATTCCTGATTAGAGAGAGAAAAGATAAAGAGATGTTATAAAGAAGATATTTTATTAGGAAAAGTAAAAATCAAAATGTAATTTCAAAGTGTAAATGAATATACAGATTTAACTTCACGCGTGGCTTTGCTTAATCCGATAATCGTGTTATCAAATCACGCCATTGTCTTATCGTGAGTCACCTCATCAATAAAACAGAAGGAAGAACACAATTCTCACATAATATGAAGTGGGAAGTATAAATTTTATTGCCATAAATGGGAAAAAATACATAAACTGTGGACTGCATAATTATCATTAACTTGGATGAAATGCAACTTGAATCTGCACAAATCTAATTGACAGTAAGTCTACAGGAGGAATATTAAAATAAATTCAATACGGTTCATTCTACCCACAATCCAGTAAAATATACGCCAGGATAAAAGCACGTGTGAATATAAATACCAAAAAAAAATCAAATTTGATGTCGTGTTTTCCGCTCCTATCACAGATTTTATAATTTTGCTCTCACTTTCTCGTGCTGCTTAAGAACTTTGAGGTTGCCCAAGAATTCGAAAAGGTTCTGAATGTACTCCTCCTTGTGCTTCAAGAAGTGCTGCACATGCGGCGATTTATCCCAGCACTTCCACATCACGTCAACTCCGTTCGCCTCCCAATTTTCCTGCAGAAGAAAAGCACGCGTGTGAGATTGTGATAAGAAAAAGCCGTGCTCGCATGGCGACAAAGTCGCTGAATACTCACGCGGACTCTCGAATTGGCCGCATAAGTGCCGACGGGATCGGTTTTGGAGAGCAGGAACAGCGCCGGCTTCCGCAAAATCGTGCTGTGGAACATTTGACTAGATCGGATGTAGTGCGATGTAGCCGACTCATGGAATGCCTTCATGTGATACCTGGACAAATCACACAAGAGATGAAGATAAGCACTTGCGCTGTTTTACTTATGCAGAGCTGGGATTGCTAAAATCAACTCGGAATATGGGAATCTGGTCTCCTTTTCAAGACATGATTAGACAAATGTAATGTAATAATCGTTAACGAGATTTTCAGATAGGTATCATAAGGATTAATATATTTTAAAATGGCAAGATCCTCCGGAAGGTATTTAACAGAGTTTCAAAAAAGTGAAAATTTTTAAAACTCGTCTGGAAAGTTCAGGGATCTTGTGAAATAAAGCAATCTAAACAGCTTTCCTCTCAATTTTCCAGTTACGCATTCTCAATGAGTTGTAATAACTTTCGCTGTCGAATACAATAGCTGGTCAGCTTAAGAAGAAATCCCGGATCATATAATCATAAATCATAGTTTTTTTATCTTCAAAAAAAGCCAAATTTTCCACTCACATCATGTACTTCCGCAGCGCAGACTGAAGTGTTGGATTGCGAGGGAAAAGAGCCTTCGGCACTCCAACTGGCACTTCCGTGACGTCAGCGGCGCTGTCCCACACCTGGCCGCATATTCTATCCATGAGGTTCTGATACCTGAAAGACAAGAACTCGTAAAGTCTTCGCCTTCTCAAGACACCATTTCACGCACTTCTTCTCATCCGTGGCGAGTTTCACGAGACACTCGCCCCAAACGTAAGCGCCCACCGAGAATCCGTGCAGCAGAATTGGCTGGAAAGATGTATTGTTGTGGAGAAATCTAATGACATCAGACGCCACCAATTGCGTTCCCTTTGTTGGCCACAGTAATTGCCACGGTGTGATTTGAACTGTTACAACATCGAAGCCGCAATCGTTGTAAATCTGGGCGAACTTCACCAAATGCTTCTGCTTGACTTGGAGCCACATGAAAAGCACCGCCAGAGGCTTATCGATTGGCTTCAACAATCTATGCAGAGATAAGGAAGATAGTTATTAAGTTGCATTTGAGATTGAAATAATTTTCCTTTACCGTAAGGTCTTATGGTCCGTCGCGATGTCTCTGGGCTCATCGCTGTGCAGATGAATGTTCTTGGTGATCTCTTGAGTGGTCAAGCTTCTGGATCCGTGGTACATCATCCACAAGTTCTACGGACGATTGAAGGAAATACAGAAATCGATGATTGATAGTTTTCGTCTGCCAATATTTCTTATCTTTGACATTTTATCAGCTGCAATGTGGCAAATTATTATTCAAGTTGGCCTCAACTGACCATTGAATACTCGAAAATGCAAAGATAAAGACATATCAGGCGAGAAATAAGAAATCTACAATGCAATGTGCTTCCACTTAAGTGGCAAATGCGAAATGAATTTTACATATCCAACTGACCAACGCCAGCCCAGTAAATATGTATATCCATCTTTCTGTGAATCTGTATGAGTGTGTGCATAATGCAATGCACTTTCAAGAAGTATATATGTAAACACTCATTGTGACACTAGAGCTGCAATTTTCTCCCTGGATTTCCCGCTGATTGCTGAGCTCCGAAGAATGCAGATGACCCAAATATGCTAAAAACTCGCGACCATGTGAGACTGCCTTGGGTAGTTTTTTCCCACAAAGCATAGGAACCAGAGATTAAGAGGAATGTAAAATGAAGTCCAAAGGTCCTCCAGTGTATATAGAATGATGTCTGTATGAAAGATTGCTTACATTTTGCGCCCTCGCTCCGTTGCTCTGTCCAAATGCCGCAAAAGCTATGTTTTTCACGCAAATACGGTTCGAATTCACCAGGAATACTCCGTGAATTCTCTTAAAAGTGAAGTGGAAAAGTGACATTTTAGGAAATCGATATTTTCGCGGTATATACACCAACACACTCGCGCCCACTGTGCTTTGTTATGCAAGAAAGAGATAGTAGAGCAAAACTAGATTGATGGTTCGTATCGTATACAAGGATACAAGCACTTAATCCGGAATTACGGCAGAGTATTATGATATCTCGTCACTACTTAATACTTGTTTTATGTAATACGGCGATTTTTGAGTTAATGAGCGTGCCATATAGATCGCGAAAAGGTAAAAATGGAGTGAATTTATAATTTGACGTGGGAAACATAACAAGCCAACTTAACGAAGGTACCCTGCTGGCATTATCTTTCGTTTATGAGTGCTGTAAAAATTTATCGGATTTGCTACCTGTTTTATAACATTTCATTGTGCTCTTATTGATTTTTTATTTGCTCATCGTTATAATGAATACTCTGGACTTTCTTAAGTAACATCTCTCAATCTTAACGTTAAAGATTCGCGTATTATTACTCAAAATTAGACTAAATGTATGTATATCTTTTTTTATTTTTCGATATGAGATGGAATTCGGTGCAAAATTTCCCCTTTTTCTTTCAAATGATTTGCAGCGGACTTCACTCGTCGTTCAGTGTGAAAAGTGGAGGGGATCGAAGTTGACGCGGAAGGTCGAAAATCAGCTGTCAGAGAAATGAAAATATTAGTGATAGAATTAAAACGCATTTGAGCGTGATTTTCCTGGCCATTTGCTGCGCCTTCAAGTGATTTTTCATGGCCGGAAGCAACAATTCAGATGACAGCAATCGCGCCCCCGAGAATTTCCATCTATCCTCGTCAAACGACGGCACAGACATCAGCTTGGGCCAGTCAGCCAAGTGTCCATTGTGTCTAAACCAAGCGAAGCTCTTCTACTGTCGCGACTGTCTGGCCAACGGGGACTTTCACTCTAAGAAGAACTGGTCGAATGAGAGGTGAGTCACTCGTGTTCCGAGGAGCAATTGAATTGACTAATGCTTTGTGGTTTTCCGGACAGGTTTGCAGAGAAGAAGATTCAGTGGCTGAATCAGCAGTCCAACTCGAAGACCATGGAGATCAAGTGCGGCCATCTGATGCAGAGGAACAACCGCGTGGACGGGCTCCGGACGCGGATCAAGCTGAAGGAGCAGCGCGTGACGCTGCTGCGGAAGCAGATCGCCGACATTCGCGGTCGCATGGAGAGCGGGAAGAAGGAGCTGGCGGCTCTTAGTCAGCGCAACAAGGAGCTACAGCGCACGCTGCCCAGATATGGGTATAAAGTTCGCGAGCTAGACGATTACGTGACGAACAAGCTGGGCGCCTTGAAGAAGCAGTGGGCAGACCACGTCACAGTGCGGGCAGAGCTGAAGCACCTAATCAGGAGCAGCATCAACCGTCTGATCCGCTTCATCTTCCCCATCGAGCGCTCCGTGCGCGAGGCGCCCGGCGGCCAGAGTACGGCCAAGGAGCTGGCCGAGGCCACTCACACGGCCTACATCCGCGGCAAGTGGGTGCTGCAGGACAGCCTGGGCGAGGTACAACACACTATCGTGGCGCCGCACTTGCCCGGGAACGGCGACTACTCGGCCTACAGTGACTGGGTGGCCACGCACAAGGATGGCGTGCCCGCGACGAGCGACCGTGACGCTCCGCTGGACCACAATCCGGCCTTCCGCATCAGTGCGGCGCTCACGTACACGGCACAGCTCGTGCAAGTGCTGAGCTACTATCTGGACGTGAGACTGCCCTTTCGAATGAACTACAGCGACTTCTGCAGCAGCTATATGAACGAGGGTAGCTTCAACAGGCGCGTGACACGCTTGAACGCCAACATCTTCTTCCTCTGCTACACACAGCGCGTGCGGCTGTCGGAATTGAATCCCATGCACACCATCGAGAACATTCAGATTCTGCTGCAGCTGGAGCACAGCGATCTAGGCTGGATGGGTCACGTGGAGCCCACAAACACGCCCACGAAGTCCGTCGAGTCCCTGCTCAAGAGCGGACTGGAGTGTGACAATGATTCTGAATCTGAAGGTGAGTTCTTCACAGATTTCAAGTCGATGAAGAAGTGCAAATTCAGACTTTTGATTCATTGAATATAAGATACTTAAAAGTTTGTATTTGGTCGAGTATTTTTCCTGGAATCTGATTTGATTAGCATTGAAACCTCGAAAATCGTTTACGATGCAGGGAATGTCTTGTTTTATATAGTGCTTTGTGTCTGAATGAATCTAGAACGACGGTTATTACTTTAGGAAACGATAATGTTGTTATTTTATGACGATCTGATTTCCTGAATAGAACTGACTTTACCAATGTTTATTTAAAAGAAATTCCCCTTAAAAGTCCTCTCATCTCTTGAAGAGAGTTGAAAACAAATCTTTGAGATGACATTGTTAGTAAATCATACAAATGTTTTTTCCTTAAAAAGAAAAAAGGGAAAGTTCCTTTAACCCATCTATTATTAATGAAACTAATCTAGAGAAAACGCCAATTTTGACCTCGACCACAAATAGTCTCCGTCCATTTATTGATGCTCTCTCTCTTCCGCTTGCAGATGAGAACAGCTTTCCCTACGAATGGGAAGCTGTGCCGCATCTCTCGTCGCTGGACGTGGCTTCGCCGACGCCGATCGTGCCCACTGCCCAGAATCCGCTTCAGACTGCCAGCCTAGTGACCAGCGCAGCCGCCTCGATAGCTTCTCTGTGGCGTGGCTGGACGACAGGAAAATGAGTTCACGAGTCGCGCATTATCATTATCCGGGCAATTTTTCGTAAATAAAATGTTTGATCATACAAACTTTGTATTTTTCCTACTCAATTTGTGTCATGGTACAATTTCACCTCAAATCGGTGCTCTTTCTGATATCTTTTTAGGCGATTCGTCAATTTACTTGCCTTTTCACTTGATAGGAAAACCAACGAATGAACATGAATGCGCAATGTTTAATGCCAAAAGTGGAAATTGAGAAACTGGATGATAAAGAATGAGGCTTTCTGCATATCGTATTATTATTGCATTACAATATTGTGGTAAGATACAATATTTGTAATTATATAGAAAAATTTGCCAATACATTCTTTTGCTATCTCTTCACAATAAAGGGACAATTTTAATACGCAAAGGTACTTGTTTTTCTGGGACAATATTACAGCACCAATTTACAGTTTGTTCTTCTTCTATGAACTTCTTTGCTGTTCCTCAGTTATGAAAGATCCAACTTGATATTGTGTGTTTTCCTGCTTCTCAAAACCATTAGCCTACTCACAACAAGGACACGATTTGAGAGAAGGAAAGACAACAAAAATTGGTGAAATTGAAACAATAAGGAGAAAAGAAAGTGAGGAAAATGAAATGGGTTCGTCTATTTTGTATTAAATCTTTTTTTTTATCTTCATATTCCTATCCTTGTTTATAATTATTGGCTACACATTAATTTAAATTTACAGATATTTTTTGTTTCTTTTACATGAATAACTTTTCTCTGGTTTTCTTTTCTGCCTTTGAATTACTATATTGGTGAAATTTCTAATGAATTCAACTTTACACTACATGATTATTCACATTATTTCTACTTCTTACAATATTTCTTTTACACCCTCTTCACTTAATATAAATATATTTCTCTTATCTCTGTTTTTTTGCCTTGTCTGTCTCGCATTTTCACTGCAATTTCACTTCCTCTCATTTAGTTTACATATTTATTTGTTCTTCTCATGTAAAAATATTGTCTGTATTCAATATGAAACTTACAAAGGATGTCTTTAGCTGTGTTTTGTAGGCATGTCAAAAGTGTCTGATGTTGTTTATATATATTTGTCACAGTAAATGAAAAAAAAATGCCTAAATTAATGGTGAAACGTTTGGGCGTTACAGAATTGAGAAAACAAATTGATTTGATGATTAGAACTTATCTTAGATAGATTTTAGCTTGCTCATTGTACAAAATAAAGGTATAAATTCTAAAGATATTGTGTGACACATACTTTCTCCTTCATATTTTACGCGCAAATCACGCACACGTGAGAAAATTATGCAAAAATATGGTCACACACAGCCTCTTCCGTGTACAAAGTTTCGTAGTTTCACTCAATGAAAGTGTCTTCTTAAACCTGAATTCAAGTAGAGGTTTTCCCATTAATTAAAATATGAGGTAAAAAATTAACAATACACTCGCCAAAGTATGAAAAATTACAATTTAATCATTAGAAAAATTACATATACACTTGAGTGGCCCCAAAAGAATTTCTTCGGAGAATACAAAGACTAAAGGTAACATTGTCGATATAAAAAAAAATCATTACGTGAGCGACCTACAAATTTCTTGTGAACATTAATACTAAAAAGAAAAAAAGGATTTCTACTTCTTCTGAGGATCATTGATTTTACTAGCGAAGGAAGTCAATTGCATTGTTTTTGGTGTTTTATTCAACAATTCAATCATCTCTTTTCACTCAATCTCTCTAATCTACTAAATCGACAATTTTTTTTTCTCTTCATTTACATTTCACAGGTTGTTATTGATGATGTTTTTTTCTTCTCCCTTTCTTCTCATCCTCAAATACAATAGAAAAAATTTCACCCTCTCTCTCTCATCTCACTACATAATCCATTATCTTATAAAGTAACTTTCATTTATCTCATCTTATTCAATATTTCACCAATCTAAAAAGTGTGTAGACAGTAAATCATCCCAGTCAAATTTCCTTCACAATCTCGTCCTTTCTCTAACTTCTGCTCTCCCCCATTTTATCGCGCTCTGGCGTGTGCTAATCTCTTGTGTTGTCTCTTGTCTTGATGCATGATTCAATTACCAAATTCATATGCAAGTGTATTGCCAATCAAGGCGCGCTTTACATACATCCCACTTCGCACGTCACTTCTGCCAAATGTGGATAATGCTGCTTGAAGATTTTTGCTATGAATCTACACCTGTGGCGAAAGAAAGTAGAAAAAGAGATATATGTATTCCAAAAAACTACAATTTGGTGTTCTTCAGGATTCACGATGTCAATTCAAGTATTACTTAAAACACCTACAATGGTAGTTTCTGTTATGTCATCAAAAGAAGTGAGAATTGTGTATTTAATAAGTAGACAAAGAAGCAAGAAAAATGGGAAAGAAATCACAAAATCTATGATATCAATTGAAAAATTGCATACAATAAATTGAGGGCCATTGAGAAACGAAAGACATTAAGTAGTTGGAATAGAAGAATCAGAAAATAAAGGACGTGATAAGCGAACGCCAAGGCTAGCTTATGGGTGAGCTGGGCAGTTCACATAGTTTTTTGTAAAGTTCACATAAATTTAAATAAAGCCAGGCTTCGCCCAACTCAATAGACAGTAACTGAACAGAGAATATCTAAGTGAGGACAACGTCTGTGATATGGATTGAGATACAGAACAATGTGACTCACTTGGACAGCAATCCACCGCCTGGGGGTAAACCAGGAATATGTTCTTCATAGAGACGCTGCAGTAGGTTCTCGTAGTCCAGGCCAGGTGTAGAATCTATTATTTCTGCGAAATACAAGAGGAGGCCATTGATTAAGAAGTCACCAAGGACATGCCCAAAACATTGATAAAGATAACACTAGTCACAATTTAAAGATAGAGAGTAAAAATATTACGTATTTGTCAACAATAAACATACCTTATGCTCAGTCATTAGTATAAAATTCTTATTTCATTTGCTCTCATTTCTTGTGTATGGCAAAATGAAGAAAAAAGAAACGAGTAGAAGATGAAAAGAAGCAAATAATGTGAAATCATTGTAAATTGCAAAAGCTCTTGGTTTCTCTCAATAACGCACTTTTATTTATACTTCTCCTCTCTCCTCGTAAATATTCTTCATATATAATTTGAAGTCTGAATGCAAAAATTGGACTCGTCAGTGTGAAAACCAAATTATTCAACATCATCTCGCAGGTACATAATTCAAATCAACTACATTATATTTCTCTTAAATTAGAGGGGTTATTCTTATTGAATTTCGTTCGTCCTCTCACCTTCTGTATATAAATCCTAAAATATTTGCCCGATACAATACTGATTATCGTCAGTTGGGATCGAATTTTCATCATCATTTCTCTCTTTGTCATTTAATACACTATCTGGCAAGATAGCAAATATCATGAGACTTTATGATGTGATGTTGGAAAAACAGCAAGCAACATAATAAGGTGGGACAGATGACTAGAAAAATTATACTGGCTGAGCATAAAATAAGCTTATATTAAACATAAAGTAGATTGTTAGTAGATCATACAATTATCTTCCTTTCAAACTGTCTTCTTGTCAGTTTTATGAGATAAAGCTAATGATTACGATATGTCTTCAATTGATTAACACTTCTAGCCTCTATGGTAAACCGATTGATTTCGCAAATACGCATTGATAACGATTCTAGACATAAGATTTCTTTTTTTTTCCTTTTACAGTTGTTCTAATGAACAGAAGATGCGGCGAATCTATCTTGCTTTAGTCAAACAGTATTTTCACACTTGAGAATTTCCCCGAAAAACTTTAAATCTTGCTCTTAAGATCTCTTGATATCTTTATAGTGGAACTATGTATTTAGCTCCGCCCACATGAAAACCCCGCCTTCTTCTCTTTTCACTGTTTGACTAAAGTCTCAGAAGCAGCTAAAATAGATGATAGCAACGATAAACTTGAAGTTCAGCTAAGTTTTCGCCTGTGCAAAGGAATAACTTTTGAAAAAATTTCATACTCTTCTATTCTACGAATTGGTCAAAATCCTACCAGAAAAAACACACACACACTCACACTCACTATCGGAAATCTTGAAATATTCAACTGGGAGCCAAAAGTGACTATTTGGCAAAGGTTTCTCCTTAATGATTCAATGGACACAATAATTTATGCTCCACTAGTTCTTTTTTCTTCTCCTTCTTCACAAAAATATAGTTCAAGAGAATATTCTTTTCATATCTAATCATAAGATTATCATATATCAATATTTCAATTTATACATTTTTCTCATGAAATATATACTGCTCATTTGAATGTGCAAAAAAATCATTTTATGGTCTTTTACCGTTTATACACAATACTTTCTCTCTTTCCCTTTTCCTTCTCCTCAAACATGTCATTACTGTCTTTTATCTGCTTCACAATACACGTCCTTTTTTATGTCCATTCAAGCCTTATAGCCAAAGACGCTTTAATCACAGTATATATTCCCTTTGATCTGTCTTCAATCAATATATCATATTTTCAATATTATCACTCTTCACGTGAAAGTTACGTATAACTTTTGCTCAATTCATATTCTCTATTGACTAATCATAAGAACTAATTTATTGCACGTCGTGATGTATAATCATAGGATTATTTGTGGGGTGGTTTTTATCTTTTTGTTTTCGCAATAGATGAACATTACACTTATGAATAAAAACTCATATTACTATGACTAGATTTGAATGTCAATCATGCACGAATACTTGAGTTTATTTGGCTGGGCTTTCGCTCTCTTCCTCTCTCTTTCTCTATTCCTTTCACTCGGAAAATCTGCTCAATTGTTAGTTATTGAGTGGAATTGATCAGTTAGAGAATTATCAAAGAAAAATGGCAAGTTAAGAGAGAAGACAGATTGTCAATAAATTCGTTAGATTAGGGCGTAGGAAACATAAAATATCTATCGACAAAATAATCGTTTATAGCAACCTTTAATAGCTTTCTCTAGATGGGCCTCGAGTTCGGTTTCCGCTTGGATTGCTTCTTGTGATGGGCTCGGTCCACCCGGGAATACTATTATAATTATGCTCATATTGTCACGGCTTCCCTGCAAAGGCAAAATATAGAGAGAGAGATTGTTAGTGTCAGGACATCATAAGCGCAGATGGAAAGGGTTTTGCTAGACTTTAATTGAAGCTGTTCTCAAATTACAAGCAAATTGGGCAAGAATTATAATTGCATAAAGAGAATATTAGGACTGTTATAATAAAATCAAGTAAAACAAGAATATTTCTTTTACAATCTGTTAGAAAGTTGTTCTTAGGAATGCAAAATTCATGTTTCAAAATTTTGCATTGTTTTTATCAAAACTAAAACCATTTAGAAGATCAATTCAAGAACCTTCTTCTTGTCTTCTGATCAAAAATAGACTAACATCTTCGGTCTGAGCTTCAATTACCTTGTGTAAGCAGGTGTCAATGACTTGATTGGCCACTTCCTCCAAATTGCTGGTGATCTTGAGTCGCGAGTGGATAAAACTGCACACATCATCGTTGTTCATGACGTCCCAAACGCCGTCGCAGGCGAGAACGAGGAAATTGTCAGCTTGATCGCGATTGTGATGAAATATCTCCGGCTCGGGCGACACTAGCTGCTCACACTGTCCCAGATCCTTAACGTTTTTGTACTCATAGTCACCCAGAGCCCGCGACACCGCCAGACTCCCGTTCACGCGTTGAATCACAACCGATCCACCTGCATTCTGTATGCGCTCCTTCTCGCCCGGCAGCACTGGCTTGTGGTCCTGCGTGGTGAAGATGGGCACGCCGTTGCGGCAGAGCACGGCGCGCGAATCGCCACAGTTGGCGATGTAAATATCATCTGGCGAGATGAATGTGCACACGGCCGTCGTTCCAGACTTGTCAGCGCCGGACGCCAGCTCGGGCAGGTCGCGCATCACCTCGTCCAGCTTGAGGAAGCCAGTGTGGATGCCCTTCACGAAGTCATCCTGCTTAAACTCCTCCGTCTGTATGATGCACTCGAGCAGGTGCTTCGCGCAGTGCTCCGACACCTTCACGCCCGCGTGCCCATCGAATACGGCGAAGAAACTCCAGTCGCTCAGACGCCCGCCCAGGCCCGCCTTGGCATAGTGAGCATCCTCCATTTCACAGCGCCATCCCTGCATGGAGCCCACGCCAAAGCGCAGCCCATTTCCCTCGCCGTGCTCATTGTACTTGTCTGTCTTTGGTTTATCTAGAAACGAGCCCATTCTTGTTGCATCGCGTTGTCACGTTCCAAGGGATCAAAATGCCTCTCTGTCTCTCGTGTCTTTTAACCTTGTCTATCTGCGCGACTTCTGCTCTACTTCGCTGTCATGTGGCACTGAAATCTATATCTTCCCCGAAAATCCGCCTTCGCTCTCCTTTCCAGTCCTGCGACACAACACACACTTCTCCCGTCACTCCGTCGACAGTGCAAACCTGCAAAGATCAATAACATCGCACATTTAGAGATTGCCGAGTGTAATTGCAAATACTTATCAATAGCCTCAAGCCAAAGCAGTTGATGAAAGTCAAATCATTTGCAATTACTTTCATCCGTGGAAGTAAAATGGGTGGATTTCAACAATGTGCAATTACAAGGAAAGTACATTTCGCCTATGCAATTCCACATTACGCCATCACCGCAATCTCTCTCTTTCTCATTGCAATGACAGTGGAGATCAAACAGCGATCCGCGCATTTAAACTATTCATCAAATAATTGGGAGGAAAATTGAAGAAAATTCGTTTATTTGTGAGTACGGCAGGAAATAAAGAGTACTCAGAAAGTCATTTGGCGGGGCGAGAGAGGGAAAAAGTAGAGGTTTTAGACACGGAAAGTATCTAACAGAGGAATAACAATATGAGCCTATCAATACCTCGGTGATAAATAGTGGCTAAAAATAAAAATTCTCTTTGTACAATTTTCACGCGGTCAAACCATCTCATCCAATACTCAAGTGAGTGCCGCTTGAACCCTCTCTTCTTTATTCCCCGAAACACGTTCCGTTCGCACGGCGAGAAAAGAGGAATATTGCAAGCAATCAAACCGGCATCTAGGCCGAGATCTACAATCAATGCCTTTGGCCGTACTTGAACCGAAAGGCCACTAAACTATTCTAATAGCCAATTAATATGGAAGGAAGTCGATTCATGTTTTTTTTTTACTGTACTAACCTAAGGAAACTAGCTTGTAGTTTTCTAAAAAACAAGGAAACTTAGTTTACGTCACCCAATCGAAAGTAATAAATTTTATAAAAGAAATTACTAAATTTTTTTTTTGTATATTAACTAATTCATCGATTCCCACAGAATTTTACTTTAAATCACTAGGCAGGGTATTTAAGTGGGCGGAGCTTACGTCAGTAAATCTGTAGCGAATGAGATTCATTCAACCATGGAATGTATACAGCACAAGAAAATAAGCTAAATAACTCGTTTTCAAACAGAATCCGACTTCTGTAACTGTATGAAGGCTTCATTGCATTATGAGCGATTTCAGCGAATTCAGGACATATTGAATGCGACATTTAAAGGCTTCAGTGTCTTTCGTAACCAATCCCGAGTCTCGTGGCGAGACTGACGAGGTCAGTTCTATCGATTTTCATTATCAGCAGCTTTGAGAGCACAGTTCAAAGTCTTCAGCCCTTGTCGTGACTCGTTCACAATTGCCACCCTCTTGAATGCAATCGTCGCTTTCTCTTCAATTTCCACGAATGCTGGCGTATCGATATAGCATATCATCTTCCTCACTTTTTTTCATGCCGGTTCACACTCTCGTCGATAAACTGACTCTCGAGTGTTTATGTTTCCCACCTCGATGAAGTCACCGTTTTGGGGCTTTTGGGGTTGCTCGAGCGCCTCTTGCTAAGCTGCTAAATTGAATTATTGCAGCGTCGAACGGCTGAGAATTCATGTGACATGCATTTTGCCAATCTCGCGCGCGGTGCTGAAAAGTGTGTGACATCTTTTTCGCGACGTGGGGTCGAGGCTGATTGCGTGCCGCGATATGGAGGGCGCCCTCAAATGTTTGTCGGATTAAAAATAAATCGATATGCAGTAGAAAAGCCGCATCTAATTGTCTTCTAATCGATCACGCTTCATACTCTCCGAACGGCCACTTTCTCCGCCCGCAATGGTCGCGCAATGCCTCTGTTTTGGCCAGCGGAACACCCGTCAAAAGCCACTCATTTTCACCACCCCCACGCTTTCCACGCGCGGCTCCATTTTCCCAGGGCGGCACTGCACTCCCGCCGAGCACTGTGCCCCCACACGAGCGCCCAGAGAGCGCTCAGTGACATTTTCCTCAGCACACTCGCACAACGCAGAGCGCCTAATATTATATCACCTTTTTCACGACTTCCTCTCACAGCAGCGCAGCGGAATCCATCGCGGAACGCTTCACGTGTGCCCGAGTCCTTAAACTATGGCCAAATGGCTGGTGGAAAATGGGCGCGAGGAGTGGAAAATGTGCACTTCTGCCCAGCACTTTGTCGCACAAAATTGGTAGTAGGAAAATGTCTCTACAGCGATTCGACACTGGAGAGTTGTATGGCGATTGAACGCATGCGCGTGCGATATAAATAGAAGTGTAATGACATCATGTTTTACCAATCAAAATAATTGCGAATTTCCAGCGCCTCTCGCATCAACACACACTCAAGCACACCAGTGGCCACCGCAATTAGGGGAAAAGCGCACAAAATTCGCGCTGGAGATGCTGCAAAAGTGATGAAAACTGAGAACGCTTGCACAAAATCACTGATTTCTTGCCATTCAACTCCTCGCACTTCACCACACTGACGATGCTGCGAATCTGACAGCTGCGCATTTCGAAACCGCCGCGCGTACACTGCAAAACGAACGTGAGGCATGCGTTCATGCATTAGGGGCGAGTAGAACGTTTTTTACGAGAAATACTGCATACTGCTTCGAGAATATAATGTTTCTTTACAAGAATCAAGATCAAAATTTTTCATTATTGCATAGATAAATTGAATGCCAAAATAATACTTATTGTGGTGTCTGTATGCTTTTTATCAGTGCAGGAATATCGCTTTGGTGCCTTGATGAACTTCAGTTTGGTGAGCGGCGCCTTTCGGAATCCCGAAATTTTCCACGCTGTGCGCCCTCTGGCAGAATCAGTCGCAAGCTCGTCTTTTCGTGTTTTGGTTTTTGTGATGTGACGAAATTGCAAGTTTTCTGCACTTTTTCACACATTCCAATGCCTGACATCAAGATAACACCGCTGGGCGCAGGCCAGGATGTCGGCCGCAGCTGCATTTTGCTCTCCATGGGCGGCAAGAACATCATGCTGGACTGCGGAATGCACATGGTGAGTTCTTTGCGGTTGTTTGGCGGCCGGAGAGTTCGCTTAGTGAGTATTTTCTGTATCTGCAGGGTTACAATGATGAGCGGAGGTTCCCGGACTTCTCCTATATCGTGCCCGAGGGCCCCATAACGAGTCACATCGATTGCGTGATCGTGTCGCACTTCCACCTGGATCACTGCGGCGCCCTGCCGTACATGTCTGAGATCGTGGGCTACACGGGGCCCATCTACATGACACACCCCACCAAGGCGATCGCGCCCATTCTGCTGGAGGACATGCGCAAGGTGGCCGTGGAGCGGAAGGGCGAGAGCAACTTCTTCACCACGCAGATGATCAAGGATTGCATGAAGAAAGTCATCGCCGTGACGCTGCACCAGAGCGTAATGGTGGATTCGGAGCTGGAAATCAAGGCGTACTACGCCGGACACGTGCTGGGCGCTGCGATGTTCTGGATCCGCGTGGGCAGCCAGAGCGTCGTGTACACGGGCGACTACAATATGACGCCGGACAGGCACTTGGGCGCGGCGTGGATCGATAAGTGTCGGCCGGACTTGCTCATCTCGGAGAGCACGTACGCCACCACTATTCGCGACTCGAAACGTTGCCGCGAGCGCGACTTCCTCAAGAAGGTGCACGAGTGCGTGGCCAGAGGCGGGAAGGTTCTGATCCCTGTGTTCGCGCTGGGTAGAGCTCAGGAGCTGTGCATCTTGCTGGAAACGTACTGGGAGCGGATGAACCTCAAGTACCCGATCTACTTTGCCGTGGGACTCACGGAGAAGGCCAACAACTACTACAAGATGTTCATCACGTGGACGAATCAGAAGATCCGCAAGACCTTTGTGCACCGCAATATGTTCGACTTCAAGCACATTAAGCCCTTCGACAAAGGCTACATTGACAATCCCGGTGCGATGGTGGTGTTCGCGACGCCCGGTATGCTGCACGCCGGTCTGTCGCTGCAGATCTTCAAGAAGTGGGCGCCACACGAGAACAACATGGTCATCATGCCAGGTTACTGCGTGCAGGGCACTGTCGGCCACAAGATCCTCGGTGGCGCCAAGAAGGTGGAGTTTGAGAATCGCCAAGTCGTGGAGGTGAAGATGTCCGTGGAGTATATGAGCTTTTCAGCGCACGCCGACGCCAAGGGCATTATGCAGCTTATCCAGTACTGTGAGCCGAAGAATGTGATGCTGGTGCACGGGGAGGCACTCAAGATGGAGTTCCTGAAGGAGAAGATCAAGGAGGAATTTGCCATTGAGTGCTACACGCCCGCCAATGGCGAGACCTGCGTCATCAACACGCCTGTGAAAATTCCCGTCGACGCCTCGCTTAGCCTGCTGAAGGCCGAGGCGCGCAAATACAACGCCCAGCCGCCGGATCCCAAGCGGAGACGCATCATTCACGGCGTGCTCGTGATGAAGGACAACAAGATCTCCCTCATGAACGTGGAGGAGGTGTGCAAGGAGGCCGGCATCAACAGGCACGTGATGAAGTTCACGTCGACTGTGAAGCTGGAGGATTCGGATCCTGCCATGCGAACCACTGAGAAGCTCTTCAATCTGCTGCAGGAGAAACTGACGGATTGGAATGTGATTCTGCACGAGAGTGGCACGATTTCGGTTGAGAGCGTCGATGTGTCCATTGAGGACCTCAACGAGCAGCACAAGAAGGTCTTCGTCTCTTGGACCAACCAAGATGAGGACTTGGGAAGCTACGTTCTGGGATTGCTGCAAAACATGGGGTAATCTTGAGATTTTACAGGGATATTTTACAGCGCGAATGGGCGAGTTTTGATCCAAAATAAAGAGTGAAAATGTTAATCTGTCTGAGACACTGTATTGAATTTTACACAATTAATTTTTTTGTATTTCATTCAGCTCAGAGTTAAGTTTTATTTATCTGGAAGGATAATAATGTAGCGAACATAACCCTGGTTGTATTTGTGCACTTCAACATGTCCTTGGCGAACTTTGTAACTCTTGTGGTGTGATATGACCTTATTTGCCCATTCAGTGCAATATTTACTTTCCACCCCGAAAAATTCTATTGTCCTCGAGGACTCAGACATAAAGGTCTTCATCATCATTAAAAAGACTTCTTCGAAGATATTTTGGTTCTTGCAAACCCCGGACTTCTCCATTTGAACATTTTGCGAATCAAGTGCGTAGTTTATCAATTTCTGGAAGGGGCGCTCCTTCATGTGCTTATCATACACCTTGCTCAAGAGTTGAAATTCATCATCTGTCTCCTGAATGTCGCCCAGATACTTGAATGCTTCTCCCAGATTTTCTAAAGCTTCTGTGATTCTGTTCAAGGCGCGACAAGATCGAGAAATATTGAGATAGATCTTTCCTTTCAACTGATTTTGCGCACTTACTCCTGTTTCCACGAGTTTTCTGGCGCGATTCAGCATCATGAGGGTATTTTCATGCTCATCAAGTTTTGCTAATGACATGCCGGCGTTCACACACATCTTCATAAGCAATTGCATTCTCTTATCATTGTCCGTTCCATTCACAATCAAGACGTTGTTCAGCAGGGACACTGATTGTGTGTACTCAGAAGCAGCCACGCGGAAGAAACCAGAAGAAAAAGCAGCATGTCCTCTCTTGTAATGATTGTGAACGAGCTTAAGAGTTTCACTATAATTACTTAATAGGCGAATATTTTCCTCCCATGTTAGACTCTTTGTTATGCTGAGCACTTCAATCTCAAGAAAAACTGATTTGGAATCCTCCTCAATGGTGTTTTCTGCATTTCCGATACTATAGAAATTTGGAATGATGAATTGTGCCTTTTCCTGGTCGCGCATCGTGCGTACAACGCGTTCGAATTCCGGCAAAATTCCATATTCATCTCCCAGGGAAAATTTATAAGGATCTTCGGTGAAGTACGTTGAATCGCACAACATTTCGTCACCTTCTCTGAATATAGAATAATGCACTGTGACACTCTTTTTATCCTCCAAAACTTCTCCAAATCCTTCAGTCAGAATCTTCTTAAAAGTGCCGTTTCCCAGATCTATCATCTCTGTGCGCATTTCATCAAAACTCTTCGTCGGCATGAACCTATTCTTTAAGTTGTGCATCAAAAATTTGCCCGCATTTTCCGGCAAAACATTGTGTAACGTAATTTTGGGCAATTGTAGATGAAGAAGCGGTTTCCCAAAAAAATTTCTGCAAAGATGAAGAAGAAAAAATATAATTTAGGTACTCTTCGGGAGGTACACAAAGTAAACTGGTTTTAAAAAAATCTACTTACCGTTCTGGAATCGCCAAAGTAGATTTTATAAGACAGAACTCTGCAATTTCTTCTGGAGCGTTCATTTTCAGGGTGAACTGTACGGTTTCGACGGATTCTCAATGATCTTTAAATTGTCTTCTTGCACAAAGTATTTACACTTGAGGACTGTCGCGTTGAGCGTCTTTGATGAAGAAATGAAATTTGGCGCGCTGAACCGCTCGAACCGCTGGATGCGAAAGGAACATTCAACGAAGTCTATCCTGAAAATGCATCTGATTTTAGGATGATACAGAAGGTAGTAAAATATGGGTATTTTGGACTTAGAGAGTATTCGGTTCGTCCGTAAGACTTTTATCTGGTAAAAATCTCAATCTAATGTGATTTCATCGAGCAACCATACTTTTCTGATAGATTAAATTAAGCAGAAATACTACCTTTCTTGGCATCCGCAACTGACTTGATACCTTTTCCTTAACTAGTGCAGATCTCTTTCAGTCAATTATGTTATCTACAACTCTTAATAATAGTTAGAAAACTTGGAAAACCTATTTTAGGTACACGGAGTCAAACTTGCACACTACAGCACAGCACAACTCTTCACGTTTCAATGTAGAAATCTCATCATTTGTCGTCAAAGCCCGAAATATTCTTTAATAACTGTGTATTAATGTGATTGTATAGCCGAATGATATTGATTGAATGTTTATTGCCTTTTTGTATTATAATTTTTTATCACAGTAAAATCTTCTAAGAAGCAGATTGGCGGGAAAAGTCAAGATGCAATGTATGCAAAATGTATATCATCTGAAATGTAATTATGTGCTGTGTACGCATTAGAAATAATGATAATAAAGTGAAGAAACGCGCACCGGGTTCAGTGCGAATGTCAAAATGGTCTTGCTCAGCAATGAAGAGGTAAAATTTCTCAAAATACTCTACAAATTAGACTTCTCTGACTTTATTCTCATCTTTCATCCCATAGTTCATGTCACAGTTGATGCTCCTGGCGCAGAAATCAAAGGAAAGATCATCATTTACTGTGACTTTCAAGCGATGTGAGTTACGTCGTCGTGGCGATTTTGCTCCAAACATGTGAATTTGCCTTGGAATTTGCTTTTTATCACTCCTTCTCTTGCAGATGATGGAAATGACAAGCCACAGCCACGAGAAGGACGTCCAAAACTTCCAGAGCCCGAGGAGTACATGTGCCTAATACGGGCGAAATCGAAGAGCAAGAAGGTAATTTACTTCCCGGATGCAAAAGAAGTTTGTAGTAAATTGCTGATTTTTCGTGTATTTTTCAGCTTTCCACTGTCGTGAAGCGCAGCGATGTCCCCAGAGTAATGGAGAATTATGCCAGGATAATGAAAATCTGCATGGATGGATTGAAGAGAGTGAAAAAGGTGAAAACAAAAGCGAAGGCAGCACAGGGATAGCTAATTTTCCTGTATTTTGGCATTATTTCATAACTTTTATATCTGCCGGAAAACTGCAAATGATGAGGATTATTTAAGCAAGTATAGAATAATGGAATAAAGTGGTTGCCAGGCGCAATTTTCGAGATTTCCGCAAAACCAGAAGTAAAATGAAAACAGATGGTGGTAATTGAGGTTATGTGGCACTTGCAAACGTCATCCAAAAGTGAAAACAACGTGGATTTGTTTACGTTTTTGGGGCAAGATTTCACGGGATTTTCCTGCTTTTACGCAGTTTTACCGCAGAAAATAGTGTGTAAGAGAGTGTGAATATGGTGAAAAACAAGAATTCTAAGAATAAAAATGGAGGAAATACACACAGGAAGAATTACAAACACTCCCGGAAGAATTTGCGATTCCGGGAGCGCTCAAAGGCGAAGGAGAAGCAGAAGCTGGGGGAAAAGTACAGATTTGTGAAGAAAATGAAGAATATTCAGCGGAACACGGAGAATGAGGAGATCCTGAGGAAGCGACAGCAGATTGACGAGAGAAGTCAAAAGAGGCATGATCAGTTTGTCAATTGTGATCCGGAGGATGATGATGAGAGCGCAGATGAAGCTGAGGAGGAGAGTGACTACTATGGTAAAGTTCTATCCATGCTAAATGTATCTAGCAAGACGTCTAAGGCGATAGAGACTTCCTCAGAGTCTGAAGACGAGGAGGAGGAGGAGGCGGACGAGGAGGAAGAAAATATTCACGATTCTCCAAAGAAACCCCGTCTAGAACAGATTTTAGAGCCTGAAGACGTTGAATCTGAGGCAGAAGATCCAGAGGAAGATAATACAGGCATCACGGATCCATATTTGAGTCACTTAGATTACAATATCAGTCAGGAATTGTATGAAATTGTCGCAAAAGATGGCGAAATTGAGGTTTCTGAGCAGAAAATATCTTCTTGGCCAAATCTAGGGCGCCTTGTGATCAATATCCCTAAAACTACCAAGTCACATTGTTCCAAGAAGAAGCTTCTCCTTCTCGAGGACGCGGAGAAGTTCGCTGAGGAAGGCACAATTCCTGAACGATCGTCTTCTAAAGATGATCTGCATATAAAGTCGCAGATTCAGAAGAATATTGGTAATTTTACTGATCTGCAGGCGGAAATTTTCTCTATCGTCAACAATTATCAGGATTTTTATATGCCACGGAGGACTTTTGAGAATGCCGAAGAGATTCGCACCATTTACTGTCTTCACGCAATGAATCACGTTCTCAAAAGCTACACGAAAGTCACTCAGCACAACGGAAAGACGGCAAAAGATCCGGACAAGTGCAGAGATCAAGGTCTGACCAGACCTAAAGTGCTGATAATCCTGCCATTCAAGAATTCTGCTTATCTCGTCATCAACGCACTGATTGGACTTCTGTTGCCTGAGGCAAATCGATCTGGAAGGGTGACAAACTATAAGAGATTTCAGGAAGAGTTCACAGGAGAGGAGCTGGACTTCCCCAAGAACAATCCCAAACCAGAGGACTACGAGAAGATATTCTGTGGAAATACAGATGACAATTTCCGCGTTGGAATCTCTGTGACGAAGAGGAGTGTGAAGCTCTACTCTGAGTTTTACTCCTCAGACTTGATCATCGCCTCTCCGCTGGGTCTTCGGATGATCATTGGAGCGTCTGGAGATGAGGAGCGAGATTACGACTTTCTGTCCTCCATTGAGATGCTCATCATTGACCAGATGGATGTGATTATGACGCAGAATTGGCTTCATTTGCTTCACATTTTCGACCACTTGCACTTGACTTTGCAAACAAGGAAGAACACAGGTAAAGTCGAGGGTGAATTTAGACAAATTGTCCATATTTCATGCTTGATTCCTTGCAGACTTCTCCAGAGTTCGGTCGTGGTGTCTCAACGGTTGGTCGCGCTTCTACAGGCAAACTCTGCTCTTCGCCAATCACGACCTGCCGGAATTCGTGTCTCTTCTGAGCAGACAATGCAGAAATTACCGCGGCAGCGTTCGCATGGCGAATTCCATCGCTTCGGGATCTGTGCAGCAAGTGGCGATTCAGATCAACCAAGTCTTCCACCGCATTGACGTGAAATCACTGGAAACAGCGCACGACACACGCTTCGAGTACTTCATCAGAACAATTCTGCCGCGCATCAAAGCCTCTTTCATGGCACATTGTCTGATCTTCGTTCCGAATTACTTTGACTTTGTGCGCATTCGCAATCACTTCAAGAAGGAGTCCATCAACTTCGTGCAAGTGTGCGAATACACGGAAGAGGGCAAGATCGCCAGAGCCAGAGACATGTTCTTCCACAGCGGAGCGCACTTTATGTTGTACACGGAGAGGGCGCACTTCTATCGGCGCACGAGAATCAAAGGCATTCGACACATTGTCATGTATCAGCCGCCGGCGTGGCCGCACTTCTATGCGGAACTCATCAATCTCATGCAGGAAGCGTACCAGAATCCACGAGACGGTCTGGATGCGCACACTTCTGTGACTGTTCTCTACACAAAGTACGACGCGCTGCAGATGGCAGCGATCATGGGCACTGATCGAACGTCTGAGATGTTGAAGTCGAGCAAATTGACGCACACTGTTATGAAGGAGAGTCGCAATTGAAATAGAAAAAGAAAAATACAGAGTTTATTAGGCAAAAGGATACATAGTGAGTATTATTCTAATGATTCTTCATCGCCAAGAGTAACTTCAACTATATCAGTAACAAGAGTTCGTGTAATACAATAGTTCTTGATCAGCAATTCATTCTTGGCATAATTGTATTCTATGAATTCCGTATCAACGGATAATTTATTCTTTTCGTACATAAACTTAATATAATCCAACAAGTAAAGATACTTTGTCCTTATGTGGCCGGAGAAAATGCCTGAAAAGCACGTCACGGAGAGTTCAGAACTTGGATCAACTGTGAAAGTTACATCGTATTTCTGCTCAATTTCCTGTCTGTAAAGTTTATATTTCACATTTTTCATACTTCTCGGACTCAAAATCACTTTTTGTGGAGGAATTGTGACCAATTCCTCGATAGATTCTGTTTTAGTGGTGGTTTCAGTGTTGGAAAATATCACAGTTGGATTTAATTCCACACCTGCAATTGGTATTTTAATGGTTCCAATGAATCCTTTGGTATTTGCAATACTCAGAGATTCAGTGTAGATTTTTTTATAGGAAAATGAGTGACTTTGTGCTTCTGCAGTAGAATTTGAATGGTTTTTGACAATGAAGATTCCAGTTCTGAGCAGTATTTTGTCTTTAGTTCTTTGGTCTATTTGTGAAATCGAGTGTATTTCTTTGATTCTAATTGAAATCGAAGCTCCAGCGCCACCGAATGTCCAAGACCCAATTTTGAATATGACACAAGCGTATTTATTGTAGAATTTACCGAGTTTGGAAAAATCATTGAAATCTGCATTTATACGAATTTCCCTTTTGCCTCTGTTAAGTCTGTGAATAGGATGCGAGTCTGGCTTCTCGATAACTTTGCCTTGAGCACTTGATACAGAAATTGCTGTGAGACACAACGCAATCAATAGATTAGTGGAAATGCAAACAAAACTTACACAACACAGAGGCTCACCATTTAATACTAAAGTAAGAAACAAACTTAACGTCACTATGTTTGTGTTCATTGCTTGTTAGTTAATATCTTTTTTTTTAACTCTGCTACACCCGAATGAAAGGGAATCTGTTGAGAGACTCAACGCAAGCGAAAGTATTTAAACAAAGTAAATGATTAGCCATTTGTGGAAAATGATACTGTTATCTTGTGAGTTGAATTCTCATGCGAATTCTGTTTTAATCGCTTTCTACCGACTTCTCTACTTCTTATTGTTTTATTCAATGACTGGCGAACACTTTGTTGGAAATGTGAAACATTTTCATGTAATTGCTATTGTGTTTCTATATCCATTCTTATGCCGAATGTCATCTTATCTTAAACCCAATCTTTTAATTTTTCTTCTTCTTTTTCATAGTTATTCTGCAGAAGTTGCTAAAATGCTATTTTCCTCTTTATGGGTTAATTCGATACGTTTATCGCTTCTATTTGAAAATTTCAGGCAATCTTTCGCTGTCTTGTTGTTTTCACGAAATTTTGCACTCTCACGTGGAATGTGAGGTACGATTGTGAGCGAGAATCGTCGGAAAGGCACGAATCATTTATTTTCTGTCGTCGAGAGTTTGCAAAACTCTTCTTCTCTCCCAAATAATTCTATTTTTGGTGTGATTTTCGTGATATATTTTGGTTCAAGTGCATCGAAAAGTGTTTGTGATTATCATGAGTTGCAACAAGTCCTTCTGCTTCCTCCTGCGTTGCGGTCAGACGTCGCGATTGCTGACCAGGAGTGCCAGCAAGACTCTTGGGGCGCTCGGAAGGATGGCTGGAAGTGGCTGGCAAATGCCTGGCAATTCCGTCACACATCGATGGATAGGAAGTGACGCTGCGAGGAATCTCAGTGCCGAGGAGGCGAGTGAGTTTGTGGACAACTTGTCCGCGGACGAGAGGGAGAATCTCAAGAATGCTCTCGCCCAGTATGAGTCATCGTCCAGGCGCAAGTTTGAAGGTGAGGAAGACATTCAGCTCTTGCCGCATTGATTATGCCATTCACTTCAACATTTACGATAACAATCCGCGAGGATTTACACGACTTAATCTGCCTTGCGTGAATTTCGCCCCCTTCCCTGCACCCCAAAAAGTGTGTGAAGTTGGTGTACAATCTCTTATCTTATGTTGTATGTGTGTGATTGAGACGTTGCTCGACACTTCACACTGATTTCACGTTGATGCCTTCGACAATCTCAGTGTCCTTATCTCTCTCTCTATCTGATCATAGAGGCACTCAAGTTCTCTTGCCCCGAAAAAAAACGTCTCTGTTGATAAGGCGATAATATTGTAAATTGTTGCAAATGCTCGCACGCGCTGAAGGACCTCAACTGGGCACTGCTCGCTGGCGAAGTGGCAGAATGCGGAGGATATCGCCGGATGCAACAGGCCGGACTGGAGACGAAATCGGGTCGCACTGTAAATTGCCCGAAGACTATCTGCAGAAGAAATTGGGTACGAGCAAGAATCTCTCCTGTCTTTTTGGCTTTCCCGCACGCAAGACTTCCTTTCTGCACTTGGGATGGGCCTTAGATTGCATGATCCTGACAAATAGCATCTCATGCATGAATAATCCCTCTTCACTAGAGCTTTGTAACATTTTCTCAGCTAATCGCGCTCTTAATTATGTTGTCACAACAACCCGGAGAGAGTTGTTGGACGTTTACGACTCCGTGCTCTATCTCGTTAACCCTCTTCCCATCAATGTGTACTTGCAGAGGAAGTAAAGTCACCTCCAACCAGTAGTCAGAAAATGCAGTGTAAGTGTACTTGAATCCTATAAATCTGTGGCTTGAAATGTTGGACAAATTCACGAAAAGAAATTAAGCGACATTTAATGACATCATTTGGCGAAAACATTTAACGACACTGTAAAGAAATATAATGAGAAATTCTAAAAATGTAGTGAAATTCAGTCCAATGTTAAGCCAATTATGCATCTTTCATCACAAGTGGCGTAATAAGATTGAGATTGTAGTATTTATAAAAAAACGTCAGTTTAATTTTAATTCTACCTAACTTATAACTCTAAGTCTTCTAAGTTGAAAATTAGAAACATTTTTTAATTTGACTCCACTTTAATACAAAAGTTCGAATAGAAGAAAACTTTTTTTTTCACTGCCAAAAGGCTTTTGGCAGTGAAGAGAAGAAAACTTGAAGCATATTTTGTATGATGAGTTTCTTTGTGAAGTGGTCAAAGTTAAAACTTTGCATTATCTTGTCGATGGAAACGATTTCAGTGCATTTCAATGAGCAAATCTAATTTTAGCATTTCATTGCAGTCTTAGGAACACAAAGGATCTGCTATAATATGCAAAAACAACTTATTTATTGGTGGAAAATTTAAATGGACGGAGTTTCGAAAGCAAATTCTGAGAATTCAGTAAAAGTCTCGTCTTATTGTGCCACTGACTAACATAATCAGTCGATAAACTATCATTTCGTTTTCCTTTGATCCGTTTTAGTGGTCTTAGTGAATGGATTGCCGTTTATTGGATTTGGTTTTCTTGACAATTTCATGATGATCGTTTGCGTAAGAAAAATCGCCACTTTGCTTACTCTGTAAACATTTGCGTAACCTGTGATCTTTTTCGCATAATTAGGGGGACTACATTGAACAAACACTGGGTGGTTACATGTGTCTCTCGACCATGGCGGCAGCTGGATTGGGGAACACGATCAGCGATGTTGCGGGCTTGGGTTCTGCCGTCTACGTGGAGCGACTGTGCGAGAGTCTTGGGTTCAAAGTTCCGCCGCTGTCGAAATTCCAGATGGAGATGAAGGAGAGTCGCCGCAGCGCGAGTCTGGTGAGTTTCTCTAATTTTGTCTAGAATGATTTCTTTTGCTGAGAAGAGTGTGAATTTCAGGGACGAATATTGGGAATAACAATTGGTTGTCTCATTGGAATGGTTCCGCTGCTCTTTATCGACACAGAGAAGAAACACGACGAGGTGAAAACAGATGGAAAGGATCATTGAAAAACTGCCATGGAAATGAAGCAAGTAAATCTTGTAGCAAAGCATATATCAATTAGAAGAGAAATCAAATAATTTGGTTGTGCTAGAGCACAGGTAAAAAAAATGGCCAAGATTAGAAAAGAGAGATCAAAAAGCAAAAATCATTATAAATGTTGTGACAAATTCTACCTAGAGAGATTTTAGTAGGATACAAAGCTTTAACGAAAATGTACACTCAAAAACTCACAACCAGTGACGAGATAATTCTTCCAAGCGACTTGCGTAATCTCTAAACGAATTTGTTTATGTTCGACGTTTGTATTTCATACGGTGCTATTCTTGAATGGTCTCTACACTCTTCACTGTAAATAAGTTGGTTTCCTTTCTTGCCTAAACTCATATCTTATGCTGGAATTGCATTCTATTGAAAACTATGCAGGACGATAATCAAATAGTGTTCTAAGATATTTAGGCGGTAGAGCAAAAAGGAATGTAGTTGACTCATTTTAGGTATAAAGATGCATATTTATGTATATTTAGGGAAATTACTACATTAACTACTTCTATGTGATAAAATTGAGGAAGAAAATGATTTTAGGGTATTAGATTCAGTCAATAAACTTAACGTTCTGTTCACTTAATATGATATCTAGTCGATTCTTTTTCACTAAAAGACACTAATTTTAACTCGAATGATCATTTTCATTGCTTTTAGTTACTTATCAGCTGCTTTGCTAAGTGTAGAAATAATTTATTAACTCACTAAGGAGATGAAATTCAAATTGGGCCATTTTAGAGCTTACACGGCAAATTTGTAGGATGGTTGCTAAGAAAATGCCATTTAAATCGCCAGTATTTTGAAAGTATAAAAGACAAAGAGATGTAGAATCTTCATATACACACTTTTCCATTGGAGGCACCCTTATAAATGAAAACAGGATTGAAGGTCTTGCCAAGGAATTGTATTATTAAATGCTATATATTGACCTATAAAACTCTTCATATCTGTGTGAATTTTCGAAGAAAAAAGTTTAGGACATGTATTGAAAAATATACACATTGAAAGGTGATGATGATGATATTGTCAGTGAAAGAAACACTTGGGATTTTGACCAATATTTATTTCGTATTTTAAAAGAAAGTACTTACAAAATGAAAGAAATTTACCAACTAAGAACTCATCTTATGATGTAATCTGTCCCGAATCATCCAAAAATAAAGTCTTCTATGTTTTTGAACATTTACTATTGGCTTAATTTTTTCCTCTAAAATTCTAACTCAGGTTGTTTTTTATCTTAGAGTCCTTAGAATGAATAAAACTGAGATTTTGCTCAGATACAGTTTAAATCTTTATATTATTATTATTATTAAAACTGTGATGAACATATTTTATGCGCACTTTCAAAACATGCTTTCAATTACTCTAAAAAAAATACTTTTTCACAGGGCTGCTTCTGAATTTTTGCATTTATTTTTCTTTAAAAATCAAAAGATAACAATTATAAACTTACAACCAAATTAAAAATAGTAGAATAACGCTAGAGATTGCAAAGGAAATGACAGGATCCTTAGACAGAACGTAGAAGAATATGTAAGCAAATGCATAGATTACACCAAATCCAAAGTAATACCCAATTTCGAATCTGAAAGACAAACAATAAATACGATTTTAATTAGTTCACAGCAGATCTTGGTTTAATTTTGCCGCACAAACACTGCCAAATCGCTTATTAGCATGCGTTGCACTCAAACTCACACTTTTCGGATGACTCTGTGCTTGAGGGTCGTGTTGGCGGACTCCTTGAAGTAGTAGAGCCGCAAGCCCTTGAAGCATCTCGCTATCAATTCACTCCAGTCGCAGCGCGCGGCATCAAAGCAGTATCTCTGCGCGTCTTCGTCGCTCATCGTCCGCATGATGCGCAGAGAATTCTGGACGGAGTATCTAAAGTCCTGATTCATGAAGTAATCGAAGGCTTTCGTGCCTCTGTCGAACACTCGCATGGCATCCAAGACACTGCAAAACAAGATAAATCACTCAACGGATTACCGACAACAGAATCGCATTGAAGCTCACCTCATTCGCCTGATTCCGAGACCTGTTATCTTCTCGGGAATCCACACAACCATGGCGGGCAGAATGTGAAAGAGGTAGAAGAAGATTGTGTAACGGAAAGAGTTCCTCAGCTGACAATGTGGCTTCCAGAGGAACTTGTCGCAAGGATGTAGAGCCGCGCTGCGGTTAAAGATGTCGCATAATTCCTTCAGCGTTATGGGATTCTCCTCGTGTGTCGACGTGCAGTGTATTACTTCGGGTTGCGCGATCTTGCGCGTGCCTACGTACCACGCCATGGCCAGCGTGGAGTTGATGACGTAGTCACACGGAATGATCGCGATGACGGAAGAGGGATTTCCAGTCATGGTGCGAAAGACGCCTTTCACATAGCCGGCCAGGAAGCCCAGATGTCCGCTGTTTGCATTGCCAACCCATCCTTGCACGGGATGCTCGTATGTTCCATACACTAGAAAGGTAGGAAAAGATTGAGACCAAACACGATAAACATTCATATGACAAACAGTTGCTTAAGCTTGTTTAAATGTGCAATTTTGAGAGAAAATTTAATAAATTATTCATGAATATTCAATTCTTTGATTTTTCCCATACAAATAATAATCAATAATTAAATATTTGATTGAGAGCATTAACTTTCCTCATAAATTGCCTTATGACTTGCCCCTTGGTGATAGAATTGCCGCTCATCAGAGCAAAGAATACTTTAACTGTACCTGAATTTGCTTGGCCCAAGACAAGCGTCATGAACTGAAAATCACATATTTTGATGGGCGGATTTGCTGTGGTTGTTATGAATGATTAAATGCCTTAAGTGACTTACCGACAGAGGGTCGGATTAGCGCCACGGGCAATCCTGCCATTTCCCTCACTATCAAATTCTCTGCCATTTGCTTGGTGAAGGTGTAAGTGTTGGGATGCTGCCCGATGATCTCCTTCACACCCTCGCAATCTGAGATGTCAGGCAGAAGGTGTGGCTCTGTGGCCAACCGCATCATCTCATACGGATCTTTGTGCGACGGGTAGACTTTCTCCAGGATCAGGCCGCGATTGTTGCTGTTGCAGAAGGCCGTGGAGAAGTACACGTAGGCCGCAAGATTGTCCAGCCGCTTAGCCAATTCGATGGTTCTGAGCGTGCCCAGGACATTGATATCGATTGCCGTCTTGAGTTGCGAATTGAATTTGATCGTTGCGGCACTGTGAAAAATGATATTGACATTCTTCGTGATGTCATGAAGGACGGAAGAGGAGAAATCCAAATTTTCAGCAGTCAATTCCCCGACGACGGGCACAATTTTCTTAAACGCTGCCGAGGAGTGGTTTTTGAAGAGCTGCAATGGGCGAGGAAAGACATTGCGTAACAAGGTTTTTCTTTACAAAACAATGCTTTGGGTGGCATTACGCACTGGCCGCTCCATCATTTTTCATTTACACTTTCACATTGACCATGAAAATGTGTAAATCTTGTGGCAACCGTCGATTTGGCTGTCACCATATTTGATGGGGGATTTTATAAGTTCAATATGCACATATTAATCACGCATGTTTCGGATATTCTTGCGGACGAGACATGCATTTGGGTTAGAGACTCAGGGTTAAGAGATAAACTCACGGGCTTCGAAAGCATCCGCTGAATGCGTTTATCCGCCAAACTGCCGTTCTTGTCGCGCACCAGCACGTAAATTTGTCCAATGTCGGGTGACACTCTGAGCAAGGACTCAATCAGAACTGATCCCAGAAATCCTGTTCCTCCAGTCACAAATATGTTCTTTCCAGCGAAGAATTGCGCAAAAGTCACAGTGTTTTCCACCATTTTCACTCACTTTTTGGTACTCAAAACTACTAAGAAAATACAAAAATTAGGAAAAAATGTATTCTAAAGCGTTAAACAAATGAGAAACAAACCTATAATAAAAGCTCTTAAGCAACTGATCTTATCACAAAACTTGATTTTCCAGGACACTTTATTGTCTGTTCAGCTGAATTTTTCTTATGCACAGGCAATTCCCACAGTAAATCCCCAACTTCCTCGGCCAGTGGTCAAATTGTAAAGAAGCGTAATTCAAGAGTCGAGGTATCTCGAGCTCGCTAACAATGCGACTGAGTTGGTGAGTTGTGGAGTGGGTAAATATGGTCATAGAGACATATTTGTTGTATCCAAGACGAGACGAAAACTCTCACACAAAAATGTGTAAAACCAAAGCACAAGAAGACACCAGACACGAAATTGGGAAATCATACTCAAATGTAAGTCAAATGAATTCACAATACAAACCAAATAAAGACATGTGACGACCTTCCAGGAAGTATGACAACAGCAAAGGCGAAAAAATCCGTCAATATGCAGAAAATATTTGCCGAAAGTTTGGTCCTGAATCTCCGCATAAATCGACAGAGTTGTTTGTCTTTGAATCACTATTTACTTTTGTACGTAGCACCCAAGACTGATTAAACATATGGTTTTTTCCCTAACTTTTGACCATTCATCGTGCATTCGGCAAAAAAGTCTCCTCCATTTGTTGAAAAAGTGTGTAAATTTATGAGGCGCATTGAAACTCAAAGATACAAAACCCAGAAAAAAGGTATTAATATTAATTTCCCATAGCAACATTTATTGCATTCATCAAAAGATGAAGTGCTTAATGCCAAACATTTTATACATCTTGCAAATATTGTTCACATTTAGCCCATTTAGCCAAATCATTATCTGTACTTTCGTTTTTGTGCAATGGCAAAAGCAATGAAAGTAGATGGAATTTGTGACGTGCGTGGTGAATTTCAATTTGATAACATTTTTTCCAGCCGGAAGGTCAGTGGAAATTTCACTAAATTTTCACTGATTTGTATTTACAGCATAAAATCAGTTCCATTTTACAATTGTCACGGTCACTGAATTGTTTTAATGTTTCTCAAATTCATACACGACATTTGCATAATGTGCACGTCACTCGCCATATCACTTTCTTTCGCGCCAGGTGGGAAATCGTTGATTGAAGATTGTACTACATTATTTTACGTTATTAAAGAATACAATTGAAAAATATAGAATAAAAAATTAGAGAACAGAATAGGATTGAATATTGCATTTGTGTAGGGCAATTTGTAATTCTGAAATGAAAAATGTTTATTTTATTTTCAAATATGCAAAATTTCTATTGTGTGCCTAAACACTCTCGATCAACCGTTTAGCACAATTATCACACTGCAAATTATGAAATAAATGATTTGCACCGTACGAAAGTCGAATCCACTCTCGATTTATACTATTTTTCTAGCTCCGTTTTCCCCTATTTGAATGCTACCGAATGTACCGAATCCAGTAGCGTTAAATGACCGGGCGTACTTTTGCATTAACGCTGTGGAAAGTGTGTGTTGTTCTCCCCTCGTCAGTGCTCAGGACGCATGCGTTTATCCTACTATACCGGAACGGAGAGAAAATTCTGCGAGAAAGAGATTGCGACTTTCCCATATTACGTTCACGAGTTCACCTTATTTCATTCTACTGCGCTCTGTGTGTATAAAACATGGCGTTCGGGTTTGCATTGATTTTCACGTTGGATTTCCACCCTGTCGTGTGAAAAGCTCCTGTTCACCGCAGCACGGCCGCAGCGTGAATTGTGGATCGATTTGTTGGACAGGAAGAAAGTGGATTTTCGTGCAAAAGTGAAAATCTTCCGGGTGTTGGACTCTGTGATGGTGTTTTATCAATGCAAAAGTCGGTGGAAGGAATGCTAGAAAGTCTGCATAGTCTGTAATTACGAGAGTTTCTAAGGGTTCTCCCAGCTTTGGTGATTGTAGTGTACTTTGCGAGCTGTTTAGTGGTGATTTTCATGCAAAGAGACCCGTCGTTTCGCGCTGAGGAGGAAATTCACTGCAACGGACAGAGGAAGAGTCCGCGAAAGGGGCGCGATATTGGATTGTGTGTGATTGGGTGGGATGCCGAACAAGGGTGCAGATTTCCATGCCTCCCTCACAGCATTTATGATGTAATAGCGTGGCTCTGCAGAGGCAAACAGTCGAGATATTAACTGCAGTCGAGACGTAAAAATAGAAAGAAAAGAGTGCTTCGGAAAAATGTGCCACGGCGTGCGTGTGTGGAAAAGCGAAGAAAAGTGATTATATACATATAGCTGCATTTAGCGAGGAATATCCGAATAAATTTCCACTCCCCAGTGACATAATGTGCGATGACGGAATATGGAATGCCGCCGGGATAAAAGTGACTCTTCAATGAGTGCGTGAGTGTGGGTGTGAAGAACTAAATGAAAGTGCCATCACGAGATTTACAACAAAGTGTTGAAATCGAGAGCTTTATGAACACCTTCCGCTTTTTTGAAGTGTCTTGCAAAACGCGTGGAATTGAATAGGACAGACTTTGTGAGCAAAAGGCTTTGCGTTTCGTAATAACATCCTGTGTGTCACACATCTCGCAAGCATTATGGCAAATTCCTGCGGAGCTTCGTGAGCTGTGCCCAGAATATGGGTGTGGAAGTACATTCTATTCTAAGGCAAGACGATAGCCAGTAGACTATTTATGTTCTGTACACACCTTTACGCACTCTGAAATTGATTTTTTCTTCTTCTGAGGTGGAAAGAAGATGAATCTTGACTTTGAGATTTCGGACAAAAATTGGCCCAATGATGCCAATGAGGAAGTATGAATGAGAGACGCCGATAAATAGGCGTGGTGCGAACGATTACGAACATTGAACTTTTGTAGTTTGCATTTAGGAGAAAATTTTTCCGAGGAAAGTCTCACGTGTTGATATTAAAATGTGTATACACAAATGAATCTCAGAGCTCATTAATAGAATTCCACTTATTAGATATAGTATTTAGATAGTGTACTTAATGGTTCTCGTATTGATGTTCTGCTTAATGACCTCACTAACTAAAGTCTCAATTTATGAATGAAATATGAATGGTGTTTAGTCTCGATGGTTTTCACTTCAAAATACCTAATTGAAGTATTTATTAATGAGGCACGCCTCGCTCACGCATTTCATGTGTCCTGACATGACAAAATTGGAGTGTGAGTCTCGATACTCACACTCCTTTTTCCTCAACTTTTCAGTTTAACTAGTGTTTAATGTACACACAAATTGTCCCTCTTAAAAATACATGAATTACAGTGTTGTCTATGAAATATTCGTCAGGAAGTTTAATACCATAAGAATTTGAAATTTGCTCAGAAAAACATAAATTTGAGCACAATATCAAACTGTCCCAAAATGCACGAAAAATTGTTATAAATTTTGATAAGCCTTGAAAAGGCCTTGTTAGTGCTTCCGAGGAATTCAGTTATCGTAAAATTGATAGACAAATTCTGCAAGACAAAGATATAAAAGAATTTCTAGTAAACCTTCTGTTTTAATGTGAATTTTGAATAACTGAAGCAATTTTTGGACATAAATTGATTAGGTCTTTGAGACATTCTCAGTTAGAAAAGTGATTGAGTTAAGTGCGCACGTGTTAAAACTCTCAAAAGGTTAAGCATGCAGGATCGCGTTTAGATCAAGCCTTTGAATATCAAGTTATTAATTGAAAATCAATTATAAGGGAAAATTTGGTGCCATTTCTGTTACTTTCTGATTAGACTCTCTTTTGAAGTTCATTGTACTGGCTGAAGTTAATTAATTCACAGCCACAAACCGCCCTGAAAGCGTAACCACCCTGTAAAGCCTCCATATATTTCCACTGTCGAAGTGTATGACGAAAATCGATCCTCCTGTTAGGCTCTGGCGAGTCCTTCATGCTTTGTGCTTGTTCAAAATGAATGCCTATCATGCAAAGAAAAGGGTAACACTCTCGCCACAACTTTGCATGGGTTTGAGTGTGATGTCGCGTTGCGGGTGAGGGAATGGCATGTAAGATTGATGTGAGCAGTGGCAGTGAATCACAAATAGAATGCACTGCGATGGCATTTAATGCACAGAGCTGTAGAGTCTTGCATTTGTCATTGCGAGCTTAATTTACTTTCAATCCACCTGTACACACAAATCCGAGCACATAGAGTAACTTTCTGCTGCTCGTAAAACTTCCTTACGCGCTGACGTCACTGACACTATCTCGATTGATAAGGTGAGTGTGGAGAAGAGTGGGGAAAGCCGTGCCATCACGACGTGCCGCTTCTTCTCTCGGGCTGCTCAGTGTTGCTCAGTGAAGAGCCGGCAGCAAAGTGGAGTGGTTGGACCCGGATGAGGTTTCTGTTGTGTGTGCTGACGACAAAAGTGGCACAGAAGAGATCTCGCTGCTCTCATTGTGACTGAATTATAACATTAATGCATTGTGTGAGTGGAATGACATCTCATGTGGTCATAATAAAAGTATACGCTTGATAGCTGGAAGTAATTGATGTGTTGTGCACTGTAAATCTTCAATGGAGATTTTCTTCAATGGATTTTACACACAAGCTTGAGTGCCAAACAAGAAATTTGAGCACAAATTTCTTTTTCATTGCATCAAAATTGAGGAAGATTTGAGTTTTAGTGACATTGTGGTGAAGAAATTGTGTAGCAATTTCTTTTTAATTTCCGTGTCAAATCATTAGGAAAGCCCCGAAACTTTTAATAGGCGATTAAAAGATAAAAAAGCGCACTCCAAAAATATTTGGGTTATAAAAGATTCCATCAGATCAATGGACTGGCATTGCAAATTACTGTATGTGTACCGTAAGCGTAACGTTTTCTTCAACATCACAGCCAGTGAGAATCATTTCCCAGGTGCAGCGTTGTGTTATATTCTAAGACACGAAAGTTAAGATCATTGCCAAACACAACAATTGTCCGAGCGAGATCTTTAATTAAACTTCCTCGTTAGAGTGCTTGAACTTTGATTCCCCCAAAAGTGGCTGTGCTTCTATGCATCGCGGAGAATTTATCTATTTTTTCATTTATCACCTTCGTTTATCGCACCTGATAAGTGGCAAATCACTCGTGAGCCCATCCCAAAATGACTTAATCATGAAAACCAAACGAGACTAGGCAAGGTATTCCCAATTTTCGAAATCTATATACAATGCAAAATTTCGTAACACCGCGAGATTAGGTTTTTTATAGGCTCGACTTAAGCAGCTTCGATTTCTACCATTCTTAACTGATCTGACGTCATTACAGCTGAATTTAACTGCACAGGAAAATTTGTACATAAGACATATTCGCAATTTTATGATCTTGAAGCCTTTTTGCGTGACATTTTATCGCATTTCTCCACTTTTCGTGCCATTCTTTACCAACACTGGAGTCAATAACAATCGTTCTATGCACAGCACTTCTGCAGTAAACCCATATTTGCTAAAAAAAAAAAATTGCGGATCCATTATGATCCATGTAAACACGGACTTTTCGCATAATTACTAAGTGATTATTGAAAGGACAAATATTGAGTTCATAGAACAACACATCATCAAAAATCCTCAATCATGAGCGTAGTTACAATTCAAACAAGAGGCAGATGTTGAGGTGATATAAAGGTCAAGATGATGATCACAGTGATTCTTTCAAATCATTGTTCCTTTAATGATCGCTTTAAAGACACGAATTTTATGTTGATGCTTCATGCAATTAAACCAAACAATTTTTTTTTTATCTTGTAAGGGTTTTCCATGCGAAGGCAGGTGAAATGTGGCAATAGTGTCTAAAATGCTTTAATTCGGAGTATGTATCTCAGCAAAATGAACGCTTATCTTTATCCTCTTGAAAGAAGCTCAATCTTTCAGTAGCATAAAATATTATTTATAGATATACACCTTTTCTTTGGTGGGATTTTCGTGAATATACTTGTCACATTGGGGGAAAATTAGGTAACATTCGTTGTCGCGACTGTTAAGGTTTCCACTTATCTTATCGCTGAGGCATACAATTTAATCTTTGAGAATTTATCAATTTGTGAAGTACTGAAGGAATTGCTCATCGTTATATCATTCGTGAGTAATGGCAAAGTTCAGCAATTGATCGTGCAAATGATCGACTTATTTATGCTCCCGATCGGCCTGAAATTCATCTGCAGGCCTTTGCTTTGCTGTGGCGTTCTGCCGCTGTTGCATATTAGCGCTGGGTGTTGCTTATGTACAGAAGAAGTGAACATATTAACGCGAGACAAGCACATTGATCCACTGACCTAAATTTTACAGACTCCGCTGGCGGAAGAGAGCCAAGTGAATTCTTCGCCGGCAGATGAATACAAATTGGGGAATGTGAACTCTCTTGCTTATCTCGCGCGGTGTCACACGCCGCAATCGCTGCGGCTCTCTTGCTTGGCCACTTCGGGGCACATTGTGTACAATCAGCTCGCGGAGTGAATTCATAAATGCTGTGGTATATCAAATAGTATAATTGAATTGAACAGATTTTCACTTTTCTCAGTTAAGTTTCTCTTCTTTCCACACCGAAGACGATTGGCTTTCAGTTGAAGAGAGATGAATATGTTGTGTTGCGCATAAGAAAGTCGTATAATTTTGTTTAATTACCAAAAATGTGCAAATTAGCACCTTTTTTCGTGCATTTCCCAAGTGGGTCACTTTTGTTATTCATGTGAAAAATATTCTTTCGGGTTTCATAAAATTGCCACTCTTTAACGTCTCAACTTTTACTCTCAAACAATTAAATTATTTAAAACACTCTATTTTCAGATGGCTGCGAGTATGATTTGGAAATGTTGCCTAAAAAATTCACGAGACAGATAAAGTATTCATAGCAACAAAACGATTGAGAGTTTTTTCCCCGTCAATAAAATAGTGGAATTGACTGAATAGTTACGGTGGCAAAAAAATTATTTCACAGTGACATAATTCCGATTTATTCAGCGAAGAGAGAAAACTATAATTCTGATTTGAGTTGCAAGGAATCATGCTAGAGTAGGAAATTCTTCTTCCAACATCTTCCGCGTGCTAGAATTTATATTATCCTCAGACGCAAAGAAAACAAGTGAGAATTGAACAGAAGCTTCCGGACCTAGAGGGCATCATCCAAATCAGACATGATGGAGCCGGCTAGAATTGAAGTTGACCAGCACGAAATTAAGCAATTCATGGCATCTGGAGCCAATCTCAGTGAATACGTCTCGGTTCCGCAATTCTACACTGACCGAAGTGTCTTCATCACGGGCGGAACCGGCTTTATGGGAAAGGTGAGCGAATCAGCCGCAATCTTTGACCGATTTTGATGTTCTTAATCATATTAGAAAGGTCTTTTCACTCTCTACAAGTATTTCAAATACGCAGAAATTTCAAGATCACCGCAAATGTTTAAAATCTTTCATAAGCAATACTCAATTATACGACAGCATGAACGATTGTCTGAAATTCCAGGTCCTCGTGGAGAAACTGCTGCGATCGTGTCCGGGAATCAAGAACATTTACCTGCTGATCCGGCCAAAGCGCGGACAGGAAGTAAAGGCGCGTCTCAATGATTTGCTAGGCGCCCCCGTAAGAATTCCGTGCAATTGTGGCGATTTCATGTGCTAACAATGCGTCTCTTGCAGCTGTTCGACACTCTGCGCAGAGAGCGTCCGAATGACCTCAACAAGGTAATTCCCATTTTCGGCGACATCACGTCCGAACAGTTAGGCATCTCGGAGAATGATCAGGTGAGTCGCGCGCCCTTCCGCTGACCGGCGGCTAACTGATTCTGCTTTACAGGCGCTGCTCTGCCGCACTGTGTCGGTGGTGTTCCACTCCGCCGCGACGGTGAAGTTCGACGAGAAGCTGAAGCTGTCCGTGGCCATCAATATGCTGGGCACGAAGCGACTCGTGGAGCTGTGCCACCGGATGATGTCGCTGGACGCGCTGGTGCACGTCTCGACGGCGTACTGCAACTGTGACCGCGCCGAGGTGTCGGAAGTCATCTACGCGCCGCCGTACAATCCCAACGACATCATCTCGCTGGTCGATTGGCTGCCCGAGGAGATGCTGGACGCGCTCACGCCGTCGCTGATCGGCCGGCGGCCCAACACGTACACCTTCACCAAAGCCCTGGCCGAGCACATGCTGCTCAACGAGGCCGGCAACCTGCCCGTGGCCATTGTCCGACCCTCCATTGGTGAGTTCGCGCCTCTTTCGCTCCTTCGCAGCTCATGAATCTCTCTTCCCGCAGTTCTGTCCAGCCTCAATGAGCCGCTGCCAGGATGGCTGGACAACCTGAACGGACCTACTGGTTTAGTGTCGGCAGTGGGAAAGGGTGTTTTCAAGACAATGATGGGCAACGACAACAACGTAGCCGATCTCATTCCTGTGGACATTGTCATTAATCTTATGATCGTCACCGCCTGGAGAACGGCCACGGTGAAGCCGAGCAGTCCGACCATCTACAATTGCTGCACTGGACTGCAGAAGCCCATCACGTGGGGCCAATTTGTGTCCATGAGCATTGACTTCATGAGGAAGCATCCGATGGGTAAATTTCGTGCAACTAATAGTGAGCTTTTTCTATCATAACATTGTCTTTCAGAGGGCGTTTTCTGGTATCCGACGGGAACTTTGCGCTTGAATAGACCTCTCAATACTGCCCTGGCCTTCCTGATTCACATTATTCCAGCACACTTCTTAGACTTGTTTTCGCGGGTGATGGGAAAGAGGCCCATGTGAGTATACAAAATGTTAGATCATATCTTTTCAAAATAGTGTCCGAAAAAAGTAAAAGTTGTCAATTTCGACAGAAAGCATAACAACCAGCCTCATAAGAGTTTTAATAAATTATTCTTGTCTTGATGAATTATAATAAATTTGATATTCCATCTGATGGTTTGTAAAGTTACTTAACTTTACTGCACCTTTTTTGGAATGTGATAAATTCGTAATAATTGATTGAATATCCAATCATGTGATCTAACTAATATATTGAGTAAACTGAAAGGTGAATCTGCAAAATAGTAACAATATTGTGTAAAATCAAATTTTTTTTTTTCAAATTTCAAACACTTCAGTATATCTTTAAAATATTTTCATTAAATTTTTTGACTTTTAGTTATACATATCTTAATAATATTCCATGTTTATCGTCATTCTAATTTTGTTCTGTTTTCAGAATGGTGAAAATTCAGGGAAAACTCATTAAGGCTACCGAATGCTTAACATATTTCACGACAAACCAGTGGCGATTTAAGGATGACAACGTGAGGGAACTTTTGAGCAATTTGAGTGCAAAGGACAGGCTACTGTTCGACTTCGACGTGAGTCACATTTCCTGGGAGCGCTACTTGGAAGGATACGTTCTGGGCTTCCGGGAGTATCTGTTCAAACAGAGCGCGGACACGCTGCCGAGTTGCCGAAGACACATATGGAGGTAAACACAGCAGTTCCCACATTGCGATGCGAAATTAATGTGTGCCTTATCTTCCCTTGCAGATTATATTGGATTCATCAAATAACAAAAGTACTAGCAATAATTTTTTTCTGGCGCTTCCTCATGAAGAGATCCAAAAAGCTGCGCGACGTATGGACAAAATTCCTTCATTTGCTGGTTCAAATGGCACGTCTTATTCCATTTTTGTAAAGAGAAGAAGCGGCTCTGCGCGTAATATAGTATTTCCCTTTCCATTTACTTATCGGTTTGAAGTGAGGTATTATGTGTAGTTGATAGGAATGCTATTGTATTATTTAGAGGACAAGATTAAATGGGAATGCTTCTGGAAGGAACTGGACCAAAAAGCAAGGGAAGTACTCTAGCAAAATCAAGAGAAAGTTCATTCCTTGTTGGATGTCGTGAACAATTATTTATATATTTTAGAGCAATATCGAAATTTAACTAATTTACTGGATGAAATGCACTAGGAATATATAAAGAATTAGGAAACAAAATATTCAATTTATAGATAGCCGACAAAATAATGATCACAATTATGAGAAATATTAGTGAGAAAACATAATTTCGCTTCCGTATTATTCGTTAAGTGGTGAAATGTGGCTGACGGATGTATTTCTGACGCAAAGGGTAAGATCAAAATAGGAGAATCAGGATTCAGAAAAAAGCGACAGATCATCAGAATTATTCCCCATGTCACGAATTATTCCAATAAACATAGCGTTTTCGTTTTTTTCTGTGATATATCTTTATTTTATTAAAAAGAAAAGTGCGTACTTAATTTCAAGTGCATAGAAAACTAACCAATTTATTTAATTGACAAACTAGTGCTTTTGATAATTTAATAGATTGTCTAGAATTTTCCATGTGGCGGAAAAGAGATTTTTAATGCTCAATCGAAGATGATGGAATTAGGAATGAATAACAAAAGGAAAGATATGAAATCTTGAAAGCAGAAGTAGTAATTCAAATTTGCGTCCACATAATGGCTAGATCTAGAACAAGAAGAGTAAAAGAAAACTAGTATTGGAGAGTTAAGTGTACAAAGAGGCGCATATGATGCAGTTTTTCATATTTCTAGATAAAGAATATATAAAAAATTAAAAATATATGCTGAATTTCACGAAATGACAGTCAATGCGTTATTTGTAATAAAGTGAAATTCAACTGAGAACTCATATAAAAATTATTTATTGGTTATAACATTAAGGCAAACACAAACATCGACTAGAGCTTGCAAAGTCTGGGAATAACAAGATTTAGGTGGTGAATTAAGGAAGCGGAATAGTTCTTGCAAGCTGATTTTTAGAACTAACGACAAGTTGACAACTTAATAAAATGATGGTGAGTGAAGCACCATGTTAGTAAGGCAATTTGCCAAAATATGATTAATGAAATTTTGGGAATTCGAGAAAAAGCGTGAGAGAGCGCTGCTATTTGAAATTTTGAAATTGGTGAGAATTGCAGAAGGCCGCGCATTTATAAAGGTCGATCCTGGCATTATAGGCTCATATGAAATTTAGACATAGATTATTACCTCTATAAATTTATAAAAATTTCAGCAGATGATTTATGTAATTGATGCTTAACAATGAGATAGAATTATACATGTAAAAAATGTAAATATTAACACATGACACTGTATAATTCTTCTAGGGAACCCTTCAAATTAATATTGACAATGCAATTTAATGATCCCAACTACAAATTACATTACAAAGAAAAACGAACATTTGATAGGAAAGAAAAGTCATGAACACGAAAAGTCGTTCTTTGATTTCTATTTTAATTTCATTAAGAGGTGAGAAAGGAAAACATTGTATGAAAAACTAACACTAGTTAAGAACCTTTATGATGGGAAGTATAAAATTTTAAATGCTCATATGGGATTGTTCTAAGATGAATGTTCATTTGGTTCGTGCATGTTCCAAAAAAAAGTGCGTAGCTTGAAAAATTGCCAAAAAGTAGACTCATCTTGCCAAGGAACTTTTCTTTCGTTATAAACTCTTTTTTTGCCTTGCTTGAGTGGTGAAAAGAAAATAAACCAATTTATGTAAGACAAGAAAACATCCCAAAATATTTGGTTATTGAATTTGGCCGAATATTAAATAAAAAATGAATAATTTTTATCCTTGTAATCATTTTAAGTGAAGCGTAAACTTGTAATTGAGAGCGACATAAGGGAAGAAGAAGAAACTATATAAGAGCATTGACTTAGAAAATGTGTTTCGCGCAATTTTCAAAAAAAAAATTGTTCATTAAGAGAAAACAATAATAATATCGTGTAACACAATTGTTTATCAAGTTATACTATTGATAAAGAAAGCTATTAAAGAAAAGATATTCCGTGTTTTATTTAGCCCCATTCAAGAACAGCGAGATCAGCAAGTTGACGAACTGAAAAACTGCATAAAGGATTTTTCGTTTCACGAAATTTCTCTTTTTAATATCTTGTAAGGTAAGACAATTGCATTCATTCTGTGAAATGTTTTGAAAATTCTAATGAAAATATTGTTACCACTTAATATTTCTCAAAGTGCGTTCAGAATGGAACAGACTGTGTGACAAGACGCGATTTTTTCTCCAACATAAGCATGTGCGAAGAAACTAAAAAAAAATACACATATTAGTGTTGTATACATTATGTAACATGAGAAGTGTGTGTGTGTGGGTGTTTTGGGAGTTTCCTATTTATGTATTTTAGACAAATAGTTGAGATATGCAGATAATATTTATTCATTCACTTGCATTTTCCGGCAAGATTCTTGGCTTTCCCGCACTTGTGCTCAAATTGGGAATTCTATGGAATATTTATTGCGCAGAAAATACGCAAAATTTTGGCGTCAAGGGCACTCAACGAAGCGCGGAGAGCGAAAAACTATTCTTCGTGCGTGCAGTAGTTCTGTAAATGTCAATTGATGTACGAGGGAGCAATAAATTGATGATCTTCTTCGGCATTCTTTAGAAATTAGACGCATTTAATTACCGAGGAATTGTGTAATAATATATGATTTCATCTTACTCCACAAAGAACACATTCTTCACACATGCCTGTCGAATACAAGGAGTATGTATTTTTGTTGTTTGTTGGGGTTCTCGTACAGGAGGCGACAAGCGACCATTTTAAGAAGAAGAAGATGTATAGTTAAATTTGTGTTTCGTGGTGAAGTGAATTCGCGGGAATTTAAATTTAAACAATTCTTTTTTCACGGATTTTCATTATTTTATTCAAGTTGTGAATGTTTGTATTTTCTTTTGCTCCTGTGAAGCCGCCCACCCTTTTTTCCTATACATATTCGCCCTTCTCTCCTTCTCATTAAGGATTATTTGTAAATTATTTGTTTAACCTGCTCACATAAGTATTAAACATCTTTTGAATATCTGCTGCAGTCCACATTTTCATTAATAAATTCACACGTGTCTTTTAGAACATTTTTTTTTCACTTTAAAAGTGAGATGAAAATCGTGGAATCTTGGAAGTAAAATTCAACTTTCTCGCAAAAATTAATGAAATCCATATAGAGTTATTGAATATTATAAAAAAAATAACTTATCAATCGATTGATCTTCCACTGTCTCCTCATAATCCGAAATAATTTCGATTGTGTTGTCGAAGAGCATATCTACTTCCGATTCTTTGTCACTTCCGGCTTCATCGCGGATCACATCATTCAGCTCTTCATCCTCGTCTCTCAAGACTGCAGTTCTCTCCTCAAACTCATCTCCATTACCGCAGGGCATGATCTTTGCGTAGGAATGATCCCTGTGAAATACGAGAGCACATTTAAGTCAATCAATTTACACATATTTCTATTCTGAAACTTACATAGAATTGCAATCTCTGGGTTGAGAGATTGGATGAGGTCCAGACTCGCCTCTGGATGAGCCCGGCTCAGCTCTGGAGATGTCCCAACTTTCGTCGGGAAAACTGAAAATTATTATAGATGAAATAATAAAAAAGAACAACCTGCATTGTATATAAATCATTACCTCCCTTCTTCAATCTCCTTCTGCACTTCCACTCTCCCTGCAGAGCTCGGGAAGTGGGGTGGAAATCGTCAGGCAGGAAGTGGTCAGAGCACACTCTGATGATCTTCTTTAACACACCAATGTCGAATATAAAACATTCACAATGTATTACATCATTTAAAGACATTTATTGGACAAATTTACATGTGAAATGATCACACAAATCCTTGGATTTGTCTAACGAAACAACTTTGAGTAAAACAATGCGACAGAAATGATTAGCAGTGAGATGATTGTTGTGTTAGCATTCAGTTGGAAGGAGTTGTTACACAAATCTTTGGTGCAACTGTGACATTCGAGCACATTCAAGAGCGGAATTTTATCCTTGTGTTCGCAGAATCCCTTTGGATTGCAGCCTCTGAGAGTAACATTAGTTCCACTCGCTGGGGAATCAAAGGGGAAATTAGTGTTAATCTTACTTCTTTAGTATAGTTAACACTGAATATAATTTACCAGATTTGTGATGAACTGATACACATTCAACGGCTTGATTTGTTGGACATTTCAGGGTCTTGAAATTCGCAGCATCGTTGCACGATAAGCCATTTGTTGGGTCACAAAAGTAACACTCGAGGGCGAATGCTGCAAAATCAAGAAACAATAATAATCACTCTGCATCCACCCGAAGAACTTACCACTTGAGACGATAACCGTGCAGATTAAGAGGCCACAGAGAAGCTTCATTTTGCCAATATCAGAACACTGCGCAAATTGAACGATTGGAACAATCTGAATGCTGATGAGAGACTGAAGAAGAACAAGTGAAGCCCAAGCATATTATTCACTTCGCAGAACGCGTAAATTCGTGACTAGTAAATAGTTTTTCATATAATGGAAATGGGGAAAAAATATATGGTATATACTCACACCCACAGTGTAGTAAAACCATTTTTGGTGTGGCTTTTGAGATGTGTGCGTGAACATTCGTGTGTAGTATGAAAAATCCATTGTCTAATTAACTTTATACGCCCTAAAACTTTGGGGGAAGTCACATAAAACAGGGGGAAAATAGGACATTCATCAGCTATTTGTTGGAATAAAGGACAGTTCTTAGGCTTCGATTGGCATTGAATTTTCTAGCTTTGAATCATTTACATACATATATAGAGAAATGCCGTTGCAGGACCTTTGAATAGGCGTGACATTTACGAGGGCGGAGCTACAGACAATATTCTCCAGCGATTACTTTGCAAGCGGCTAAGCTTCATCTGCTGAGTTTTTATTAGAAGTTCTATAATTAGATTTATAAATGTTGATTTCAAGAGGTTGAAGAGAGCAGGAACTATTCTTTCTCCTAAGCGTAAATATCAGTGATTTATGCGGGCAATAAATTGATGATCTACAATGAAAAGTCTGATCAGAACTCTTGAAAAATTGATCTCTCGCGCCCCACAAGTTGGCAACATGTGTGCCAATTCTCTGAGAACTATGTCACTTGGCTGAAGACTCTGGGCTATTCCATAAAATTCTTCAATCACATATTTAACAGTGAATCTTTTAATTTTAGCTCATCACACAGACATAAATGCCTCTTTATATACAGCATTTTGTCATACACACAACATAGTGCTGAGGAATCTAACATCGCGAGTTGTGAATCAAATTACTTGTGTGTTTTAAGAGAAATTTAATGGGCAATTTCTAGACTGATCGTACAAAATCACCTATTTAAAGAACTTTGAAAAGAAGAGAGTGGTGAATAAGAGCAGCAACGAGACGATCGTTGCATTGGCATTGATTTGGAAGGAACTATTGCAAAGATCATCATCGCAAGTGTCACAATCCAGGACATCTAAGAATGGGATTTTAGCCTTCTCTGCGCAGAAACCAATTGGACTGCAGCCTCTGACGGTGATTGCGGTGTCTTTATCTGAAAAAGCTGTAGGAAAATGCCTTTTATAATCTCAAATACATGGATTTGTAGCCGCTATCTCACGTGATTTATAGGAGAATTCTACACATTCAACATCCTGTTCTGTCGGGCACTTCATGGTCCTGAGGTCCGAACCATCACCGCAAACTGTGCCATTTGTATCGCCACAAAGGTAACACTCGAGAGAAAATGCTGGAAAAGTCAAGAAAATTTCACAGTCGTCGTGCACATGATTTATCACAACTTTTTACCACTCGAGATGATCACAGTGAAAATCAACAGGCAAGAGAAAAGCTTCATTTTGATCTGCAGAGCAAAGCGTTATTTTGAGAATGAAAGCCAATTAGAGACTGAGGAAGATCAGGAGAAGCCTCAACATATTATACATTTTGCAAAACGGCCCAAGCCGTGTATTTATAGTTTTTCATAAAGAGGTAAATGGGAAAAAAGACATGATACACGCGCCCACAACTTTCGCTGAGACACTTAGCCTTGAGAGTCTTATCACTGTGTCGTAGAGTGTCTATCCTGATTTCCCTTCAAATGCTTTTATATTTAGAAGAATTGCGGGCGGTAAAATGTGAAAAGCCATATAAAAAATATCTCTTTATTGACTTGGAAACAGTTTCCGGATTTACAAAATAATCTTTATTGATATGAGTTTATTCTATATTACACCAATTACAATTACAATTTTTTTCTATGAATTTAAATGATCCTTTTACGAATCAATCAGCGCATGAGAAGAGAATTTTCAATCCAAAGGGAGGATTCATATTGGCTTCATTTACAACTGAATTCATTCTATAACATCAATTTATAGATAAAGTTATTAAAATGTAGAAAAATCCCACGATGATCAAAACAGCTGTAGCGAAATTGATAAAATATAATCTACAAAAGAAGAGAAATCAATTAATAAGATTATAAAGTCAAAGTCAAATGAAAAATCTCACTTTTGAAGTTTCTTTTTAGTTTTGACAATAGTCTGCGGATCTTGCTTCATCAAGTACTTTCTGACGCCAAAAACGTATCTTTCCAAATATTTTTCCCAGGAAATATTTGCCATATCAAAATTGAAAATCTTTTCATCTTCAGGACTCAAGTTTTTCAAGAGACTTCTCACATTGTCATCGGCAAAAGTCCACTGGCGAGTGGCGAAAAACGATGTACTTCGAAGCAATTTGTTGTATTTCTTTAGTATTGTGAAAATTCTGAAAGAAGAGGCATTAAAGCAAAGACAAACCTTGATCAAATATGTATATACAAACTTAAATCTCCTTGCTGTGAATATCCTGAAGAGTATATCCATGAAGTAAATGGGCAAAGTCTGGAGCAGGAACGAGAGAATAGTGAAGAGCGGTTCCGTGTGAACAAGTATGGTGAAAGGATACCAAAAGACGTTTTCTGCCGATGCAAAGATTGAAAAGACAATAGAAACAAGGATACACTGAACTCAAAAACTTACCCAAAGGATATTTTCGCAGGTAATTTGTACAATACTCTGTAAAAAGACTCCAAGTAAGTGGGTTTTGCCTGCCACTCGTGCAATTGTAGATAGCAGGACTTCTGTTCTGACATTCTGCCAATTTCCAGGCACTCACAATCATCAGGTTGACGACTTTATCCACTGGCACGATATCGGCAATCTTAGATCCATCAACTAGTAGCACTTTCGCCAAGCCAATTCCTTCAGTAATTATTGCACCAGTAGGACCGTTGAAGCTTTCCAGCCATCCGGGCAGGGGCTCATCGAAGCTGGCCAGAACTGCGGGAAGAGAGATTCATGAGGTGCGAAGGAGCGAAAGAGGCGCGAACTCACCAATGGAGGGTCGGACAATGGCCACGGGCAGGTTGCCGGCCTCGTTGAGCAGCATGTGCTCGGCCAGGGCTTTGGTGAAGGTGTACGTGTTGGGCCGCCGGCCGATCAGCGACGGCGTGAGCGCGTCCAGCATCTCCTCGGGCAGCCAATCGACCAGCGAGATGATGTCGTTGGGATTGTACGGCGGCGCGTAGATGACTTCCGACACCTCGGCGCGGTCACAGTTGCAGTACGCCGTCGAGACGTGCACCAGCGCGTCCAGCGACATCATCCGGTGGCACAGCTCCACGAGCCGCTTCGTGCCCAGCATATTGATGGCCACGGACAGCTTTAGCTTCTCGGTGAACTTCACCGTCGCGGCGGAGTGGAACACCACCGACACAGTGCGGCAGAGCAGCGCCTGTAAAGCAGAATCGGTTAGCCGCCGGTCAGCGGAAGAGCGCACGACTCACCTGATCATTCTCCGAGATGCCCAGCTGCTCGGACGTGATGTCGCCGAGGATGGGGATCACCTTGTTGAGGTCACTCGGACGCTCTCTGCGCAGAGTGTCGAACAGCTACAAGAGACGCATCGTTAACACATGAAATCACCACAATTGCACGGAATTCTTACGGGGGCGCCTAGCAAATCATTGAGACGCGCCTTCACTTCCTGTCCGCGCTTTGGCCGGATCAGCAGGTAAATGTTCTTGATTCCCGGACACGATCGCAGCAGTTTCTCCACGAGAACCTTGAGTTTTTGAACTACTTGTAGATCTGAATATTTAACAATTCTTCAAGATCTCACCTTTCCTACAAAACCACTTGCTCCTGTGACGAGAACACTGCGATTTGTGTAGAATTGCGAAATTGATTTATATTCTTTGGAAGTGGAAATCATTGTGAATTTTGCACTTTTCACACGCACGCTCTGATTTGATCGGGAAATTGAGTGGAAAGAGCAAACTTTGTCTGCTTTTATAGAATAGCAGGTAGAATACGAATGAATGTGTTGTTAATTCTCGGCTTAATTATATTCTCAATAGACATGGCGATAGAAGCGATAGCATCAGCGTTGATTATGACCCTATTAGCTAGGTTATATACTGATACGATGGCATCGTAAAGCCTTTATATCAACATTACCTGTAGTTTACTATTTGCACAAGCTTACATTATACATAAGCGACATAAGATCTATAGCTAAAAAAAAAATCTACGCTCTTTAAAGGATTAAAAATCTTGCGCTTTCATCTTTCCTTTAAAACTGAGTTCTATCGCAAACGTCTCAGTATCAGCTGCGCTCTAATGGTAGCTTTGAAGTATAATTGCCAATAAGAACAGTAGAAATTGCATGAAGGATAAAATTTTATTAGAATTATAATCATTTCAGACTGTTTCCCAAGTCTCTTACATCAATGTTTGTCATCTGCTTTACATCCACGGGTGCCAGGCAGGATCCATGCGACAGAGATTGTCAGGATTCAGAGCTGCTTGCACAAGAGTTCCCATCTTGTTGGTCTCCACGCTCTCGAAGTAGGACAGATTGTTGAGTCTGTTCATGATACTGTTCACGCCCTTGTTCACAATTGTGATGATCTTCTCCATGTCCACCTCGTTCGCGCCCTTGTCAGACGACAAATCCCCATTGGGATCAATGCTGGGATTCTCGTCGACTGGCCTTTTCTTGTGCACCGCCATAATTTCATCCTTCAGAATCGTGCGAAGGATCGTGGGAAGTTTAAAGTTCGGTTGCACAAAGCACCGCGCCGTGACCATGGCGGACGCCGTCAGCGGCCCTGTAATGCCAATGCTGGACAGGAATTCCACGATATTGGGCGTTAGCCTGAACGGCACTGGCCGACTGGCGTCCAGTTCGCCCGTCGTGTCGTCCACGTCAAACTTGAAGTAGGAAATGTTGATGAGCCCCGAATCCTGGTGCAAATACATCATGTCCGGATTGATGCGCGTAAGATGCAACGCGTGCTCGCACAGACACGCCAGCGACAATTGCAGCGTGAACATCTTCCGGAATTGCCAGTAATCCGTGGCCGAGCGGAAGCACTGCACAGCCCAATCCTTGAGGATCGTCTTCGGCACCATCGACTGCTGAATCTCACGCAAAATATCACGCAATATCGGATGCGTCGTCTGCGAACCGCGACACTGAACTTCAGCCAATCTCTCGTAATATCTGCAAAATCAAATTGACATAAGTTTATAAATAAGAAAAAGTACATCTGTACGTGTTTTCTGACATCTAATATAATGTTTTGTCTCCAAATTTTATTCCTACGACAAAAATATCATTTTATTGTTAACTACAGCATTAATTGAATTCAAGGAAAAAAGTAAAATAAAATTGAGTCAAAACAAATGTTGACAAAGAACTCTTCAGTCCGCACAAAAATATACATTTAAACAAATTGAGGAAATTTCAAGGAATTCTGTTAGAGGATAAACAACTCTTGTTCTAAACATTATTTGCTGTCTTACCTCGCAATCGGTGTGTCATGTTCAATCTTCATCTTCGCACAGCCACTCTTGTAGATGTCGAGTAGTGAAATACTCGTCGGATTGTCCTCAACCAGACGCATTTGTGGCGACACAGCAACAACACGGTGAACTGTGATGTTGAGGAATCGTCTCGAAGTCTCCTTTTGCTTCGCCAAGTAGTGATTTAGCATTCGCAAGAGCTGCAGCACTCTCTCCTCGCGTCGCGCATCGCCCAATCCTGAGTCATTCACCACCAAGTACTTGTAGATCTTCCCATTCGTTCCTCGAATGGACAATCTCCTAGCTGCTGTGTTGTGTTTTTGCACCACCTCAACGCGCGGCATGAAGCGCGCAATGCGAATGTGATAGTGAGACGGTCGAGAGCCCAGCACTTCTCCAGGTAGCTCCACTTCGGCTGTCTTTTGGCTGAAATTTGACAAAAAGCGACACTTTTCCTCAATCAGGAACACCTTTGGCAATTGCTTCGTCTTCGCCTCGAGAATCTTTATCCACTTCTTCAGCTTGCTGATCAGGTTGTGCAATTTCATGGCGCCAGGCTGAGAGAAGTCAAAGTCACTTGAAAATTGACCCTTCATCTTCTGAAAGACTGGATCCTGAACTGTAGCCTGAGCGCGCTTCGCCAGTGATTCTGATGCCGCAGACGCAAACGTCGAAGCCACAGAACTGCTGATGTTCTCTAGAAAGCACGCACAAGAGAAAATAAAGGATAAAAATGCTGTTACATCAAACAACAAGAGGGACTCACCTATACCAATGCCAAATGTTGATACCAATTTCTTCACGAAATTCAGCGTATGCGGCGTGATTGTGGCCTCATTCACCGATCCCCGATTTTCGAAGGCAATCACGTAGCATTTTGTCAATCCCTGCCGCAGCTGACGTAGAACCTCCTCGTACCAGTTCTCCCTGAACCACACCATTTGGTCCACGATGCCCTCCAGTGAGCTAAGTGTCGTGGGATGAATGTCCCTCTGGTGGTGCATGATCTTCGAGCACCGCCACATCGGCGGTGTGGCCTTGATCGGGCCCGCGGATGCTCCAGCCGGCTGTTCTCCGGCCGCCGTGCTGCCGCTGCTTCCCGGCTGCGTCGTCACCGTGATGGGGGATGGAGTAGGCACTGGGGAGGCTTCCGCACCACTCGGCGTGGCCGAAGACACTCCACTGGTCGACGCCTGACCCTTGCTAGCTGCCGCCAAAGTCGCCTGCTCGGCATTCTTGTAGCGCTCGCGTTGTTCAATCTTCAGCGTCAGATACAGCGTGCGAATGGGGAAGTAGACAGCCTGTGGGAACATTCTGCCCACTTGGCTCAAGAGATTCAGTATCACATTCCCCTCGTACTGCACCAGTGCGCACAGCAGCTGCGGAATCCAGGGGATCCAGTGAAGTGGCGGAACGCCAACCGAGTACTTCTCCAACATCTCCATCAAAGCCGATGATTTGTCGTCATAGGAAAGCAACCACAGCACTTTGGCCAGATACTTGCGCGACTTGAACTCATTCTGATGGCGGCACGCGTGCAAGAAGCACGTCATCGCGCCCAAGCCATTCTGTATATTCCTCGGCTGTGCTGTGTCTGTTGTGAAGACATGCTCCAAGTAATCACCCCAAAGAGCCCACGCCTTGATCTGTGTATCATGCATTTGAACGGCCGCACTGAACTCCTTATTGGCATCCTCAGAGCGTCCAATCTGCGCCAAGAGTAGTCCTTTGAAGGCATAGAACTCCGCAGACATCTCATGGTTGAAATACTTGAAGTTGGTCGACTCAATCACCTCCACAGCCTCATTCAGCTCATTCCTTCCCGATACGGCAGCCATTTGAAGATAGCACTTCACCTGCTGCTTGATCTTTTGGAAGCAGTCAACAATTGGCACCTGCGGTATCGTGTAGATTCGCGACAGGGAATCTTGGCAGACACTGCGCAAGTTGTGCTTCCTAGCAATCTTGCCAAAGTGTATTATCGCCTGCGCCGACGCGTGAACACCCAACATATTGTTCCCAGACTCCGTTTGTTGCTTCAAGTGATCCGTGATGATTTGATAGTGATGCTGGCGCCACGTGAAAATGTCACTCCAATGAGATAGATCATCAGCGATCACAGGCAAACGATTCCTCCACGTCTTTACGATAGCCTTCATATCGTGAAGAGAGGATGTCATTTTAACCTGTTGCAATCCCTGATGAATCTGGTTCGCCTCCTGCAGCTCCATTATCTGCTGCGCCACTTGCAAAATCGGCAAATGAATGTGGGAAACAATATGTGGCAATCGACGCCACTCTCTCATGCACAACTTCGATGCCATCTCTACGTAAGTCTCCACAGAATTGAGTCTTTGCTTCTCCAGGTTCAGTATGGTCAAAAAGCCACGATAGAGATTCACTTTGTACGTCGCCTGTTTCGGACAACTCTGCTCCACCTTCAGCAATGCTTGCTCCATTAGATTCCAATCCGGAACACGCCACGCACTCTCCATGATCAACATAAAGTTCTTGTCTTTGTTCGCTTGCGCATAGTCCAACAACAAATCCCACTGATTCAATTCCTTGGCACATCGAATCCAGTGATTCTCCCACAGCAGAAGTTCGTTATTGATGTCAAATGGCACTGGACCATTTGCCATGTCGTGCTTCAACTTCGACATGGCGATATCGTAAGCATTCTGCGCCTCCTCGAAGAATCCCATCTGTTCATACGCTATGGCATTGTTTGTCTCCGGATATTTTGCATACTTCAGCCACAATCCAGCCCACAAATCCTCCTCCTGCAGCACAGAATACATCTGCGAAAGTGGATCATAAACGTCTTGTTGCGTAAACTCTCCGCCGTAGAAATTGTTCAAGTTCGCCTCCGAGATATCCTGCTGACTCGACTCCTTCTTTTGTGGCCAATATTGCGCCATGTTCTCCAACATCAGCGTCATGCGATGCCACAGATTGTGCGCCTTGCCCAGATATGACATCAAATGTGGCGGAATCACAATTGGTGGCTGACACCGCGTCAGAGCCTCTACGAAGGTGTTCATTGCACTCGGGTGGCAATCCTTCTGATTGTTGTGCGTTCCGGATGACAAGAATGCCAGGAACTCCTGCGCCAGTGCATTCTGATGCTCCTCCTCGAGCACCGTCCAAATGCGCGGGAACATGTCCAGCCACACTCTCTCCGCCAATTGTGTGTCCATGTGGCACAGTTGTGATGTCGCCACAAGAAGTTGTTCAGTGCGAATCTTCCGACTCGCCTCCAGAAACTTGGACTGACGATTTATCAACTTGACCAATTGCGTCTGGCGATTAGCCACTGGCCTTTCACTCTCCTCCCGTCTCGACACCGTCGATTCCACACTCATGTCCATATCAAATGCATCCTCTTTGTCCTCAATGGCATCAAATTGCTCCTGCGGATCATTTTGAAAGGAGGTGAAGATGACAAAGTTCTTCTTCTCATCAGAATCCGCCAGATTTATCACTGACGACACACTCGGCAGCAAGTGACTCTCATTGGCATTCTGAATTTGCGTCGAAGAGTTTGCAGTAAGAATCACCAACTCAATGCACTGCTTCACCCAATAGTGCTGTCCAATTGAGTCCCACGCTTGTGAGCACACAATGTACAACAATCTATCATGCATCCGTCTCCTCATTGACCCATCGAACACCTCCACAAACTTCGCCCTGATGCTCGGCTGATTGCATCTCAGTCCCGCCACAAATGCCGCCTCCAGTTTCGACGTCAGCTCCGTCTGCTTCAGCTGATCATCGCGATAAATGTAGTTGATTAATTCCAGAAACTGCGCATTCAACTCTTGATCCTCAGCAAAGCGCTTCTCTACAAAATGCATCAACTTCACCAATAGAATTGACTTTTCACGTAATGTCGGTGCCTGAGTCACAGTGATTGGCGTGTTCTTGTGCCTCATCCACTCTTCAATCATCTTCACAATTGCCTTCATCACCTTCACATCTGTGCTCTTCTCAATCAATCCCACGAGGATATTGCCAATGAACACCTTACGCATCTCCACGCCCATCACAACCACGCGATTCTTCACCAGATCCAGCGACAGTATGAGCAATTCCAGAGCCACAGGCGAAAGACCAACGTCCGGTTGCCCACTATTCGGTGGTGCCATACAACCCGCCAAATGGTCCTTTGTCAGACGATTCAACAGTCTCATAAACGGCACCATCAAGCGATCAATGTAGCTCTGATTGTTCATGCACGCCGCCTTTAGGATCATCAGTGTCCCAAACAGTGTCGACGGATTCGCCTGCTGACTCTTCTCATACTGACTCAGTCCATCGCAAATCATCTTGTTCACTGTTGCATAAAGTGTCTCCAACTCTTCGTACTTATGATGTGAATCCGTGGGAAAGAGTGACATCAATTTGGCCAGAAGACTGTGCATCAGACGAATCACTTTCGTATTTGTGCAGTTGACACACACAGAAAGACCTCGCTGAAGTGGTCGAAATGTTGTCAAAATCTGATCCTTCTTCATCACCGTCAACAAGAATGTCAACAACTCCAGTGCCGTGCAAATGTTACCAAAGTTCGGCTGTTGAGTCTCAACACTGGCGAACACTTTGTCCAACCATCCCAATTTCAAGTCACACGGCTGTGGCCACACTTCGGGCTTCATAGCCATCTTCAGGAGTGTCACACAGCGTCGCGAGAGACTCTCGCCAGCCGACACCTGTCCCGGCTGAGTATTCAATTCGTGCACCTGACACGCCAATCGCATCAAGAAGTTCAGCACCGTGTCACAGTGAACACGATCAATGGGCCGATTTGCGCCCTCCACTTTCGGCACGACTGGCTGTCCACTCGATGGTCCAGCCTCTGAACTCTGCTGCTTCTTCCTCGCCATCTCTCCATGCTCCTCCTGCATGGACCTCTTCACAGCACCCGATTGGCTCGTTTTCGTGTCACTTCCTTCCTCCTCCTCAGCTGGCGCTGTCTCATCATTCTCCTCCTTAATCCTCTGCAGCTCCCACTTGATGATCACCTCCGCCAACTCCACCGATAACTTGCGATACTCCACCGTGGCCGTTGCTGAGAAGCCGAGTCTCTGAATCGAGTTGATCATGTGCTGCACGAGATGATGCCTAACCGGATAGTATACTTTGTAATGTCTCACAACCAATTGCAGAATGTGAAACAATTGCTGCATCGAGTGTCCCTCCTCAACAATGATCTTCCTCGTCCAGTGATTCAACATCGTGTTGCCATCCTCCATTCGCAGTGGCATCGCCGGTGTGAGCACTTCCAGTGCCTGACGCACAACAGATCTCGCCTCTATAGCATGTCCCTTCAGCAGTGAATGGAACACCTGCAGGACGATTCTCTTGTGAATAGCCAGACGGGCAATGATGTGACTGAGAAGCAGATGACCATGATACCGCGCAGCAGGATCAACGCAGTTCTTCCCCAGCAAGCATGGCCACGCAAAAGTCATCAGTCGCCGCAATTTGTTGCTCTGCTTCTTGTTATTTGCATCACCATCGTGAATGTGTGATGACGCACGCTCAACGAGCAGACACGCAAATTGCAGCAGAGCAATGCGAACGGCATCATCATTTGCGTACGGGTTGTCATGATCGATCACCTGAAAATTACAGAGAACAAAAGAAACGAATTATTCTCTCACAATTTCCAGTAAAAACTCTCAATCATACCTTCATTATAAACACAGACACCACATTGTTATCATCCTCTTGATACGGCGTCGGCGGTGCGCCAACCAATTTGTTCCCCTCGCCTTTCTCAAAGCTCACAGCGAAGCTCGGAATGAGGATGCATGTCAATATCTTGGCCTTCAACTCGAGCGAAATGTTGGGATTGTTGAAATTGTCAACGAAGTAGAAGAAAGCCTTCCTCTTCCAATCCACTGTGTAACTCTGAGCCACGACATTCTGCAGGAAGTCGCGTAGAAACTGAAAGTCGGGAATAAATCGCAGGCACAGCGCTCGAAGCAGTTGAAACAATAAGTCAATATCGTGCGTGTGATGAGAAAAGTAGTGAAGCAGGATTTTTGCCACCAAATGCCACATATCGCACACAATCGACGCTTCGCAGGTCTGAAAGGAAAAGAAAAAGGAGTTAATAATTGTGTAACAGATATCTAAAGTCTTCTCTGCAACTCACTTTGTACAGCTCATTTGTCCAGAGAGTCTTCAGCGCGTGCACAATATCGGTCTGTGTTGCCAACCACTGATCGTCATACTGTGTTAGCGTGTGGACAATCAAGATGGCTTGATGTAGAGCTTCGTAGCGATCCATATAGAATTGCGGCTGTGGCATTTGCTGCTGCGGCAATTGTCCCGCCTGCATCTGGCTGCTTCCCTGGTCAAAAGGACTCGTCATAATCAGCGCCACGAGTTGTGGTGACTGACTCTCCATGGCCAGCCTGAATGTTGCTCCATCTTTATGCTTCAGCAGATAGATCAAGAAGCGATTCCACTGCGGATCTTTCACATTCGCATCATTCAGCAGTAAATCTAATGTCTCTTTCGGGTAGCGCAGCAAGAATTTGATCAGAGGCTCGCGATATGGACTCGAAGACTCGATCTAACGAGAAGAGATAAAGAAAAATTAGTTGATGAGAAGAATGCCGATAAGTAGGCCTGAAATATCAACTTACAATGATAGTTTTCTCCGTTTGAAGCACTAAGCGGCACAAGCAGTCCACAAATTTCGACGAAGCTGCCGGAATCTGATGAAAAATGCCGATAATAGTTGTGATCTTCTGTTCAGTCTCTCCAGTCTTTGCCACTGCCAGGAAGTTTTGATCCGTACTCTTATTTGCAGCAATCGAGTGCTCAAGGAGCTTCTTAATGTGCTGCAACAGTTGCTCACACAGCTTCTCATTGAACATCGACGGAAAGAGTTGTGTCAAATACGACAGACTCTTCACACCACTCAACGTGAGATTCCTGTAGTCACCAAGTGTCGTTAGCAATGACTTCATTCCCGCATAGACAATCTCCTTCTCAATTGGGAAGCCAGCTATGAACTTCTGCATACACTCAAACGCCGCTTCCTGCAGTTCAGGATTGTTCTTCTCCAGTGTGTTGAAGAGAATCTTGAATATTTCCTCCCGATATCCTGCCGCCGTGATGTAGTGAAATGCCGCAAGAGCTCTCAAGGCGCTCTTTCGTAGCGGCACGAGATTTGTTACGTTCTTGTAACAATCCAGTTTATTCAGAATGTTGTCTTCAGCTTTGCACAGTGTCAGCAACTCGTGGAAGAAGACTTTGTGCGTGATGTGGGCAAAATCAATGGTGAAGAGTCGCGGCTCGAGAGTCGTGCAGAAGGTGTTTCCATCCATCAGGCCAATTTGGGCACTTGTTGGCTGATGGCGCAACAAATGTTTCTTCGGCGGAATCATATCGACAAGCACTTCGCGATGAGGCTCCATAATGTCCGTCACCGTCTTCCCCTGTAGCTCAGCGATCAATTTCAGGGATGACATTGCCTGCTCACGAACGAGTGTATGCGGACTGGTGACTTGGCGCACCAACTCGTGAATCACTTCATACATTGCCTTATTCTGCGTGGCAATCAACTCCTCATTCCTGCACTCCTTATCCAGCGGCACCATGCAAATGCGCAGCATCTCTTCCAGATTCGTCTTGGCCGTGTCAATAGCTCCACTCGACACTTCACCCGCCAAATCCATGATGACAAACATGAAGGCTTTGAGGAAGACGAAGAGGTGTTGGTACAGCCATCGCATGGCCATGTGTTGATAGAGAAACTTCAGAGCATCACAGCCGCCCATCTTCGCATACCACGGACGCTCGTAGCAGAGATTGCACATTTGCTCAGCCAAGTACTGCATCATTGGCAGGCGACACGCTCTCTCTTTCGTCCCCATAATGCTGGTGGCTGTTTGCAGGATGAGCACCATCGCGAAGCGTCCTGGTTTGCACAACTCTTTCTCCTCGTGTCCCATAATCGCCGCAAGAGCATCAATGAGCACCAGAGGATCGAGTCCGTTGTTCATCTGATAGTACTTGTGGGGAAACGGTCCAGCTTGCTGGGCGATCGCCACCATTGTGTAGTGTCTTACCACAGCTACCATCGTGGGCAGAACAGACTCTCGCAAGTCTTTCGTGGCTGCAGCCACAAACATCCCCGTCAGGGCTGTCTGGTGTGTCTGCCTGGCCTGAGAGTCCGGAGCGCGATACTGTTGTGGCAGCATCGTGCCAATGTTACCCTCCACAAAGCTGGGATGCATGAAGAGCTTCTGCAGGGTGTGTTTGTCATCATCCAGCGATAGGGAAGCCGCCAGGTAGCAGCGAATAGCTTCCCAGCTCTGACGCCAGTAGAATGGATCCGTCGCGCTGGATTTCAGTGCAGAAAACGCCGTCTCGATTACTTTGTCCATAGGGAAGTCAACAGGTTGCAGACTGTCCTGGAAGCACGCCATGATAGCCGGCGCTGGTGTGTCTCTGTCATTGTACTCCAGTCGCTGAGGTTCTATCATCATTTTCCTGTTCCCACCGCCAAATTTACCAAGCACACGGAATGCCACAAGTGCCGCACTGTCTTGATTCCTCAGCGTGCGCCACAAAGCCTGCATTAATTCCGCACGCACAGGCTGAATGTGATCGTACAGAAAGTCCGGCTGTAGATTGTCAACGCACAATTCTAGTGTTCGCAGACCCTGACTGATCAACGTGTGCGATCCGTTGAGCGCCGACACGAGGGGATCCATCAGCATCGGCAAATATGGCAGGAGAGATGACAGTCGCACTGGCACAGTCAAACACAGCTCCACAAACAAGTCCTTCATGTGTTGCTTGTGGAATCCACTCTGGAGTCTATTGAGTCCCTCCAGCAGATTCGGCAGCAGCGGAAGAAATTCTTGATACAACAAATCGTGATTGCCACCACCTATAGATCGGAAGAGGGCGCGCAGCAGGAGGAAGTAATTGTATGGCTCCTTGGCCGTCATCGCCAATTCCATGGATCTATTGACGATGTTGTGGAGATGCGGACGCAACATGTGCTCATTCTCAGCCGGAAACAGACTCACGCTGCCGAAGACGAGCTTAAAGAGTCGCAAGTACAGATTTGATCTCTCCACGTTCGATCCCATGCCCTCCATGCGCTCCAGGAGATACTCCACCAGCACCGTGGCAAACAGCGGTGATGTCACCGAGTTGGCCAAGAAGGAGTTGGCTATCACCTGAAGCGCCGGATTCTCATGCAGACGCTCCACCATGAAGTCGATTGTCGACGCGAAAATCTCCTGGAAGTTCTGATTGTTCATCAGAAACACACCGCTAAAGTGCTCCAGCACCTCCTTTTCCTCCTTGCTGCGTGGCACCTGACTCACCGTCTTCACCATCTGCCCAGCGCTCGGCCCGACCGTCGGCACGTTTATCATATAGATGTCGAGCGCCTCCAATGCCCACTGCACGAGATCGATGAATATCAGTATCTCGCTCGGCTGGAACACCTTCGATTGCTGGCTCGGATTGGTACAATCGCTCAGTGGTGATTTGCATCCTGCACATCCCCACGTAATAGTCTTCACTCCGCACACAAGCGTCTTCACCAGACTTCGGTACTCCGCCACATTCAGATTCGGCGGCGGCGGAAAGCCAATGCTGCCCAACTTTGTGGGCTGATCAGAAGAAGGAACGTCCTGAAAAAGCAACATTTCCCAAATTAATAGAACAAGACATGGAGTAGCAAGTGAAGAAAATTAGAATTGTACTCACAAAGCTCACTGAATCCGACCGTAGCGAGTCTGTGGCTGTGAGCGCCGGCGGATTGGCCTGGGTTGGAGTGCCACTGTTGGTGGGCGTTGAGGATTCATCGGGCTTCTGAGTTCTCCTTGAATTGGGCGCGCATTTCTTCATGATTTGCGGCAATTGAATCTTGGCAATAGTCTGAAACTTGAGTGTGAACACTTTCAGCATCGTGATGAGCAGATCACGTGCCGTTGAGCTCTCAGTGTCACTCCTCTGGCGAATACAGTCCACAAGATTCAGCAGTAACTTGCACGACATCGTCTGAATGCTTGTCGGGAGAGATTCATCATGGACATTCTTCGAGAACAAGTGCACCGCCTTCGCCAGGACGGGAAGACTCAGATTCTGTCGCACATGATGTGTCAAGTCAGCCAATGTCGAGTAAGCCAGAGGCCGGAGGGATTCGTGTGTTGTGTAGCCGCGACCGAGAAGCAAGTCCTCATTGAACAGCTTGTCCATCAGTCCCACAAACTCTGCAACAGACAAACACATTAAAGAAATATCGGCTTATTATCAATTGATCTTTCTCACTATTTCTCAATTCTGTTGCCAAGATGTGCCGGGCAGCAATCAAGAGTTCCTTGCGCAGATGAGCAACTTCCTTCGGACAGAGTTGCAGGAGGCTCAGCATTCCCTTCACCATTGATGCGGAGTGTGTTACAATCACCTCCTGCGAAGACAGACATTATCAAGTGCCCACCAAATCCGCGCTGAACAAATCTACTTACAGTAAACAAACGAATGATGTATGCCAGAAATGAGAGAGTCTTGATTTGTGCTCCCATGAAATCGACAAAAACCTCCTTGTTGAAGGCCGGTGATTGCCTGTAAAGAACATCGAATTAGACACTGTATTTCGTCTTGAATTTTCTGAAGAATTTTACCGATGAATAGGAGATGGTTGAAGTGTGATTGTAGTCATGATCAAGGGCACAAATTCAGCCACTTCCTGATGGACAAAAGGTTTGTAGATCTGGTACATAAGCACGACAATTATCGGCAGCTCCTGCAGCACTTTCAGAGACAGAACTCCTTTGGGGATCAAATTTTGCTGTGTTGACAGAAAAGAAATATGAACATTGAATAGAGACACATAAGAATGCAATATGACGACTTACAGTCACCGTTGTGCCGTCCGTAGTCTTCTTCTCCACTTGAATGGGTGTGATCGTGTAAGTCTCGGCTAGGAGCTGCTCCAAATTCAACTCCTTCAGATCTTTTACGCGAATCGGAGCACGCGGCTCGAATATCTTCGGCATGTGCTTCGGCAGCTCAGAGTAGATGGTCTTCACGAAGGCCAAGAAGTGTCCAATCTCTGGATTGAAGGCCGGCCGATATTGCTTGTGCAGCTCAATGATGATTCTCAGGCACACCAGAACATTTTCTTCATTGTCCTCGCGCAACAACTTCAGCATCAGTGTGAGGATGACCTTCACGTACGGTCGCAAGACCTCAGAAGTGGGCAAGCGATGGATCATCTCGAGAATGAGCTTCCGCACCTGCTGAATGTTGTTCTCCGAGATGAACTGCGGTTCGCCATCTTGGAGGACTTTGATGAATATCTTCATGGCGTGTTCCAAGAAGGACTGATAGCCCGAACATTGCGTTATTATCTCAAAGTTCTCGCTCAGCTCCTGTGCCGCCTTCAGCTTAACCTCCTCCTTGGCCATCGGATCGGCCAGCATCGACACATAGCTCCGGAACACGTTCATCTGCGTCGAATCGACCACAGTTGACGAAGTCGCCGCGCCCCCAATCATTCCGTACGCCGGCGGCATTGTTCTCTCACCAGATAATCCCCCTATTTCCCACTATAAAACACATCTCAGTCTACTGGTCCAAGTCACCACAAAGGAGAGTAACTGAATTCTATCCAAGTCCCGTTCTTTTATCTTGAACTCACGAAAATGCACTTTTTCTCTGACAAGCAAAAGTTGGGTTATGCGTGCTGATCAAGATTCCGTCTCAAAAACGAAAGAAAAACTTACTTTTCTGCTCACCTTTTACTTAAAGTGCATGACTTGACTCTTTCTCTGCACAATGATGTATCGATAGGAACACAAAATCACGTATTTCACACAGAAAATAGCATAAAAGTCGAGAGCACTCCTCGGAACAAACAATAAAGCCAAAGGGTTGCGCGAAATTGTGGTGTTGCCAGGTACGAAAGAGCTTCCAATGAGTTCCAGCTTTCCAGTCACCCGGCTGATAAGTTCCGTGGAAGAATTGGATGATTCGGTATTATGCTTTAAAAAGCCTAAAAAACCAAAGAGAAAACCAAAAAGGCAATTATTTATCATTATTCTATTGTGAATTTATTATAGCTGTCTTAACAATTACTTTAAGAAATGACGAAAAACAAAATGAAAATCATTATTTCTCTAAAAAATTGATTTTAGAGATAAAAGGATGGATAAAAAAGGTAAGGGTAAAAGTAATTGTAAAATTTCAAATGTAATTAACATGATTGTATAATAATATTAAATGTAGGGAGAGAAGTTTTCATTGAATTTCTCATATACAACTTTGTCGCCTCTGAAACTCTCATCTCTTGCCTTCACAAATTTCACTCCTATATATCCTTTCATCCAGGAGATCTGCCCTTCGTGTCCAATTTTTGTTCAATCTTGAACAGTCGTTCACGGACTATCATCGAGTGTACATCTTAGTGATTCAGTGCAAATCCTGAAGACTTTACAACCTTTGCAACTAAAAATCTTATCTCAAGATCAAGGAAGGAAGATCGCCAGGAGCAAGAAAGTCAACATACGATAAGAATCTCCAGATTATTATAGATTGCATGTAAGCTAATTTTCTGTACAGATTTTTATTTTTTTTTAATATATGTGTGTATTCAAAATATTCCTTGAAAGACTTCAAGATAAACTAACTAATCACATTCCGATATCATAGAATAACTTATAAAATTTATTACACTTGTTTCCCTTTTGATCTTGCCTAAAGATTGTTGCGCTGATAATAATTTTGCCCGCACTCTACCTCGCACGATACGGCGATCTATTCGCGAAGAGATTGACCGCCGGGGTCTCATGACTTCCAGTCATGACAGTGTGAATTTGTTTTACTTCATTTTCTACACACGCGAGAAGAAAGTGGCTGCAATTTTTTAGCGTCCGTAAAAAGAGATTTTAATTTGTGATTTTGGCTGTGAATAGTCATAAAAAGAGTATCAGGCGATTCTTCAGATCACAGAAAGGTAAGAAAAGCACTTCTAGATCGTTTTCCGCCGCAATTCATCGCGAAAGCTTGGCATTTTTTCCATGGCACAAAAATTCCGAGTGGCACAGATTCGAGAGTCGACAAATGAAAATGAAAATTGAATATTCAGCAATTGTGCGACATTTTTGTGTGATAATTCATCGTCCTACAGTGCACTGAACTGCATTTCACGTGTTTAACATGACACGCGCGGTTCCATTCAAAGTGATTTGCTCATTTGGTTTGGAATTTCCATGGGCAAAAATCCTTTGGATTTAGACCATTTTATGGCGCCTGAAAATGTTCCTCGACACGTCATAAATTTTGGAAATATTGTTGCAATGGGATTTGCATGTTCAGCATCTCACCCAAGGTTTTAGAGTGCATAATGAGGGTCGCAAGGATAACATTGGAAGAGTTTTAAGAGGTGCACTAATTGTAGGGCCAGCAGAAAGAAAATTCGGGGGCATTTTTATTACTTTTTTTGCTCGGCGGCGCTTGTAAAAAAGAATGCCGTTGTGAACAAAGTGGGCATCGGAATTTCGGCTCGAGAAGCACAGCGATGAAGAGAAAAATAGAGTATATGTTCAATTGATCAAATTACACGCGCTGCAGAGTAATCTGCGATAAGCCATGACCAGCTTATGAATGCTGAGATTCCCGCACATCGTTTTTTTTTATCACTTGAGACACTCGACGCATCAAGTTCAATACAATTCAGGAGAATGTCGTGAAATGTCGGGCAATTAATGATATCATTGCAAGCAAATCTCTCCAAATCGTCGGTTGTTTTCTGTAATAATTACGCAAAAAATATGGTTTTGATGGGCTCGGAGTTCCCTTGAAGCCCTTCATGAATGATTCCCGCCAAAATTGTGTTTCCAGTCCAACTCTAGCGACTCTAAACTAGAGCTAGAGATGTTATGTTCGTCGCACGTTAGATAAAGGAGCATAATCATTCTTTGCAGCTGAAATCTTTAACTCCTGTCTAGGATTCAACTTTAAATTAATTAATTTTGGCTTTGAAAGGAATTAAAATAATACGATGTTTTTCCTTAATTAATTCTTCAATGAATTCACGGCATATTTTACTGCTTTTCACTTTCTACTCGACCTTTTCGAGGTGATTGCTCTATTTTTTCGTCTTTTTTCTCAAGAAAACAAATAATATATTAGTCTTGAACTCTTCATATTTGATATTTGTCTCACATATGAAGATTTTTGAAGGGTAATTCTGATTTCACTGGTCTTTGTATTGAAATGAGGATATTTTTTCAGAGAAATTATGAGGGAAAAACCCAATTTCTCACATTGGTTTACCAGATATGTCCCTAAGTTCATTTCTGTGGAAATTCATCCAAGTGCTAGCAAATATTTTACCTCAGACGCAAGAAGGGTGCCAATTTGAGATTTGTCTCACTTACATAATTTGCTGATCCTTTCCCCACGGCAATTAGCAAAAAGTTCAGGTAAAAGTGCAAGTGTTGAAGCAAGATAGAGGCTCGAAAATATGAAATATTGCTGTGATTATTTCACTCAGGGGGGGCAAATTCTTCAAACTCAGCTACATCATCTTTTCCCTTCATCTATAATGGCCCTGTGCAAAAGGATTTGGCACTAAACTCAGATGAATGAAGCAAGATCATTGATCGCAATTTTTCTTTTGCGAATTGTCACAATTCTCTCAATTAAAGCTTTGAAAATTTTATTTTCATCTTTGCGTTACTATAAATTTGAATCTTTTTGATCTCATTATTGTTTTATTTTTATATAACTGGTATTTCTTCGGCTGGTTCAGAATCCTCACTTCAACGAATGAAAGTAATGAAATTCTAATTTTCTGCCGTTCAATGTTACAATTTTATCTTCCATGAAGCAATGTTTTCTTTACTATCAACTCTTCCGTGTCTATTTGGACTTCACTATACGTATGATGGTGAATTTGTGTCAACTTGACTGTGCGCGAATATCAGGCAGAGATCGCGAGAAACAGTTATAACAGCTTTTGTTGTGCTGCTCAATACACAATCGATGTGTGGAAAGAATGTGGCTCATTTGATATAATTTCTTATTGCAGTGTCTAAAGATACATATCTTCAGCTGACGAGGTGAGACTGCGTGTCTTGTGCAAGGATGGCTGACACTGCCGAAAAGGATGCCTTGGAGAATGTGGAGAAAGCGATCCGAGCGGTACTCAACACGAGTCAGCACAGAATGACAATTCCGGATATCAGCAAAGACTATAAATCCCTCATGTACGAAGGTATTCCCTTCTCGAAGTATGGTTACAAGTCGCTGGAGGAATTTCTCAGGTCGTTTCCGAGTTTGGTATTTGAAAAAGTCAATGGACAGGTGAGTTTCTGTGTTGATATTTATTAAACGAAACCGCAATTGTAATATGAACGAGAAGAACGAAGTTTTTGCCAAAAAAAAGAAAGATTTATAGTTATGGAAGAAATGGTAAAAAAAAAACTTAAATTTCACACAGTCATGATTTTAAAATTATATCAAAATCTGATCAAAAAGAGTCAACTTTAATAAACATTGATTTTTATGATTTGTAGACGACTGTTCGTGCTGCGTTGAAAAAGGAAACAAGACATATTGTCCAGATGGTTGCTGCTCAGAAGAAGCCGAAGAAGAGCCATGCTACTTCCAACCGACCCACATTGGCGTCGCGACCTGCGATTTATCAGCGCGCTTCGACGTCATCCGCAGCCGTCCAGCGACCTGCGAACCACACGCAATATCGCATGCCGAACATCAAACTGGAGAAGTTGAGTTCGGAGAACAAGCGGGAGGCGCCTCAGCAACGACCAAAATTGCTCAAGATCGATCCAACGATCTATTCTAATCTCGCGGGCGCTATTCCGAAGTCATCGGTGAACAGTCGCATTGTGCGAAATAACACGAGACCGACTGCTCAGGAGCAATCTCTGAATGACAGACTCGTGCGACAGTCTTCGATCACAACGCCTCCGTTGTCGCCGAGTCCTAGTCCACCGATTCTGGTGACCATATCGAATGGCGTCACGTCGCCAAAGCCAAAGATTATGTCGCCGATGAAGATGGAGTCCGACTTTCCGATGCCTGTGACGCCAGAGCCTGAGAAGGTGGAGCTGGACAGGAACACAACGGTGCCCGTTAAGAATCTTGCTGCTTATTGCAAGTTCATGGGTTACGCGGAGCCTCACTATTCCTACTCTTGCATCAAATTCAAGGCGGGCGACAAGCTGTTCCAGTGTCGCGTGACCATCTGCAATAAGACTTACTGCTCATATCCAGAGCATTGCGAATCGACGGCTAATGCTCAGAATGTGGCAGCTGCAGCGGCCATCCATCGGCTCATTCTGCAGGATGAGATCAGAAAATTTCCCATATGTCAGGAGGATGACGTATCTATCGCGGAGAGATTCATTGACATCCTCAATGAGCATCCTCGAGGGCTACTTATGACTGCCCTTCCTGACTACTTCCGCAAGAAGTATGGGATGACATTGTCTGGAAATTGGCCAAACATTCTCTACAATTTCGATGAGTTCTTCTCGGTGGAGGAGATTGGCGGACGCAACATTGTATATTCGATGAGTGTGAGTGAGAGGCCATCTTCGGACTTGATGAATGAACTGGACGTAACTGTGTTCGAGACGTTGCAGCTGCCGTGGTCACAGGACATGTGGAAGATTCAGATCACAAATCCTGTGTCCACAAATGAGATATATGGCCAAATTGTGGGTGAGCAGTACAACAAGAGACTGAATACACTGATGGTGGACATTGAGATGACCATGATGAACAAGATGCCACCGGTTTTACACATTGACGACATCCAAGTGGGACGCATTTATCTGGTGATCAACAACACAAACTGGAGCCGCGTGCGTGTTGAATCAATTGATCGCAACAATGCACGATTTCAGTGCTTCTGCATAGACACGGGTGAGCAGGAGATGTATACTGAGCTGTACGAGTGCAGTGCGGATTACTTGAAGGTGCCGCATCAGGCGATTTGCTTCAGTCTGGCGTTCTTGGAGAGCTTCGAAGGAAATCCTTATGTGACACAGCATCTCAATACAATCCTCGCTCACAAGCAGTTCTATGCGCGCATCATGACGAAGAATGAGGAGTTCGAGATGAACAGTGTTCCGGGTGAGGATGTGCCGATTAAAGTTGTGCTGATGGATCCAGTGAATCCGAGTCTGGAGAACAACGTCAATCAGCAGATTCTGCAGAAGATCTGCAATGAGACACCGGCTCAGGAACTTGAGAGATCGGCACTGAATCTAGTGAAGATTACTCATGTGTCGGACACTGGTGATATCTATTGTCAGCTGAAGCAAATTGGAATGAACTACATCCAGCGACAGACGGACGCTCTGGTGATGGACGAGTCGAAGATGGATCTGCGTCGTCCCATGGAGAGTGAGTCTTCTGACATTCGCTATTTGATCCACGACAGAGACAGCGACAAATGGTATCGCGCCGTGCCAGACATGCAAGTGAGTCTGATGGAGACGTCCCACAAGATGTACTGCATCGACTATGGGTTCATCCTGGAGATTCCCGATGAGGATATCTATCAATTGGAGCCACTAAGTCAAGCGCTGTCCAAGTTTCCGGCCCTGGCGATTAAGTGTCGCCTCTATCAGCTGCAGAACATGACGGAATCGATTGTGGCTCGCATCAAGGGACTTCTCAGCGAAGGTTCCGAATGCATTCTGAAGGTGATGGTGTCCACAACTTCGATTCCTCAGGTGAATTGCTACATGCGCTATCAGGACCAATCTTTCTTCTGCATCAACGAGTCTATCAAGATCGAAGAGGAGTTCGGAAGGTGAGTAAGACAAATTTTCTTTTAATCGAAAAACTTCTTTCGAAAATTAGAGATTGTTCTTCAATTCGGGGTCATTAGGTCTTCTAGACCGTCATGTATATGCTGAATTTGAATGAGCCGAGAAAAGTACTAAATTCTGCTTTAAGTTGTACACAGGGCGCGTGACTGCACATGATTCTCATTCCGATCATTTCATTGATCTCTTCATTCTGACTATGTTGACCTATAGTTCATAAAAAGATAAGTTATTGATGCGGTATTCACTTAATTGCAGACAAAACGACAGCAAAGTCTCGTCGTCGCGCAACTCGCCAAACAGTCTGTCGAATTCTCCGGAGAACGACCGCTTTTCAAGACTGAAGATTACTCAGAAAGCTCAGCCTAAACTCTCACGAACGCTGAGTGGTCTCAAGCCGATCGAGGACTTTGAATTGCCGGCAATTGAGACAACGTTTACGCTGAGCATCGTGATGATATCAAGTCCATCCAATTTCATAATTCAGCCACACGACGATAAGATTAACGAGAGCTTTGCGGATCTCACGAGCAAGCTGCAGCATTACTGTTCAGGAAACAACGAACAGCCAATTCCTGCGGGCAGTTTTGAGATCGGACAAGCATACGCTGTGTTTGCAGAGAAAGATTCACGATGGTACAGGTAAATATCGTTGCTGTATTGCACCTGATTCAATAAACTCACTTAAGTTGTTTATTTCTGCAGAGGCATTGTTGATTTGGTGATCAACAGCCAGCAAGTCCAGGTTACGCTGTGTGATTATGGGGAAAAGTTGCTGGTCAGCTGCAATAACATCAAGTCGCTGCCAAATGATTTCCGTCAGCTTCCGAAGCTGGGCATTAGATGTTGCCTTCATGGTGAGTTTACGTGACATTTCCATTGATTTTCGACCAATTTTCCGTATGATTTTCTCACCAGGAATTAAGCCAACGCACGGCGATTGGACGACTGATGATATTCTGCGTTTCCGCGGACTTGTGTCGAGTCCCAAGAAGAAATTCTTCAGCATCATCAAGAAGGTGTCCAAGAGTCAGGAGGATGGAGGTAAGATTGTGGGAATCACCCTTCTCGACACTTCCATTGAGAAGGACTCGATTTTCAATAATCTGTTCGTAAAGGAGCAGCGAGCTCTGCAAATTTAAATTTTAGTTTCGCTCAATCAGATTAAGTTGATCCCGAATCAAGTTCTTTATTTACTATGTTACCATATATTTATCGTTATCTATGTGTTTCAAAAAGATAGAAATGATTTGAAAAGGATTCAAGAATCCATTCCAGAGAAAGAAGTTATTCGAATTGCTTTCATCAAGTTTTCAAGCTATAAAAAAACGAGAGAGAGATATAAAAAGATTTTGGAAAATGTAGGAAAAATTTAATAAGTATTATTAGCAATAAACTTCCATTTTGGAGATGTTCTCTATATTCTGACCAAAAAGAAACGAGGTACAAGAGGAGAACCTATTGAAATTTCGAACTATCTATATTATCTTTGTTTTGTCATTCATTCAAATATTTAATATTCATTGTTGTTTAACGAAAAAAACTCATGTTTACGATATTCTTTCTGAAGGAAAAAAAAATGAATTTAATGAACATTTAGCATAATAAACTTGTTATAGAATATTTTCATATTTTATACGAAATAATAAACATAGAAAATTTATTTTCACGTTAATAAAATACACAGAGAGTGAAATATATATTTAACTTTATATACAAAACGAAAAATTTTAAGCTTTTTTAATGTGACAAGTATAAAATCCCCGAAAAAGCAGGCACAGAAGATTCAGAAGGTATCAAGTCAATCAGGGGCCTTTGATGTCTTTTGGAGTGAATTCAAGGATTTATTGGACAGAGCTTTATGAATGTTGTTTCGTCAAACTGACTGGAGGACAGTTTGACCATTTTTGCTCCTTTGATGAGTTGAAGAGTTCTGATGGTGTTATTTCACGTTCCTCAAACTGACTTGACACTCTCTGCCAATGTTTAGAAGCGATTGTTGGTGAGATGATATCTCCAGTTGCGCACTTCAATGCTCTCGTCGAGTGCGTATGACTCGGCATCGAGATTTGTGGGCTGGCTGGGCGCTGGAGCTTCGGCGGCGGGTGATTGAGCGGCATCTTCAGTCTTCGTGGCCTGGGTGGATCTCTTGAAGCGACGTCCTGAGCAGCGGATCATCCAATTCCACAAGGCGAGGAGCTTTTGTCATAAGACGCTACCGAAGTTCCTTGTGTTGCGCTTCAGAATGTACACGCACACGCACAGAACGGTTAGTAGGAGGCACACGAGCGTGAGCATGGAGAAAAAGGCGTGCTTGTACTTGCTGCTGCTGGCGCTCTCAAAAAACTGGATGCCGGACATGTCCTGGCGTCCGTTCAGCAGCTGATCGCTGAGATGGGCGTTCTGGTGGATGCGCGGCAGCAGTTTGCTCCAGAAGGAGTGCACTTTACTCAGCTCGCTAAAGTACTGCAAGTTAACGATGTCGTTGATATACTCATCGCTCTGACCGCGCGTGGTCACAGCCCTACCGCTGGGCAGATTTGTGCTCAGTTGGTAGGGATTCTGCGGAACGCTGCTCACATCAGGTCTACTATTGGAGAAGATGTGCTCAATCATGACAATGTTCTTCTCCACGCCGGACTGCGAGAGGTCATCCTGGAGTGCGAGCGTATCTGCCTTGGATGAGAGCACTTTGATGTACTTCGCGTCCCTCGTGTAAGGCTTCCAAGCATCGAAAAGTCTTCCCGGGGTAGGATTCCTGCAAGAAACAACTCAATTACCATTGAATTGAGGCGTGATAAGTTGAGATTCTCCCACCCGGATTTGATGAAGTCTCCGAAGAACTGTCTCAGCTTCTTGCAGAGCTTATCTTCGGACTGCGACAAGCGACGACGGCCGATTTGTTGCAACAAGCTTGGCCCCAGGAGGAATGGCAAATCCGACGTGTGAGAGGCGCCGCCGAAGTAATTTACTCGTCCTCTCATGTCAATTGAATAAGGCTGCTGGAAGGAATACACGAAGAGATTGCTCTTTTTCCGCACGGACTTACCACTGTAATTCTTGGCCACGATTCCGCCAGATATCAGCTCGATTGTCTCGAAGAAGGGCGTTTCGTATTTCGTCTCCGACACCAATTTCTGCAAGGCATCAATCAAGTACGGAACACTGTTCGTCTTTGGCGTCTGATCGAAGAATCTCCAGTCAATCGTCTCTCGGATTTGGCCCTGACCTGAACTGTCGAAGGCATAATGCTCAAGAATATTGGGGATGATTGTGTCGTCAATGAACTTCTTCAATTGGCGCGAGCCTTGTTTGCCGAACTCAATCCACGAATCCCTGAGAAATGCGCCTTCGTTGTTGCAAATGCCCGTGAGGATGGGAATGTCCATAAGATAAGTCCCCGATGCGATCAACTTCCGCGAGTCATCCATGTGGAATCGCCTGTCCAGCACGGGCCCAAGGAGTTTCGTGTAGTTTCCCATTTGGTAAATCATTTCGAACGCCCTCAGAAGATCTCCAACGCTCTTCCTGCGCAGGCACGTGAGGATATAGCGAATCTCCGTAGAGTCGCACGCCAGAATTTGAACGATCTGTTCGGAGGGCGTCAAGTCTAGTCGCTCAGGATCCTGCAGTTGATACGAGTAGGAGGAGAAAATTGTGCCCGACATGACGATAAGCCTGGAGAAGAGATCTCGCGATTTAGAGCTTGTGAGGTGAATCATAGCATTTGCAGCGCCTGTGTTTCCGTGGCCCAGAAGAGTGATTCTCTTAGGATCGCCGCCAAATTGATGGATGTTGCGCTGTACCCAAAGCAGCGCCAAATTCTGATCGAGAAGTCCCAAGTTTCCAGGCGCCAATTCGTGCTGAAGACTGAGCCAGCCGAAGATATTCGTGCGATACTGGACTGACACCACAACAATTCCTTCCGAAGCCAAATCGAGTCCTATGGAGTGAAAAGTAACTCTAGCTGCAATTTAAGGCAGTTTGATAAAGTTCATTTCACGTTCTTACAAAACCCATTTAATTATGAAGAAAAATAACTGGAAATGCAAAGTGTTTTTGCACAAATTGGGTACAATCAACTCTCAAAATCCTCAAAACAAACCATAAATATGGGGAATTTTTCTATCTTGATTGCATACAATTCCTCTGCAACTATTTTTTTCATAAATTCTGTGCAATTTAAACGACCCTGCATGAATTCTCACCTGTTGGACGATGCCTGAGGTAGTCAAAGGCGTGATCTTCTCCTGTTATGATGACTACCACGGGTATGTTTCCATAGCGGAAGCCCGTTTCTGGTGTCCAGACGTTGAGGAAGAGACAATCTTCGCTGGTGGCGGACGCCAGAGGGTTGTAGTCGCTGACCTCCTCGAGAGGACTACGCTCCAGCTGCGGACAAATGGGCTGGAAGTCACGCGCTAGGAGCGTGCCATTCCAGCCCGGATGCGGCGCCGGCGGCGCAAATCGTAGCTCATCGGCTGGCGGTTTGGCGTATGGAATGCCCAGGAAGGCGTACACGGGCACTCTCGAGGACTCCGGAAACACCTTGATGCCCACGAGTGTTCCCTGGCTCAGGACGACTGTTGTGTACTGGGCGGCTGCCCAGGGAATCAGCAGCAATGCGAATATGCCTGAAATCTCGATCATCCTCGAGAGAAGTGTGCTGAAAATGCGCGCGCGCGCGTGGAGGAAAAAAGATCCATGAATTTGAATAGGGAAAATATTGCTCCATTGGGAGTTCGTGGAGCATGAAAAATTGTCACTGTGAGTGTAAAAAGCACTAAATTATTGTCAACATTATTTTGCAATTGAAGAGCAACGATCTGTGATAATATTTAATAATTTTCCGTTCTCGAATCCATCATGGTTTTCAAAATCTCTCCACTTTTGGCAAAATTGCTGGGAAAAATCGATGGGCTTGGATCGCGCACATTTCCGTGAATTGATTGCTATTTTATGCCTTTTTGTCTGTCCGACATTGACCCACTTTTTTGGTGTTCTTTTCTCACGATTTGTCGTTCTATTGCACAAATTGATCAGAATTTGGGAAAATTTGAAACTCACCCAATTCAGTGATGTCAGGATTCTTTGTGTCCTCGAGGGAATTACTCATTAGAACAGACGTACTACAATCCAGACAATGAAGATTCGAGGATCGACGGACGATTCGATCTGCACAGCATCAGCGCGACTCAATTACTGAACCTTATGGAAAAGCTTCTGGCGCTTGGTGGTCGCTTTCGTGACGTCACCGTTGCCGCGCACTTCCTGTGTAATTGAGTTTTGGAGAATCGTCGTGTGGTGAGCCGAAACGGAAGTATACCTATTTTCACTGTGGCAGAGCTGCTTCATGGTTCACGGCTTTATGTGGAAGAGCGCGAGAAGACACTATATCATGATTTCAGTGTCACAAGCTGTCTCATTTGCAAATAGAGCACCGGGGTCTGTTTAATTATGCTCAGTAGTCTGACAATTGAAGCCAGGATCAACAATAATGCTTCAGGATTGTGGTCACTCCCAAATTCAGTGCGCACTGGACCGCATCGACCACATAGTCCATGATGTATGTTGCTGTGATTTGAAATATCATTTGCAATATCATTTATGCATAACATATGAAATAATAAGTTATTGTTTTGAATAATTGGTGGGCAATCAACATTTGACGGTTGGTTGATTTTAGGCGGGGACTTCAAAAGACGTGCAACACCGCCATCTGAACGAAAGCACAAGCAAGAGAAGGTGAACATTTCACAGGTTTCCTTCTTGTGACAGTGAGAAATCCCAACAGAAAGTGCGCGAGGACTAGTGTAAGAAGTCATTGGACAGATCCACAAAAGAAGAATGAAAGTTTGTTCAGTTGTAGAAAATAATGCTTTTTTTTGTTCATACTTTTCAGATCTATACCTGATTGTGTGAAAGTAGGAATTCAAAAATTAAAAAAAAATTGATTTCATCAGTTTTTACTTGACGATTGGCGTAGTTTTTGTCCAACTGATTCAGTTCAGAAAATATGTACAACAACCTTCAAAGCACACAGAATAAATCATGGTTCAATAAAAAGCGACCACATTGGAATGACGATCTTACGTGAAATGTCAGCGTAATATTTTTATGTCAGTTTGGAATCTTCGCTAATGCTAAGGTAATTTTTTCATCGAAATTTCTGCAAAGTGAACATTCCACACTTCCTGCGGACCACCCACTGAAGCGTCCTCGGACATGCGTGGCAAACAAACGGGCGCCACTGAAGACGTGCGCTTATGGGGCAGTGAGAAAATGTCTGTGAAAGAAAAGTTGTGGGAGATGCGTTTTTCCAGCAGTAAATAGCAATTGGATAAGTAGTGAAGTGATAGTGTTTTGCTGATTAGGCGTCACTGTGCCATGTGATGCTGTGTGTAGTGCAATTGGCGTGCGTGTAATGGGAATTGAGATGAATTGGGTCTCGCTTCTGACACTTCCGTGAACATTTTCCTCCTTTTTCGCCCCCTCGCCGCCTCTCTTCAAGCCTCTCGTGCGCCCGCGGGCGTGTGCATCCAGTGGCCTGCAAAGAGGCAGAGTGTGATGCGCCTTGCTGACATGTGCACCGCCCGAGATCCACCCGGAAATGCCTGAGGGCCGCGTTGCTGCGCCTTGGGAGCGCCACACTGTCCGACTGAATGGTGTGGACTTGGGCGAGCGGCCGTGCGGATTGTAGTGCGAACTGCCCGCGGATTAAGTGGGGGTGCTCCGTGTGAGAGTGACAGAGTGAGATGCAGGCGAAGAAACGGTATATCCTCGTGTTCGTGTCATGTGCTTTCCTGGCCTATTGCTACTTTGGCGGCTACCGCCTCAAAGCGCCCCGCGGCGCCACGGAGCCCAGCAGCTTGCCCTCCTTCGCCGCCCAGCATGACCTGGCGGGCGACGCGGCGAGCACCATGGCGGAGCAGCGGAAGCCCTGCAGGATGGAAACGTGCTTCGACTTCTCGCGCTGCTACAGCGACTTCCTGGTCTACGTCTATCCGCCAGAGCCGCTCAACTCGCTGGGCGCCGCGCCACCCATCAGCCCCAACTACCAGAAGATCATCTCGGCTATCACAGAGAGCCGCTATTACACCACCGAGCCGGACAAGGCGTGCCTCTTCGTCCTGGGCATCGATACCCTCGATCGCGACAGCCTGAGTGAGGACTACGTCCGCAACGTGCCGTCGCGCCTCCAACGGCTGCCGCACTGGAACAACGGACGCAATCACATCATCTTCAACCTCTACTCGGGCACCTGGCCAGACTACGCCGAGTACAGCCTGGGCTTCGATCCGGGCGAGGCGATCCTGGCCAAGGCCAGCATGAGCATCCAGCAGATGCGGCCTGGCTTCGACATCAGCATCCCGCTGTTCCACAAGCAATTCCCCCTCCGCGCTGGCAACTCCGGATTTGTGGTCAGCAACAACTTTCCGGCCAACAAAAAGTACTTGCTTGCCTTCAAGGGAAAAAGGTACGTTCAACTTCCAGTGATAAATATCCACCCTCTGTTTAAAGCGTGGGAGAGAAAGAAGTCCTCAATTGATTATAAATGTCTCGTAGTAAATGGGTCTCCGCAGAACACACTGGGCCACTCGTGATGTCTACGAAGCGCCTCTGTTTCGCTTTACATGCTTATTATTCTAGTCTTTCACTACTCACGTCTGCTGAATTGTGATAATTAGGTGCCTGATAATGCGCATGAAATGGCAAAGATGCCATATTTTATTTCAGAGCGATGGGAAGAGGAATAAATCAGCTTGTCAGGACAGTGGTGTAGTTCCTAGACTGATTTACGACTAAACTTTAATTTGATCTTCGAGAATTGTGTGATTTTTACGTTCAGAATTTTGATAACGTTCAAAAGGATGATGTTTAGCATTTATTTGGACAGCACTTTTGACGCATGTATTCTTCTCACACGTTGAGTTCGACTCAAGAAAGAAGTGTTAAGTTTCACTTGGACCGAACGAAGAATTGCATCAAAATGAAGAAGTACTAGAAGACTTTCTGCTAAACTTCAAGTTAAAGTGTAATATTAAACATGGAAAAGGAATTATTACTTAATTCTAGACAGTTTTTCCAGGTAGAATACTGACTACGCCACTGCGTGTTGAGTTATCAATCTTCTGTTGCGGTAATCTAATTGGTATGAAATACATAATCTCAGAAGTAATTGTATATTCAACCAATTAAAATGATGATGAATGAAATAATTTATCCACCCTTCAGACAGTTTTGTGAAAAAGTTCACAAATTCGAGACATCTTCAATATATTTCCTAAAGATATATTCGTGAAGGGAATTTACGGAGTTTATGGACTTTTTCCTAATATAAATATTAAATGGGCCGCGTTGTGCAGCATAATAGACTCGCCGAGAAAAGATGGTGGCGATGCGAGGGCAAAAACGCGGGCGTTCGCCTTCCGGATGGAGAGGTTGGGGGCCCGAAAGATGGCACACTCGCCCGCTTTTTTCCTGGCTCACAACTCACCATCTACTCAAATGAATCTTTTGCGTCCTTCAACGTAATTTCCTATATTGATATTTATTTACATTCGCCTGTGTGTGTGTGCGAAATGGGGAAAGTGAGGTGGGATATATAGAAATTCAATTAAAAAATTACACCCTCTCATGCCAATGCTTCTGTACTTTCGTCCTGTGTAGTTATTTCGTCTCTTAATAGCTGAAATGTAATTTATTTTCTCTCTCGAAGGGACACAAAAGGGGGATTCGCTGTGTGAAACGAGATTGAAATTTGTTCTAAAGGAAATATTTCTACTGAAATCATTGTAACTTAAGAGCATGAACTTGCTTTCTAAGAATCTCAGTGAAATCGAAAATATTCTGGTTGAGGAGAAAATCGATTGATAGTAATTGTTTACCCTTCATGTAGCCTCAATGTTTTATACAAAATGTATTGTTTATACATATTTCTGTTTTTTTTCCTTCTCTTTACTTTGCAAACTAAAAGTTTTTTCATGAATTTTATTTTCATAAAATGAAATCAGCGTGGAAACTAAATGAAATTTCAGGGGATTTTTTTTCGTGTGGTGTACTATTGAATTTGCAAAGAAAGTAAAGTCCACCAAGTTGTTAGAATTAAAGCAGAAAGTGAAAATGTGGAAAAACCATTCTGCGAGGTATTTGGAAAAATAATACGGGATGAAGAGGAGTGAAAACAAGACGCAAGGAAAGTGTGGAAACGAGCGGAAGTCTCGTGCACATTATGTAATGCACATGAGTGCACATAAGAGCAATGGATTGTTATGAAAATATTCAGGGCTAAGATAATAAGGTGTCAGAGTTGGGAAAGAGAGTTAAGTCTATAGAAAGGTTTCCACTTTATGCGCAGAAAGTTGAAATTGCATAATTCTGCTCTGTCTATATTCCTTCTCTGCTTTTCCTCAATTTTTCTCACCCTCGCTCGTGAGCTTATGAGCGCATTTGCTGAGTGGGTCAAGGGACGACATCGTGGTCTAGGATTCCCATATGGATGGAGGAGCATAAAAAGAATTCACGACAGTCAATGAGGATGAAAGGACCATTTGTTATTTTCGACTGTGAACACTATAAATCACCAGCTTTCCCTGTTTTCTCCCCCAGCGAAGTGATGGTACAAAATAGTCTCGTGTCCTCTATGGGAATTTGAATGGGCACAAGGTGAAAAAGCGATGGAGATCGAAGAAAATTCCGATAGTGTGTGCGTAGGCGGTGAATGTGGCGAGGAAAAAGGGCAAATCCAACACAGGGCGATTGTTACATATGCAAAAATAGGAAGAGTAAGTTTGCACGTGCCAAATGAACTGTGGTGTGGTGTTCTTAATCAGACACTTGATATGAGCGCGAATGGGGAATTCATGAACAAATTGTGTTTTTCACTCTATGCTTCACACTTTTCACCGGTCGTGCGGCAATAGATACAAAAAGAAGAGAAGAATGGACACACACTATTGATTTTTGCAGAGTAAAATATTCCCTCCTGTGATGACTTTGCGCGCACCTGTTCTTATTTTGCATTTCATTTCGCCTCGCGAGAGATGAAGTGAAGAGACCTTGTGGCATTTGACGTGGAAAAAATGTAGTCAGTTCAGGAAGAGAGGAAAGTGGATTGCCGCATGGTTCATTGATATGCACGATGACATTGACCATCATTTATAAACAAGTGGAGATCTTCTTTCAATATATTTCGTGAATGAACATCGCATTGCTCTGTGTTGTGTTATATAAAATCACGAGATGTGCATATTTTCCCCCTCATGAATCTCTCTTCTCATATTTCTGCGCTTAGAGTGCGCGGTTTGGAGTCTCAGCACGAGTGCTTAACGAAAATAAACAAAAAGTGTGCTTACGATCAAATTATGTAATTATAATATCAATAATCGACCTACATATTTTCTCGGTGGAGTCATGATAATTTTATTTTGTTTGCATTTTCGAGTACAACATTCAAAATATACCCAAAAGAGTGGTCTTGTCCTAATTTGTGCCTTTTCTTCGGTTCGGCGCGTGTGAAAGTCTGGTGGGTTTGGCGGGTTTATTGTTGCATTTCGATGGTGTCACTGCACACAATAAATTCTGTATAATATTGGGTGAAAAAGAAACTGCAGAAGTTACTCGCAGTTGGTGTCATTTATTGCCACTAAAGTATAATGTTCTAATAACACTCACTTTGCTTTCTTCAGCGTGACCATTAAAATGCTATTAAAATTGTATAAAATCCCTCATTTGTGAGTCGTAAGTAGATTTTTTTCCTTATCGAAAAGTGTTTTATTTCTTTATCAACAAAGAATTAATTTCGTGTTTGAGTAGGGGAAAGCAAGGCTATTTTGTGCAGACAAGTGACAGTTTTAGTATTTGGCCTCATGCAATGTTCCTCTGCTAAAATTCTCTTTTTAAAATTCATAAATAATTTTATTCAATCAAATGAACTTGAAATTATGCGATGCTAGAATATCGCTAAAGAATCCCTGCCTTTCCCTAAGCTTGTCTTACACAATTTCACTATTTTGTAATCAATTGATACAGTTGTAATTAAAGATCGCTGGAATACAATTCGTCTGAGGGAGATTTTTCTGTCTTGACTTATTAAGTGGTAGTTAAATTTACTAGTGTAGCAATTAATACATTATCTAACTCTAACATATTTGTTGATTCTTTCGCACGGACGGAAAAATTAACACTTGTGTTGTTTTTGCTGAGAGTAATTAAAAACTTTGTACACTTTCACACTCAATTAATTCGTAAGTGAATTATAATACTATTATCACAGTATTTCACGTTGAATTTAATACAGCAAATAAATAGGCGATTAATAACAGATTGTTAATGTTGCAATAGGTTTTATGGATGAAATAGTAGATGCACTCTGTGGTATTCGCATCGCAATTCGATCCGATTGGCGTACAGATTGAGACAGATCATGTCAAATTGAATATCTATCATTCTTCTTTTTTTCTTTCGGTTTTGGGAGGTAAATTGATTGGAGTTTGTTTGTGATATTTTTTGCACATATATACAATCTTTTCGAGAGATATTTCTTCGATTCAAGGGAAAATAAATAATTCACATTATGCTGTTGACGGAGTGACATGAATGAGTTATGTATATTTGTAACAAATATTGCAATGGAATGTAGACGAGGGAAAGAGATAAAAAAAGTCTCAATATACTTTTAGTGACTGCCCAGCAATGACCTGGATTTTGTGTTAAAAATTTTTGATTGTTTATCAATCATATTTTTCATGCATAATTGACTTTTTGTTGTGATTGAGCATATAAAGCTAATGGGAGTAGAAAAATCTTGCGGCCACAATAGAGAGCATCCAAGGTTGGGCGTGTGTTTTTCAAGGGGCGCGCGCACTTCAATTGAGACCTCATTATTGTGGGATAATTAAAATTTTGAATAAGTCTATGGCTTTCCCTATGCTTCGAGTGTGTCCATTACGAGCAATTTGACTGCCGCGAGTGCCGATAAATGCGTGCAAAAATCTTTGAGCGAGGATTGCAGACATTGAATGGCCGGCGCTGAAATTAATAATATTCATGATCCACATTCAATTCGATTATCCAACATGCCGCCGCCCTCCTCCTAAAATATACACACAATTCGAGAGATGTAAAAGAATTTCACTATCACTTTGCCCAGTGGCCGCGGGTGTGATTCTGGTTTTTCTTGAGACGCGATGTGAAAAAAGAGGAGTGAAGAAAACGCGATCCAGTTATTATTTCACTCACTCTTTCACTCCTTGTCGCACCTTCTGGCGCATTTCTCGCCTTCGGTAAGACTTTCCTTCCATGTAAAATTTGTATACGATAATCATGATTATGTATTACGTGACTGAGCTGCTGGTCTCTCTATGAGATTATTGCTCCAAATGACCTTGTTATGAGTTTCTGCAGCTATGCTTTTGGCACATTAGCATTCATTTTGTGAAGAGATATGAGAGACACAATTTTATGCATTTTGCCAACTGTTAGAGATATTCAAAGGAAAATCATGAGTGGCTGCTCCACTCCATTATGATGTCATATTGTTTAAAGTGTCAAAACATGTGTCTCAAAATATGCCTTTTTATTTGTGCACTGTGGGCAATTTGCATAGGAATTTGTGCGATGTGAGAGAGATGTGGAAAATATATTTATGTCCCCTCGAGGCCTAGGGGTGATTTTTTCCCACATCGCACAGCCGCTTTCCTGGGCGGTGTGATTCCTTGGGTTGAATGAGAAAAAGAGCCGATGCAAAACTGGAATTCGGCTTGAAGAAAATGATACATATTCTTTATTTATAAAATTGTATAAAAAGGCGTTGTGCAAAGAGAGCAGTATGAAATTGCATGTATTAATATGTTGATATGTGACAGGTGAAAATGTGTATATGATATTTGTGTGGGACGGGGAGGGAAAATCCCCCGTATGAGGTGTATCAATGTGCGCAAAAGAGAAGGGAGTGTGAGTTGTCTGAAGTAGTTGCCGAAAATAGTGGTGAAGCTAAATGGAGAGATCCAATTTCGCATGGTATAAAAGAGCCAGATGGATCAAGCAGAGAGCATAGTCAAGCAACAGCCTTCCAAGCAAGCAAATCTTCGAGCTTACCAAGTTCTCCCGAAACTTGAAAACACACAACAATGGCATTCAAAGTAAGAGAACGTCAAGCATTTGCAGATTTTCAGGAAAACATCTCTAACACTCTCTGTCTCTCTGCAGTTCATCGTGGCTCTCGCCTTTGTGGCCGTCGTGAGTGCTGTGGAGTACCACCATGGTGACTACCATCATCATCAGCCCGTGTACCATCACCAGCCCGCTGTGGTGAAGCACCTGCAGCCCGCTGTCCTCAAGCACGTGGAATACGAAGCTCCTGCCAAGTATGAGTTCTCCTACTCTGTGCATGATGAGCACACCGGTGACGTGAAGCAGCAGCACGAGACCCGCGACGGCGATGTTGTGCACGGTTCCTACAGCCTCCTGGATGCCGATGGCCACCACCGTGTCGTCGAGTACACCGCTGACCACCACAACGGCTTCAACGCCGTCGTGCACCGTGAGCCCACTGGCCACAAGGTCGTCGCCCCTGTGCACAAGGTCCTGGCTGCCCCAGTCCACAAGGTGGTTGCTGCGCCCGTGCACCATCACTACCAGCACGCCGCCCCCGTGGTGCACCACCACCAGCAGCACTACGCCGCTCCCGTCCACCACCAGCAGCACTACGCTGCCGTGCCCGTGGCCAAGCTGCTCGCCCCCGTCCACCACCACGCCCCCGCCTACCACCACCAGCCCCATCACTACGACAGCCACGTGAGCGTGCACGCCGCTGGAGTCCACTACCATCACTAAGCCATCACCGAACTGCCATGTTGTACATATAGGGAAAACGCGCTCGTGTAAATAGTTCATTTATTCACTGTCAACCAATAAAAAATTAAGAATTTACTCGTCTGTGCAATCATTCAATCAGTCAAGTGGCTAAGAACAGCAACCTGCACACGCTCTGCTTCGAGCATGATGAACTTGATTTGAAAGAGCGATTGTAAATCATAAATTGAGAGGCATAAACTTCATTTCAGAGAAGTATTTCTACTTGGACCAACAAAATACCCTTTCGTTTCCCATGTTCTATGTTTAGTTTTACAATTTTCCTGTGCAATAACTATAGACTATCAATATCAATCAACAATAGACTATCATTTCTACAATAAATTAATGTGTATAATATTCATATGATTGTTTTTCTGAACCATTGAACTCATTGAATGCATAACAATTTTATTTAAATCGCAAACAATTCCTAAATTGTTTTGAATTATAATTATTTGCCTAAAATAGGAAACAACTCAATTTAGATATGTGTGAGAATTTTCCATATTAATATTGTATTTGGATTTTAATTGGTTTTCGTATTAATGTATGGATGAGTTGTACATCAGTGGATATGATTATGAAATTGATAGCATTATTTACTGAAATGGGATATTTTGGACTAAATAAATTTATTTCCATGCAGGGATTTAAGCTACTGATGGTAATCTGCTCTCGTTTTTTGCAGATACGTCCATGGAATTGGTTCCGAAACGAGAAACTCACTATTTCACTTGCATAATGCCAGGGATTTGGTGTTAGTCACGACATGTCGCCATGGCAAAAGCTGGCGGGAATTGCAAGATGCTCGCTGTGATGAGGATAATCGAGAGTACGACAGGTGAGTTTTAGTTGCAATTCCAATAATTTCACTCGGGAGAGTCATAATTTTTGCTGATGGCTGTTCTTGAGTGGATGAAACCACAAAGAAACCACCAAGGACTAATTTTACATGTGTTTAAGATAGCTGTGTGCTGTATCCTTTGGATAAGGAAGTGTGCACGTAGAAGAAATTGAGGCGGAGAGTATTAGAAATGCAAAATAACGTGCAACAGCATAAGAAGTAACTTGAAAAGTTGTAATGACACTCATGTGAAACGTGTTTTTCTTTACACTTTGTGCAAATGTGGAAATGGCGACACTTTCGGAAAATGCACTTTAAACATAATGTGTGACATATGCTAAAGATGTTTCCATGTCATATCGTTTTATAGTGTTGGCCAGAAAAAAACCTCAATTTCAGCAAATTGTTCAATACTGACCATTGCAGCAATTTTCATGTCCTGAAATCTCACTGGGAAATTCACACAAGAAGGAATATGTGAAACCGCACTTTTGGAAATTTTATCGACCATGTCTATGCATAATAATATTATTATCAAGATATTTGAGGATGAGTCACAGTAACAGAACGTGATCAGGATTTAGTGTAGAATTGTAGCATATGGAATTTAAAAAATAATAACACGTTCACTGTAAAAATATTCATAATCTGAAGTTAGTTGTCTTCGTGAGATGGAAGAAAAAATAGTTAATAATCTGCTCACTTGATATTAAGATCGGATTTTATGTTTATGAGTAAATCACAAAAGTACTTTCCTTGAGATGAGGTATAAAAGTTAAATTATGACAAATACATATGCTTTTCCAGCCCTCTTTTTATTATCAGTGCAACAAGTTTTAATGTAATGCTGAAGAAGTGGAAAACTTTTTATCATTCTCGCATTTCCTGTAAGGTATATTTTCTCCGAGAAGTTTCATTTGCAAATGCAGATGCGCAAATCTGGCATAATTTATCACTTGCGAAAGAAGTCATTACAATTTACTGTAGACGGTAAAATGGTGTCTTTGAATATAGGTTCAGGAAATATTCAAATTTTCCTTGCAGTCCCTTTTGCCTATCTCAGTCACTGATGTAGTCTGAAAGTGACATATTAAAATCTGGGCAGACCAGAGCAGACAATATAAGGGCAGATTGTATAGAAGGTATCACTTAATCTCAAGTTGCAATTCTTTCTCGTTTGACCGTTGCTTCTGACAGATTCATATATAGACAAACAAAGAGGGCAAATAAAACAGAAACATTTTTGGACGCCGGCAAAGCCTATGGCCAGCCAACGCAGCGAATTCGGGGATGTGAGAGTGGAGAAAAATTTCGAGAGGGTGAAGAGGATTAAAGGAGCAGAAGCTCTTATGTGGCAGTTTGTGTATATAATGTAGGATAAGACATGAAAATCGGCGTGGGGACTTCAGAGCTAGGAAGTATTTCGCTTCACATTCTCGGAAAATTATGCTGACGATGTGAAACTGCCTTTCCTCACTTATTCATTTAAGGCCATGTACAATGGAGACACACATATAAAGTGTCAGGGCGAAATGAAGACGGATAAATAGACGTGAGTTATTATGGCAATTTAGATTTATTCTTGAAACACTATGTTTTATAAAAATTTTAATTATTGCACACTAATGCTCGTGAAGAACGATGCGATGCAGTGAATGCAGAAAATCCCTCTTGAATGGAGATGACACAAAAAATATATTGGATTCACCTCGAGAGTTTAGAGGCGTGACAAAGTGGGCGTCCATATTAGCCCAATTTGAAAAGTTTGCCGAAGAGCTTCGCGAAAGTTTTCCACATTTCACGTGTATATTTTCTAACATTGAATGCATCTGGTTCTTATGTACCGAAGACAATGTGTTTGTAAACAGTACACTTGAGGAATAATAAGTTTTATACATACTTGTGTATTCGCGCTAAGTATAGCATAGCCTTAGGTGAAGCGAAGCTTTAAACTTTGTTAGGCGTTTAATAGGCTTTACTGGAAATAATCAAGATGCAGAAAATGTGTGTCTAAAGCTATTTATTTTTTAAGTTTTCTGAAGTGAATTTATTATTAATGCACTCAAGAAAACTTGTGTTTCGTTCTACTCTTAAGTTTACTGACAAGCTCCGCCTATTGTAAAGCTCCGCCCACTAAAAATGTTTGACTGTTCAAATTATATCCGACGATTGAAATGTGTCTTTGTATCTCATATGTGATGTGACGAATTTAAAATATTTTGTATATCTAGAAATTCTCTTTTCGCATCAAAAAGGAATGCTCATTTTGCTCTGAAATATAGACATGTCTGTTTTTATTCATTTCCAGTTCTGATTACGGTTTCCTTCAGAGTGATTTTCATGACTGTTTGTGGTGCTCTTTTCACATCACCTCAAGCAGGAAATATTAATCTTATTCAGAGTACATTTTCTACTTGGCGAAAATTGTACGCCTGTCGTGTTATATGAAATGCTAATAAGTCAAAAGTTGAGCATAACATTCAAAGATAAGATTGATTCAATTACCCACTGATATTCAAGATGATTCCATCCATTTCGGAGTGGGTATGTGTTTAGAAAATGTCTCATTCACTAATGTTAGAATGTTAGACAATTGCATATTTTGTATTCTTTTGAGCCCAAAGAAATAGGGCAAATTGGCGCATTTAGCTTTAATACAAAATGAAAGTAATTTACATAATCAGATTTAAGAGGAAGAAACGACATTTAGGTTGATGTCTTGAAGTGCCACGCCTTTCTCATTTTTCCTAAAGGAAAAGAGCAGCTTCATCTCACATACAGACCCAGTGTTCTTCATATCCTTGCAAAATGAACGCGCTCTTTATATGTTCAATGGCTCGCTGTTTTTCTATGCCGCCCTTTTTATTGTACATCTTATAGCGCGTCCCTTCGCTCATGTGGTAAAGCTCTTAAACCAACTTGAAATTGATTGCTTGGATTGTATTTGTTGTCAATGGCATTAAATGGGTATCATGCTATTTAATCCTTGGGAAAGTCATGCAAATGTTGATCTGTACTAAATACTTGCATATTTGATTGCTGGACTGAGTCATATTTGATAAAGCGCGAGCAACAAAAGTGTGCTATTTAATCACGAAATTAAAGTTTACTTTAGGGACTTTAGGTCACTTCCTTTTGGAGCAAATATTTACTATGGCGGATATTAAAGTGAGTGGTTGGAGAAAAGATATGTGGGAAACTGTCAACATATTCTTCTGGTTTTATTTTTCTCTATGTTTTGTGCGATTGAGTCTATAGGCTATCGTGTATTACCGGAAATTACGGTATTGCCTCGAGGGCATAGAGTTAGAGCTGGACCAAAGCGTAACTCACATCTGTGGTTGTGCGGGAAAATCAGTGTGGCGAAATCGAAAAATTAAGAAGAGGGAAGCTCAGATCGTAAAAAACTTGAAAATACTTTTTTACTCAATTTCTCGTGGTATTAAGATGTTAAAATTTAAATTTATAATAGAAAATTATTTAAAAGATTTTTGGAAACTGTTTTCAACAACAGAAATTAGTTCCATGACAGTTAGACGAAGTTTCAAGTTGATAATTTTATGTATTAACTGCAAAATCTCAACTACATGTAAGCTAAGCAGAGCGAAAGCTTTTCCATGTCCTTTTTTGCCACAAATACGCTTGAATTTCTATGGGTGAATTTATTTGGTCATGGCCAAAAGAGTGGGTATTAGAAGATGTGCAAGAAAATTTTGATTTTCAAGTCCGGAATACTAAAACACTCCAGACACTCGTCAGGGTGAGAATGAAATTGGAAATTTCAACTATTCCACATCGCCTAAGCGGGAAAAGAAGGCGGAAGTGTGCGTGGAATATTCCATTTGCCACCTGTGGTTAGGAATTGTTGTATGGAGTTTTCACATCGGAAGGATTTGCCGTGAAGTACAATAAATGGGCGCCACATGAATGATGTAGCGACCTTTTTTCATGACATTCACGCATACAGCAGAGTGAAAGATAGAATTAGGGATGTGACATTCCACGACTGATTCAGTCATGGCAATGATGTTGGTGGATTTTGGCAGCTTCGTAGTTCGATTCCACGCGTCACTTTACATGAGCTCTGACTTGGCGTTATTTTGCATACGCGCGCTGTACAACTTAGATTGGAGCCTTTTTGGAGCGCGGTCTCGTTTCTATTGTAATTAATATTCCACAAGGACATGTCGGTTGGTTTAACTGAAAACAAATTCCTGGGTTTTATGCGCTCGCTTGTGTTTCGTGAATAAAGAAATTGCCTGCGCTGAAGGAAGCTCTGGGTGTATTTAGTTGATAGTGAGAGCATTTTCCTGCCTGAGCTCTGATGTAATCATACAAGTGAATTATTGATATTCCGGAATACATCTAAATACGTTACATACGAATGTACATAAAGGTGTTCTTGTACGATGTGAGGAAAGCAAGGGAGTATCTTTTATGGCTAAATCTCTGCGCGCAAAGTATCTTCAACCATTTTTCTCGCCCAGACATCAGAAGACGTGTTGCCGTGTGATATGCAACAATTCAGGTGCATATGTTCGCTCCACTCAAAAGGAAAAACGCTGATGTTTCGAGGATGCCAGAGCGGAGATGAAACTGTATCGCAGCATCTTATGCGCGCGCGAGGGTGGAGAATGAAATATGATGGAAAGTTCTTGTATATTTGATTACGCCATTTCCGCAAAACTTTCAAATGCCTCATAAATGCGTCTATCATTGTTCTCCCAGAATTCTCTATCATACCTCAATGGTCGCAAGTCTGGAATCGCGTAAAGAAAAACTTTCGACATTAATTATTACTCCTTCACTATGTGTATATGTTTTGATGCTCCTTTCGTGCAACACTCACAATAGCTCGTATTAATTTCTCTGCTGTGTTTTTGCTGCTGTAATTTCAGATATGACTATGAGATGCTGCTGCAAAACTCGACGTTTTGCTTGGTGCCGCGAGGACGTCGCTTAGGATCATTTCGCTTCCTTGAGGCACTTCAGGCTGGCTGCATTCCAGTGCTGCTCTCGAATTCCTGGGTATTACCATTCCAATCGAAAATTGACTGGAATCAGGCGGCCATTTGGGCGGATGAGCGCCTTCTTCTGCAAGTGCCAGACGTGATTCGATCCATTTCGGCCAGTCGCATCTTGGTGCTTCGCCAACAAACGCAAATGCTCTGGGACAGATACTTCAGTTCCATTGAGAAAATCGTCTTCACAACATTTGAGGTAATTTGCTAGGAATTTTCACAATCTTGGCACTGCATTTAAGGGATTTATTGAATAAATACTAAACAGTGAAGCTTCAGCCACAGTATGTAGTATGACGTACATTCTGTGAGTCTTTCCTGTTATTCACGTTCATATATTTCATCAGATAAATGTTCATTATTTTATTCGACTTTAATATTATTCTGTCATTCTAATAGCTCTAATTGAATTCTTTAGAGAAATAATGACAAATACTGTTCAAATTAGGGTTGTGGTGTAAGTTAATTAATCACATATTTGGTAAATATTGTTTTTCTCGTATACAGAAAATATTTGTATTTGAATACACCTGCTTATGTGCACGCCATGCGGTCTGGCAGTTTTCACAATAAATCGACAAACAATGACTCCTCAGGGGTCGAACATTATGTGATTTGGCTGAAGGAAAAATAGCCTGAATGATAGAAGTTTCCCTCACTTTGCCACATCGAAGTGCAGTGCAACAAATGCTGCTTCATATGAAATGAAATCTCCATGCTTTTGGCTTTCTGTGAAGTGCAATTTTCAAGGATCGTGGTTTAAATGGGTGACCTTATTTCTCTACTCACTAAGCAATACCATGCGAGATGGAAAATTAAATGAATGGTTTGCATTTTATCTGACCACATCTATTTGGTCTCTTGAGAGTGGGATAGTTGTTAGAGAATTGTATCTCTCGCGCTCTAAATCACGTGGAATTATGTGCGCGTGTGTGTGTGTATGTGTGTGAAAGGAATTGGTGGCTCTCAATGCTGTGATATTGATTGGGGAACAAATGAGAGTTGCTGATAATGATATTTTGCTGTAACTTGAAATATAATGTTGTTCATTTTGCAGATTATCCGTGAGCGCATTCCCGACTATCCTCAGCGCAATGGGCTGGCGTGGAATTCAGCACCGGGAGCGCTGCTCACGTTACCGACATACTCGGACAGCTTGAGGCACATGCCATTTCACATGGACATACAGGATTATCAACCTGGTCATAACTACACTGCTATTATATTTGTACAAATTGGAACTTCTTTGACACCAAATACTGCACTCTATCGACTAGTCAAAAGCACGACACGGAGTCAATTTGTGGACAGGGTGAGAGAGAGAGAGAGACTCAATTAACCATTCAGTTTACCCACTTCATGTTGTGACACTCACACCCCTCTGCCTGCCTGTCAATATATTTCAGATAATAATACTGTGGGCATCAGATCGACCCATTCCGTCGCGCAAGAGGTGGCCCTCCACCGGCCACATTCCCCTCAATGTCATACAGAGCAACACAAATGAGGATCGCACGAGCATCTCCCAAAGATTTTATCCGCACCACTTAATTAAAACCGACGCCATTCTGTCTCTCGATGAAGATGCCATACTCAATACTGAGGAATTAGATTTTGCATATCGCGTTTGGCGGGATTTCCCCGATCGCATAGTTGGCTATCCGGCTCGGGCGCACTATTGGGATGACGGAAAGGTGAGAGATGCATGAAGCAATTTGAAGCGACACATTTTGTCCTTACACACCATTATTTTGCATGCAACAAACAGAATGCGTGGGGCTACACATCCAAATGGACCAATTACTATTCCATTGTCCTCACCGGAGCTGCATTCTATCATCGATACTACAATTATCTGTACACGAATTGGCTGTCGCTGCTGCTGCTGAAAACTGTGCAGCAATCGTCAAACTGTGAGGACATCTTGATGAATTTCCTCATTTCGCATGTGACAAGAAAGCCCCCAATTAAAGTGACACAGAGGAAAGGCTACAAAGATAGGGAAAGTGGCAGGTGAGTGAAAGCGATTGTTGACACATTTCCAGCTCTGTAAGTTGCATAAACTGGGAATGTCAGACATTTTGATTGTTTGTAATCTGTGATTCAAGTCTTATTTGGATGTATTTCCAGATTATCCTTGTTTTGCAATTTAAGGGGTGAAAATCACTCTGCGATTGTATATGTTCATTAAATGCACTATAAAATGTGTTGCACGAAAATATTTGTACAGCAGAAAATTTACTCTTTAAATCCCTGCTGTTATTTTTTTTCTTTCAACTTTTCCCATCAAATTCCCTGCTTTTCTCACAAGTTTAGGTTCCATTTATGCAATAAACAAATTCAAATTTATTCACTATAACTTAATTAATTAATCCTGTGGCTCGAGACCTTGTGCCATCAAAAATCTCTGGTTTAACCCGGTTTTGGCTACTTAATGGCTTCTGTCGCACCCTTAATTTGCCATGTAAATAGAATTTCCCGAATTTTCTGCTGTCCAGATGTATTCCCATGACTCCTGGGCATGCTATCAGCGACTGTGTATTTCAATTTCTCTTTCATCATTCATAAACAAGTGCGCTACACGAGGTTCAGTTGTATTTTCTGGGCAGGGGCACAAAATGTATTCATTAGTGATTTAATGAAATCGATTTAAATGATAATAGTTCTGCGGTATTTTGGCTTTAATTAAATTTATCTATGTTTTCGAGCGATTTCCCAGATAATCAGATTTTAATTGCCACCTCAAAATGATTCATAAGTGCGGAGTTTCAATTGAAAATGTATTTTTTATACAAAATCTTGACATTTAATTTATCCGCAGTGATAATGTTTACATGTGTAACAGTTGAATAATTGCTGTAATGAAATACTTATTTGCTGCTGTTATATTTCAGGTCTCCTTGGAATGATCCTGATCATTTCATCCAGCGACAGAGTTGTTTAAACACCTTTGCTGCGGTTTTTGGGTGAGTGAATTGTTTGGATAGTTTGATGTTTCTGAGTGTACAATGAGTTTATTGCAGATATATGCCACTTTTGCGATCCAATTTGCGTCTCGATCCCGTGTTATATCGCGATCCTGTGTCGAATTTGAGGAAGAAGTATCATCAAATAGAACTAGTTGGTAGCTAGCGATTCATTTACAATTTCAAAAAGTGAAAATAGGAGAAAAGTATGAAGATAGAGTTTATTTGTGACGCGCTTGAGAAATACAATTGAGCAAAATTATGCATATTCCGACTTGTTAACTACCGAAATTCCAATGTGAAAAATGCGCAAGTAGTTTGAAGATTAGTGGAAATGTTTCGATTTTTTTGATTTTGTTTATTGTGTCTAAAGGGTAATATGTATTTTATACGTCTTATATAGTTGTAAATAATGTAGTTGATGATGTGTAAAGAGACAAAGCCAGATTAAATGGGGAATAATTGAGAATTTCTATAGGACAAATTGTTCTTCACTAAAAGTTGAAAAAGAAACATTTTGATGAGCTTTTATCAACAAGAATTTTGATTTCTCCATATTTTCCTATTTTTATAATGATATAACTTCTATTTTCACTTTTGCACACGAGAAGAAAAAAAAATGTCTACCAAAAATCTATATGGAAACTTATGACACATATTTTATATGGGCAGGATTGTACTCCATTTCTTGCATGGAGAGAAGTGACGTTGAAGAAAAACTGTACATTGCTAAAAAAAAAAGGGTTAAGTATATAGATAGACGGGGACTGAAACAAATATTTACAGGAAAAATTAATATGAAACCATTCAAAGCATTCTCATTGTGAGAGTCGACGTGAAAAGGAAATAAAACATCGTGGTGGATTTTAAACAAATTTACACTGATAATCTAACACACAAACATAAAAACTGAATCATACGAAAAATAATTTTAACGGATGCTGGCAAAATGGAGAAAAATCGTAGTCAAAGTTGATCCAAAGAGAATAATTTATCAGCATTTTGCTTTTGGAACCTCTTTTTTTAGACAATACGTATGAATTGTACACAATTTTTGGGGGATGAAAGATAATCTGTAACCAACAATACAATAATAAACCAGTCAATTTTTTTGAGACGGAGGAAAAATATCACTGTAAATTGATACAATTAGTGACAAACTATAAATTTATCAATTAGTGTGACATTTTTTATAATATTGTATAAAAAGAAATTCTTGATATTTCGTAATAATTAATGAAATGCAACCAATTTTGTATTCATGTATTTTTCATGCAAAAGAAGAAATTGTGGGAAGTCTTTTTTTAAAAAGTGAATAAACATGCGTGGAGAATTTTTATTGAGGTGTAGAGGACAAGGCAAAAAGGGAGAATCAAATCTAGATAAAAAAAATAGATGAAAAAAATCTACGCTAAGTAGTTTAATTTTTTTGTAGACTCTAATATATGTAAATGACTTTTTGTTGTGGAAGAAAAAGAAGCGAAGACTAAATTTCCAAACATTTAATCTGAATGTGACATTAAAGAAATAACATAAAGAATTACTCTTCTAATAATAATCTAACTGTGTGTAAATAATATTAAAATGATTTTGGGTTTTACTTTAATGAAGTAATGCTGACACCGCATGTTAAAAAGTGAGAATTTGTCTGTTCCATAAACAAAAATTGCATGGTGAATTTTCCCATGTTTTTCATAAGAGTTCTGAACTTTTTATGATATTTTTTGTCTTCTTAAACTCAATTTCCAGAGAGTTTTAATGATAGAGATGTTTTAAACTGACTTGTACTCTCTTTCTAGCATGAGAATGTTTATTTATTTTTGAGCAATTTATAACCTGAAAGATGAATCAAAGTTTGAATTATTTAATTTTTGCCCATTAACAAGCACCATTAAAATGGCAATAAAATAGAGCCAATTTGAGAAATTTGAATACTACATAGTCATAAAATCAATGTAATGTTTGTTAATGGAATGAGCAATTTTATCAACACAAAAATGAGCAATAAAGAACCGATGAGAATTTACTAAAATTCCAACACAACGCATGCTATTCGCTGAATAAAAAATAGAAAAAACGCGTTAATATGCATTGCAACACAATTGAAAAATATTTTGTGGATTTCATGTGAGAATTGTAGAATTTGCAAAACAATTCTCTGGCACATTTTGAGCGATTTTATTGTAATTCTAAACTCAATATCGGATAAAATTTACCCTATATAATATTGCTAAAAAAAAAGTGAGAATGGAGATGCAATGATTAGAGGAAAGTAATCCTATAAAAATAAAGAAGAATTTATCACAATTGAAACATGAAAGCAAATTAAGAGAAAAAAAATGATCAACATATCACTAAACTAAAAAAAAAGTCTACAGACGGTGAAAAAGCAGTTGTATCACTACCGAACATAAGCGCAAACATTAGAACTTCAATTAAGAGATTAATAACTGAGGAGATTTAGCGTGAGAAAGTCGAGAAGATGGAGTAACAATATATATTATATACATATAAAAATATATAACTAATAGAATGCTGAAGGAAGAAAAAGAGGCCGTTTCATCAGATAAGAATTATAAGACATAAAAAACATTAAATGTGATTTCTTCGTAAGGCTTGTAATTTTCCAGTAAGTTGATTTATTAGTTATTTGAATTTGAATGGTGAAGAAAATGTGTCGAATAATTGAATCTTTTATCAGTAAATATGGAGAAACCCAGTAATAAAAGTATAAATGTAACATTTCCAGATGCCCAAAGAATGCAATGCTGCATATAAGAGAATGAAATTTGCAAGAAAAAAGGCATTTAATAGCGAGAATCTTTCGAATCATGATCAATGAGAAGAGAGAATGGCGGAAGACTAAAAACTAAATACAATATTATGTATATTTAAACAAAAACGATATGATAGTTTTGTCGCGTGAACGTGTAAATAATTTTCATGAGTTTTTCTACGTAAATATGACATGCGTTCATTGGTAGATTTTTTGGAGAATAAAATAGTCGAAAAATTACTCATTTATAATTTTAAAATAATATTAATTAACCTCTTTCTTTGTTGCAACGACAATTCGGCCAAAAATTATTTTTTAATTAACACAATGTATCATATTTTTTTACAATATAAAATTGTTAAAATGAAAGAGTGTCTTGCAGTGTGCAAAGAGAGGCGAGAGAGTTGGTAAATCACATGGAAAATTGAGTAAATGTTTGGCAATTTGAATATCCGCCATGGGAAAGTGATGATTTTGCAGTTCACATTTCACAAGCTTTCATATCTCTGAACCCCCTTCAAGTTCAATTTTCTCTTATCTCCCCACACCACAAAATCAACGCCATGGCGAATATATAAGGGCTCGGGCGTGAATTCTTCTATTTCGAATATTTCAGTTGAAGAGGACACAAAATGTGGAAAAAGATACGGATTTCCTGTTTCTTTGTGCTCACGATCCATCTTCTCAGCCCACTCGAAGCGCAAACAATCCAAGAGAATTATCCGGTGAGTGATAGCAGCATTTGCATTTTTTCACCTTTATTGTGTGAATCATATTTGAACAAAAAGTGTCATCGTATGTGAGATTGATTAGTCATGTTGGGGGATTTTTCGCAAGAACAAGGCAAAAGAGTGAACAAGTGACCGTAGAAAATCACCTTCAAAAAGCAATTTCTTTATGGATTTCTAGAGTTGTTTACGTCGAGCGCATTTAAATTGTTCGTTAACCCTCCTGCGATCTTAAAAATCACTTAATCTTTTAAACAGGTTCTCAGAACAATTCGTTCTAATTTGCATTTTTTGCAAAAGAATTTCTGTATTACATTTTAAGAATCTTGATAAGAATTTATTGAATGAGGAAGTTTTTAAAATATGAATTTTGCAGAAGTTTAACTTCACAGATAAAGTGGGTGATTGCTGGTGCGAAAACATATTCAAAACGACGCCTTTTGGCTGGTATTGGTTATTTTATTAGGTTCGTTAAAGACGGCATTGTTCCGTAGCAGTTAAACTCTCTGCAGCAGAGCTGTCATGAGCTCAGCATCGAGTTTTATTGACGCAATCTTGATACACTTGTGAAAGGTGCAAAAGAAGTAAATTAGTGCCTTTGACTATCGCTTTTGATCAACAACCACAAGTCCTTGTCCTTCTCTTCAATGTGGTGTTTGGTCTTGAACAAGGTCTTGAATTATAGACCATCGAGGACTAATTTAAAAGTGCATTTTATTGTTAACATCTCATGAGGTGTACGTATAAAAAAATCCGCTAGTCACGCTATCATTTGAGAATTATTCAGCTCTTGCGTTTCTAACCGCGAACGCATTTCATGCGCTTGCTGGACTTGTCGAAGTCACACTTTTCGCCAGAATTGCACTTGACATTGCCACAGTAGGTTCCGGTGCCGCCGCTGCTCGAACCCTTGTAGCCGCCGGCCGAGGAGCCGCGGTGCGCCGCTCCGGGCAGGACGCAAGACTTTGTGTTGCAGAGGTTGGGGCAACACTTGCCGCCGAGCGTGGAGCACTCGGTGTCGTCCTTGCACTTGGGGCTGCACGCGGACATTTGCGACGAGAGTGGGCAGTCGCCGCTCACTGCGCGGGGATGAAAGTTGAGAAGTCAATTAACGAGGGGAACTTAATTAAATTCCACACTAGTGTTTAGTATACAGAAACTCCTCTGGTTAACAATGAAATTTATCACTCTTACCGCCTGCAGAGCAGCCGGTCGCCAGCATCACGAGCACCAGACACAGGCAAATTATTTTAATTTCCATTTATGCTGCGATAAATAATCTTCATAAATAAACTTGGACTCCACGCTGCACTGGGCTGGAATCTCCCGGAGCTGTGGGCAGATTACATTTGTGGGAATCACTCCTGTCCCCATTACAGCGTGTTAGGGAGCTGCCAGCCGATTAACTTACCCGAAATTTCAACTCTTACTGCTGTAATCAACTCCTCCTTGTCGACTGGCTTGTGGGTGGTTTGGCTGCGCCTCTGGGGCGGGAAATGGCACACGAGTTAACTTTCCCGAAATGCTTCCTCTATGCGGCAATTATTGTGCCAGGCAATGCTCGGTTCTCAGCAGAATTATCTTCCTCATGTACTGAGATCTCCACCTGAACTGGCGAGCTCTGGAAGTGCGCGTCTTTTGAATATCACAACTTTGCTCAACAGAGTTTTTGTGAATGTATTGTGTCGCTCGTGATGGTCAACATGTGAAATCGAGCACTTGTGAAATAGTGAAACGAGTTTTTCACCATTAATTGTTGTCGAATACTCTGGAGTGTTTTGCATGATGACTCAATATCTCTCGACACTCCAATTTTCCAATTTTGTATTTGTCTCCTGGCGAGACAGCATTTCATGAATAATTTCACACCTTTTCAAGTTCCAACAGATGCCGAAGGCAGTGCGGAAAGGAGAAAAAGAGAGTGTAGAGAAATGCGAGCACTTCATCGACCACAGAATGGCATAAATTAGATTTAATCTAGCATAAAAGCATTACCAATGCATCGATCATCGTGCATGATTCAGGATATACAGACCAATTCAACAATGGGATATATTAGGGAAAATTATGACACCATTGTACGTAAATTATATCCCGAAATACCATCAGGTGATTGATTGAAGTTTGGCAATTTATTTCATGATTTCCTTTCACACACCTCATCGATAATAGCCGACCAATATGTAAGGAGTCTCAATTGAGCTCGACTTGAGCATGTTTCTGGGTCATTCCGATTATGTGAGCCCGATCGAATGGAGATAATACCATAATTCCTCATTTCCCAATCTCTGTGGCGATGTTATTCCGATTGTATGGGTTGAAATCCTCAAAATAATGCAGAAATTATGATATTCAGTGCATTTTGGAGTAATATGGGAAAATGCAGCATTGTTTTTAATGTAGGCAATTCATGAAAATATCGATGAGTTCCACCTACGCGATTGTCACATCCGCTTTTTAACTAAATTTAACTGTGATTAGAACTAATTTTCAATGGCAAATGATTTTCATACTCAATTTCTATCTGCACTCCTTCACAGGGACTTTTAGATGAGGCATTGAGTGATTTACAGGAAAGTGTTCGCCTGGATGAAGAGGAGAAGTACCAAGAGTTTCTATCTTCTCGGCAACAATCAGGATTTATTCCCATACCCGTAATCGATGCCGGGGGTGACGAACCCATTTATGCTGAGCTGGACGAGGTGGAGAGGCTGAAGGAGGCGAAAAGTGCTCACTATTCCTTCAGTGAATCTGTCCAAGACACCATAAATGACCATGCAATTGAACGGGTGGAGGAGAGAGATGGACTGAAGCTCAAGGGCCTTTATTCCTACAGTGACGGCTTCTTCAAGAGGACAGTTCACTACGAGGCGGATGAGAATGGATATCGAGTTATTAAGTAAGATTTCCCTCTTCCCATTCATGTGTTAACAACATCCAGCAATCACGTCCGCTCTTCTGTTCCATGCCTGTGTCCTCAAAAGGGAGGAAATCGAGCCAATCGGCGACGGACCACAGTACAATCCGAAGGGAAAGGCCACTGTGGAGACCTCCTTGACCGGACGCTACTCCATCACGGCGGAGGACAACCCAGGAAAACGCAGGCATTCATCAGGCGACCAACTGTGATGTCAACCCCATCAATAATGCACTCCGACTATTTGTTATTCAGGCGGTATTGGCATTTAATGCGACATTGCAGTGACATGGGCTAATGAATGCATATCATTGATCTTGATATTAATTGTACTTGAAGTAAGTTATTAAAATCGTGCTCGAAACTTCGACTGTTGCGAGGGTGAATGAGTGGGTGAACTGTGCAATTACTGCACTGACGCCGCAGGGCATTTCCTTCCATGTCAATTGACAGTCTCTTTAGACGAATGTGTGCCGCATTTTTTAGTCACATTGCCAATAATGTCTCAAATGATCCATCACATGTGACCTCCTCATCTGAATGGCAAATATTTTATTGCATGCTTTCCAGCTTATTGGAGATCCATGTTGAAACGTTCGCTAATGAATTTGCCAATATTGGCGCTTAACTTTCTTAGTCATCCGCCTTTTTTTCACATTGCCACCGTCAAATACAGAAGACATTAGCGAGTTTACCGCTCTGTTTCTTCTCCACTCTACTTTATTTGCATAAACTTATTCAATTTCCCAAAACAAGACGATCTTGGCGAGACATTTAAATAAGTAGTGACATTGCAGAAATTTGCCCAATTTACAAGTTGCAGTATAAAATAAGAAAGAGATTTGTAAGTGGCGAGATTTGTTTATAAAAAACTGCGAAATTCGGGTGCGCGCTCGTAAGCTCCACCAACGTAAATTAATTACCTATTCTTATTTAAATTTTATTCTTTGCTTATATTCTTTCATGGGTCATCTTCTTGTTATGATGAATATTTCATAAGGTAAGTAATGAAATTTGAATATTAAACCAGAGTTTTCTAATATATAATAATGAGAGGTCTTCGAAATTTGAATTGATCGATCAAATGTATCTTTAGGACATAAAGATGACCTTTGCAAAAGGGCACAAGAATTCTATGGTACATATTGGCACACTATGAGACACAAAGTCAATTAAGAATGTAATTTAATAAAACTCCCTACAATATGTTAACATAGTTTCTCCGTCCTTGTGAGCTCCTTCTGAGAAAAACCCCACTCGTGGGCACGTTTCCTGTCGCCTGAACTTTCAAGAATCCATCTTCTCCGTAATAACATTTCCTCTGCCAATGCAGTGTCTCGAAACGTACCCTGAATACTGTGTCTATGCATGTATACTAATATTTTAAAATATATTATCTGTCAATCTTGATGTCTCTTCTATGTTGCCACAGTGTACAAGACATACCCTTTTTGCTGCTTTGATAAATGTTCTCTAATGTCATATAACAATCTGTGGGAGTTTGTTAAATAAGCCGCGTGGTGAGTTGTGTGGAAAGGGGTTCAGATTATTCTTTCATTTTCCCCAGACAGAGAAAGTTGTCAGCATAGCGTGCACGAAAGCATAAAAAGGAACCGCAACATAGCATTCGCCACATCAACTTCATCATAAGAATTAAATAAATTGCTCATTTGAATGTTGATTAGAGAACTGCTTTTGTCGTGTTGTCATTTTATTTCCCAACATGAGGAGAAAATTAAATCAATAAGCGAATTAGAGTGTCTCATGAACACGAAATGTATTATGGGTTTTTATTAATCACTGGAAATTCTCGTGCGGACGCAAAAGTTTTCCCGAAAAGGGGGAAACACCAGAAAGGGGTTGTATTCAATTTTCCACTCGCTGAATAGCTTTTGAATCTCCATCCAGCAGCAGAGATTCAGTCGCCACCCCTCGAACTTGTGTAATTTTGTGTTAAAAATAGGATTAAGCATTGTTTGAATTTAATGCCTGGAGCCAAAGTCGAGGCGATGGGGAATTAATCAAACCACGATGGAATGCTTATTTGCGGAGAATTAAAGGCTTCGCCAGAAACTTTAATTGGGAATACCATAAATTCCCAACATTCTGCGCAATTTTCTCCCACTTTCTTCCACTTATTACACAAACCTCACATGCAAACTCGCATATCACAGACAATCTATCGATGTGCTGAATCAACACCACGCAGAACGACTCAATTGATGAAACACGCTGGCGGTTACACATAATCCGCCACAATTATAATCTCATGAGCATTGGTCTCGAAGTTGGCGCCAATTGCTGAAATTGAGGTGGTTAATGTGGCGGGTAGCCGATAAAGAAAACCTATAAAATCGAATTAAAGGCCGCTCGGGGTTGTTTCCTCTCCTTTCTTCCCTGGGCACTCAATAAAACTCGGTGTGTGTGCGGTGTAAAGTGGGTCACCCATTTTCACATTCAGAGCATTCAAAGATACACCCGTACGCAACCCACACCCTCGTTTCCACATCAATATGCTCCGCTGCCTCACGCCCTCCATGCCTTTTTGTGCACACTGTTCTCGAGAGAGCACGGAAAACTTTGCTGCATGCCTTAACTATGTAATCACAGCTGAACTTAAACTCTCTTGTGCGAAATATTTGTAAAAGCCAAGGAATTGAGAATATTTCTGCTGCCTATCGCTGGAAAAGTTCAGGTAAAGTGCTGATTTTATGCCTCTTATCCCAAACGAAAATTTGTATGAGTAGAATTGTGTATTTTAACGATTTCAACGTCTTGACAGGACTCGAAGACTTATTCTAAATTTTCGTATCCAATTAAATTTCATACTCAAAGTGCGCAATGAGTGATCAAAGTTCTTCCATATGTGTTGGATTCTGTTTAGTATTGAAATTCTTATAATTTTGTACTTGGTATAAAAAGACTTATTATGATGAAGTAATTGGGCATAAACTTATGAATATCAACAATAATGGATTTTTTGTTCGAGTCTTTAACAAGAGTGCTTTAAAAAAATTTGGACATTCGGAGAATAATAAATGACTCAATTATGATGGAAATCCCAGCTCCTGATACAGTGAAATTACTCTAATTTGGCCATTTCTCCCTTCAAAAAATTTATGATAAAGATAATGTTGATAATAAAAAGTTTACATGATAACAACGTATCTTATGATAGTCCTGATAATAAGGTCATAATCTGTACAAAGCATTTCGCTTAGACTAATTAATTTTAATCTAAATCAACGCGTTGAGTGCAATCATAAAATGTTTTTTATTGAATTCCGAGATATCAGTGGTACTATATAAGTAGTAAGCCACCTTCTAAATGAGCCACTTGTTTATTGGACAGCGCATTAGATGTTTTGAAATTTATTGAGTGAATTATCAAAGAACGTTAGTTAAAATGGTTATCAATAAACTGATATCAATTGTTCAGAAACATCAAACAAGGAATTTACTCGGAAATGTAATGAAACTCTTCAAAGGGAGGAGGGGTTGGAGGCTTATATCTCTAATTTTGAATAAGATTTCAGACAATATCATAATAAAACGGTGTTAAGATTGAAGGAACATAAAAATTTCAAAAGTATTTTTAAAACAGACATTTTTGCAATGCTTCAGAAAATCCCTGAGATTGCAAGGATTCAAGCCTCGTGCATTTAAATGCAAGAGCGAAGCAGGAAAATTAACGGAAACTCGTTTACATGCGCCTTTTAGTCCTCTGTCTTGGCTCTCTCATCCGCAACGAACATTCCTCTGTTATTTCCTGTTGAGGATATGGGTATTCGTGTTTGCCATAAAGCCGTACAATGCATCATAGTTGAGGCATGAGTTATTATTATAATAAGTTTGATGGTGTTGTATTCTTTCGGAACAAAGAGCCACACAGTCATGTAACATTGTTAACTTGTATAATCTGTGTGTGGGGGTGAATTAATGTGGAAAATGTCATGCTCCTCCCCACAGATTATTTCAATACAATGCCAAAACTTCCTTTGTTTCTCCTCGGCTGCGCTGGGGAAATGTTACAGCAGATGCCAAAGTATTTCAGAATTGCGCCCTCTAATAAGGTACACGCTTTTAATTATTCTTCCACTGTCCAAAAACATCTTTATTTGACTTAAATTAATTAGTTGCGCTGCACGACTTCATGAAGTTTTGCGATGAGCAAATGCCTGGGGGTTGAGGACAAGAAATACCACCCACAAAACCACCCAAAGCCCCGACGAGCCAAGCGCAAAGGCGGCTTCTTTCGCCTTCGCGGCATTTCTTTTCGTCAGTGTAATTTCAACTCTTGCAGCGAGAAAATTCAACAGATATTCTCAGTACCGTGCGCGATGAGAAAGGGAATAAGAGAGCGGAAATTAGCTCCCTTTCTCGCTTTTCTCCCCCATTTCCGACACTAAACACGGGGTAGTGTGGAAAATTTACGAGATAATTGAATTTATTTGAAAATAAAATCTCTCCAAAGACATTGTCGCTTATAATGAATGAACAGAGAGTGAACTGTATTATTAAATTGTGTCAAATGTGTAATTATCAAGGAAAAAATGTGATAATGTGACTCTTATCCTGAGGAGAGAGCATAATTTCAATGCTTTACGTACATTGTAATAAATAACAGGACAAGGTTTGCATTCTTCAACAATGTTTCTTCTGCAAATTGCATGTTTCAGTCGCATAAATTGATTTCCATTAGTCATATTTTTAGAATTTATGTTAAAAACTCACATCAGATTAGACATTGTTCAGCATAATGTAGAGATTGTCAGAATGTGTTGTTTTTATTTCAGAAGTCAATATTAAAACTTTGTCTGATAGAAAATCATATCACTTTTCTATCATGAAGTTTTTTTTTAATCCAAAAGGTTAGAGAATTTTGCAATGTTGGCACAATATATGTAAAACACTTTAAAGATTTTTTCTTCATATATTAATCATTAAGCCGTACATCTTTGTCCAGTTTCAAGTGAAAGAACATATTGTGGAACACCCAAATTCACATGATGAGTATCAGTGATACGCAAATTTGATAATGTATTTTTCCATTGTTGTTTCTTTTTTAAACCACTTAGCATTGCGATGATTTAGAAAACTTAATAAAAGTATTTTACAAAACTTATAGAACTGCGAGCACAATGTGTGTTGTTGGTTTGAATGGCTAATCCAAAAAGAATAAATTCAATTCCGTCACGCTGTTGATATGCTATCAGATTCGCTATTGTTGCGATAACGCTTGTATAAAAATTTAGTACTCAAGAGTTTTTGTATAATTTCAAAAGTACATTTTATAGCGAGAGGAAATGGTAAAGTTGGTACAATGTAATTAAGATAGGGGAGAAGAAGCCAAAATTAGTCAGAAGTACATATTGTTTAACGTTTAATTTTTTCATGCTGTAAAGTTAGAAATTAATCTATAACGCGTAATAAAAATATTCTCCATATACATTCAACAACTCGATTAAATGAATTTCGAGAAAATATCCTCTAATTTTTTCTACTTTCATTGTAGATACAAAAATGTCGCGGAAAAAGTCCAAAAAGCCTCCTCGTGATGAGACTGACAACACTGGCAAGCTGTTGAAGGCGGAAGCTTGCAATCATTTGAAGGTATGAGTCTCTCTAAACACATCGTGTAAACATTCGCGTAGAAAAACAACATTATTGTAAAAATAAATTTATGCTCTTTCTCTCAAATTGCAGTCGAACAACTTCAGCAAAGCACTGAATTCATATACGCAGGTATGCATTTTTGATACATAAATTAATTTTACAGATTGATTAGCAATACTCATAGTTCGTAGTTTAGTTAAGAATTATTTGGCCATATGCGAGGAGCCACATTTTTATTGATTCTCAAAAAGTGACGTCGTCATGGAATTCTTCGCACTCAGAGTGTTTAATTGGGTATTGAGAAGCTCTCAATAGATTTTGAGTGGATTCGAAAAATTTGATTTGCCACCACTTGTGATTGAAATCATTCGCAAAAATGCCTAACAAAGCGGCAAAGGACATTCTGGAGACGGACAAGGAGGCGGAGTACATGCAAAGCTTTGTCCGTGGCGGCGGTTCGGACGACGAAAGGGAGCCCATTTCGCATCATAAGGTCGAGCTGTCGAAGCAACTCTCAGATTCCAGCGATAAGTCCCCGAGGAAGTCTAAGTAAAATTGAATAGAAACTTTCTCCGTAAACACATTGTGGATGTAAATCAGTTAAATTGAATTGAAATCATGTCCAAAGCAGAGGCGGAGCGACAAAGGAGCCGCCAAAGTCGAAGAAGCGCAACAAACAGCGAGAGTACTATGAGGAGGTGTATTGTGACAAAGACAGGGCGGCGGCCGTCAGCATTGGGAGCTTCGATATCAAGCAGAGCCTCAATCAAAAAGCTCGCCAGGAGAGGAGTCAAAATCTCTCGCTGCCCGAGGAAGCTGAACCTGGAGCTTTGTTGGCATTGGGCATGCGAGAGGCGAAGAACGGAAATACGGATAATGCTGTTCAATTCATATCAAAGGCACTAAGAGAATCTTGTGTTGGCTGCTTTTTAATTTCTGCTTCTCCTCCTTTCAGGCACTCGAGCTCAATCCACAAGATCAGAACGCTTTGGTGGCGAGAAGCAAGTGTTACTTGCTCCTGGGGGAACCGGACAAGGCTCTACAAGACGCCGAGACGGCTCTCATAGCAGACAAGAACAATATCCGCGCGATTTACCAGAAAGCCGAGTCTTTATATTACTTGGGCCAATTTGAGCACAGCCTCATGTTCTTCCACCGAGGACTTCGGCTTCGGCCAGAGCTCAACACCTTTCGCCTGGGTGTGCAGAAGACGCAGGAAGCGATTGAGAACACAATCGGAGCGGCTCAGAAGATCGACGTAGAGAAGGCCAAAGGAAAGGACACAGCATCGTCAACCAACAGAAGCACCACGTCTAAGAAAACTCGTGCTTCTAAGGCCACTAAAGCTGACCTAGAACGAAGGGCTTCACGACGTCTCTTGGGTGAGCTGTGCGTCGATAAAGAATATTTGGAGAATCTGCTGAAACATCCCAACTTGAAGCTCCTCAGCGCGGAATCGGACACCGAACCAATTTCAGGATTGGCCAAGGATGCTGTTACTTTCCTCAACACGCGCCAGGAGTTCTGGCGCCAACAAAGACCATGCACAGCTCTGTCTAACAAGAAGATCATGGAAGCCACCTCAACAATGCCCAAGTGGTTTTAGATTCCTTATGATCATTATTTGGTCAGTGAAGAGAGTATAAAGAATTAAGTTTGGAAAAAAACGCACCGATCTAATCACGATTTGCGATTTACTGGCCACAATCAATTAGTTCAAAGCCTAAAGTATTATGATTTTCACCTTCTAGAGCTGTTGAAAATTGGAATGAATTCAATGAAACATAAGAAACGCGGTGTTTTAATGCCCTTTAAATCCCTTAAACAGAATTGAGTGAAAGGCGCGCTAACACTTAACATTAACAGAAATTTTTGTGTTACGCTCGATTCACACTTCTCATCGGGCAATCCAGCAATTCGAGCAGTTGTCACCCTGTGCGACTTTGACAAGAGCTAATTCTAGCAGATTTGGCCAGAGATTTTTGTGCAAAGCGTGCAAGGAATTAGGAAATTCTGCAAAAATGCGAGGCGTAGGCTTGGTTGTCGGCAGGAAGCAGTTTGAACAAGCTCAGCGATGGTGAGTGAAGAGGAATTGAAAGGAATATTCGTGATGCCTGTGATTACATAACGCGCTGGGAACTGAGAACCAAACATTGCTTTCAGGGTTCCTTCGCTGGCTGCTTTCGGTACGGCTGGAAGTTTGGCGCTCTTCTACTTCACGGACTGGAAGGTGGTGTGCCGCTACATCCCGTTCTACAACACCAAATTCAAGGATGAGGAGGAGAAGTAGATAAATTTTGATGCTTCAATATAACTATATTCACGGATGAATAGCATTATGTTCACTGGTTGAAAATAGAAAATAGGATACAAAAGTGCATCTTTTACGATTTGTGTTGATATCAAAACAAAAAGAAGACGGAATGAGTTGCCACTATGAGATACAGCTTAGGAAGAGAGCTTCCCGGCCAGCGCTTTTGCTCTCAGAATGCTGCAACGGAAGAGGAGTCATTGAATTGGTTAATTGTTCTCTGGCATATATGTGTGAAATCAACTCACTTTTCCTCCTCTTCTCGCTTCCTGTTGAAGTCCGCGAGTTCCGTGGGGTGCATTCGCTTTCGGTGGCTGTAGTAGTTGCCTGACGAGGCGAAGGTGCGGCTGCAAAATTGGCAGGAGAATTTCTTCAGTCCTGTGTGCTGCACCATATGATTCAGGAGGGTGTTCTTCAGCTTGAACGTCCTGCCGCACTGCGAACAGCAGAAGGGCTTCAAGTCTGTGTGTTGCACACGCACGTGGTTCCTCAGGCACTGGCGATTGAGGGCGGAGTACTCGCACAGGTCGCAATTGAAGCGCACCATTGAGTGCTGCACCATATGCTTCCGCAGGCAGAGCTTATTCTTCAGCCACTTGCCGCACTGCTGGCACTGCACCTGGTGCACACGCGGCTGGTGCGTAGTCAGGTGATATGTGAGATTCCCTTTGCAGGCGAACTGCTTCGCGCACACGTGACAGACGAAACTGATTCCCTGCTTCGTGTGCGCCACATTGATGTGTGTGGACAAGCGTCCGGGAGAGGAAAACCTGCAAGACAAGGACTTACAATGAGTCCTGAAACTGTCTAGAAGGAGAAAGAGATTGTCTTACGTTTTTCCACACTCATCGCAAACATGAGCGGCTCTCTGGCTTTCCGGCTGGTGGGATATCGAGTGCGCCACAAGAGCGCTGCTGTAGCTGAATCTGCGAGGACAGTCAGGACAGGCCAGTGGCCTTTTCTCCTCCGGCAGATGATTCTGCACATGATACTGTAGGATCTTCGGGCATGTCATCATTTTGCTGCACTCAGGACACCTGAAAGCTTCCGGTTGAAGATGCCTCGCCATGTGCATGGCCATCGCTCTAGGCTTTATCAGCTTCACTCCACAGCAAATCACATATCCCTTGATGTTGTGCACTTCCGTGTAGTGATTGCAGAGCACGGACAGCTTCTTGAATACTTTCTTCCCCCTGAAAAGGCACTGCGAATGACAACTTTCTCAATTAAAAGGGGAGATTGACTCACCCTTTTGATCCTTCAGCACACAAATCGCAGTCTAATCGATAGAACTTGGACATGAGTGATATTAAGGCTTTGCCTCTGATGAGGAGCTTCGTGTCCTGGATGATCTTCTTGGGGAAATTGGGAAATTCAATGTTCTCAAAGTGATCATTTCGAGGCTCCTCATCTTCCTTCGTATCCTCAGTGAGATCGTCCATCTTCAGCCACGCTTCGCTCTCCATTTCATCATCCTTGGCAAGATTCTCGCTGATCTGTGTGGTGTTCCCCGGCTTTTCCTTTACTCTCTTCCGCCGCACGCGCGCCTGAGTCGGTGAATCTTCCACTTTGTTAGCCCCCTTCTTCATATCGTCTGCCAAGTCCTCCTTGGCCATCGGTGTGGGCTCAGGCAAAGGCTCAGCGTTGGCTACAATCGGAAAAGCGCCCTGCAACGCCTGCGTCACCGGCTGAAGCGTGTAGTTAGTCGTCGCCGTGCCATTGTTGAATGTCACCGAACTGATGACGGCTATCGTGGTGGGAACCGGTCCGCCGGCGGACAAACTCTGCAAATCTATGTGACTACCGCTGATGTCCTCGATCTTGATGAACTCCTGCAACTGATGATGCGCCATCGTGATGGATTTCTGATTTGGATCTAGAATCGGCGGCGCGGCAGATGTTATAATCACTGGACTGTTCTGGGTTTGAGCATAAGCGAGCATTGTTTGGTTTTGTGACACCTGCAAAAGATACTTTCTCCAGCAACCAAAACATTGACAACGAAAATCACAACTTTTACCTCCTCAAAAAACTTGTGAAAAGCCTCGATTTTCTCATAGCACGACAAACAGATATCTTTCGGCAGATTGTCATCCTCCTTTATCTGCAAAGTACAACGATTTCAAATTACACTTTCACGGGATTTCATCGGAAAATTTACCTCAAAACAGAGATATTTAAGAATCTTCTGAATAACTTGATTTTCTTTTGCCTGGAACAAATTTAGCACAGTATTGTTATTGAATAAGCACAATCGACACACGTTGGAGTCGTTCATTGTGGTAAGAATGCGGAAAACTATTGGAAAAGGAGGTAATTTGTGAAAATTGCGAGACGAACAACAAAAGCCAATAATATTTACATATACACGCTATTATCGAAAATCCAATATGGCGGCTGTCATTTTGCTAGAAAACCCAGTAAAGTGAATTCCTGTGTCTGTTGGAATCTCGTTGGAGAAATCCATGCTTGATTTTGAATCAACACACGATTAATTTTGACAAATTTCGTATTTTTTCTTCTCATTGACCTTTCTAGTTAAGTCTTTAAAGTGTTTTCCAGTGATGCATGTTAAAAATTTCACGCACCGAGCCCACACTGTCCTGGTCAGGTTGCATGGAAAGATATTCGACAATTCCACTGGAAAGTTCACGGAACAATTCCGACGGCGATGGCCGTCACGCGAACAGCTGTTGATGGGGATTCTCGTGGTGTTGCCAGACGTGAGCGAAGGGCTATTGGCTTTGTGTAGTATTTTTTCATGAAAATAAATACACTGGTGGAGGAAAATCTGTGCGAAAAGTAACACAAATAATTACATTTGCTATCTTAATCTAGTGTAGAAGGATCAAGGCTTATCGTAGTAAACACACCATGAACTGCTAAGCGGAGTAAGTTGTGCATTTGGTGCTGAAAAAGCGCAGTGTGTGAAAAAGGGGTGCTGGGTGCTGTCAAAACACGCACTTTTGCCATTTTGCCTTGAAAATGGGCTCTTTGCGAATTTGCAGCTGAACGCAGTGGGGAAATACACTGGTCAGTCTCTGTCGAGTGCAGTGCAGGTAGAGAGATTGACTGTGCAATTGTGAGTCACTGAGGGAGAAGTGTGATGTGTGTGAGTGTGTGCAAAAAATACCAGGAAGTTGTTCTGAGTGGGCTTTTCTGCGTCGAATGTTGAGGGCAGAGGGAGACAAGATTGGGTCAAGACGCATCTCACTGTGATATTTACTGTGATTCCGGGCATTCCGGGGGTGAGATAAGTGCGGCAATTGGTGCTGACTTGAGAGAAGGGAGATATGCTGTGGGTCTCGGGAGTGTGATAAGGGTTCCCACCACTCTTATCTTTTGTTTACACGACATCTCGTACTTGCAGGAGCCGAAGAACTCCCCTTCTGTGTCTCTTCACACCAGTTGAGGCTGCTATGACTGAATCGGCGCATCTGGAGCTGTGAAACACCGTCTGAGATCAGCTACGCTTCCATCCATTCTCGAACAGACGACAAGAGATTCACACCAGGCTTCCGGACGATGCTCATGATGGAGATTGCTCAGCTTATCGCTCTGACCGTGGCGGTGCTCGTGCAGGAGATCTCTGGGGACATTCTCGTGTATCCGCAGTTTGCGAATCAAATTGTGGCGCAGTTTCACGACATGCCAGCGCACTTCGGGCCGTCCTTCTCTTCGCCCGGGCTCCGGGCGGTGGCCGTGAACGCGACGCCCGCGAACGCGTGCACCGACCTCACGCCACCGCCGGCCGTGCTGAACGACTCACACCCCACAAAGTACGTTGTCCTCGTGGCGAGGTACAACTGCAGCTTCGAGGACAAGATCAAGAACGCCCAGAAGGCGAACTTTGACGCTGTGATTGTGTACAATCTCGGCAGCGACGAGCTAGAGCAGATGTCCGTGAAAGATCCGGATGAAATCTTCATTCCGGCGATGTTCGTGGGCGAGAACACAGGCAAGATCATCCTGTACAATTACCTCAATCAAGACGGTTTCGTGCTGGTGCTGAACGATGATCTGCCGTTCAACATAAACACTCACCTCATCCTGCCCTTCGCCATCGTCGTGGGCCTGTGCTTTGTGATCATGATTGGCTTCATGGTGGTCAAGTGCATCCGCGAGCAGCGCCGTCTGCGACGCCGTCGCTTGCCCAGCAGTGTTCTCCGGAAGATACCCACGATTAAGTTCACGAAGCACGACAACTACGAGACGTGCGCCATCTGCCTCGATGACTACATCGAGGGCGAGCGCCTCCGCGTGCTGCCGTGCAATCACGCCTACCACACCAAGTGTATCGACCCGTGGCTCACGAAGAACCGCCGCGTGTGTCCCATTTGCAAGCGGAAGGTTTTCGGGAGGGGTGAGCGAAGACGCCCGCGTAGACAACGATCGTCGTCGGACAGCATGTCCTCGTCGGATGTAGATGACACCACGCCGCTGCTCAATCCCGTGGGCAATGCCACGCACGGCACGTTCGCGCGCACGCGGAGTGAGGGCCCGCCGCCCAGGGTGAATCCCTTCGACCGCGTGCCGCCGCCGCAAGTCGTCTTCAACGAGGCCGCGGGGCCGCCGTGGGGCTTCCTGCTCAGGTAAGCCGCTCTCCCGCCGCGCTTCGCGCGCGCTGGGGTTAACATTTTTGCACGCAGAGCTCACGGCCACCGAGTATTTGCTCTAAACATTGATAAGTCTTTCTTCTGCGGCACCACAGGGTGATACTCTATCAGCACTGTGCTATCGCGCACACGAACAAAGGGGAGAATGGGGCAAGATTTTAGAAATTGACCCACACTCAACTGTGCGGAATTGTTGATTCACAGTGTCTTTTCGCTGTCCTTGCACGCTCTATCTAATCGAAAAAGTGTGAAAATCACTTGTACTCCGCTAAAGCTTCAATTTTATTTCGTCTCTGTGTGAGAATTAGAATTAGATTAGAGACCAAAAGAGGACTGAATCTGCAATGGTTGCAACTCATATTCAATTTGTCGTGATTTAATTGACTTCTTTAAATTCAGCCCATGAAAATCGATCATCTTTTATTTGTTGCTCTGAGAGCTGAATGCATTTTCAACTTTATCCCACAGTTAATAAGAAGCTAATGCTTACAAATTACTCTTCTTAATTGCCAAATTGGCTATCAAAAATGCAAATGAGAGAAATTAGAATACCGAATTTAAATTGGTTCATTCATCCGTCTCTATTTCAGTATTTTTGTGTGGTGAAGATAATTCAGCTGAATGAGATCAATGAGATTGCGCTCATCTTCTTTGTATACTGGCATTGCTGGTGTTTTATCTATGCGAGCATGACACATTTATTGAATAGAAAACGATCCATTTTTCCTCGCATTGACCTTTGGATGATCCGCAGTAATTGAAATATATGTTGCTCGTGCTTTGCAGACTCTTCCGGAGGCGCCAGTCACTGCCTGACAACGTGAGCCACAATCCTGCGGCGCCGGGTGAGAACCAGATGGAGAGAGGCGAGCGGCGGATGGCGATTCCCACACGCTCGGCGTCCAGCAACAATATCATGAATGCCAACTTGAGCGGCTCGTTGAGGAGTGAAGATGACGACAGCGATGACTTTTCATTGGTGAGAGCCGCGCGGATGGCGCAGCTGGCCGGCGCGGCGCCGGTGGAGAGGATTGGGGTCGCGGCGCTGCCCAATACCAATTTCCCGGCTCAGCAGCAGCGCACGCGGCGCCAGCGCAGCAGGCAAGTCCCGCCGCGGCCCAATCGCAGCGACGACTTCATCGTGTGATCGCGCGAGAGCCGCCCTCGTTCCGTGGCCGTGCACATACAACAAGTGTCGCCCGGCGGCGTGACGGTGCGCTACGAGGTGGTGTCCGAGGTCGTGGAGATCGTCCGGGCGCGCAGAAAGTGTGTGTGCATGGCCACGAAGGGGGAGCTCCTGATAGTGGAGAAGTTGGAGAATATTTTATGATAATTGTGATTTTAAATTGCGATTTTTACTAGTTGTCCACGAAAGGCGATTGAAAGATGAAAAAAAAGAGAAAAAATGGGCAGATAGAAAACACGCTCCTCTCACGTATATTTGAACATAATATGCATAAAACTCTACATTAAAGTGAAATAAAACTTTCCTTATTTTTTTCTTTTGATGAATAACCAATTATTGAATGAGAAAATGTCAGCTAGAGTTGAAGATCTTGATGATAGGATTATTTTTATGAAATTATGAAATTTTCCGTTGTTACTAATATATAGTGTAATGATTCATGTGTAATGTTATCTTTAGAAGTCGAAATTTAATATAAAGATGCAAACATAAGAATTCTTTATCATTCATTTTCACCTGGGCTCAATTAACTGTTTCTATCATATTTAATTAAATGTTCAATTTTTGGATAGCAGGTTCGGTATTGAGTTGCATATCGCTTCTATTCAAAATAGCAGCAGTGCAGTTCCACAAAGGAAAAATTTGCTTCAAATGTTCGTTCGACCTCGCTTTTTACTTCTACTCAATTTTATCAACAAATATCTCAGCAACACGTGCTTATAATTGAATTTCTGTTCAATACCCAAGTTTTTTCCATAAAAAAATCAAGGAAATTCCTTCGTGTTATCCGAGACACATCCCATTAGCCAATGCACTCTTATATTTCAAAAAAAACCATGTGTATTTTTTCATCTTTTATTTTTCACTCGATAGCATACAATTCGGACTGGTTCTCCGGACACGCGAAGTGCCCAGAGATCCCGAAGATCATCCCAATTATGCTTCGGTTTCGGCTTGGAGCTTGGCCAAGTATGCAGCCTTCTTGTCGGCAACATTCTGCTTGCGCTGCTCCAGAGTCAACTTGGCCTTGTTCCATCGTTTCTTCGTCACCGGCTTCTTGTCCACCTTCTTGTGGGTGGGATCAGACCGGATCGAGGCGTGGGCCTTCTTGTACGTCTCCTCGAGCTGGAACGATGGCAGGGAACATCGTTTAGACAGTTTAGGAGAGGAGAGAGGGAATGTGTGGACCCAGAACAGGAAGTTAAAGTCATGCTGAGACACATTAACTCCGAACAAGGGCCAATTGAGGATTATTTCGTCCCTTTTCGGCACAGCGAGAGCTTCGTTAGTTATCAATCGCGCTGTAATTTCAAGGACTTGGAGGAAAGCAGGCAAGTTGGGAAGGATTTACTCACATCGTCAGCACGGATTCCGAGACTGATGTACTTGCTGAACTGGCGCTTGAACGCCTCGTTGTCCTCCTCCTCGAGCATCTTCATGTAGTTGGCCACGTGCTGGCCGAAGATGTGGGCGCGATGGACGTCCGCATTCAGGGTCTTGCTCTCGGCACTGTAACCGGGGAATCGCTTCACGCTGTGCGGAATGTTGAGTCCGCCATCCACAGCGCCCTTCATGGCGCCGAAAACGCGGGCGCCGGTGGTGGTGCGGCTGAGACCCACGTCCAGGAAGCACCGGAAGGCGCCTGGGCCGTCCTCCAGGGACTCCACGTAGTACGCATCTCCGGTCACCTCTGTGCAGCCACTGTACAGGCTGTCCAGGCCGAGCTTCTGCAGGATTCGCCTAGCCACCAGCAGTCCCGTGCAGTAGGCGGCTGCGTAGTTGGTCAGACCCACCTAAAAGGACAATCAAAGCGCCCCCAAAGCATGAGTTTCCGAACGGTGACGTGGGCGACATAACCTCACTCTCTCACCTTCACTCCGTACTTGGGCAACTCATGCGAGTAAGCGGCGCAGACAATCTTGTCACCCTCAATGCGAGAGTAGGCGACCTGGCATGTAATATCCTTGTTGCTCAGACGCACAATAAGACGATACTTGGGCGTATTGTACTTATTCTTGGTCTGGAACGTCAGACGCTTCCGGGCATAGTAATCCGTGCGTCCCTCGCGGCGCCTCTTGAATTTCACCTGATAACGCTTGAAGTACTGCTTGTTCTTCACCACTTTCACGAACCCCTGCAACGAGAAGCACCCGTGAAATGCAAGAAAATCCACTCCATAACCTCCACCGAAAAGGGGCTCTCAAAATGGCGAATCCACGTGCAACACCGCCAGAAATCATCGCTCAATTTCCACTGATGCCACCGGAGAAATTAATTGTCCTGCAATTGCACGGGGTTCTGTCCCACTTTGGGCACATCACCAAGCAAAAAGAATGGACGTAATCACCATTTTTCACTCTCAAATCGATGCTGCAACTCCTCCGCAACAGCACTCTTTTCGACGGAGCACAGAAAAAGAAAGTCTCAGGGTTGCCGCATTGGAAACATGAGCGGAAGTTTGTGTTGGCAGCCTTGATGGACATTCAAACCAAATCATCATACAACCGTCGTTTTCTCTTAAGAGATCTCTTACGAGAAGTGTTGTCAAATTATGAGAATGAAGCTCAAATATTTTTTTAGCATAATTCTCAGCAAAAATATTATTTTCCTCTGTAAAATTCAGCCCAAATTACACCAGAACAGTAATCAAGACTTGTGGATTTTTCTCTTTACATTAGTGTTGTATTTTATTTTGTTTTCCTTGCATTATAAAAATGCGCTCGTTTTGCTGTTCGCTATCATCTTATCAATTAGATCAGTTTAACATTAGGTAATTTCATCAAATTACATATTTTCCCATCTTCTTCTCATCTTGTGTGTTGTGTGTGTCAAATTCATGCTTGGAAAAGTGTGTGTAAATCATCGAATTGTATTTTCCATGCTCTTTCTCATTTTGGGCTTCCTTCCTTATCATCTTTAATGCAAAATGTTTAAAATTCTTGAAAATCCTTTACACTACTTCGATGACAAATAGGGGGAATAAAAGTGGGAAAGGACTCAAGAATGGCGTCTTTTTCAGCGCCATTCTTGCCGTTTTTCTTCATCTCTCTCTCTCTAAATTGTCTCTCTTTCTCAACTACTTTTGGGCTTAAATCCTGCTTAAATCTTGCTTAATTCACGCTCTGACGAATTGTATTTGCTTTTGGGTAAAGGCGGAGGCTTAGAATAGGGAACTTTTCTTCTTCTTCTCTGAATGGAAAAAGCGCGATTTTGTGTCATATTTCTACATCTTTGCATGCAATAAAATGAATTTTAACAAGAGACGGAATCAAATTCTAAAATTTCAGATTCTTCATTTTATCATTTTACAAATTAACTCCTCTTCATTCAACTGGTTTCATTTAAATGCACTTTTATTACAATATTATTTCTCTTTTTTTATGTTTTGTGTGTGTGCTTTCATCTCGTTCACAGAACACTTTTCTCCCATTTCTTTCCGTTTACTACTTTATACTTCATGTCTTCTTTAAATCTTTAATAAATACATTTCTCTTCATCATTCAATAATAGCACTGTTTTTTATTCAATCTATTACTTCTGCTCTTTTTTAAATTATGTACGTTCAAAATTGAATATCATAGTTCTTAGATAAATCCTTAAAATTTTTTCCCCAACTTCCTTTACAACTTGCACAATCGCTGCGATTGTGTGGCTTTTGAGTGTTCGTGTGAAAAATTCTTAAACGCATCTTTTTGACAGTGTCCAGTTTATGTTAATTCATATTTCTCTGTGTTTTACTGTTCTCATGTGAAAATTCTATGCACAATTCTTACGCCTTCACCGCCACTTCTTCACTTTTCACAGCATTTTGCCATGAATGCCTTTTATTCGTCCGATTGGCCATAATAATTGGGATGCAAATCTTGTCGTTTTACAGTTATTACCATTCTCAGTACTTTTTTTTTTTAATTTTTCTGTTATATTTTTATATTATATCGGTATAAAAATGTTTTTTTTTTCTGTTACTATCACTGATCAAGAGTTGAATTGTCGCTTCCCACTTCAGATTGCTTGTACACCAAACAATTATTACATTGATTCAACAAGATTTTCCGTAATTTATGTCCCTTTTCTGCTCTCTTTCTCGCGTGTGTTTCTATCTCATGTCGGAATTTCACTCTACTTCATCATCTCATCTCTCGTACTTTTCACTCCTCAACTCGCGGTATCCTGAATTTTCCATCAATCTGTAGTCATTTTCTCCTTTGCATTTCGTGTGGCAGATGTTCACTCAGAGATTTCTCCAATTAAATGAGCCGTTACGGTGAAATCATAAATGTTTACTATAGATCAATTCAGGTCCCTGTCTTCTAAGTACTTGTATTCAAACGTGAATCCTTCCTTCTTTCGTTGCCCCCATTTCTCATAGTCGAAATAGATGTACGTGCCCTGCAAAGTACAAAGGCATTTGTCAAAAATCTGCCATTCATTTGCCACCTCTTCAATTGGCTCACCTGCTCATACTCTTCATTAATAATCTTGGGCTCCTCGTGGCGCTGAAACCACATCATGTACTTCGTGTGGAAACGCCAGCTCTGCTTCTTAAGAGCCTTGGCAGCCAAATATTGAGCTTTTGTTCCTTCCATGTAGTAGAAGACGAAGAACAGCGTCTCCGGCGAAAGTCGTTGGAAAAATTCAACTGTGTCTGAGTGAGGAAGTTGATTCTGTAACAAACAATTCAAACATTAAGTCATCTCGCAGAGAAAATCAGAAGGCAGAAGAGGAAACTTACCTGTGGATAATGAAGAGGTGTCGGAACAGGTTGCCTCTGTTGGTATGTTCTCAATCTTTCAGAATCACTCGGGGTTGGCAAATGATAGAAGGCGGCCTCCATCATTTGGAACTGTAGAGAGAAATTGAAACAATAAATATTTGAAAACTTTGTCTTATAATATGTTAATAATATTAAACGAAAGTTTAGATTATTCATGTATTTTGCACGTTTCTCATGAATTGTTCGGACAAATTGAGCTCTAAGCCCTGAACAAAGAAATGGACATTTATGATTATTGACATTGAAGAGACATAATTTTTAATTTCTTCGAAAGTTGGTCAAAGCAACACAAAATCCTTCAGTTTGTGAAAATTTTTTAGAATCTGATGCATTGTAATTTTACAGCACAGTGCGTAACATAATAATCGTACATGAAAAGTGCATACTTGTAAACACGATAGTAATTGAATTTCACGCCTTTTTTCTCTCACTCTCTCGCTCTTCTTTTCATGCAAAATTATTCAACAATGCACACATGCAACGCCGCAACTCTTTTTCTGCCAAACTCACCTGCAATTGATGCTCTTTCTGCAGCGGCGAAGGCCCGAGCGGTGCCACGCCGAGCAGCGGCGGTATGTGCGCCTCGTTAGTCCCCGAATTTTTAATACTACTTGCCACGATGCTGGTGGCATTCGTGTTGGGTCCGTTCGTGGCCACGGCACTCATCGAGTCCACGTACAGCTGCTGCTGTTGCTGTGGCAGAATCACCGGCGTCACGGCCGACTGACCCACGGCAGACGTGGTCACGGTGGGCGCGATGGCGCCGCCACCCGACGACATGTTGCCCGTCACGGAGACCGCCGACTGCGACACGGTGGACAGGCCGGCGCGCGAGATGGCCTCCTGTGCCATTGTTTTCAGCGTCGACATTGAATCGGCGACGGCCGCCACTGACGCCGCCAGGGAGTTGGCCGACACCGGCGCATTTTTCAGATTCATGCTGGGCCCATTGACCATCTGCTGCTGCGGCGAGAGCAAGCCAGGCGACGCTCTGCGAACAAATAGAGAAAGTCTCAGTGATCTAGTGTAATTGCTCTCTTATCAGCGCGACTCTTTTCGCGCACGATGCAATCAATTTGTATTGTGATAACATGACAATTTTGTTGATTATCTCGAGAGTATTTCTGAACAAAGTAGCATTTTCATTTATACAACTTGTACTATATCAATTGCACACATATTTGCCTTTCATGTTAATCACTGTATCAAAGGAATAATGATAATAGATGTAAGATCTTAGGGAAAAGTGGGGGCATTATGATTCACACACAGTAGAAAAAGGTTTCAACTATTTTTATAAGGCATTCTAGTCAAATTAATAAGTAAATGAAAATCCTACAAAATATTTCAAAATTGTCAAATTGTCAGACACAGCGAAAGAATATCAACAAATTTGTCAAATTACCAGCCAGAAAATTCCGTATTTCCCTATCCACACATCTCCCCTCATTTTCCTCTTTTGGGGCCATGAAAGATTTATTTATAGCCAAAATCATTTCCTATTGAACTGGATAACTCACCTGCTGCTGACGACAGAATGGCTGGGCGAGACGCAATTTGTGAGCGTACTGTTACTGTTGCTGCTCACAGTACTGCTCGTGAAGACGCCTTCTGAAGCCGACGCTACCGTCGCATTGGCGTGTATCAGATTACTATTCGGGATCTGTGGAGGTGCGACACTACCTGTCGATGAGATGCCTGTGAAAGGACAAGAAGATATGAGTAAATGTTGCTGGAATTTTAGTTGGATGTGCATTTTTACTTTGATTCTGTGGAATATTAGTCACTTGCGACTGCTGTTGGCTGTTCAGTCCCGAAAGCAGACTCGTTGACGACGTTGCCGTGGAATATGATGGCATCTGGTGGACAGGACCATTCTCAACGAGTGCTGCACAGGAAAGAAGGGAGATTTAGCGATCAAACTAACAAGTTTGAGCTTCAACACTCACATGTATTGTGTTTGGCAACGACAGCGAACGCCATTGAGGGTGTGGATGGAACAGTTGCTGGCAGAGAGGATGACAGCGAGACCGACGAGACCAGGGATGATTGTGGCAATTGATGATTCTTGCTCGGCGTTGAACACACTATTTTGCTCTGTGGCTGCGCGCCGTCCTTCAGCTGCGCCGCCACCGTCGTGCTGCTATTCAGCACAGCACTGCTATTCGCCACCGAACTGGCAACCGCAGACAGCGTCGTGACAACACCCGCGGGCGCCGCCGACGAGTTCAGGTCAATCTTGCCCATCCGCACAGCCGTGGGCTTCACCGGTGTCACCTTCGTCACCTCTTTGGGCCTCTTCTCGCCAACCGCCGCAAATTCCGCCGCCGCCGAGTCCGTGCTATGATTGTGTGTCGTGGCCGTGCTGCAGTTCAGCGCCGGCGATTGCGTCGGACTCGTGCCGGACGTCATGCTGCTCGGCGAGCCGCCGGTGTCATTGCTGTTGTTGCTGTCCGTCGTGGCGGAAGACGCTATTCCCGTGCCGGACAACTCCACTTCGTCCAGCCCCGTGATATCGTCATAGATATACTCGTTCTCCTCGAAGTCCGGATCCTGCGATGACTCGATGTAGTACTCCACGTCGTCCTTGATCTTCCTGATCTGCTCCACTTCCACGCCGTCATTGTCCAGTAGTCGCAGAATCGTCTCCAGCTTTGTTATGTGGAACTTATGGCGATCCAACTTGGCGCGCAACTCATCCATGCGATCCTGCTTGTCCTTGTCCAGGCGCTTCTTCTTTCCCGCCAGCAGCGACTCGATCTCGCTCTCGTATTGATCGATCTGGATCTGCAGGTTGGATATCGACGCCGTGAGCCACGTGCTCGTCTCCTCCTTCACTCGCTGGATGGGATCCAGCTTCTGGGCGGCGCCCAGGCCCTCCTTTGAGTACGCCTTCGTCTTCGTCTCGCGCTCCACCACCTGCGAAAGCAAGACACAGTCAAAATTGAACGCTTGCAGAGAGAAAAAGGCGGTTTTATGCCGAAGATGCGACTGAATTTCGTCCAAACTTTTTAATCAACTGTTCGTCTTGTAATTTAAACCATTGAAGATTTAAATTTAAAGATTTGATTCTATACTTCAATTATATGCCTAAAGCATCTCAAATTGCTGCCGTATTCTTTCGTCAAATACTTATTTTTTTTAGACAAAGGTGATTAAGACACAAATAACAATTACAAAACACCTTAAATGTCTCGAAACTTTACGGGTTGCGTTAAAAAAAACTAGAGTCAAAAGACATTGGAAAATAATGGCCAAAACTCAGTATTAACAAAGAAAATCGTGCTTTTGCCATCAAGCTAAAAAACAAGACTAGAGATAAACCATTGAACGGGAAAATTCAGCAATTACACAGAACACATTGAAGAAATCACTTTTAAGTCTGCATCGGCTTGGATCTCAAATTTGGGGGAAATTAGCAGGAAAATGCTGAAATTCGTCACCTTGAAACGCTCCATTTGGGTCTCTATGAGGCGCCGGTTGTCCAGCAGCGCATTTTTATCCTTGATCTCAGCCGACGCGATCCACGATTTGATCTGGTCACGCAGTCGCTGCAGCTTCTTGATTTCCTTCTTGAGATCAGCTTCATACTTTTCCTGCGCAATTCACGAGCGAGAGAGATTAGATAAGCCACCTCCGGAGCGTCTTGCAGCGTGCGCTACTCACCTTTTGATTACTATTTGTGGCATTGTGAACCTTCTGCCAGATATCCTCGAACGTTTCCACCCCTTCGGTGACTTTTTTCAAGCATCTGTCTATTTCGCCTGCAATCGAGAGACAACACAGCCAATTAGCAACCTAATTGAGTTATTATGCAGATAAGAAACGCTTCGCTTGGTTCTGGTTTGCCGCCTGAGAGTGCGAAAAAAAAGACCGTCCGCCAGCGAGGAGATGAAGGAGAAACGCGAAGGAGAAAAAAACGTCCCCGGAACACCTTTTCGCCACTCTGAAAAATGCACTCCCGAAAGCGCGACAATCACTCACAAATACACACGCTCCTGGGCGCCCCCGTGTGACGCCGCGGGTGCACGCTTTCGCATTTTGCAACTGTAAACACGGGCGCGGAAATTTTGCTGCACAATCACAATTCCTGACATGACAAAAGAGAGGCCGAAAAGAGAGAATTTTGCAACCCCACTTTTGGCGATGTCGTCTCAACATTGACGGCCGTTTTGCTCACCTTGCAACTTTCGCGTCGCAGCCATAGCTATGTACACATGAAGACCAGGTGTTTAGACATATTCTACTCATACAAGTCTGGTGGAAAATTCAATTTAACACACTATTTTTGACGAATTCTTCAACTTTTCTGCTTTCTGCTTTTGTCCTGGGTGTAAGATGGCCGCTATGTGAAGTTGGTCGCGAGAGCGCGTGGCAGTGTTGGCAGCGTGACGTTCCGGAAAAACATCGGAGAAGCCCAGAGCCATCTATGAATGCCGCTCGGGAAACTCACTTCGATTTCGATCGCATGAAACCATCAGAGAGAAATCAAAGAGAAATTTGAGCTGCAGAGAAGTTTAGCCTTTATTGAGAAACTGATAATGTCATTTTTCTTGATCAACATATAGGACCACTAAATTGGAATTGATAGGAATCACACTCTCTGTCTAATGAATGACCCTATTTAATCAGCCTAAGAACAAATCACTTGAATACCTCACAATAAATTATTCCCTCACTTTGCATCACTGCAAATTTGCTTAAGAGATTCATTGTATACGCATTTTTCTTCAATTGCTAGGCGGTTGAATTGACTGAATTTCTCGCCACAAGATTCGTTACAAAGTTGAGGAGATTTTTAGTTTTAAGTATATATGTATAAGTTTTAAACTAATAGAAAAAATTGCCAAATTCTTGCACAACAGACGTTACAAGTTAGAGACATTTCAAGTCTTCAGACGGTTCACATTCGCCCGCGTATCAAATCTCCACCTATTCAACTACTAGAGAGATTATCCTCCAAATATTTTATCTACATTGGAATTTAAATAACTAAAATTGATCTACAATTGATATTCCTTTGCAGAGATAGGTACCATTTTCTCTTCTGTAATACTTTCAAGTTATTCTCCTCTCTTCATCACATTTTCCGCGCTCATCGCGATTGGCACGAGCTCGCGACGCTGAGCGCCGAGAATCCCGATTGCAGGCTCGTCATGGATCCCTTGTAGTTGGCCGAGCTCAGGATCTCGTAGTGGAACATCAGCGTGGCCACTTTGTCCGTGGACGGCGAGCAGGTCCACTGCAGAATGTACGTGCCGACGGTCGTCATCACGTGCGAGCCCTGAACGCTCTCCCTGTGGCGGCAGAGCAGTGTGGGCTCCTCCTTGAAATATGTCTTGCCTTCCTCCAGATTTGCCCCATCGAAAACAGAAGTGTAAAGATCTGCAAGAGAAGACAGCTTTAATTGTGTGCCTTCATTTTTCGCTAATGCCGCCCATTCAACTCACCTCCAGTTTGGCAAATTGTCTCCATCGTCCGAAATACTGTGAAATAAACGTCCACATTGAGGACATCAAAGTCCCATGTCAAAACACTTTTGGGATCATCGTTCCTTATCACAAGCTCAAAGAATTGATTGGCTCTCAAGTCCACTGATTTATACATGTCCTGATGCGGATGCGGAGTCACTTCCTCTCCGCTCGCGCCGCTCTCCGCCGCCGTCCTGTACAGGCTCTTCGGCACCAGTCCGCCCTCGTGGATGAGTGTCTGCAAGAGTCACAGCCATTAGAATTCGCGCCGCACAGCCGCCAAGCGAAGGCAATGAACTCTACTCTGTATTGTGAAATGCACCAAAAGAAGGAGCAGCAAAGAAACAACTATCGATTCTCTAAATGCTACTGGCAAGTGTGTGAAAATGCGGAGACTCTCCAATTTGTGGTGATGGGATGAATGTGTGACCACAGATTCGAATTACAAATACAGAAAAATGCTCTGATGGTTTTTCCATTCACAACTCGCCAATTTCGTCTATTTGCTGTGAAAACTCACAAGATCGGCTTATCATTTTGCACTTTGCGCGCTGGCGAGTTGTAAACAAAATGCCATTACAAGAAAATTTGATAAAAAGGAGGTTGAAAAGCTACATAAATTGTATAAAACTGCGGTAGAATGTTAATTTGTCACAGTGAAATAAATTTCAGCACACATTTGCGCAATTGAACATTGTCTGACGACTGAAACAATTTACACATTTTTTCTCCACTTAAGTGACTTCTCCAAATATTTTGTGTATTTATATTGGGTTTTTTTTCATTGAATTATAGTAATGAAAAGAAAAATTGCAAATTACTATAGCCTCACTCTTACACAGTTACAAGATAGAGTGTAACAACGCGTGTAGAAATTCGATGAAATCATCCCGAAACCATTAGTTGGAAATCCAGTCTAATAGAAAGTATAATAAACAAATTAAACCCCCAATCATTACTCCATATTATTTGTGTGTTCAACTCTCTAGAATCATTAAGAAAACATCTAGAAGCTCAGTTAGTAACGAAATCATATTCATTAACGCTATGCAAAGTGTTCGGACGGCGTGTCTTACCGTACTGCAGCCGCCCAGGAAGTCCGGAATGATTTCAGATGGTAAGTAGCGCTCCAGGCCGTCATCCGGATGTAGGCAGTTCTGCCCGCCGTAGAAGAGGAATTTCGACCGCGTATTTTCATCTGCAACAACATGAAAAAATGCGCGTTAAGCGTCTGCATAGTTTATGCGGAGATTTCTATGGTCAAATTCGAAAAGCGACAAACTCACCGATAAATGTGGATATGAGAGTCCAAAGAATGGGGAAAACCCTCGGCGCTCGAACGATCAGCACTCTGCCCATCGTTTCCGGGTAGTTCTTCTCCACGGTCTCAATGATATTCAACAGCGCTTTCACTCCGGGCCGCCACAAGTGCCTCATCGACAGACCCTCGAGATCCACCAGCAAACACCACGTGCTCACAGGCTTCTCCAGCTCCTTCGTGCTGTCGCGCATTAGCTGCAATCCCTCCTCGCAAATGTGCAGCGTGAGTCTCAGCAGGCCCTCCTCGCCGATGGACTTCAGCAGTCCCTTCACATCCATGTGCCCCAACCGCAGCACGTACAGCGGTCGGCCGTCCTTGTCGCGATGATGCCAGCCACCGGGGAAGTGCTTCGTCACCACCGGCGGCGCCTTGTACAGCTGCAAAATGTGGTCAATGTCATTCTCCTGGCGCCACTTCAGCGAATCCTGCAGCATCTGATATGATTTTTCCACATTGAAGTCCCTCGCACGCAGGAAACGACAAATCATCTGATGATCTGGCGTCTGGTATTCATTCTTCTCCTTCAGCAGCGCCTCCAGTTCCACCAGCTTCGACTCCTGCAGTGGTGTCATCTCACCGAGGTTTTTCGAGATGTACTCATCGTCCAGGCTTGCCGAATCTTCCTTCTTCAGCACCGATCCGCTCGTTTGCAGCTTAACGGACTCCGCGTCAACGCCTTCATCGTCGTTTGCATCTACACTCGCCCATCGCGGCACGTGAGTGATGCCTTCCTGCTTCAATTGGCCGATGAAATATTCAATAATCTCCTTGCCCTTCAGCGTGGTTTGTGTGTACTGCTTCATGCCCATCTTCTCCATGGAATGTTCAAAGCCGAAGAAGTTCTTGATGTCCAGCGTCGCCGACTGGTCGAAGCACGTCCAGGACGGGTTGTCCGGATGGGCGTAATACCTGCGAGGCAAGAATGTGCATTAGAGATGTAAATTGGCAATCACAGGTGCGTCTTCAGATAATAATAGCTTGACTCTTTACAGCTGCTCAGCACCTTCTTAAGATACATTCACATGCATGCAATGGATGCAATGTTTGATCACGTGACAATCACAGCTCAATTGCAACATTCGATTGTAGCTGGAGCTTAAACAAAGCTGTATTATTTCTACAAAATTATTACTATTTTGTGGAGAAGAATCAGATTTCTTATCAAATCCCGTGATTCCTTCTAGTCAAGAAGTCCGTGCATGCGAAGTGAGCTCAGAATGAATGGGAGGAGCATGAAAAGGGGCACGTTATTTTACTAAATCTCTGTCAATTTACCTGCATCGTTCAAAGATCTCAATTCTAGAGGCGAAAGTCTCATTTGTGGCCTCGATGTTTAGCGTCCGGGCTCGCATGTCCAGCGAGTTGTGCTGGAGGAAGAAGACAAAGTCCAGGCCAATGAGTTTCTTGAATAAGTAAGGCGCATCGACGGCCAGTTTGCAGCGCCTCTTCGTCTCCCTGCGAGCGCCGCCGTCCAACTCTTCGTCCTCAACCACTTCGCAGTCCAGCACAATCGGCATTTGGGGACATTTTGGAAACCGTCGCTCGTACGCCTGTGAAGAGTAGAAAAAAACAGGTGGAATGCGTGGCTGAGAATTCATTATTCATGATCTCAAGTGTGGATTGATTTTCCCGGGAAAGTGACCAGATTCCACTCAATTAATCATTGCTCTGAGCGCGGTTAGGCTGCTGGCCTTGATGACATTTCCGCGTTTTTCCTCCCATTTCCACAGTGATTTTTGCCACTTGTGTGCAGATGGTGGAATTTGACCCTTTGGCATGTGCTATTTTCATGCTCTCGCCAATCGCCCAAATCCGCGAAAAGGTCAGAAGGCCAGGCAGCGAGAGATTATGATAACGGATTGGGAAAGTGCTGTGGAAAAGACGCCAATTTCACGGGGAAAATGTCTAATTATACACCCACTTACAGCCATCACCAGTTCGAAGGGATATTTGTACACCCTCACGGGCGATTGATATTTTTGCACCATCTTCCGTGAACTGTGCACTTTTCACACCACTTTCCACCTATTTGTACAATTGATTTTTACACTAAAAGCAATTAAACTAAACTGGCTCTCCTTCCTGGATGACAGCCACACACAAACTACTGAGAAAAACTCTTCGTCCCAGCTGGCAACGTCTCTCGTGACGCGTAAGCACTTGCTTTGCAGCCTCTTTTTGCGCACAAGTCAATGCTCTTGTAACATTGCGATGTCAATGTGAGAATTATCGAAGAGGAAATTTATTGTACATTGCCTGGACGTCATTACAGATGCCGTCTGTAGATTAATTATTCTCTATTTTGCATTCGCGTGATGAATAGCAATTCCAATGCCGGGTGGCGCTGCCGCGCTTGCACCTCCTGTCCGGAACTCAAGAGAGCGCTGTCGGCGTCGATCAGCTGTCATTCGGAAATGTTATCCCGTATTTTTCTATCCAGAAAAACATCGATTGTGTGAAAATTATAGGGAAATTGTGATGATTTCCTCACGCAGTGCTCTGGTAGGGAGAGTAGTTGCTAATGTTCTGCTCAGGAGTTCGAAGAATGCCGCACAGAAGCAAATAGTGCGACACGGACATGGGTAAGATGAAAGATTTTGCATCGAATGTCTGTGAGGTTATGTTATGTAAGACCCAAATCTCCTTTGAAGCGCCTTTTCCTACCGCTCTGCACCCACGCCGAACTCGAAGTACGTGGTGTTAGCCGCTAATGTTGGAGGCGGAATTGCGTGGTGGTGGATTCTGTGGCATCTGTGGCACGAACCTGAGCACATAACAGTGAGTTTTACAAGTACTTATCTTGCTTCCGGAGACTTGATTTGTTATTGTTTTGTGCACAGGGAGAATTTCCTTACATTGAGCCGAGTACGTGGACAAACGCAGAACTGGGAATCCCTCCGGATGATGATGAGTAACATCTCGAGATTTGGCTAATCAAGTTTAGTGAATTTGATTAATGTTAGGATTGTCGATTAGACCAAGACACTTTGGGCGGAAAAAAACGATAGGCTGACCAAATTATATTCTTTATTATTTAACTCACGCTGAAATGCAAAGGTTAGTGAAGTGTAGAGGTAGAAAATGTATCCCTGATTTAGTGTCCTGTCGGTAGTTTGATGCTGATGGTTTTGGTCTCCAAGTAAGGCTCCAATCCGTCTTCGCCGCTGTGAAAAGAAGTGTGAGTTAGAGAAATTGTACAAAAGAAGGGAGAAAGATGACCTTACAGCTCTCTTCCCGAGCCCGATTGCTTGTATCCACCGAACGGAGCTTGAGGCACAACGGCATCGTAGCAATTCACCCTAAGAAGAGCATAATTAGCAATATAATCAGTTGATTTAGTAACCTAATTAACCCACCAAACAGATCCAGCCTGAACGGCTTGAGCGAAGACGAGTGCATTGTTGAGATTGCTGGTGATAACCCCAGAGGCCAGACCATAATTAGTGGCGTTGGACCGCTCAATCACTTCGTCGAGAGTCTTGAATTTGAAAACACTCTGGACAGGGCCGAATATCTCCTCTCGTGCTATCTTCATGGCATCCGTGACGCCGGAAAAGATTGTCGGCTCAATGAAGTACCCTTCAGTGCCCCAACGCTTTCCGCCAAACTCCACCTTGGCGCCCTCGCTCTTTCCAGCCTCAATGTAGTTCATGATTCTGCTGAAAATTCTGTCGTCAACTTGTGGACCTTGCATAACGCCCTCGGCAAAAGCGTCGCCCAACTTGCGCTGCTTCGCCAATTCGACGGATCTCTTGATGAATTCGTCGTAAATGCCTTCCTGGACAAAGGTTCGGCTTCCGGCGCAACAATTCTGCCCGTGATTCGCGAAAATAGCATTGTGAGCAATTTCGACAGCTTCGTCCACTGCAAAGAAATGAGTGAATATCTATTTACTCACTAGATAAATCGGATTTAAGATCAGTAAAATCACATCTCAGGGTTACTATTATTTGTAAGCTTTGTAAGTCTATCTAGAAACATAAAAAAAAGAGTTCGGCTTCATCAGCATAGGACAAAAAATGTACTCACAGTTGCAGTCGTCGAATATAACGAGAGGACTCTTGCCGCCTAGTTCCAAAGAGACTTTCTTCAGATTGGATTTGGCCGCAGCTTCCATGACCAACTTTCCGATGTCCACGGATCCAGTGAAAGCCACCTTGCTGATTTCCGGGTGTGACGCTATGGCTTGGCCTGCGGTGGGCCCGAATCCGGGCACAACGTTGACAACACCGGCTGGGAAACCGGCCTCCTTGGCCAGAGCGGCACAATGAAGAGCCGTAAGCGGCGTCTGTTCAGCCGGTTTCAGCACAATTGTGCAGCCGGCGGCGATTGCTGGGCCCCACTTCCACGCCAGCATCAGGATGGGGTAGTTCCACGGGATGATCTGCCCCACGACGCCCACGGGCTCCTTGCGCGTGAGCGTGAGCGACGTGCCATCGGCCGGAATGGTGTTCCCATGGACTTTGTCTGCCCAGCCGGCGTAATAGCGGAAAGTGTCGATGGCGCAGTTGATGTCAAACACGGAATCGCCGAACGGCTTTCCATTGTCGAGAGACTCGAGATTGGCCAACACGTTGATGTCTCTCTCCACGAGATCGGCGAACTTGTACAGCAGACGACCGCGGGCAGAAGCATCCAGATTGCGCCATTCGGAGCCCCTGGCGAAAGCTCTCTTTGCAGCGTCGACGGCGAGATCCACGTCCGCCTGGTTTATTTATAAACACTTAATCTAGCGTCTAATCACAAAGTCTGGCAATCATATTCCTCACCTTATCAGCCTCAGCGATGTCTGCTATCTTCTTGCAATTGGCCGGATTTACTGTGGCAAAAGTCTTGCCACTTTTGGCATTCACAAACTCATTGTTGATGAAGAGCTGTAAATTGTGGGATTGCATAACAGCCTCTTAAAACATATTAATGAAGATGAGAGGCACGCTTTTGGAATTGATGTATTATATTTGGATTACGTCAAAAATATGGGAAATTTTGTGTGTGCGGCGTTTGGAAAGGAGAATCTACATTTTGGAAAGCACTTTATAAGCGCGAGCCCAGAATGAAGTCATTACCTTGGTGTAAACGACAGATTGATTTGGATTTGCCATGCTTTTCACGTTCGTCGGGGCTGAAAAATCGACGGGGAAAATGCTCCGTAAACTTCGGGAAAAATGTGCAGCTATCGCAAGCAAGACGCCGGCAAAGACTAAAATTGAAAGTGATTGAAGCGAATACAGAACCAGAGCGCAGGCGCTGTTATATCAGGGTCGCACTGGTTGAAGCAATTTAATCAGTTACAATGTAATCTTAAATGTTTATTCACCACAGAAATAGAATGATAATCACACCGGTTTTAAATGCCTTGAAAGTGTTATGATTTGAAATAATATCTTATTTGGGAGGAAAACATTCGCATAATATAAATTGAACAAGTAATCATGAAAATAGGGGGGGGGGGGGGGAACGGAGAAGTTTTAGTCACATATTTGAGCTTTGGAAAAGTTTCCCAAAAAGTTAGCTGAATCGCAAATTCGCTGATTTAAACTTTACTTCTTGGCATTTTAAACTACCAAGTGTGGAAAATTGTTCTTAATTAAGAAAATTTAACATAGTTATTTAAATGATTATTCAGAATGGTTATTATCGTCTTTGTATCAATTTCAATTCGGGACAAAACAATGAAATGACTCGTAACACTGTTAGCTTGTTTGCAGTTTTATGGTTGTCCAGGATATTCTAAAATGGTTTTTGTTTGTATTCACTAATGTGTAAAGCGCTCAACGAGAAATTTATTTCAATAGCTTTTACTTAAATACTACATTTGGACAAGTTACATTAAATACATTGAACTCAGAGTGTATAATTGTCGTCAAGGAGGTTTTCTGAATATCTAAATCTTGAATTAATGTTTAATATCACATGAAAATTTCCATTTTTAGTCACTCCGTTAAACAAGCAAATTTGATTTATGAAATGCTGCCAGGAAAATATTCTATACTCTCAGTATTAGTTTTAAAGCAATATTTTTCTTTATATAAAAAAAGGTTCCAAAAAATGCCTCATTTCATTATCTTCACCCTTCAGCTAAAGTCCATTTTTCAGTGAAAAAATTCATGTGTGAAACAAGGAGGAAAAAATCATAAATTCACATATTTCTAAAATCGTTTTTCAAAGTATCCCAAGAACTCATCTTCGGTCTTCATTGATAATCCAAATTGATGGTCTTTGAAATTTCTTTCTCGTTCTGCAAATGCTCCCAAATAATCTTGTGTTTATCTTATTCGCGCCATCCATCATTCCTTATATGCTCAGCTCTGCTGGGTTTGTAAAAATTCAATATGTGTGTACGTTGAATATATAGATTTGTTGTGGCGGAAAATCTTCGCACGCAGAATTTGCCGTCGCGGCGCAAAAGTTGAATGTGGGGGCGCACAAACAATAAAAGTGTCAGTGTTCAGAGGTCTTTATTCAAAATAAATCGGTTGCCCTCAGAATGGGCGCCCACATATTTGAATTTACACTTGACATAAGCCCCTCGATGCTGGCCAATGCGAACAGTCGGCGGCAAGGGATTGTAAGTTGTTGGCCTATTTTTGCCGAAGCGACCTTGATGAATACTAGAAAAAGTCTTCCTCACCATCCCAGATATTTGGGTGAACTTCTCAACACTCCTGTCAGACTCAGCTGGATAGATTGGCGGCAATTTCTCCAAGAGCCTCATCCGCTCAGCGATGCTCACTGGCGTTGAGTCGAGAAATTGGAGCGTAGGCAAATGATTGAGGACCTTTTCTCTGTACTTGTGATACTTCTTCTCGTCAATTGAGCCGCTGTAGATTGGGAAGGGGCAGCACGGATTGCCGAGGAGACTTAAGTAATCCAATTGCGGAAAGCTCTCCTTAATGTTGTCTAGCAGGTTATCCAGATTCCTAATCTGTGAATGTGTGTCACAAAGTACATGCGATAAATCTCTCTGCTTGCCTGCAACAGTGCTCACTTTCATTGTCTCACCATATTATTGTTAAGTGATAAAAGCTTGAGATTGGAGATTGCCGGGAAGGTAATATCGCCGAGTTGATTGTTGTCCAAGATCAGTTCCTCCATTGATGCGAACAACGATAGACCAGCGATGGATGTTAACTTGTTGAAACTCATATCCAATTGGCAGACGCGATTGTGGTATAGATTTATAATGGGATCCGGTATCTCGTAGAGTTCCAGTTCAGAGAGAATCAGCTGCAAAAGACATCGATAAGTACGCGTTCACTTATTAGCAATTGGGTTCTTGCGGTCAATTTGCAATGGGAAAGACTCAATTTGATGCTGATCTCAAGGAAAGTAAAGGTTTTTATAACTTTATACTGATCTTTTTTCACTTATCTGTGCACTAGAATAGCAACTGTCTAAATACCGTAAAAAGTGGTATGAAAATTTTCAAGTTCAGGCAATTTCCCAAGCTATTTTCAATTTTTAAATTATGTGAAAAATTTCAAAAGGTCATGATTTAGCTCTCCCTATACTTAATGCTTGATTTTCCCACACCGATTTTTTCGCACTCCCACAAAAGAGAGCGTCAGCTGTGGTTCAGCTCCAATCAGTGAGACATTTCACATGAAAATCAATCTTCGGCGCCCTGTTATGTGAACTTTAACTTTGATAATTTTATCTGAAGCATTCCGCATGACAGTGATAAATAGGAAATGTACTTGAAATTCTTCCTATACATTGAGAAAATAGAATAAATGCGTCTATTTCGAGGTATATTTTGAGTAATTGTGAAAAATACAGAAGATAAGTCACTCTTTCCCCCGTCTTGAGAGTGTTTTGCCAGCCATTCTCATTAAACTGTGGTGTTTGCTTGATAAGAAGTTGACTTTATTTGATAATGTGCGATGCTGAAGGCATGCGAGATGAGTCTCGACACACAGTGATATATTTTTTGTCTATTTGGGAAATACCAGAAGAGCGGTGGAAAAAAGAGTTGGAGTTTCGCCAAGGAAGCCATTCAATTTTAAAGTCCATTAATCAATATTATTTTCATGGAAAACGGTGAAGAAAGGTGAGAAACATTTCAGCGATGTAAATTGTTAAACATCTCAATGCCAGTATTTTCTGTATACACAGCAAAGAGAACACCAACCGCGGAGTTTAAAATATTTTCCGCGCAAGAATAGTTTTAGATTCCTGAGGATGAGCTCTTTTTATGCAGGTGAAGGTCTCAATTTATTTGCAGAGGATTGGATGCAAGGGATTTTTGCAAACTTACACGTCTCTCAGATTCTATGAAGACGACGTTGCTCCAATTTATTTCCATATTTTCTCCAGAAGCACCACAACACAACTGGCAGGCACTTGAACTGAGTCGCGCTGAGTGTTGTCTGTATACAAATAAGCCTGGCAATGTTTAATACATACGGCTGGGTAAGCTGAGATACATGTACGTATTTGTATGTAAACATTGCGCGAATCCCATTTCTAAGAGATAATATGTGTAATAACATTTACTCGACTAAAATCTCACCACTGTTCTCGTATAAGATGCACAGTGAGGATTTGGTAAACGCGGCTCACACAAATCTTCCTACACCGTGCAAGCGAACAGAGGGATTTGGTAATGAAATCTCCAAAAAATGCTCCACCGAATATATCTTGTATTTTTGCAATTTTTGACGCTTCCAAGATGTATTTTCCGACTGCGTAAATTCAAATTTTAGATGTCCAAAATGCCAATGGCGAGAGAAAGTATAATCTTTTATTGGTCTAGCCAAACAATAAATTATATGTATCGACAATCTTTGATGATGTTACTGTGAAATTGGTCACGCGCCAGGTAGTTAAGACATTGACCCAAAGAGGTTGATATTAAAGTGAAGATAAGGGACAGTGGGGCAATTTTGGTCACTGATTGAATCTTTGATTACAGGAATTGCTGAAAAGACGCTGGAAAAGCTCTTTTCTATGTCCAAAATAGTATATTTATAGTATACTTTAGATTAAGATGGCTCTCTTTAAATGTCAACCTTTAGGATTGATGCAATGGAATAGATGTTACGGCAATTCATTGTTTTTAATAAACTAATTTCTATGCAAGCTGATTGCTCGTTACTTGATTCCCAGCATGAAAATCTCTTTGCCACATTTCAAGTTGGCTTGACATCAAGTTTGACACCCACCCAACTTCCCTCAACTTGAAAGCACTTGAACATTGAAGTAATGAATGACATTAAGAGGTATAATAGTTTCTTAAATCTTTTAAGAGTGGGTCTTTGAAACGAACCTGTCTTTTCTAATAAAACTTCCCTAAAATTTTTACAGAATAGCTTTTATTAAACTTTCAAAATAGTTCTTTTAATTGAAAAACTTTTTGAAAGACTGCATCTGAAAAATATGTACAAAATATTCAGAAATGTAAAGAAAACCTTGAAGATTCGTGTTGGTCGTTTGGACTAGTTTGCCTTATATACACATCCTTATATTAACTAATTAAAGAGCGTTAGAATGGCACTCCGTATTGGGTGTGGGGTCGCACGACTTGAGCTGCTCCTGTGGTGGCTCCTCCGAGATTGGAGGTAGCCTGCTGGCTTCCTCCGCTGGATTGTTGCAGGCCACCGAATGAGGAAGCTGAGCCAGAGCCACTGGCGTGGGTGTTTAGGCTGGGTGCAGATGGAGCGGCAATGCTCTGGGATCGTACATCAGATCCGGTCTTGTGGGTGTTGTACTTGATGAAATACACTTCGGGCTTGGATGGCACTGTTGGTGGCGGCGTTGGCACCACGATGTCGGGCTGTTCTTCCGGCTTCTTCACCAGCACGTACACGACTGTCTTCTCCTCATCCTGGAGAGGCTGTGGCAGCACTGGCGGCTGGTACGCGGGTGGAGACGGAGCCTTGATGAAGATGATCTTGTAGTGCTTCTGTGGGCGATCGTAAGTGACCACTCGTGGTGCTGGCAGAACTTCATGCTCTGGCGGTGGGACGTGCACGTAAATGTGCTTCTGCACTTCAGGGGCGTAATTAGTGTAGTCCCTGTGGTAGTCTCTCTGGTACTGACCGAATTGCGGACCCGTCGAGACTGTGTTACAGAGGGAGAACAGATTAGTTACATCCAAAAGCACTGTGAAATCCACACACTACGCACATGAAGTGGCACTTCCTGTGCCACCGAGAGCGGCGAAATTGCCGCCTGATCCGGTTCCGACTAAACTAGCATCACCGGAAAACTTGGGTAGTCCATAGGAGTATCCTTGCGGCCGGGCAAGGGCCACTGCCACAACACACTGAAGCACCACTAAAAATTTCATTTTCACACGATGAGCTTAAAAGCACAACTGTCGCCGTGATCTGTGTTAATCGATTTATATAGCCACGCGGGGTGATGAATATTTTTGGAATAGGTGACTTAACATATCGCATTGATATTGGATCGTCGCGGCGGTGTTTAGAAAGATTTGGACATATTGAGAGGGGGCTGAGAGACCTCAACACAAATTTTACCATCAAAAGAAGTTTAGCAAACGATCAAGTTTATTTCCTCACGCAATGCAGTTATGACATCTGCCATGATATAAATGTGCCGACCGACAAGTCCAAAGACTTTTTCGGCGGTGAAGCAAGAACAGTATATTTTATTTTTCAAAGACACACCATATCTTTTCTTTTCTCTTCCAAAAAATTCGCGTGGAGATGGCCACAGAAAGAGTCGCCAGCAGAAACAATACGGTGATTTGTTAGATAGATAGTCAAATTAATTTGACTTGTCATATGCGGATTTCTTTTCATTTCTTACAGCAATATTAAGTGTAGTACCATCTCCCCAATTAAGCCTTTTATGTAAGAGCGAATGCCACTACACATTTCAAAGACTATCACTATCACTAGTCACCAATGGAGATAAATCATTTAGGCATTAGATTTCATAACAAGCTGAATATTTATTATCGAGAGAAACAGAGATGATGCCAAAAGACGAATAAAACGATATTGCTTCATATAAATCTTCTATATGGCCCGCACAATTCACACTTTGTTTTTATGTTCTGCACACCATCCAGCCATGAAGTAATCCAATCTCATATTGATTGACTTGGGAGAATAACTTACTGTTAGGTGAATCACTCGATTTGAGCCTCTCATTTACCTCATATAATGCACAGTGTGTCACACTTGTACCACAAGAGAAGCCTTACTTGCACAATATATTGTAAACATACGAAGAAAGACGGATCAATTTTTCAATATTGATGCACGCGATGCTCGTAAATCTTTGAAAAAGATCAAGAGAAGTCATTTTGTTTATTGATAGAGTAAGAAATCTTGCCGATTTTACGTAGATATAAAAATTTTTTATAGTTGTCCTATGGATAAAATAAAATGAGATTAAAAAAAATTAATTTAGCAAATTTCATGCACATTTATAGACTTCTACCTACTGTAATCCAATTGCAGGTTCTGGTCGAAAAGCGCGTCAAACATGCGCCTAGTCACATGTTAGGCTTGTTTATATTATCTCCAAGTTGGGTACTGTTTTCATGAGAGATTTTGGGTTGGATTGCAAATAAAACACACTGTGTTGTGTCAAAGGTCAATGCGGGGATTGATAAATTTGCATGATATCGGAATCATCCCACACGATTTAGTGCAGTGGCATGATGGGTTTGTTTATTAATTCAAAAGGCCGATGAGTGAACCTCAACACCTCAAAGTCACATAATGGTTAATTGGGCCCTTGTTAGATTGACGTGACATGCTACTGAATATCCCAATTGCCTTTCTCTGGTTACCATACGGTCAAAAGGTACCCCGGTCGCCGGAGTGGGTGGCTGTGAATGGTGTTGATGTCTTTCGGGTCCCTTCATTAACTGGACGATGGACGAGGAGTGAAATTGATTTTTCACATAGTTATAGTAAGTGATATTCCATGGCATGTGCTCGAGTGCGAAGCACGAGAACATGACTTTCCATTAGTGCTTGAGTGGAGAGATGCCTTATCAGAATCGGAAAGTCCGTCAATGTGAAATTATTCGATTAAGCAATTTTCCATGTTTGGGGGAAAGTTGTTGCATACATATTTATCACATGCGAATTTCTATCCATGATTGCATGAATCCTCTCTGTGGATGCTGTAATTTAATTTGATGCGAAAATATTTATGTCATTAAGTTGTTATGATGTCTAAAGACTCTTCGTATGCAGTATTAATTGATTTATTCTGCAGAATATTTGCACACTGCTAGAATTTATGAACTCATGCACACAACAAATTCTCTGGAAATTGTTTCAATTTGCTGCTACAAAGTTAAATATAATGAATAACCTTCAGCTATAACCGACAATTCTGAGAATGCTTCATTACCTTTCCGGAGAATTCTCATTGATGTCATTATAAACGATTTAATTGGAATAGTACAACAAATACTTGAAGGATTTCAGGGATAAGGAAAGTGCACTTAATGCCTATTGAGGGTGACATTGCAATATTACGATAGTTGCTCCTATTTTGGAATGGTAAACCTCAAACTGACAATTTACATTCCATAGAAATGCACACGGGATTCGCGTTAGATGTGCAATATCTGTCTATGCGCTGCTGTGGATTAATTCATAAATACCCGCGAAATCGTTGAGCTTTATAAACACTGGAAGTTTAATTAGAATCTCGGTGTCACATGCGAAGAGCGAGAAAACAATTTGCATGACACTCACACAAATTGCATGCTTGTGACGAAGTGTAATAATATTAAATTTGAATATAATAAAAGATTTTCGACATTATATATTCCATGCATTTTACACTGTCACAGAGGCTAACGTATTCTTGAAGTGTGTTTTCATCTGGGTCAAATCATATCGAACTTGAGGAATTGATGCTGTACTTCGACGAATTAGTATGCGAAGTTGAGAAATCAACAGATCCAGGCGTTCAAAAATTTTTCGCATTTGATGTAAATTAAGAGAAATCCCACAATTAATTAATCGGGATATGATTAATGTCTTCTACGTTTGCAGAAGAAGTACGTCAAAATATTCAACATAATCAATTATTCCCTCTGCTGTACTTGAGCTGTTCTATTCGCCGTGTATTCATTGGCATTTGGCGAAGGGGACACACGCATGCCGATGTACAACACTTGGGCGCCTTTCGATCAAATCAGCACTCCGAACTATCAATTGGTTTTCATCTATCAATTTTATTTGACACTCGTTTGTCTTACTTTACATGCCGTGAATGAGTTTAATGATTCCATTTATGTTCTTTGGCGCTGTGCTCTTCAAGTTCATCAGCGTCTCAATTATTAAATCTTACGAAGGGATTTTCGAAAAAAAACTTCTGATGGATAGGTTTAAAAAGTGCATAATTACATCTGGATGAAATTCTGCATGAAATGTGTCTTGCAGTGCGTACTTTTTGAAGAAGGACATACTAAAAGAGACTGAAAATGAAGTTTTAGCACGCTTAAAGAGCATCATTCTTCAACACTACAAAGCTTTGGTTTACGCTGCGAAATTGGGATCACTTTTTGCTCAAATATTTTCTGTTCAATATGTTTTCCTCTCAATTTGTGTTGATCGTTTCGCTCTTCAATACCAACGTTGATATGACTAAGATGGAAATCAGGATTCATGTGGTTTACTGTGATTAATATCGTTATGTCGATTTAAATCAATTTCCATGCAGAACTTATTGATTCAGGTTTGTTTCATAACTTTTTAGAGGTGATTAATGAACACATAACTGTGTTATATATATATGAAAATTTGAAAATGAAAAGCTTTTGGATGTTCTGTACAACTATCTGTAGTACACAATGCTGTAGAAATTTAATTTCTTCATCGAAATACTGATGATGCGGAGTCAGCATTTCCCAACTTTTATAGTTTGAGGAACAACGCCTCTAAGCGTTGCTGGTGTCCAAACAATGATCAATCGCAACTACACTTATTTTACACTCCTTCGTCGAAGTAAAAGCGCCTCGACGACCTCACTATTAATTATTTGCACACCACTTCAATTTTAGGCATCCACAACTTCCAGAGTTTATCAAATGCAGTTTGTTTGGAAGTTTAGGATTTCATCCCAAGTTTACACATGGCTATAAATAATAAAGTGGCGGAAAGTTCCTTTCCGTGTGTGTGCTTAAAGCGTTTTTTGTTTATATTCCTAAACATTGTGGAGAAATCAACCCTTCAAATCTCCACGCCATCCGATAAAAAGCCATTTAGTGTTTTAGTGCTTCGCAGAAGTGTGGGGAATCTTGAGAGAGAAATCAAATAAATTTACAATTTAGATTTAGAAAAATAGTCACCCTGCTTGAGAGGGTTTTCCGTTTCACAATTTTCATTCATAAGTAACATTGGCCTTTCCTATCGCACATTTCGCACGCCTGCGCAAATACGCCAACTGGCTAGTGTAAGTTTGATGGTAATGTGGCTCAGTTAGAAGAGGAATCTTCTGGTCCGAACAGTTTTCCCGCGGTGTTTCGCGCGGCATCTCCTCTTTGTGGGCCCTTGAAAAGCTTCGCCAGCGACAAATCCTCAAGAGTTCCTCGTCATCTCAGCTAATGCGCGGTGATAGTGAAGCATTTAAGTGGTTTAAGTGCTATATTGTGGCCATAACATAATAAACTAAAATTCTATTGTGCTTCCTTTCAACGGTAAGATTACAATTGTTTAAGTGGATTAGTGATATTATTTGGTAATTAATTGTTGTTGTTTTTGATTTCTTGTGAGAATATTGTAGTTTTTTGTGTTTACAAAGTTGAAATATTTATAATATTACGGAAAATAATTGGGTGAGGAAAGAATTTTGTAATGTCCATAAATTGGTGGTACTTTTATTTTCAGAATTATAAAAAAAAAGTACAAAACTAGTTGAGAAATTTAAATTCCGAATTTTTTATAAAGTGATTCAGGCTTCAAAGTTGGATGTTTTTTTCGTGCTCATTGAGGATTTGCAAATGATCCAACATTTGAGAACAATTTTCCTCTTTTCGTTGTGTGACTGAATGTGGACAGAAAAGTCCTCAAGCACAAGAGTAAATGAGGTGCTCCGTCGGAAAACACGGCGCCCTTTTAGAGAGGATTGGAGTTAAAATGTTGTCGGAGAGATTTAAAATATGCATTACTTATCATTAAAGTTTTCTGCGGATTTTACTGCAATTATAGTTTTTCCACAGAACGATTTTTCTCTTCCGCTAGGGAAAACGAGAAAATTATGATATAAGACACGGTGGGATTTTCCCTCTGTAATTCAACATATTTCATCTCTAAACTGTATATGTGTGACTATGCTTACCTAGCGAGTTTACATGCTCGCTGTCGTATATAGAAACGTAGCTTTCATGTAAATTTTTTTGGGGAAATGCAAAATCGCGAGGTGTTACTTTTCTAGGGAGAATTTGTAATCGCAAAAAGTGTCAACATCATTTCTTAATGACAGGAAAGGAGAATAAATGCTGCGAAATGTGTTTGAGTACCCACACATTTCGTCGTGACTGAGCAAGGAATATCCATTTCATAAAAAAATAACTTTGCCAAAATTAAATGTACCGCCAGTGTCTTATTTTTTTAATGTCGATCCTATCTTATGCTCGCCTGCAATTTTATTCATGTTAATGGTGTGTTATTTTGCAATAAATTTCTGTTTGGGGTGTACGAAAGAAATTGGCTGTATTTACGCTCACGCAGACGAAGAATTTCCACCCGAAATGTAAGGCAATTTGCATAAATGTAGCCCTCTGCATCATTTAAATCATAATTGGGTCAGGGTTGTCGTGAGATTTTTGCACAAGTTGTCATTAGTAGAGGGAATCGTCACTCTAATACCTTTTATTGTTGTTTACTCTACTCTTTGGGCTTACTTAAATAGCTATGTTGTGCCAAGGTTTACATCTGATAATCTTCCATGTCTTATTCTTAAGACAAATACCAGGGGTTGCCTAAGCGATGTTGAAATAATTATATTCTTTTTTGCCTGTGTTTAAAGTATTCCGGAGGGATTCTCCTCGTTATGACTTTAAACAGACTCTTGGAGTTGGATTGCGCGCCTGGCCAAATCCAAGCATAAAGAAGCTGGTGCAGAGGTGTGCTTTTTGCCAATGCGATCTTTGTGCCTTTTTACATGCAAACTTGTATGTATGAGGATTTGATGGTCGTCGTGAAAGTCTGCTCTGCACCTCCTTTTGTACGTAATGAGAGAGTACTTAACTTCTTTGTTGTTAGGGAAGGAAATAATTAAAATGAACTTGTACAATTACCCTACACTGTAGTTAGCTCAATTATTCTTGTATTACAAAGAATTTAAAAGGTATGGGCACATCATACCCACTTGCGCAAAAGTGTGCAATCTAAATCACGAGCAGGACCTCCACATCACTCACAGACGCATCATACAAATGGCACACGTCCCGTGTTATTAATGCGGCGCTTTGTACATGACTACATAAATTATTTCCGACTGAGTGCGTTCATACACACCCCCGTACATGTACATATAGGCAGGCTGAGAGGGATAGCGAAGGATCCTTTTTGCCCAGTGCATGCCTAAGCCGAAAAGCCCAAAAAAACACACTTCATCTTGGGTTCCTTGTTTTTGTTTCGCCTAACGCACAATGTAAACGAATTTAACACGATTTATATATCTAACTTGATAACTGCACGAAAGTTGTGATAGCGGAGGTTGGGACAAATTTGGGCACCGAGATGTTTTATTACCTCTTAAGTGATATTTTATATTGAGAGGGTTTATAAATAAGCATTAACTCTTTGTGGTTTATAAATAGCCATCCGAGGGACTGTGTTATGGTTACCACGTGCGACTAGCTTCAAGCAAACACTGCTGACAATATTTCTCAAACAATTGTAAGTACTTGTGCTTAAAGTTGTGTCAAACATTGTGAGCATCTATGTGCAGTTAGTGAACCTTTGCTCGTGGTATAAACTTTTTCAATAACTACGATAGAAATTTACGCACAGAATGCTGATTATATGCCGAGGATATGATAATAGTTGGATAGTGATCAAAATTGCTTGGTTCTCCTCTACAGAAAGAAGGATGAATATTCAAAATTTTCCCAAGAAACCCGTGTGTGTGTGTGATGTAATAAAAGTTTTTGCCGAAAATCTTGACTCTTCATTATTTGTCTTCAGCGCAATGCATAAGCTCCATGTAATATTAATTTATGGAAGTGATACTTCCGTCAGCATGTAATCCGCTAGTCTTAATAAATTAAATTTTGAATTGCAAATATGACACCTAAGCCAAATGAACTGGCTTATATGGTATATTGGAATGATTTTTGGAATAAACGTCAAGTACTTGTGTTCGTGTGACATACATTTTATGTCATATCTCATGCGTGGAATATGATAGAATATTAAATAAGTGATGACAGACCTCGTAAAATATGATTTTCCATTGCATTATGTAGGAAACTAATATTTCTTCCTTTTCAAGAAGCTCTCCTTCTTGTAACTTAAAAGGTGAACGTGTTATATTTCTGCAAAGTACGGGCAGGATTGGAATTTTATAGTACCATCCAAATATGCAATATAACTTTATGTATATAGACAAATTATGGGAATGGCGAGAAATTCCTTGAATATTTTTAAAGAGGCGAAAAAGCGAAAAGGTGAAAACAGTATTTCTCAATATTGAAGTGAGAGAAAAGAAAACATCGGTGATTTGTTTATATGCCACGCACTAAGAAATCGAAATTGAAAAAGGCTCCGAAGAGCAAATTCACAGCTTTATTAGAGAAGAAGATGTACCACACTATCAATAGCCATATATTATGTTTATGTTGGCCACATGGCTTTCAACCCCCATGAAACAATATAAGAATGTCTTCATTTCGTGCTCTAACCATCGGCATTTATGGAGTAACATATGCGATTTTTCCTACACGAGAGACGCACCAAATTTCCTCAAATGACCGCTTAATTTATGGAAAATTGATGGTAATTGCGCTTCATATCGGAAAAATATATTTTTATCATCATATGGAAAGTCTCTTGTCAATTTAAAGACAACTCTTGTGATTGCAATATGTTTTATTTTTCCGATAATAACGTTGCGCAAAATTACATAAAATTAATTATCACAGTATTTTCGTAGTATTAAAATTGGAATTATGCGCATTTATTGGAACATTCGCAAGCTTTTATGATGTGGTCACACGCCAAATATTCGTCACCTCAGTAACCTTTCATTGTACGATATCGAGTGTTGATATCATTTCTGAATAACGCTTTTATCTGTTGAATATCGCAGATGGGGAATGAATTACAATCATCACAGGTTGATAAATAGGAAAAATAGATTATATGTATTCAAACCGTGCTATAAATTATTGCATGTAATTCCGTTTCACGGAAAATTTGGGGCGCATATTTGGTGTGGTGAATTGATGTCACAGAATTTAGAGAATTCAATTCAAATGTTTTTTTTTTTGCAAGGAATGCTACAATTTCTTAGCAATGCGCTAATCGTTGAACGAAGCACAATTTCTCGGTGTCTTTGATGTGCTTGAAATTGATGAATGGGAATTTACTCTTGGCACACTTGTAAGCTATTTATGTATATATTGACGGGGTTGAACATTTTGAAAATTACAGTAATTCACCCAAAAAGACTCACTTCGATGCTTCCTTTGAATATTTGAATTTCAAGTTCTCCCTAATTTTGAATATGCTCCTGGATACACCAAATTAGAGAGCGTGTCGCGGCGGTTTGAAGTTTGCAATCTTCTTAGAGCGAAAATTAAATGAGGGAAATGTAATATTAAATTTTGCCGAAATTCAGACCCAAAATCGGTTATTGAATTACACAAAATTAAATGTTGTTTTTAGCCATCAGCAAAAGGGGGAAAAATGAGAAACGCACAATGCCATTAATCAAAGAGGCTCATTGAAAAAAAAACCTTCAATTTCTCGCCATTCAATAGAACTCTATTTGTTCCGGTTTTCACATTTATTATCGGAAACAATGCCATTTGTTTGGGTACTCTGCGTTATCCGTGTGGTTTTCTTCCCGAGCACGGAAAGCGAGAAGTCATTATGTGTATACATAACTTCAAAGGACACGCAAATTAAACATTTGTCGGTCGCCTTGCCAGTGTTAATAAATTGTAATTTCTGACAAAGTATTAATTTTCACCACAAGTCTCTCAATATCGTTCCTTATTAACACCTAAAATTTTAAATGCTTCCCGCACCCAATTATTTATCATTTGGGGAAAATCAAGGGAAAGACTTTCCATGCCAAATAGAAATTCAATGGGTCTCTGTAGGTTTTCTTGAGCTTTGGAGAAATACCTGTAAATTATGCAAAAGGTTTTCATATATTGAATATTTAATAACATATTAAAGAAATTTCACGTCAAAATACATACTGCGACGCATGTTTTGCTGTAAATAATGTAATATACGAAATAATAAGTGGGGTAATGAATGGTAATCTAGAAAAAAAACTGAAGTGGAATTTTGATATCAACAGATGTTTTACAAAATGCTGTTTTATCTCATGCAATATTTTTCCATTTTCATGAATATATTACCACTGTTGGGAAAGGTCATCAATTTCTATTTAGCATGAAATATTCCTGTATGTAGCTTTTGTCTCTGTACGAAACCCAGGAGATTAGTTCTCGAGAATAAGGGTGACTTGGGAGAACCGATTCTCCGCACAACTTGCCAAAATATTTTTCCAACATTTCGCCAAGCAACGTTTTAGATTACTCCTGAGAAATTACAAGTTTCAAACTATATTTTATATTGTTTGCAACTTTATCTATTGGAATATTTAGTAAGCAACCAATTATTTTGCACCCACCTGCTTCAGCTAGGATTTCAGATACAGATTACATGAAGCTTATCTCAATTCGCTGTGCGCTTACTGTGCGAGCAGCCGAACTAACCAAATGTCCAGTGCTCATGTGTGGGATTTGCACTCAGAGCTCCAATGGCGTTTGCATATAAACAGTGTGTGGCACATGAAAAGAAGGAGGTGAAGCAGCTTGATTTATTTTGTAAACACAGCTAATCACTCTATAAGTGTTCAATCAGTATCTTGATAATTTAATTAAGCTGTCACGAAAGCTGATCATGAGTCAATATGCGTATTTTTAAAGTGTTGAAAGTTGGCGATAATTTGAAAATTAAATGCAAAATACGGTTTATCATTCTACTACTGCATTCAAAAAGTCGGCACAACAAGTCATGTTGGGTTAATTCTAAAGTGGTGCAATATTTTCTGAAATACTCAGTATACTTTCCTCCATGTTAAGGAAGACAAGTGCATTGCAACATTTGCGCTCAATTCAGTTTATTGTCTCCGCTTGGAGTGTATAAAACTAAAGTTAATTAACTTTTGCCGCTCTACTTTGCCAAATTACACCTGGAAAAGGAGTTCAAAGTTGACATGTTTGCATTAGTTCTGAAGGAATTAATTTCCTAATGTAAGTTTCAACCCAATCACCGAATATGTTCAGCGAACAGTTGGTTGTATAATATCATTTAAATGGTAATAAAGTTAATAAGTCTCTCTGGGGTAATTTAATTCATGCTCAAAGGAATTGATAGAGACTCGGTGACAATAAGATAAATTGAATGTAGCCCAAAGTGATTTAAAGCGAATGATTGATCAACGAAGAGGCGTTAATATTTGCCACTGAAACAACACAAGAGCTTCAATTGACTGTCAATCAATCATTTCCTCTTCCAACCATGCCCAAATATTACTTTCACACATTTTCCTCACCCTTTCCTGGCGTTCCATCGTGATTGACATGTATTTTAATTTAAAATTTGTAGATAGAATAACTTTCGTATTTTCTTAGATGTGGTTTTTTCCTCATAAAAAGAAAATGCGTTACAATATTCTTGGGTCATATTTTCATGTAAATTATATGTCAGTGGGAAACTACTGTGATGAACTTGGCCTTTAAAAATACACCCTACACCTTTCAAGTATTTTATCCATCTTCAACGTAAAAATGGCAAGAGTGTCACGCAATGTTTCGTGTAGTTTATGACTCTTTTATCACTCAACATTTAGATTATTGATACCCAAGGGACGTGTTAACGTATCATCTGAACTTGGCGGGGAAAAAATCCCTTAAAGTTTTATTGTCGTTCAGTGAAATATATTCAAACAAGGCACGACGAAAAAACAGCTCGTGAATGTAAGGAATATGCAAGGGGGAAAATCCATACTATGATACCTTATGCAAGCAGGACTGGTGGAAAATTATGTGACAAATTGAATTTACACGCGAGAACTTTATCACGAATTACACCAACCCAGAAAACCACCTTGCCCTAAGTAATTGCATAAGAGACTCAGCAAATTTTCAAGCACATTCTCTCTGTGTAGTCGCAGAAATAAAATCTGTCTTAGATTTCAATTTAATTTTATTTCAAGCCTCTCTCGTACACTTTTATGTACCGTTAAATATTTATGCTATTACTCTGCTAAAAATTCCATTTGGAACGCCTTTTTAAGGGAGTAAAGATGTCTTTTAAGTAAAATATTGACATACTTTTGCGCCATACAGTCACATTCCATTCTTCACTGCCGAGGATCTGCCTCTTCCGTCTCACTAAACAAGCACTCAGCGTATTGCCTAAATGGTCTCAATATCGATCTTGACATGCTTGGCAAAGTAGTCAGTGTCAGCCCACAGGTATTAAACCACCAGATTTTCTCATTTATGCACAATTGATAGATTTTCGATGCCGGAGAAATTAGATGGCTGTGAGAGAACATTTATGATCCGTTTCGGATGGAATTACCAAAGGCAAATGTGAGGGAAAAGTGAGGAAATTTGACCAAAGAAAATACAGAGTTTCTGCTCAAAACTCAACCTATAATGAAACAAAGGAATTCACAAGACCCATACTAATCATGAACAGAAGAGAACTAATCACTGAATGATGCGAATTACAAAAGAATCTTGCAATGATTTTCACTACGTTTACTAAATTTTCCATCTTTGAGGTTCAACATTCCCCGCTTTTCCCTAAACAAAGTATAAGCGATAATTATCTTATTTTAAGAACATGCAACCAAATGTAATGAGCATATTAATTTGGTTGGAAGTGATTTGTTTTATTTTACGACTGCATTGTTTGCTCAAATGTCAAGAAATTATGTGGTGGTCAGAGCTGAATGTTCTGGTCCATTATGTGAGAATTGGGCGGGCTAGAGATAGTCTTGTTACTCTTAATGACTGTGGCTGCATAACTTTTAAAACCACAAACAACATTTTCACTTATGCTGGACTGACATCGAGACTCTCCGCATAAGCAACATACAAATTCTGCCGTCAGGAAAAAAAAGTATGAAGATAATCAAGCTGATTAATTGTTTTTGAGGTGGATAGCGTGGGGAAAATCATAAAATATTTTGGGAGTATGTACCTAACATGTATACAAAGAAAGCATTTCGGGCGGTTTTGTGTGGGAGATGACATAGCGAAATGTAATGATTGCTATACACGAGGTCACACCTTGTAAAGGAGAATACCGGGAATTTTTCCGAATTTTCAGTTTGTGGCATTTTCTCCTTAAAGGATAGCCATTGATTATGATCTTGGGAAAAGTACCTAATTTCCTTATTACATCGAGTTTGCTGTTTACACCACGTTCCAAAAGGCGATGAGGTATTTGCTTGTGCATTTTGCTCTCTTGCCTTCACCTAAACATCATCATATTATCAATAATCTGTGTGGAGATTACAAAAATACCGTTTGGAAGTGGTCATGAAGAATGTGTGGAAAGTCAAATAAATAAAATTTTATAGTTGAACTTGTGAAGGAAATGAATGTTTGTGGATTCATTTTATAGACTTTACTTTAGATAAACAATGTGTATAAATTTTTCCTGAGATGCCTGAGAGAAAGAAAAGATCGCCATTTCCACCCGAAAAATTCATCATCACTTCCTTTAAAGCTATTTTGAAAATCAATAATCTGATTAAAGTGGAGTGTGGGTGAAATTTTTCGTCCTCTCTTCCCTGTCAAGTTTTCAATTTCAAGTATACGCGTGAGTAGTGAGTGAAATCGCACAACATTCTGTCAGTGGTGCTCAATTATTCAATACATTTCATTCGATTTATTGGCATAGAGATGGAATTTTTCGGATAAATATAGATAGCCGAGGGGATTTCCACCAATTTTCCTTTTGAAGAACTTCACAAATTGAAAGTGAATCCATTTGATCTGCGAGTGTAATTCATTTCCACCACTGGCTTTCATGAATTCTCCCATAATTTTCACTCCCGCAAGAATTTATGGAAGAAGATGGAGAGATATGCGATTGCTTGCTATACAACAATGCATAGCATTGTCAATGCGCATGGAGTTATTTTAGGGCAGACACAGAGAAAACTGATTCAGGAGATAAAAGAAAACACTTAATTATTCTGAATTTGGTTTAATTTCAGATTGCAAATCGTCTGTGTTGTGGATTGAGGCAAATTACAGCAAAATGGAGCACTAATGAAAGCACCCATTAGTGATAATGAAGGGAATTTATGCAGCATAGGATATATTTAAATGATGACAATGAATATGAAGTAAGATGAAGTGGAGGCTGCCAGGAAGAGTGCTAATGAGTGGCAAGAGGAGCATCAGATAATCTAATTGGCCATTCGTCTCAGTATTGCCGAATTGCGTGAAATATGGCATCGGAAGGACTTCTGCACGAGCTATTTGGCATTAATAAGTCAGCCCCGAATTATATCTTGGACAAGACAGTCGCCGATGTGTATGCCACGAGCTATCCATATCTCATTCCCGCAAATGAAGATTTCATCGGCCAATACAGCCCCAATAGGACCTTCTTCGTGATGGACGAGCGCCAGAGAGAATATAATGAGACTGACTGCTCCAGCGACTACAATTCGCACGACACCATCCTATCAAGCGCCTACTTTCAAACGATGGTGTACTGCCTATACATCAGCATCCTCCTTATGGCCCTCATCGGCAACGGCATTGTTTGCTTCATTGTTCAATCATCGCCGAGGATGAAAACCGTCACCAATTACTTTTTATTCAATTTGGCACTAGGTGACATTCTGATGTCAGTGTTTTGTGTGCCATTCTCTTTCGTACCCACAATTCTCCTGCAATTCTGGCCATTCGGGACTGTGCTCTGTCATTTAGTTAATTACTCGCAAGCCATTTCCGTTTTAGTCAGCGCATACACACTCGTTGCGATCAGTGTGGATCGATACATTGTCATTATGTGGCCACTGAGACCAAGAATCACAAAGAGGTGAGCAGACACTTTATCTATTCTAGCCATTCAGACACACATAGTAAATTTTGGACAAGCATTCATAATTTCCCATGTGTTTTAATTCATTATCTGCATTGATCTTACATTCTGACCGTCCTTCTTCTTATTCTCATTGTTTTGTTTCGTTAGATAAATCTCCTCAATAATTCCATTTTCTGCTATTTTCTTCAGCTCAGTTCAAAATCGAGTATCGCTTTGTTTGGAATTCCTAAAGAGAATATTCTCGATGCAGTTTACGCAAATCTTTGAATTCGTCTATTTGCATTGAAGGAGGAGAATATTTTGATACTCATGATTCATTTATGAATCTCTGTTTCTAATCCTTCTAAGTCTCCTCTTTGAATTCAATTCCTGTCTTCGTTTTCTTCCAATTTGAGCTGGAATTTGTAAGCTGCTTCTAATTATGCGCTTTATGCGAATTTCAAACATTAGCAACTACCGATGTTTTTCTACATCGTAGCTTTATTGAAGTCTGTCAGTCTGAATAAAATTCAATCTCTCGAATGTATAGCATTACCTGGAATGTTCTCTGAGTGCAACGTGCTATGTTAATTATACCCTTACGCTCTGAAATCCTTTGTAGATATGCGAAATGCATCATTGCGGCGGTGTGGGTAATCGCTCTCGTTACCGCCTTCCCAATTATCATTGTCTCCAAGTTGTATCAGCCGGAAGGATGGCATCAAAAGTGTGACAAGTAAGTTTCCCTCCGCAATCTCGCATTGGGGAGAAAAGAGGTCGTGATGTATAGATACAGAGTATGCATAAAAACACTCATATCCGGAAGCTATTACACTGAAGTACTGTTTTCCACTTCGAAAAAAAAGGGGGAAGGAAGACGTATTATTCATAAATCATCTCTAGTCACCCCCTCAGCAGTCAAGTTCAATGATTTTCCTTAATTTTCTGCACGAGTGATTTAAAATCTGTCAACTTTGAAATTGAAGAAGTAAGACTTTAATGAAATCCGAAATTTTCCTCTCTGCGCTAAACTCTTTAACGAAGTTATCAAAATATTTTATTTTGAAATTTTCCAACAGATATAATTAGGGAAAAACAAATTTTTGCTCTATGGGTTAACCTTTTGAAATTGGTCTTGGGAAAGGGATTTCGCCACACCGCAAAGGGTATGAGCGTAGAATGAAAATCTCGTAAAAGTTTAATTTAAGAGGGGTACATGTGGCGGTTAAGTTATCTTAATAATCATAAAAGTTAGCAGACGCAATATTTTAGACATTGTCATCTCTTAATGCCAACAATTCGTCCTCGAGGTACAATTTTGTGCGACTCTCTCGTGGGGGAAGCGCTCAAAATATCCTAATTATTCCCACAGCAATTAAGATCAATCAATGGTAAACTCTTCTGAAGAACCTCTTGAAAGTCTCTTTTGCTTTGGATTTGGAATGTGTATAACTTCAAACAAGATGCCAGGACGTAACATGTGGCAAAAATGAATCACTCTACTTCCATTCCTTTTAAATTTACTCCCACTGACTTTTTGTTGGAACGCAAACACATCTGAAAGGCACATATTGTTGGATTTTTGGCATAAAATTCTTGCAATTACGTTCCCTTGATGTCAAAGAATGCCTTTACTACTGAAGTGAAAATATTTCTTGGCATTTTATTCATCAGTATGTAAAGCTATATGAACATCACACGTGTTCTTGAGTTACAAGTTCTCTGAGTTACAAGTTAGTCACAAACTTCACCATGTCGACAGTGACAATAGTCAAGATATTCCAACCATATTTGCAATAAAATTTGCTTTCGGACAAGTTAGACATAAGTTGTGAGCTGAAGTTAGTTAAGTGGTAATGTCTTTGGTTTTTATTATATTATAAATTCATCCTATGCATGTAGAGTGAGCAAATACACCCTTGCTGATGTGGCAAACCTAAATAAATATTGGTGACTAATTCAAGTTTACAATAACTCTGGCTAGGCTTTTGCTTGCGTTCGGGTCTGATTGAAACGGAGCCGGAAGGCGAGAGTGTCAAAGGGATGCCACCGAGAGTTATGTACACACATAGCGGCTTACATTCGCTACTCTCAATTGAAATTCCAAGAAAGTCCCGCGATTCAGCGAAGAATGAGCAATAAAAATATTCACTTAACATACTTCCCTGAAAATTAAGGCATTCAGCGTAAAAAGACATACTTTAAGTTTTTCACAGTTAAATACATATACAAATATAATACTGTTCCATCATAGCTCGGGTGCAATAAAGTTAATCCCAGGATAAGAGCTGAGTTCGGTGTGAATTTTTATAGTTCATATAAAAGAATAAGAAGAATAAGAGACTTCTATATACACACAATGTCTGAATTAGGCTTTTATTATGATTAACGCAAGTTTATTTTTGCAGTCACACTGAATCACAACGAAAGAAAGTTTATGCATTTAAACATTTCGCTCGCGAGTCTAGAAGTATGTCTGTACTTAAGACAGTTTTTATAAATGTGAAATATCTCTTGTGAATTTATATCAGTGTAAATTGTCTCCTTTCGTTTCTTTTTAGGTACATTTGTCGTGAAGATTGGAGTGAGGACAGTCAGTACTTTTATTACACATTAGCTTTAATGACATTGCAATTTGTAATTCCAATTGTTGTTCTGTGCTTCACATACATTCGCATTGGTGAGTTTAGGCAAATAAGGAGTGCGCACACAGAATGCTTGATTTTATGCAATTGTGTGTCTTGTGTCTTGCAGCAATCGCTGTTTGGGGTAAGAGACCACCGGGGGAAGCAGAGAATTCGAGGGATCAGAAAATGGCCCGATCAAAGCGAAAGGTATGTGAAAATCCATATCTTTCCAGGAAAATTCCAAATAAGCCCATGTAATTTGCAATATTTCGCGCTGTCCATTATGTTAATGCAATTTCTGTGGCAATATAGAGAGTTATGTATATGTAAACAGTCGCCAGGAAAGACATAAAATCGAGAAAGAAATTACAGATATCATTCAATTTCTCACTCCTCAAATTATTCCAATACAAATATTTACATACGGCACAAACCTACATAAAATGATACACTCGAGGATTTGTGTAAATAATCTTTGAGAGCAATTCAACTGTAGTAAATTTGAATTTAATGAACATTATTTTTATTTAAATGATGTATTTTTTCTTTGGCATGCAAATAACATTTTATGCAGAAGAAGTCACATTTTATAGCTTTGAAAAAGTTGCTCGTATGACGAGACATACACGCAGTATGAAAGATTAATGAAATGTCTCAAATAAACTAGAAATTCCACAAACATCTTCAAATGACGTGAATAATTTTCATGAGGACAGTGTTTCACCCTTAGAAATCTGCATTCTAGTCTTACGAGACTGACATGAATATGAATTTTCTAGTTTAGCCACAAATACAAAAGAGTATATATTAATTAACTGTGTGCTACAAATTTCAATTGAGTTTGCAAACAAGTTTTAATAATAATTTCACTCCTGTTCTTTTTATTCTTAAAAAACGGCTCTTTTGCTGAATAATTTTAAATTCGAAATTTTACACATGGGACAAAAAATTGAAGCCATGCAAAATTCAACGACCCTTTCATGAGTTTGAATGAAATGTAACCACAGAAATTTGTCATTTTCATCATTTTCCGAGTACATTTATAAACCTACATATATACATTTGCAAGCCCGAATGCAGTATTATTATTATTAAAACCGTTCCATGACGAAAAGCTGCATTGTTTCGGCATTTTTTGAAATATTCTGATTAAGTGTATCCACAAACATTTTTTCCAATTCAGAGGATTGAAATAAAACTCACAATATGGAAACACATCTAAATCACTGTACCGTGGTAAATTTGCCATTCCATACTACACGCGATATGTTTGTTTTAGTAATTAAACCATTTTTTCATTCGCATAAACCTTAAAATATGCGTATTTGATTTGTGTATTTACACGCGGATGCAAAACCGAAGTTCAACTTTAAATATTCCGTGTGCGATTAACATGTAATTGTGAATGTGACCAAAACTCAGTGAAGTGAGCAAATTGTGATTTACGATGTCACTTTCAAAAAATCTGTTTAAACATAAGCCGTATCTCAGTTTCAATGGCTTTAATGAGTATTTGGTTGTGTGCTCATCTAGTGGATTAAAATTTAAAATAAATTTGCTTATGAGGATTTTTTCTGCATCATTTTGTTTGTACAGCACAAATATTAATAATTTCATAAATTCATGAGAGTTTTCAAATCAACAGTCACAAACAATCATCTATTCGCGAACGAAATGCATTGTAATCATTCAGTCATTAAACATTGACTTGATAAATGAAGTGCCCAAATAGATTAATTTCAAATTCAAATTAGTTTTCGACTAGATCATTAAGATGTTTTCCATTCTTTGGTTGTTCACTTTAACTTTGCCCAATTTATTATGAAAAGCTAATACATCATCATTGCAGTCGCTAAGCATTTAGCAGCTCACGAGAGTAAATATTTAAGTTTTCGTGAATGTCATCACTTAAAATCTTATCTCGACACATTTTTCACGCCAAATTATACTATGCAAATATGTTTATTTTTAACAATTCAGTTTGATTTAATTTATTCTATGTGTTCATGATTGTTATGTTGAATTATTTTTGTGGGAATTGCGTATGGGAAACCATTCTTTTATTGAATAATGACGATTTTTGGCGTGATTTAAATGAAAATTCATAGTTTTGAGAGTATTGCAAATGCATTTTGTGTCTTTTCATCACCGAATTTGTCACTTCCTTGACAATATAGCATATAATTTAATTATTTATCATAATTTGGCCATTAAACATGGACGGAAAGAGGATGTTTCGCACACTTAACGTAACTTTACATCATCAGCAGCTAAAGTGTTGGTTGATTTTGCGAAGAAGTCCATTAAAATATTAAACCTTTGGTTCCTCAGTGTGTGTGTGTGTATGCGTCAATTTGCCATGGTGAAAAGTTGACACTAACGATATTATCAGGAAATTGTTGGGTAAAACATTCTGGTGAAGATGCTGTCTGTGAGCAAACTTGAATTAAATGTTCCCCGAGTGGCATCACGAACATCTGAAGAAAACTATCACTTTCTTTTCTGATTGAGGGTCATCTGCTTGTATCTTTTCTCTTCTTCTCAATAAATTTATGACACGATTTCAGTTTCACTCAACTTTTCTTGAATACACCGCAAACACCATTTTTTGTGGTCGTGTGAAACGCCAATTTTGATTATTTAATTGAACACATTTACTTGCTGTGCGGCAGTCAATTTCTTCAGCGTGCGGCAAAAATTTACCCCCATCATTGCATGAAATCTCATGTACGGTGAGAATATGTTGCTGGTGAAGATGTCCAAGAAATTTACATACAAACGAAAAATGCACATCATACGTTATGCCGCATTTAAAGTATTATATACAACACGGTTGCTGAGTGAAAGGATGGCACATGCGTCAAGACTTTTCGCACTTTCAGACCTGCAGAATTGAGAGCCAAACAGACTGGATGCCTTTCAGTAAGAAATCGAAATTTTCACTGGAATTCGACTTTGGCAAATGTGTAAATTGTGTATGAGAAAATGAGGGCAAAAGAATGGCTCAAATTGACCATAATTTTCGTCATTATTTGTTGTTGTTTTTGTCTGTGTTGAGAAAAAGCCACCCACCACGCACTTCTGGGCGATCAACACATAACTTTAACCCCACAGTAATTGTTGATGTGTCGCCAAAGAAGGTCCCAGAGAGAAATCCCATACTTTAGGATTTTTTATTACCCTCCTGAGCGTCCTAAAACTGTCACTATGGAGCATTCTATAAATTAAATGATTCGCATTAATTGCAGTTATTGTTTATCTAAGCGAGCAAGATTTGCGTTGGAGGTGAACTACCTCGTTTAGCATTAAAGACACCGTGAAATAGCCTTAAAGTTCCGCTTCATTTGGTACTGATGCTCAACTGTGTTGTTTGTCATGTTGTTTACAAGCTATACATATATGGAACAGAGAGAAGACGCGCTTTCTATTGTATAAAAGCGTCTCTCGTCATTGTACTTATCTCTCTCACTCTGGGTAGAAATAAATTTAAGATTTATTGGTGAAAAATTTCACCAGACACACGACAATATGTGATGAGCTGAAAAATGAAGATAGTAATATCTCAAAATTGATGAAATACTGGCACTCACATGATGATTATTTATTACACAATTCCTCCCAGGTAATGAACGCACACATGTGATTGAATTGAAATGCTCGGCAGGAATCGCCTAATGATATATTCAGCATTATGACTTAAATCACATCGGAATAATCACTTTTCGCTGCGAACTATAAATCCATCATTGTCTGCATGTGTGACTGCGACATATTGTGGAGAGACTTGGAAATTTTCAATATATTAATTATAACCCACTATGAGTAATTAGCAACTTTCCAAAGATAAATTTTGGCAGCTCTCTTCATCGCGTGATCAGACTCAAGCAACACGGTTTGAATTCAGGAGCACAATGACCAAATAAAACTTAAAAATATGCGTCCAGAGCTTAATTAACATGATATTGAAATGTTCTTCATTTGTTATGAGAAAAGTTTATTGCTGGTTTTGATTAAACTTAATTTTTAGAGAAAATTTTCTCTAAAATCTAACCTTAAAAGCATATTTGCGATGTATATCGTCATACCAACCGAACGTGGCTATTTGGGGCATCAATACTTATAATTAATATGTACCAACAAATATTTGACTGTCCAGAATGTATATGAGTAATACAGTTTCATAAACAAGTGGTCTGAGCCGTCGATATTCATGTGTAATCAGTGTGCTGCTTTTTGCTGGCACAAAAGTCCGTATTGAGTGAATATAGGGTTTTACATAACGAAAAGAGAAGCGCGCGCGATGATTTCCAGAAATGTCTTTCCAATCCAGTATACACTACAAATCTTTACTTTCTAACCAACTATTTGAGTTCTATGTATAGTCAATGTATTATGGTAACTCTTCTTCGTTTTATTTCACAAAAGATATTTCGATATAAGCATTGGAAGCGGCGGTCACAGGTTTCAACAGCCTCTCGAAGCGCACAGTCAATCGCTTCACATGCAGGAAGTCAAACCAGCATGAACGTATGCACTTTCATGCTGTTAATCGTACTGCGAATCGATTATAATCAAATTCTCTCCGTATTGTTCGCGGACAGTTTTGGACAGTTCAGGGAGTTTTTTCTGTGTCTCTGAGAAATAGATTCTCGAGAATTCGCTTTTTGCGGTTCTATGAAATTGAAAATGAAAACTCTACAGCTGCGCCAGCATGAGTAATAACGTATTTATGAAATGAATAACAAGCAATTTTCCAAATTTCGCTGACACGGCTAAAGGTGAGGCACGATGAGCCCATATTGAGATTATCATACGGAATTTATTCACATGCTGGACATTACTTTCTTTTTCGATGAAGACGAGAAGAAGTCGGTCGCCAGATTGGTGAAGAATCTCGTTTTCGACCGACACCACGGGAAGTTGGCAGAGAAGGAGGCGAAATAACGCAAACAGCGAAATAAACTCCACTTGCGAAAAAACCTTTTATTTCATTTCCTCCCCAAAGAGGGAAAAATCGCTACATTGTGACAGTGATGATGTGGGTAGAATGAAAAATTGTGTGTGTGCGCGCGCTAAATTCGGAAAGTGGAAATCAAATGCCAAAATGAGATTGGGAAAAGGGACTCACACGCCACTCACTCTGAAAACGACTGGCGCTAAATGGGGAAATGAGCAGAGTGTTAAAATCTTTTCAATAGTGGAATTAT